TGGGGCTTACTCCCTAGTAAGTAAGTTTAGGATAGCATACTTGTTAAAAAAAAGTATTTGATAGGTAAGCAAAAACACTTCTTCATGAAGAAATAAGAGGTTTGTGGGATCAGTCAAACTGGGGCAACCATTGGTTTACAAAAGAAGAATAACTGAACTTGTTTTAACACATACCACACACACACCCTTTTTTCTTTTCTTTTTCTTTTCTTTTTTGCCCATCACATATTCTACCATTTGAGGCACTTCATAGGAAAATACTTTTCACATTACTGTCTGGGAGAGATAACACAGACTTCCCATTCTATTGTTTAAATCTGTTATCCATATTAAAACAGAATGTAAAAAATGCAAAACCCTTAATCTAAAGTTGGCATTTTCTTTGTTACAGATAGTACCAGACTTGCAACAGGGAAGTCTGGAATCTGAGTTAACTTCCACCATGCTTCACTAAGTGACCTTGGACAAGTCTCTTTCAGTCATTCTCTCTCTTCCCACCCCCCCACACCCTCCCCACATAAACAAAAGGGAAATAAAATAATCATTGCCTTCACTCTGCTGCATGCTTGCTTTAACTTTCCTGTACTTGGATTTCAGGACTGGTTTACACATTACAATTTTTCTGCATGAAGACTATTCCTGAAGTCGGTGTATTTATGGGAAACAGTATCTTGACTGGTGTAACTGCACCTTTAAATGCATACCGTATATACTTGCAACCCACTTTGTATACTAACACAAGCTTCTATTTTTTTGCTTCCAATCCCACCCCCTCCATATAAGAAAGCTGTAATGTGTAAAGCAACCACTCAATGATACCAGCAATGCAAGGAGGAAAAAATAGCCAGTCACAAAGCTCCCTCATTCCCTAGCTAAGATTCATACTGAAACATTATTCTTTGTTAATTAGTACTAGCTGATGAGTGAAATGGGGATCCAGTAAAAATGGTGCCAGGCAAGAGTGTGAGCTGTGAGCCATAAAGACACGAATTCATATCTCATCTCAGTCACGAACTCTCAGCAATCACCCACCCACCCACCACCCAGCCCGCAACGTGGGGCGATACGGACTTTTCTACAGAGTGATATTAATTCATTTATTGTATTTAACTATTTATTTAAAACATCCTTGCCCTGTATTTTGGTAACTGATTCTCCAGGCTGCTTGAAGCATCTAATACAATACACCGTAAAAGAATAATAAAAGAATTGCAAACAGAATAAAATGAATAGAACTGTAGGGGGTTGCTGAGAACACAGCATGTACGAAGTGTTTCAAACACTCTTGTATTGAGAGTGCTGCTCTCAAGGCCAAAGCTATCATCTCCCCAGCTGAAGCAGCAGCTCTTCATTCTGCCTGCTAGCTTACAATATTGGATTGGACCTCTGACAATATACGCCAGTGTTTCCCACAGAATTCTGTTGGAGGCCAGCTGCCAATTTTAAGTGCCTCGAGCATTTATTCCCAATCAGGCACCCTTTAGAAATCGCTCGACTAAAGAGGGCACTCTGCCATGAGAAAGTGCCACTATGTCCTGGGCAACAACCTTCTAGCCAGTTGCGAAGGAGAAGAGAAAGCATGTTAGCACAACCTAAGAGTTCTTCTACAGTAGATTTCACAGACAATGCAATTCGCTTTCACAACGTTTGCTGCCAAAACCACAACAACACTTTCTAATGCTGTCTGCAGCATACCCACATGAGGCTTGTCAATATATATATATATATATATATATATATATATATATATATATTAATGTGGTAGGGGAACAAACCATGTGAAATTGGTGTTTCAATGGACATTATCAAACCAGGGAGATCTGAAACAATAAATTAATGTACTTTATAGAACTGTCATGTTTTGAAAGAACACTTTTATAATAAAATAGCATTCCTAAACATAAAGGTCACTTGATTACCCAAATTCACTCTGCTTTATTCCTCCTCCTCCCCCCCTTTTAAAAAAAACCTCACCCCTACCCCAATGCAACAGGAATTGTTCTTTGTCTTTCATTGATCTGCCACCTTAGCACCAGAAACACACCTAGTTTACTTTGAAGATACAGAAGATCTCCTTCAGCATACTATCTCAGCTCAGGATAATCTGAACAACTCTTCCACACCCACCCACACTAAGAGACCTGTGCCTCTAAACTGCCCCAGAATGAAGAATGCACTCTAGAAACCTTAAAACTGCTAAATGGGATTATTTGTGCAATCCCAAACACTGTTGGCTTGATCATGAGAGCACTGTGTGAACTGCCCCCCTCACTGAAGTGAGTGAAGATACTCACACTAATAACTTGAAAGGGATGCAACTAGTTTGGCAGCAAAAATGCTTCTCTGCTGCAAAATGGCAGCACCAGGGCTGGCATTTGCAGAGGAGAAGCTTCTGCAACATGTCAGGCAGGAGGGTTGGCATTTGCAGAGGAGAAGTATAACACTTAGCAGTTCCCATGCCCAGAACTTTGGGGCACGCTTTTAGGGACATCCACTGTGGAAAATGTGGCTGGGGAGGGGAACTGCAGGGGAGGGAGAGCAGTAGGAGGGGAAAGGATTGCACATTGCCATCACCACATCTGTTAAAGTTGGCCAGTGGAGTGGGAGGAGATACATATCTGGCCCATTGAGCCAAAAAGCTTTCTCACTCTAGATTGCACACACATGGCTGACACCAAGTTTGAAGGGAGCAAGTGCAAAGTATCCTCTGGTAGGCCCCTTCATCTGTTGGTGAGCTTACCTGTCAGGGGTGGGTGACTGGCTGGTGACATTCCAAGTAGCAGAGCAAGGCTGTATTTGCAGCTAGACACAACCATTCTTGAGCATTAGGCAAGAAAAGGAAAGCCCCCCCCCCATTGTGCTGGGATATCAACCTTGCATGCAGTACACCTATTTCCTCCCTTTCCCTTGAGCCAGTTGCACTGCAAGTTGGCCACAATGTTTGAAGAAAAAGCAGGCGCTGTGGGAGAATACTTAATTTATTACTTATATACTACTTAATCATCAAAAGCCCTAAGCGGCTTACATAAAACATACATAAAAATGGTAATGGTATATGGTAAATGCAAACCAGAAATGGGTCTCATGGGTGCAAGCTTTGCCGTTAATGAGAATTGTTTGTCCTCCAGAAGTTAGTCCATTAAGATAGGATTAATCAAGCTCTGGGATAATGAGTTTTCTTATAATGAGATCAACATTATGTCATAAGTATAACGAAAGAGGGGGTGGGAAATAACAATACGTAAATGTTTTGCTTGACATCACTGACAACCCATGGCCCAGGAATCCACTGCATATTTTAAAAGATCCTTGGCCTCTAAGAATATTTCATGGCACTCGTTATCGACCTATAAACCTTTAATAATTGTGGTCTTACATATCTCAGAGACTTTTGTAATCCTCACTGATCAAATTTGAGTTCCACTGTACCACCCTAGCAGCAACAGATGGAACATCAATGGTGCTTTAAAACACAGTTTTGGTGGCTCGTCTCTAAATCTTGTGACAGCAATTTCTAGGTTCAACTATGGGCTGCGTGAAGAATCTCCCACCATTCAACTTCATTGGACAATCCAGGCCTTATTCCAGGATCTCACAGTTCACTTTTCTTCACACTGTGCAGCGTTTTTCTATGCCTTTGGTCAAGCCTTGCCCTCCCTTTCAAGGGTGCCAACTTGAATAAAATAGGGGTGGGGTGGGGGTGCAAGTTAGCCCTGCCTTGCAAAATTGATCACAAGATGCAGTGAACACACAGTATTTGAATGGCAATGCCCATGAACATTGTGGGGGCCCGGCCACCTCAAATATTTCATTGGGGGTGGGTGGGCTGAAGGAGCCAACTCGGCCCCTAGGAATTGGCTCCTAGGCTCTCTTTTATTTTCTTCTTCCAAGCTGGAAGGGCCAGAACAACCTTCCTTCCTTCGCAGGGGAATTAACTTGCTTCCCTCATTTTGGGTTGCTTTCTGCACTTCTCCCGGCTTCACAAATCCCTTTTGAGGTGTGGTGACCGGAATTGCACACCCACACAGAGAACATTATGTGTCAATTGGGGAAATGTCTATACAGGGTGGGACAGCTGGGATAGCTCGGTCTGTAGAGCATCAGACTCTTATTAATCTCAGGGTTGTGGATCTTAAGCACCCCATGGGGCCAAATGGACTAGATGACTCTGGGGTGGCCCCTTCCAAACTCCACAATCCTATATGCGTACAGGTGCGTTGGCAGCACCGTGCAAACAAGGTGGAAGGGCAGCATTCGCATTCACAACTCTCATAGGAAGCACGGCTTCAGCAAACAACGGCGGTCAGCGCTTTCTGCATCCTGTAATACCAAGTTGGGGTGGGGGGTGGATATTGGACTGAATCACATCAGGGAGACTCAGGGCCGGATTTAGGTTTGATGAGGCCCTAAGCTACTGAAGATAATGGGGCCTTTTATATGTCCAGCTCTCCTCTGTCAACAACAAATTGTTGATTTTTTTTGCGTTGAATGTATGCTATATGGTAATTTATGGATCTAATAGGTATCTAAAGCTTTTGCACATGTTGCCATGCAACCAGTCCATGAGAAGGCACCCTATACTGTATATAGAAATGAGCAAACCAGTGATATTTTAGGGAGCAAGTGGTGCCCATTACTTACATCATAGGAGGCTACACAACACAAAACACTGTTGCTGTATGTAGGTTTTGTTTTATTTGTTTTTTCATCTTATATTTTGGAAATGTACACCCAGGTTTGTTTGTTTTTAATTTTTTTTGGGGGGGGGCCAAGAGAGTGGGGTCCTAAACTATAGCTTGTTTTGATTATACGTAAATCCGACACTCCCTCTCCACGTATCAGGTAGGTGAGGAGATTTGGTGCAGTAAGGAAACACGTCCCCACCCCCGTCGAGGGTTTCCAGGGAAGGGAGATGGCGGAGGAATGTTCCCCCGCCCCCCGCTTCTCCACAGCGCCTTGGGCCCTTCGGCAATCTCCGCCGCGCGTTCGGCCGCTCCTTCGGGGTGAGGGGCGGGGAGGTGCCGAGCGCCGCCGAACGAGCCCAGGTTGCTGCCCGTACTAGGCAAGGAAAAGAAGGAGCAACACGGCGGCGGGCGGCGTCGAACTAAGGCCGGTCTTATTCGGCGGGTTTCCGTCGAGGAAACGCGAGGAGAGAACGGGAGCCAGAGCGAGACAGACAAACAGACAGACACCTCGACGGTGCCTGCCAGCGAGGAGAAAGAGCGCGCGGCGGCGTCCGCCTCCTCTCCCCCCCTCCTTTTTTTATTCCCCTGCGCGCGCCCCCTCCTCGGCCTCCTATTGGACGCCCTGCCGCCTCTCTTCTCTTCTCCCCGCCTCCCGTTCCGTGGCGGCTGCTGCTGCTGCTGCTGCTAGAGCTGCTTTCAGAGGCAGCGGCCGTGATTGGAATAATCCGGGCGTTCGCTCGCTCCCGAGAAGCCCCTTCGTCGTCTTCGCTCACCCCTCTGCCCAATTATATATATATATATCTCGCTCGCGCGCGCCTAGGGCACTCTCATGCGCACGCGCGCGGATCTGAGGGGAACGGCGAGCCCGGGCGTCGAGTGAGCGGGAGGCGAGCGAGCGAGGCCTGCGCGCCTGTGTGTTGTGGGGCAGCCCAGCCACCCTCTCGGCTCCCCGCCTCCCGCCGTCTAGCCCAGAGCCGCGTCGCAAGGCCGAAGCGGCGGTGAGGAGGCGGAGGGCGCCTTCTTCTCCCCTCCCCAAACGACGACCCTCTTGACCCGCCTCTCAAGCTCGGACCGCTCCGGTGGGGGGCAGAAAGGAAACCCCTTGGCCAGGAGGATGACGGGCCCCCGACGAGGGTGAGTGGGGCGCGGTGTGTGGCGGCGGGGAAGGAGGGGAGATAGGTGAGGGAGGCGACTAAATGGCGGCGGGGGAAGGTGTGGAGTCCGCAGGCAGGCCTCCCTCGGGTTTCGCCCTCCCGCCTCCTCGTCTGAAAGGGGAGACGTGTGGACGTGAGTGCCTTTGCTTCCCCCTCGCAACCGGTGCAGAGGAGGCCTGGCCGGTGGCCCTGACGGAAAGGCTGCCCTCCCCGTCTTGAATTTAATAATACATTTTTATTTGTACCCCCACCCATCTGACTGGGTTGCCCCAGCCACTCGCACGATAAAAGGTTAAAACTTAAGAAAGGCTTCCTTAAAGCGGGTGGTGCGCACCGTTCAGCTCGGTGGGATTCACTCCGGATTAAGTATAGGATCGGGCTGCTGAAGAGAAGCGAAGTCGGCCGGCCCCGGAGTTCTTGGTGTCGACAGAGAATCGACGCCTCCAATTCCACCCCCCCCCCAAAAAAAAGCGGGCCGCTGTGTCTCACTACATAACTTTTAAAAAAATAAGTCCCAGGTTTAACTAATTAAATAACTCGGCCTGAGCTGTTTGCTAGCCGTGGAAATGGCCAGCTAACAATAGATCGTTTCCATTGCTGCTTCTCTTCTCTGCCTGCTACCATTTGGAGAAGGGGGTCTTTTTTTCTTTTTTGAGGGTCCTGGGATTGGTCGTTTGCTAGGAGCCTTTTGGCACTTTTAAGTTGCCCTTTCTCACCTTTCCGTTTCCGATCTTGGTGTAAGTTTTTGCGCTTGGTTGTCTTCCTGGAGTGAGTGGTGCTACTTACTTAGGGGAGAGGCCCTTCATTTGTAGTGTTGATTTTTAATTAACAGAATTACTTAATATCCTTTCCACTGCAGCCACCAAAATAAGCAATAAATATTAAAGGAGTTGATAGCCGTCATAATTAGAAGTGTTAATCAAGCTCCAGTAGTGCGGTGTGTGCTACTTTTCTGCAGTGTATTCAATATTACAGTGACTAGGTAACTCAGTAGCAGTTGCAGTTACTTCTTGGCACATTTGACTTGGTTGGAAATAAGATCAGTGGGCCTTGGTTCCAAGCAGTGGACTGCTAGTTTTTGAAAAATGAAATTTTATAAAATGTAAAGTATAAATCTCCTACTAAAATGAGTACAGCAGTGCAGTTATGGCTATGTCTACTCACAAGTCCTTTTGAATTCAATGGGGCTTACTTGCAGGATTGCAACCTCAGTGTCCTCTAGAAGTTTTAGGTTTTAGGTTTTGGTGTTTGAATGTGGTGGTTGTAGCACCTGTTTTGTTCAGTCACATATCCAGGAATAAATTAGCTTTAATGAGGCAAGACATTCATTTGTGACTAGCTGTTTTTTGTTTGTTTTTTTGTATGGTGAAAATTGATACATCTGGTTTGATAAGTCCAGTATGATGATATATTCATTGGTTCTGTAAAAGGTAAAAAAAAGTAAAAGAAATGGGTTGGTAATGTTGTTGTTGTTGTTGTTTAGTCGTGCCCGACTCTTCGTGACCCCATGGACCAGAGCACGCCAGGCACTCCTGTCTTCCAATACAGTTCTGTAAAATGAAAGTTCTGTGATACAAGGAAAGAAAATAGTTTATAATAGACAGCTATTGTAGCTAAATGTTTCACAAGTATGTTCTAAATCATTGGATAGCCAATCTGCAACATGGGTTCCAAAAGTGGTTCAGGAAGTGGGATGTTGAGATGTACTTGGGTCCTTTTGCCCAGTTTTGGCATTTCTGTGCACTTCTGCCTCCCTGCCTAGCACTCACTCTTTAGACAAGAGGTGGAAAGTCCACCAAGTGAACTTGTTTGTTGGTTGGCCACCACTGTGTTAAATTCACTGTAGTGTTTTCTTTTTACATTTTGTCATAACAATTCATGTGAATTAGAACTCTCCGGTTAGTTATGTTTATGAGAGTTTAACAGGTGTATTTTCTATTCCAAATACATGACTTGACTTGCAGATGCCTTGAACTGGCACCACACCAGAAGTCCTGATCCTAGTTCTCTGTTATATAGGATTTAAAAATCAATGTGAAGTTAACAGAGAAGACAATTGCATTTATTAAGTTTGGGTCCTGCAGTTCTTGAAATATACTCCTCCAAGCTCAAAACAAATTGGTGCAAAAAACCCCAAACTAAATCCACACAGTGGATTCAGTTGTTTGAATGCTAGATCAATATATTTTGTGATTTATTCATATTTAGACTGTAATGCACAAATCTATGAAAAGCATTCATACTAATTACACTCCTTCACACTAGACTTGGCTGTGCCCAGTTAATTTGAATGTAGTTTGCCTCCAAGTAAGTGAATTAGGGTTATATATGCCTAATAGTTTAAAGATTGCAGCTTGGTTCCTTGAAATTAAATAAGGTGTTGAGGGTTATTGTTCTGCTTTTCATGCATTTAGCAACTATGTTCAATTATTTGAACTGTGTAAATACTACATCACATCTGTGTATCTTTTCCTTCGTTTTAAGAAGCATGAGAGTTTTTGTATTGATCTGATATGTAAAAGGGCACCTACTGTAGTTGCCTTTGCCTAAGGCTTGGTTTTGATACATGTTGTTTCTTGTATGTGAAGGCATGTTGTTCAGATGGCCAATACATATCATTAATTTTTGAACGGCAGTTTTGTGAATCAGTTCCTGAGAACCACTGTGAATCCCAAATTCTAATAATAAACTCAGTTCTCTTAAGTGTGGATACTTTAGGTAGGCCAAACAGCACCCACCTGTTTACAAGAGGAAGGTATCAGCAGGCTTCCAGGGGTGGAGAGGAGCCAAGGTTTGGTGAGGCATTATTCCATTAGCTCAAATGGGCCTGGGAAGAAACCCCCGAAATAGCCCAATGAGGACTGAACATGGTCAGTGGATAGTCAGTGCTGGCTAACAGGGGTGGTGATGAAGAAATGAAATGGAGCATTCTAGGAGAATCGTTGTTCAGGTCAAATCCTGAAAAGGAGTACCCCTATGCTGAAACATTTTGCTGCGGGGCCTTAGTTTAAGTCTTTCTGTCATCTTATGATCACAAAACTAGTGTTCTTACATTAAATATATACTGTAGAAAATGAAGCTTTCTTACTGCAGAATGTTAGCTTCTTGACAATAACTTTCAAGTGCACAAAGTTTTTTAAGGTATAGTTATTGAAAGTTCTGAAGAAGCAGTGGAGTGAGATCTTAAAGGTTAAACATGTTTTCTGATGGAATGTTCTGACTAGCATTGTTTTGGGCCTAAATTGTGCGTTCTGAATTTGCAACTCCTTCTGATAAAGCTCCCTCTGAAGCAGGATAAAAGTTAGGCTGAAAGTGTGTGTGAGAGAGAGATTAAAGGTATTTTCATCATAACAAAAAGAAGATTAAGGGGGTATGTTTTTGAAGGTTATCCTCAAGACTAGTTTGCAGGTCAATGGGTTTTAAGGAGAAGAAAGATATATTCAATATATAATTGGTAAAACTTCGTAAGCTTTGGAGCAAGTTGCCTGCTGCAATGTAACTTTATGTTCTAGCAATGTAACTTTATTCTAAACAAATTCACTGAACTTGGTGTTTTTTAGTTTTTTAAAGTTCCATCATTTCAGTTGGGCTACTTGGAATACTGTACTTCATGAGTAAAATATGTTGTTTATAGTTCATTCCTACACATATTTACTCAGAAGAAAGTCCCAGCATGTTTAATAGAGCTTACTCCCTAGTAAATATGTCTAGCTAACACACATCCCAGATAATAACTGTCATTGAACTTTGAGGACCTAATTTTCACATAGACATGTGTAGGATTGTGCTGTTACTTCTCTCATGTAATATGTACCATATATTAATTAGCAGTGTATACAGTGGTACCTCGGGTTAAGAACTTAATTCATTCTGGAGGTCCGTTCTTAAGCTGAAACTGTTCTTAACCTGAGGTACCACTTTAGCTAATGGGGCCTCCCGCTGCCGCCACCCACACGATTTCTGTTCTCATCCTGAAGCAAAGTTCTTAACCCAAGGTACTATTTCTGGGTTAGTGGAGTCTGTAACCTGAAGCGTCTATAACCCGAGGTACCACTGTATAAATATTTGCCCACTGATGTTCTTAAATTTGAAGGTAATGAAAGTTGATCCATTAAAATCTATTACAACCTGCCACTTTTTCTTACCGTAGGCAGGTAGCAAGGGTCCTCAGGTAAGTAAATTTCTCTTGAGGATACTCCATGTGGGTAACACCCCCCATACAATCTAGGTACTTATCTTTGCTGTTTAAAGCCATGAGAGAAAGCACAGATAGTCCAGTCATTACTGGCAGTCTTGAAACATTAGCGTTATGCCACATGTGAGCAACCTATGAGGTACATATGACCCTCAGAGGCCTTCTGTGCAGTACCCATGGGTGTCCCAAGATGCCACTAAAATCCCACATTCCTCATCACAGCATTTCATTACTCACATTCATTGAGGGAGTTAGGCATGTGCATGCTCCCCTACCCATCAGTATTGTGCTTCTCTCATACTGCTTTCTGAAAGGCCCTGGGCTAAGTAGCTGCACAATTTGGGAGAGGGCTTTTGCAAGTAAGCTAAGGCTCTCCTTTTTTCGTAGCCTTTCTCATAGTTCAGAGCCACACTGCAAGCTGAGCTAGTCCACGTCTTTCATTTCCCCTTGTTGCCTTGCAGATCCCACCCAAATGGGAAAGGTTTGGCAGAGTGACTTGGTGCTCCTGATTTTTGTGTATGTGCATACCATATTTTTCGCCCTATAGGGCGCACCGGCCCATAGGACGCACCTTGTTTCTTTTGGGGGGGGGGAATGAATAAAAAAAATTATCCCCCCCGCCACGGGGCTGGGGCAGGGGAAGCCCGAGCTTCCTCCGACCCCAGCCCCCAGAACAGGCTGCTATCCGCAAGCCTTGCGACACCTGCGCGAAGCATGGGGCACCCTCCAGAGGGCACCCCGTGCTTCGGGCTGCAGGCTGCTGCCCGCAAGCCTTGCGAGCCTGCGGGAACTCCTGTCGGGCTTGCAAGGCTTGCGGATAGCTTCCTGAAGCCTGGAGAGCGAGAGGGGTCGTTGCGCACCGACCCCTCTCGCTCTCCAGGCTCCAGCGAAAGCCTGCATTCGCCCCATAGGACGCACACACATTTCCCCTTCATTTGGGATGCACCAATTGATGGGGTCGGTAGGTGTCTGTGAACAAGCATTGTGTATATTAAATATTATTAACTATATTGTGAACACTTTAATTTACAATATGGATATTTAATTCAACGTGTGGTTCCTAGGCTCTGTGTTGAGGTATTATTGCGGCCCATTTGTTCTGAGATATTGTACCACCATGATATGGATGGCAGAAAAGAGGTGTCTCCACCCACCATCAAAATTTGGCTCCCAACGATTTCCCCCTGTTGATTGTGCCTCTTAATCCTGAAAAATTTGCCCTCACCTGCTCTATGGGTTGCAGGAACAAAAAGAATGGATAATTGAGAAAAAGAGCTGTGTTGGTAGGGATGACAGATGCGCTATACTACAGAGAGAGAAGAGAGCGTGAATGGTATGCGGAAAGAAAAGGAGGGAAAGCTATTGGAGAAGTATTCAAAGAAGTAGTAGAACAGAGCAAAAAGGGACTAATAGAATAGGCTAAAAAGAAAACACTGTGTTAAAATAACAAGTGGCTCACCGAGGTATTGGTATGGTGTGCCCCTGCACTAAGTGTGAAGATTTGCTCCCAGGTAGTGTAGAGAACTGGCATTGGACATATCTTCATATTTCCTTGTGATAGCTCATTTTCAGCTCCTGTGTTTTGTTTTCTTTTTCCTCTTTTCTTTTGCAAGTAGACCAGAGGTGTCCAAACTTTTTTCAAAGGGGGCCAGATTTGATGAAGTGAAGGGCCGTGAGGGCTGACCAAAGTTGTTGAGCTTTTTTTAGGATTGAAGTTGTGGAGGTATTAGGCCCCCGAAACAGACTTTGGACACGCCTGAAGTAGACTGTTGTAGTGTGTTGTTACCTGCACACCAAGTATGAGGGGGAGGAAGTTATTTACCACCTGTATGCCATGGATGCTGTCAGTAGTGCTATTTTCTAGAAAAGAGGTGCCAGAACTCACCATGAATGCCTCCCTTGTTCTCTTATAATGGCAATGGCACCCACCTGAGAGGTGCCAGAACTGAGTTCCGGTGAGTTCCAGCTGCAAACAAGACCTGGCTGTCAGGTAGATGCCCTGGACACTTAGACAGTATGTTCCAGACAGAACTGCTCATTGGAAGGGTGCTGCGAGGTTGCTAAAGAATCACATTTTTACCAGCCACAGTATATAGTAATTGCATTATACCTGAGATACAAGCACTTCCCTGAGGGAAAACATTTGGCTTCCTTGCAACACATGAGCAACAACTGAACAGTTGTTGCGTTATAAACAGATGGCCTGGAAAAATTCCAAAGTGATGTCTGCAGTGTGCACTAGGGATTCTGGGATACATATCTGGGAATGCATACTTGTTTGAACTTCACATTTACTGTTGTTCACAGTACTGAAATTAAATTATCTAAAACCTAGGAAACCAGGGTGAGCACAAACCAGTTTGAAAATTAGTAATCACTAAGAAAGCAAACTGAAGTGTTAATAGTGAGTGGCAAACGGGTCAAAGGCAAGGTTGAATTCTTGATTTAAAAAAATAGTTTTGTAGGTGCAAAATGTAGATATCTGGCTTGATTATTCTAGATTATTCTTGAATCTTGTGTGAGTCACATCTGTTTAACCTAACAAGCCTGCTAAAGTTATTAGCTCACAAAGCAATTACTAACCCACCTGCCTACATATACCTGTATCTGGCCTAAAATAAAAATTAAAAGAACCAGTCTTTGTAAAGATTCCCTATCTAGTTGCTTAGAGACAATTCTTATTTGCAGCTGGGCAAGCCTAGGTTGGTTTGTTGTTTTTGCATGGTCATGATAGTGTGTATTGTGATATTCTAGGATTATACTTGTGTTCCAGAAATAGGAAAATATTCTGCTGCATACAGCAATGTGTTGCACTGCTCTAGAATCTTTGCTCCAAAAATAAGACTCATTTACATACTACTACATTACCAGCAAGTGATCAGTTCCACAACTGTTCCCGCAATACAGTATTAAGAAGCTGCTGTTTTAAAAAGGATTTATTAAATGTGAAAAACTTTGTTTCCTCAACCACAGATAGTTGTATGACTGCACACTTCTACTAATGGACCTGGTAGTAGATATGTTTAATTCAGAGCAAAGTGTATTGAGCTTCAAGTAGAAATGTAAGAATCCCCAGAAGTGCTCCAGTATTGCATAACTTAAAGCAATATGCATTTGATCATTAATGTGGCATATAATAAAAGCAGCAGCACATCTCCTCTGAAGTCTAGACTGTGATTTGTAATCTCTCTCAGAACGTGCCAGCTGAATCTTTCAGCCAAACTATAATTGACTGAATAGAACTATGAAATGCTTTCTGCAAAAAGTGTCAGTCTAACAGAGATTTTTGAGACTAGATTGATTTTAATCACTGAAAAAACAGATTGTGAATCAAATTTTCCATGTTAATCCATCTATTTCTTGAACAAGCACGCATACCATTTGGCTGCTAAAACAAAATGTTTTCTGTGTTTTTTGCAATGTAATAAAGTGGCCTAGCTATACTAAGCACTATGCAGCCCACATGCCCTTTGCACTACAGAATTTGTATGTGTTTAAAGACAGAAAGCCTTCACAGTTGCTAATGGTTTTATTTGACTTTATTAATAAGGACAATAAGCAAGAGCACTTACTTGAAGACAGCATGCTAAGAACTATTCAGAAGCAAGGGTTGGTAGTTAATAGAACAGCACTTCTTCAAAAAATGGGAAGTCTGTATCCAGGGCCTTTGACTCACCGTATAAACCTGTAATCTCTTATTCAGTTGGGAATAAAGTCAGTTGAACTCGATAGAACTTACTTCTGAGTGCAAATGTATAGGATTGCACTGTAAATGTTAGGGATGTGCATTGGGTTCAGATGAATCCTAGAATGAAGTGGACTGCCTCATACAAATTTTATGTTTGCCAGAGGTAAAGCTCTTTCTACAAGGTGGCTTGCATTGAAGCAACAACTTTGCCTTAGAAACCTAGACAGTCGCTAAAAATAATATGGACAAGTAGCTGCTGAAAGCAATGGTATTGTTGCTAAGCTTACTATAATGTCAAGCTGGTTCAGACCTGGCCTTGGAACTGAATCAGACTTGGTCACCCTAATGGGTGACTTTTATCATGAGAGAAACATGGGAAGGAGTGTGACCTTGTTATTTCTGCTCAGTCTCTCAGTGGCTTTTGATAGTGGCTTTTGATACTTTTGACCATGGTATCCTCCTGGACTGACTCAATTGGATGGTTATCCAAGGCATTGTATTACACTGGTTCCATCCTTAGTTTCAGGGCTCCTGGCACCTGTGTTAGAGAGTTCTGCATCTTTTCATAATAGTTAGCTGATTTCTGATTTTAAAATTTTGCATAGTTTTTATTGTATGGTTTTATGGGTGACTGTTGTAAACTATTCTGAATTTTTTTTTAATGACTAGCAATATAGATAAATTGTTCCAATATAGCTTTTTATTTTATTTAGATGCATTAAAATTTGATAATTTTACTTAATAAAATACAGTTTGCTGTCAGATACAAACTGTTTGATAATATGCATAGCCTTATTACTCCAAATAAACCCCTAATTTACATTTTGTAAACTGGGGTGGATATGTTAAGCCCCTAGAGCTGTATTCTGCAGAAACTATGGCTCTCAGTGTGGATTTTTAAATGCTCTGTTAATGAATTTTAAAGCAGTATTAATCAGGTTACTTCTTGACTTCCACACTCTTAATAGTGCTTTTCCAGGTCACACCTTTTTTTAATGTGAAACTATTATGCTGAAAAATTTTCTGGCATAAGGAATTAGAAGAGAGAGTGTAAATTAAATTGTGGAAAGTCAAACAACAGATGTCAGCTTTGAAGTCTGAGATTGTCCAATAAAAATAAACTAGAAGAAAGGGAATCAAAATGTGGAATTAAACATCTGCTTGGCAGCTGTGGATATCTGTCTGTCTTAAATTCTAAGATGTGGCACATTGCACTTTCTATTTCTTTACATTTATATTCCATCCTATTTTGAAGGTTTACAATCAAACTATAAATTTCCATTTAACTGTCTCCATTGTTTCTTTCACCTTTTGCAGTGCAGCCAACCCAACCATTATGAGCCCTGCCAGTCACAGTGTCCTTTCCCGTTCTCATTCCAAAGCTTCTGTGATACTCAATACAGTGGTACCTCGGGTTAAGAACTTAATTCGTTCTGGAGGTCCGTTCTTAACCTGAGGTACCACTTTAGCTAATGAGGCCTTGCGCCGCCACTGTGCGATTTCTGTTCTCATCCTGAAGTAAAGTTCTTAACCTGAGGTCCTATTTCTGGGTTAGTGGAGTCTGTAACCTGAAGTGTCTGTAACCAGTGGTACCTCTGGTTACAAACTTAATTCATTCTGGAGGTCTGTTCTTAAGCTGAAACCCTTCTTATCCTGAGGCGCGCTTTCGCTAATAGGGTCTTCTGCGCGCGCGCGCCTCTGGTGCACGATTTCTGTTCGTATCCTGGGGCAAAGTTCGCAACCAGGAGCAGCTACTTCCGGGTTAGCGGAGCTCGTAACCTGAAGCGTTTGTAACCAGAAGCGTCCGTAACCAGAGGTACCACTGTACAAGAAACCCAGCTCCCAATAAATGTATATCTACTATCCCCAACACTTCCTGTCTCTTAACCATGTAGCCTGATCTTTCCCTCATCAAACCCAGTTCCCTGAGGGTAGCTACCTAAATGCCCACAGGGATGCAGCTTCCAAATGCACTGACTGCCCAGTGTTAGAAACTGAGATATGAAAGCTAGGAGCTAAATGGTACCTTAAGCCTAGGTTATGGGCATAGCAACAGAATGTCCAGGTGCACTTTTTCATAACAAGAATGCAAAGCTGAAAATGAATGAACTGCAGCTAAAAGATTATGTTCATTTTTCACTTGGTCTAGTCCTTCCCCTGCCCAGCCCCCTAATATTCTTAGGAGGGTCTCTTCTCTAGTCTTCCAAGAGTACATTGAAGTGGGGAGGACTAGACCATGTGTTCCATTCAAAGTTATATTATGTTGCCTTTCAGGGTAAGCAACTAATTCCCCTTATTAGGGGCTCCTGGAAGACACCCTGGGTACAGATTGAGTCTTCCCCTCCATCTCTTTCTGAGACTGTCCAGGGCAGCACTGAGGAAAATTTGTAACCTCTTCTTGAAAACAACCCTTTTGACATGGAGTGAGTGGAGTTTGGTTTGGGCCCCGGGTGTGCCACCGCTCACCTCAATATTGGATCACGTTGCTTTAAATATCAGCAATTTCAGGCCTGGGAATCTAGGGGAGTCTATAGAATTAGTGACGTACTATATGGAGAACAAGTAATTAAGAAGGAGGCTGTCATTGTGCTGCTGTTGGGTACATTGTTTACATGGTTGTAGCTGCCTCAGGCATGTTCATTTGCAGCAAATCCCTATGGAAGGGGACAAATCTACAAGATGGGGGACCAGCCTCTATGCTTTATAGCAGGGGTCAGCAAACTTTTTCAGACCTTAGAGGGTGGACAGCAGACTATATTTTGAAAAAAGAAAAGTAAAGAACGAATTCCTATGCCCCACAAATAACCCAGAGATGCATTTTAAATAAAAGGACACATTCTACTCATGTAAAAACACGCTGATTCCTGGACCGTGCGTGGGCCAGATTTAGAAGGTGATTGGGCCGGATCTGGATGAATCTCCAAATGCATGAGTAATATTACATTTACTGATACTTTCCTTGCTTCAGTAGTAGTAGTAGTAGTAGTAGTAGAAGAAGAAGAAGAAGACATTAATTTAATTAATTAATTAATTAATTAATTAAAATAATATTTATATCTCACCCATCTGGCTGGGTTTCCCCAGCCACTCTGGGTGGCTTGTGGTACATATAAAAACATAGTAAAACCTCAAACATTAAATACCTCCTGATACAGGGCTGCCTTCAGATTTTTTCTAAAAGTCAGGTAGTTGTTCATTTCCCTAACAGCTGATGGGTGGGCGTTCTACAGGGAGGATGCCACTGCTGAGAAGGTCCTCTGCCTGGTTCCCTCTAGCTTCACTTCTCGCAGTGAGGAAACTGCCAGAAAACCCTGGGAGGAGGACCTGAATGATGGGGTGGAGACACTCCTTCAGGTATACTGGGCCGAGGTTACTTTGCTTTGTGCAGGTTTGTAACTGAAATAAGTCTGTGTGCTGTTTGTAATGTTTAATGAAAATAATAAAATTCTCTTTAAAAAAATCTTATTCCTAGCCCTATTTTCCACCCACCCACAGTGACTTCGAGTGGAAAAAATTCCACTGTTATATTTTTCTGTGCAATATTTTCCATTCCTAAAAATACATTTTCCCCATAAAATTAATCATTAACATAATGAATCAAATAGCTGCTAGTTGTAATGTTGTAATTAACGTTTTCCAGATGATTGTCCCTAGGAAGTACTTGCACACAGACCTACATACAATTTCAGTACCTTAACTTTTTCTTAAACTTTAACTAACATACCCTAATAAAAACAAATTCCAAACAAATTGCTACCCAAGTGTGCTTTATTGATCCCCGCCCCCACTCAGATAAATTTAAATGCTTCTGGTTTTTTGTAAAATATTTAATATTTATGCAGCATGCAAAATGAACATTGAATACTTTTGATTAAGGTTTGTTTACCAAACAGAAATAAATCTGTCACATCACCCCTACTCCCAAGTGACTTAAGTTTAAGTTGAGTAAAGTGAGCTAAAAGTTGACAATCAGGGTGCTATTAAAGAAGCAGGAAGCAAAGAAATAAAGGAGAAAGTGAGAGCTGAGAGACAGGTTTTGCTTCCTCACCCACTCACTTGCATGTACCTGTCTGCCTCTGTGGCTCAGGAGCAAAGTAGGTAGAGACAGAAGCAGACAAGCAAAAGAAAAAGGGATCGCTTTGTTTTCTGCTCACCCCCTGCCCCCACAATTCAAGGAAAAAGAACAGGGGCAGCTGATTGGGAGGGGGCAATAGGTTATACCTTTTGCTCCTTCCTGAGTTGCAGCTGCAAAGCTGAACCATAGCTGGCCTGAATCACATATTATGAATATGATTTTGCAAGGCAGTGGTGCACTGAAGCTGCTGGGTGTTTAAGCAGCAGCTATGGCTATAGTACCTTAGTCTGGGACTGGCGCTCATTGCCAGTGCAGTGACCACAGATTAGAGCAGAGAAAGAAAAATCATTTTTGCCTGGACACTTCTATACTATACTGGCATGCCAAATATTTCAAAATTTTAAATATTTTTAGGATTACAGCCCTCAACCACTTCTAATGGATTACTCATATCAGTTTTGAATTAAATAACTGATGAATCAGTTAAATTTGTGTATGGGAAAAACATTATTTCTGAAGCATGAAACATGTTTACTTAATTTTTAGAGATGCACACATTTGTCCTTGTAGGCATAATCTTGGTAAAGGCATTCCTCCTGTGGTTGAGAGAAGGGAGAATGCCTCTGAATAAGTTGGTTGGCACCTGAGGTTTTTATAAGCATTGGAAATTTAAAAAAAGTCCTGCTGTCCAGTTTGATTAGGGGCATCCTTTTAGTTAATCAATATGTTATACTGATTTTTTTTTTAAAAAAGCAAGTTCCAGCCATTGCTGTGACCCAGGCCAGTGGCCCATCAATTGGGTTGTTATGAGAAATGTTTCTAGCATGTCAGACTGTAGATTAAAATTATTTTGCTATAGTGCTTTGCCTTCGCTTGAGAATTTGACATCTAACCAAATGTATCAGGATATACTAGAAAACTTCTTTGTTCATATGATTTGACTTGCAGTCTATCTTCTGTTCTAAAATCCAAATGTGCTTCCTGAAATGCTCATGTGTGTGTGTGTTTGTGTGTGTGTGTTTATTTGTGAAGGCTAAAATCTACTTGGTATTTGCAGTGTATAAGAATGGCATGGGAGGGGGGAATTTAACACTAACATGATTTTTCCCCACATTAAGGTTAGAGTCCTATAACCACTTAACTGGGAGTAAGCACTGTTCAGTATTCAGTTCAATGGATTTTGCTTCTGAGTTAGGCATAGGATTGCACTGTAAAATAACTTTTATCAAGGAAATACTGGCTCAGTAGATAGTGTCAGGAGCTCGTCCTACACTCGAGCAGGACCCTGGTAGAGACACATGCCTGATTGGCATGTTCTCTCCCTCCTGGTCGATTGTTTGGAAGTGTCAAAAGCTTTCTTCTGCCCGAACATCACAGTGACCGATGCCAACAGACATCGGCACACTTAGGGATCTGCAGAGTGTTCGCAGTTTGCGTAACAGAACTCAGCAACTCAGTATTTTGGCTAATCAACATGGCTCCCTCTCTCTCTAGCATCGGACAGCAAAAAGAAAGAACAAAGGACAATAGTCCCACTTCACGGAACACAGTAACACAAACATCCTGTCTCCGTCACTTCCCACACTGTGGAGTTAAAACATACCCTGTCATGTGAAAGACAACAATCCCATGACTGCAATCACGGAGCAGGAATTCCAACAGATAGTAGGTTTGCCTATGTTGCACATGAGGCCTGCAGAGAGGTACAACTGTGAAAGAAATAATCTAAAAATACATTGCTGAAATGTTATACATGAGTGAGCAAAAAGGGATGAGAGGAATCAGCTTTACAGAAAGCCGTTGTATCATTGCCATCCTGTTTCATTGGGTCATATACTGTGTCTATCTGGGTGGCAGGGTTCGAAATTAGCACGGTGCCAGGCCTAAAGATTCGTGCCTAAAGACTAAAGATTCTTCATTTGTGAGCACCTCAAAAAGGCTGGGTACCATTTTTGTGTGCCTGGCTGACACTCAAGGATTACTGAAATGCATGTGCTTTGAAGCCTCGAAGTATATGTTAAGGATAGACAATATGTTAAGGAGTTTAACAATAAAGAGTAGAGTGTTTTGAAAACTGTAAACATAATTTCTACTAAAATGCGATATTAACAATGTGTCATTTATGTGAATTGTGTATTAGTTTGTGCTTATCAATAATGAATAAGAAATGTTGCTGCCCCCCCCCATGGCAACCAGACATTCTGTTTTGGTGCCCACAGGCTCCTAGCTTTTCTACTCCAGTTTCTAACACTGCTGGGTAGTGATTATACTCCAATTTTATACCAGCCAATTGAGTTTTAGATTGAAACCCGGACATGAGCACCTACTTCCCATCCAGGCAGGGGTGGGTGCTCACTACCAGCTATTGCTCTGGAAAAATTCTGGGGACTGAGACTTCAAGTAAAGGACCCTGAGTGCCCTTGCTCCTGTAAGTGTGCATGGTCTACTTCTAAAGTGTGCTGTCAGATACCTATGGTTTTATAGAGTGGTAAATAAGTAAGTGTGATATGCAGCACATGCTCATCAAGAATTCTGAGAGGGCCCACCTGAACTCTGTTTACCTTCCTCCTGCACATGCCCAAGCTCACATATGTGTGCTGGCAGTGTGTTCGGACATTAGGGGAAATAAAATCTGCACAAACATCCCATCTCTACCTCTGTCTGTTGTGAGAGAGTGAGAAGGGCTTCAATGGAGTGATACTGAAGGATGTCCAGCCACTTGGCAATGGAAATGCACTTGTGCAACTGGATTTCTGGTTTCTCTTCTTTCTCATCCAGCTCCCTGCACACACCCAAAATCTGCTCCAGACGATCCCCCAAGACTCAAGAGCAGATTTTGAAGTTGTGGGGAGTTGTAGTGGGGAAGAAAAGATGAAGGCCTGTTGTGTGAGTGGGTATCCGCTCATGACCTCATTCATGGTTATAAAATCAATCGGCATGTTTATAGAAGAGATACCTGAAATATCTCATGGGAGCCAGTGTGATCTAGTAGTAGTGTGTTGGACTATAACCTGGGAGACCATGGCTTGAAATTCCACTCAGTCATGAAACTCATGGAGTGACCTTGGACCAATCACAGTCTCTCAGTCTAACCAACCCTGCAGGGTTGTTGTGAGGATAAAATGAGGAGGGGAAAAACTTTGTATGACATCTTGACTTCCTTGGATGAAAAGTGGGATATAAATGTAATAAAGAAATAAACGTTTGTTTGACCTAGGTTTAAATTGATTCATTTTAGTAGTGTTAGTGATAGATTCTCCTAGATCATTTTATCCTATATAGTAGTTTTAATCAGTCTTACCCATTCCTGCTTCCAAAGGATTCTAAGTATGGCTGTCATAGGAGAAAAGGAGGACATTTGCAGGTGCATAATATCTCCTCTACCCCAAGATACTGCTCGGTCATGATTCATGTGTTGTTCAAGCTGAGGTAACTACCCTCACTTCCTTCTCAGATCAGATAAAGATATAAAGGAAAGGAAAGGCAGTAAAACACACTTTTTAAAGAAAATGTTTCCCAATTAAGGAATGTATTCAATGCTGCATGAACAACCTCCAGTCACACAACAAGGTCTTCCCTTCTTCTCTGGCCATGCAACCCTCAAATCTATATCAGAGGTACTACAATGGTCTGGAGCAAATTTTGAAGTGCAGGGGAGAGGAGGGGAAGGTTACATTGCACAAATGGAGTAGTAGCATTGGATACAGTCCATAGTGTTTAAACTACTCTTTACACTTGGTAATGTGAATTGGGCTGCTCTGCATGAACCATCTTTGAGTGCAATCAAACCAAGTTTAGCTGTTTAAACAATGCAATCCTATGCACATGTACTGTACTCAGTTGCAAGTCCACATTGGTTAAAAGGATTGTAATGTATGCCTTAGGCAAGCATCCTGGCGTAGATAGTTCCTCTCTCATTGCGACCCTCCAAATTTCACTTAAGCTGGTAACAAATCCATGAAACAGAGGCCACCTCTGCCTCCCAAAGCACTCCCAGATAAGGGACTGTAGCACTGAAGCTTAAATCATGTTAGAATCAGAATAACCAAAGGAGCTTAGCTTGGGATCGATTATACCCTCTTTTATTAGTTGCTATACTAGAGAAGCTTACTGCTTGCTTAATAGATTTTTATTACTGTACTGGTTACTATTGTGTTGTTTTATATAGCTGTGGTTCTGTCAGCTAAACCTGTTGTCATTGACCGTGTTACAGAAGTAACAAAGGGCATTCTCATTTTTTCATGAAGCGTTTAATCCATATTTGCTTACTGCTGCTATGGAAAAGACAAGTGTATCAGTAGAGAAGCCTCCTTAGGTTGCATGTTGTTATATTTATAGCACAATAGATCCCTGACATGGTTGAAGTTTGAGTGCTTTCCATGCATCTCTGCCAATGCATCTGTTTTCTCTTAATTTATTTTCAAAGATGCCAGAATGAGTGCATGGAGACTATTTTGCCTAATAAAGCAGAGACATTATGAAAGTGCATAAAGGATGCTGTACTGTTGCTTTTTCATAGTGGTAATGTGAGCTGAGACTATAGCTAGGGCTTTGTATTGCTTCATTCTTTGGTGAAAATCAAATGCTGATTAGGATGCCAAATAATTTTGACATTAGTCTTCTGATGCTACATTTTTTCAGTTTAACATATCTTCCATATTAATTTAGTGTTCAACAGTAGGAGATTTACTGGGGGGGGGGTAATAAGTATTTCTGTATCCCTGTCCTTAAAGCTTATTGTCCTATAGAGAAATGCTGGCTCATCAGAACATTGCCAGAGTAAGGTTTTCCCACCCATGCCTGTCACAGTGTGAATCAGCCTTCCTGGACTTGGGAAGTCGTGGAAGAAACTGGAAGTAAACACTAGAGAAACTGGAAGTAAACACTGACAAAGAGCTCCCTGTTGTATGGGAGGAGTAAGCTTTGCTTGGGCTAATTCCAGCTAACATATACAGCACTGAACCATAGTTTAGTGTTACATGTGAACCCAGCTGGTGTATAACAAACATAAGTGACTCTCCACTTCGCGTTTGTTTGAGACACATTGACTATACCATACAATAAGATGCTCTCTTCTCCCCTTTTGCACTCCCAGTTCCCCCTTTCAGTTCTGTGTTCATGGTAACTATAATTTACCTTTATGTCTGAATGAGGCAAGCTATGGTCACTGTGAGCCATTGTTTACTTTCAAACCAAAATGAGAAACCATTGTTTGAACTGAGCTTGTAATGCTGGTTTGCAGGCAAACTGATTAGATTTAACAGCACACTGTAGTTACCCTGAACCTGGATGGGAGAGAATAAAAGTACACAAACCTGAGGTACATCCCAATAACCAAACCATATAATATCTGAACCAAGTATCTGTACAGAACTTAAATGGAGTTTGCTGTGGCTCTTATAATGGTTAATGTACTAATGGACTGTAAAGAGCGGTATTGAAATTGTTATGTAATTGCAGCCATGTCCAGGAATCATTTGCACAGTTTGCTTATTTGTATTGGGTGCGTGCCATTTATATATACACAGTATAACCAATAACAAATCCATTTTACTGTTTGCATCTTGGTTATTCCCCTGTAATTGGTAGAATATCCATTGCATCAAAGAAGACAGCAGCCTCCCTAGAAAGCAGAGCAGAGGAAATCTTCAGAATATAAGTGACTTTAATGACAATTGTTCAGCTTAAGCAAAAAAGTAACGCATGTAGACAACACTGCAGATAATTCAAGATATGAGCTACACTATCAAGTGCTGTGGATCACAGACTTTAATCGTAAACAAGTTCCACTGAAATCAATAACATTTCTGAGTAAACATTTTTAGCATTGTGCTATAAGTTTATTGTGAAACTAAGATGCCTCAATTCCTGAAAACAGACATACATCAATAGATATCCTTCAATAAATGTTTCTAAAATTCTTCTTTAAAAAAAGAAAAGAAAAAAAGCTTAAAACTCCTATTATTTCCCGCTTTCAGCAGAATAACTCTATGAACCAGTGCTGAGATGCCATTTTAAGAGGTTAAATTACTTTCTAAATGTTGCTGTGAAGCAGAAGGGAAGGGAAAAGATCAAGTTACTCATTCTTCATTCCAGAGCCTACCACTACACTTGAAGGCTGGAGACATGCTGGCTAGAATACACAGTTGCCAGTCGTCTTTAGCCCTGCCCCCACTCAGGGGAAAGACCAAAAGAGATTTTCTTTAAAGGGGGCCTGGAAAGGGAAAACAATTTTTCTTTTCTCCAGGATTTTTTAAGTGCAGCTGCCATATCATCTACTATGCTGATCATATAATCACAGTTGTCGTGTTTTTAGTTATTACTTCGCCAAATGTTACTTTTATACGCGTAAGAAAGTTTTGGTCCCTTTACTTTTTTTTCAGGGTGAACATAAACTAACCTAACTAGTTGATAACTGTGTGCACGAGGTGGTACTTTATTCTTAATTCTGTGTTCCGTTATAGAAAGAATGGAGGAAATTGCTTGTTGACTTTCTCTCACAAGGCTGCATGCACTCTTACATAAAGAAATGAACCACTAGTAATAGTTACACATTGACGTGTATTTTCTCTTTATGCTCAAAAAGCTCTTCAGCTCAGTTGTAATCAAATGAAGCAGGAAAGGCTTGTACCTTTTCCTTCTCTCCCTCAATATTTTTCATTGCAGTCAGGACAGTATGCTCCTGTCCTGGCCACGTCCTGTAAGAACATACCTCTTAATGGTGGAGAGGAGGCTGCAGGAGGGTGGGGTGGGAGGAGAGAGACGACAGCTTAATCAGCAAGGGTCATACATTTTGGGGGGTTGATTCAGAGAGGCAGGCATGGTGATCAGATGGTTACGTTTATTACAATATTGCTGGTTTCCCATAGCTGATCAGGGACATTGGTAGGAAAAGAGTTGGTCTTGAGCACAGCTTATGATGCAAGCAAAATAAGAGCAATGGCAAATCATGATTTTTGTTTCTCAAGAGGCTAAAGTTTCCCATTATGCCAATAACTGCCACATCTTTGACTTCTCCCTTTTCAGACACATTTATGAGATTGATGTGACCATATGAGGATTAATATATATGGGGCAGATTATGAAACAAGGGTGGGGAAGGCACATCAATCTAAGTTTATAGGAGCTGGTGATTGAAAGATGTCTGCCATTCACCTGGAATTTGGAAACACACAGATGGTGGTTCAATCAGTTTAGTTGGGAGGGGAGGAGGAATCTAGTTCAAATTATTTGTGTGATGCACCACTTGCCTTTAATCTTGGGACTACATAAGCAAATGCACAATTTTATCCATGCAGTTAGCTACTTAAAAATCAAAGGTTGCCTTACATAAATACATTTGTAAGAAATATGTCTAACTTTAATGGAACATTGCTAAAAAATTTCTCTCAACTTTTTGTGTTTATACTAGGTCAATCATTATTATAGCTAGTAATACCTGCCTTTAAAATAAATAAATAATGTTTTGCATGGCTATTTAGTACATTGAGTTCCACAAAGATGTGATGTTAGTTTGCAGACATGCAAAATATGGAATTTCTATTTTTAACTCATGCAGTTAGTTGTATGCATGCAACAGAACTGTGAAAAAAAGAATGATACCTCTGATCAGTTTATTGCTAGTTAAAGATGTAGTGACTGAAAAGTCTGCTTTTATTATACTCCAAGTGTGGATATACACAAGAAGCACTGTGTAAAAGTCTCAGCCAGATTGAAATATGCGTGTTTCTGAGATTTCTCTGACCATTTCTTTCTCAAGTTGCGAGTTGGAAAAAAGGCTCTCGCAGTTTTTAGCAAAGTATTGTCACAGACTGCTGTAACTGCTTGTGGTCCTGCAAAAATTCTATAGTCTTTTAAAGTCGTTGGCTACAGTATTTATGTGAAGTACAGTGGTACCTCGGGTTAAGAACTTAATTTGTTCCGGAGGTCCATTCTTAACCTGAAACTGTTCTTAACCTGAAGCACCACTTTAGCTAATGGGACCTCCTGCTGCCACCGCGCCACCACCATTGTGCGATTTCTGTTCTCAACCTGAAGCAAAGTTCTTAACCCGAGGTACTATTTCTGGGTTAGCGGAGTCTGTAACCTGAAGCGTCTGTAACCTGAAGCGTCTTTAACCTGAGGTACCACTGTAGCCCTATGATGGGATGTACACACACTATTGTAAAGTATTTAGTTTCTGTGTTTGGAAAAATTACAGAAGTAATGAAATTGGCATGTATAGTTAGTAAACAGCTTCTGAAACATCCCTCAGAATATGTAATCCATAGACATAACCACAGGAAAAATGGTGGGGATCAAGATGTCTTGCCATAATTTGGGGAAAGAGAATAATTGTGGCCAGTTCAGTTCAGTTCAGTTGCAGTATCTAGCCTGTAGTTTTTATCCCACAACAGATTCACATTTGAAAAACTTTCTTCCCCTATTTTTCCCCCTGGCAGTACTACAATAGCACCTGCTTCTTATATGAAGCCAACACAAGTAGTTGCTTCTCTTCCTAAAATCAGCCTTAAGGCATTGAAATTCCTAGGCAAGCATTTTTCTCCCTTGTTTACCCTTAATACTGGAGAGGTAGAATTGAGGTTTGATTCTTTCTGCATGCCTAAATCATGCAATCATGGAAATGGGTCTTAAGCAGATTTTTAAAACATGGAGAGGAATTCTTAATATTTTGGATTGGTAATCTTTTTTGTATTTTGGAGGAAAGAATAGATGAACTGAACTTGCTTATTAACAAATTAAGCGGCATGGTACTGTTGGAGCGCTCCTCCATCTTGATTGCTATTACTCCTCAAGTGGAAGAAGCTTCACTTTACTGTGTGTTATGTGCCCTCTGAACTAACACAGGCTGCTTTACATCAGTTCTGTTGTGAAGTTCATTGAACTTCCTTACAGCTCATTGAAGTTTGTGCCGCTCTTCCATGAAAGTCTTGTTGTTGTTGTTGTTTAGTCGTGTCCGACTCTTCGTGACCCCATGAACCAGAGCACGCCAGGCACTCCTGTCTTTCACTGCCTCCCACAGTTTGGTCAAAACCATGAAAGCCTATGGGTCCGCATTTCTGAAGCAGCCCTGCCCACAAGCCTGCATTTTCTTCTTGCAGAAGGTGATCAAGTCAGTGATTTTAGCTATAAGGTGGCAATAGGAGAGGGAGTTTGATCAAGGATTGAATCACTTCTGAAGTCTCATTGAGTGTGGGGTGGGGTGGGGCTTTGACTGGCCCCACAGTTTTCCACAAAACGTCTCAGGATTCCATCTGTTCTAAACCTTGGGCTTGTTTGTGGATGTTATTTTCGCACACATTGTGGCTGTGGGAAATTTAATAAGATCTCAAGTAGGACATGTAGGTTTGTCAGAAAAATGATATAGCAGATATTCTGTTGGTGTCAGTACAGCAAGAACCATGCTCCTATTTTCAGTGGTTTATATGCGTTCCAACAGACATTAACAAGATTAGTGAGATTTCAGCAAATGCGTAGGAAAAACACTTTATGTTTTGGCTTTACAATTATATTCTATAGTGTGTGGAAAAAAACAAGAATTTTCCAAATATAAAAAGAGTGTTTGATAAAGAGGTTTAATGTCAGCCTGTCTATTCAGCAAAGACTGCAGTCTTTAAGAACTGGTGTTATCTGATAGTTGAGTTAGTTTCGGGTTGCTCCATTTTACACAAATTTATTATTGATTCCCAAGGCCTGTTAAACCAGTGATAGGAATACTTACAAATGTGCATGGAGGCAGAAGCATTATGACCTTCTTGTAATGACAAAGGTTATTATGAAGCTTTGAGGTAGCAATCCTGAAACTTAAATTTTGAGGGCTGAGTGCTTGATTGTCTGCTCATGCCAAAGGCAGAACTGCACGTGTTAACCTTTGGAATTAGCTTGAGTCAGGCTCATTAGCTTGCTGTGTTCAGCTTAACCAGAACATTATGGACAATGTGGAAGTCTTTCTTTAGCACAGGACTAGGGAACCTGTGTCCCATCAATTGCTTTTGGACTACAGTTCTCATAATAGAATCATAGCAACCTGACCATTGACCACATTGGTGGGGGCTGAGAAGAGATGGTGACCAACAGCCTCTGAAGGACCACAGGTACCCAGGCCTTCAAGATTTTGAACTCTGCATGCTGACACAATGTAGTTGGACAAAAATCGACTTCAAAATCCTAAAGCACTAATGGGGCACCTGTGGTTCTCCATATGTCCCACTCCTGATTTAGGATTTAGAACCCTTATTTTTGCCCAGCTACATATCAATCATGTGCAACAGCATCATTTTTATGTTTGTAGTGTTTTTTAATAGTATTGAAGTAGCATAATTTATTGCATAGTCATGCAGCCTTTCTGGCAGCTGGTAGGAATATGCTGCAGGCCATGTTGCATTCCCACTGGAGGTGAAGAGCAACCATCAATTGGTGTCAAAATACGCTCGTAACTTTTCAGCTCTTTCACTTGATGGCATAACAGAAGGTGGGGAGAACATCTTTAGTGTTTTTGAAGTAGGCACATAACAAGCTACAGAGCCTTTGTGTAGACATTTTTCTCAGCTGCTTCTGCCTTCATCAGTGTTATGTTCGCGTGTGTGTGTGTGTGTGTGTGTGTGCGCGCGCGCACACACATATATTTCTGCAGGAGGCACAAGGAAGCTGTTTTTATACTGACCTGTAGATCTTAATGAATGGTTAGTCCTCAAATTTATTCCTGGTGCTGAACATGTTTGTGATTTTGCCATGGTCTCAACCTTGTGAATACTAGCCATTCCAAATGGAAATCTGTCATAAGATTTACATACAGTTTCACAAAAATATTGAAGCATGTACATGGACACTCTTAAAGATCTGAACCACACAAGAGTTCTGAACCACACAATAAGGGCTGAGAAAACAGAGCAGTGCCCTTCCATTTTACCCTTCTGTATTTCTGACAAACCTATCCATCTTGCTGGGGTGGGGAGGAAGTTTACAGTAGGTAGAGTCTGTGCAGAGAATTGTGTTCCTCTAAAGATTCAGCCCAGCATAATTATCCTACTTTTCAGGAGTGGTTTGCTATAGTTATACAAACCTACTTCTCAACCTCTTCCACTTCTCCCACACCCTATCAGCCATATAGCTGCTATACAGAGTCCAGGAGCCAGCATACTACCCCACCTTCCAAAATACGTATTCACAATGCAAGATTTCTCCTCTTAACTTAAAGCCAGCTTTGACCGTTTTAATCACTTGCCTTTCTCCATAGAACTGCTTTTTTATTTTATTTTTTAAAGAGACGGGAATGCAATTTTGGGGAGTGAATTGTCAAAATAGATCTTATTTATGGCAACAATTTATTTAAAACTGAGGGCCAAGCTAGGAACTATTACAGGTTCTTTAAGGCACTAGATCACATAGGAAACTGAGAGAATATTTAAATTCTTGAGTGATAGCATTTTTAGAAGCCTCAGCAACCAGATGGTTAAGATTCTTCCAGTCCTTCCCTAAGTTAACATAGTTACTACACCAAGTTTTATATCCCCACTTCAATTGTTTTTGTTTTTGACTATGCCAGGACTATAGAAGTCTGTTGGTTGTCATCCTGAATTATATACAGTTAATTGCATATGAAAATGGAGCCTGTATGTATGTAACACTTTGAAGAATTGTGTTGTTGTGCATCATTGCAGATGATGGCGAGCATCCAAATAACTACTTTAGGCATATCCAACAACTCAGGCATGCCTAGTGGGATTCATGGTGTTATCACAGACTGCTTTTGAAAGCCCCTTCAAAGTACTTTGCTACACAGTACAGAGAGGCTGTGTAGTGTTAGTTTGTGTTATTTGCAGACTAACGTTTATGCGCACAAATACTCTATAGCTGGTAGGATGAAACACATACACATCTTTTTAGTTCTTAAAAAGCCTGTTTGAAATTAAATTCCAACTCTTTTCCTGTCTTACAGCTTTAAAGAAATATGCATTGTTACAATTTTATTTTGGAATTGATGAAGTGGAAATACAGATGAAACAAGTTTGCAGGATATCAACTCTACAGCACCATTTCATCCCACTCATCAGCAAAAGGTAACAAACATCCATTCAAAAATGGGCTCAATTCAAATATAACATTCTTATGGGCTGTTGGATTAGAAATGTTAACTTTTATTTAAAGCACCAATATCAAAATTCTGGGGGAGGGGGGTCTATAATATATCTCCTGGTCAGATTCAAAGCTGCAAATAAACAAAACAAAGCAAAAAACACGAACCAGCCTTCCTTGCTGTGCTGGTTTTTTAGTCCTCACTGTAGCAGGAGGGCATGAGTTTCATTACAGGCACTTGAAACATAATTGACAATCAGCGTCCATTGTATTTCATATTTGAAAATGTCATATAAAATGCCTGTTGGCTCTCCTTGTTGGAGAGGCTGATTAAATCCCTTTTCAGACACTTTGTAAACTTCTAGGCAAACTATCAACCAATCCTACTGGTCAGAGTGGCTGAGAAGATCAAAAGGGATGGTGCCTTAACCCTTGGCAGAAAAATAATAGTTTAGCACAGGCTTCCTCAGCCTCGGCCCTCCAGATGTTTCTGGCCTACAACTCCCATGATCCCTAGCTAGCAGGACCAGTAGTCAGGGATGATGAGAATTGTAGTCTCAAAACATCTGGAGGGCCGAGGTGAAGGAAGCCTGGTTTAGCATATGATAGTTCAAAATAGTCTACCTCAGTTCAGATGTTTTTGATTGCTGTTCCGTTTATGGGGTAAAATTGGTCCAATATCTGATCTATCATTACATGCAGAAGTTTGTTCATGGTTGGACACATAATAATGAGTCTCAGCAGAAACTGGCCCAGATAGATGGACATTAGTATGTCATTGTTTAAAGCAGTGGTTCTCAAACTTTTTTCTCTGGACCACACCACACCACATTATTTTATTGATAAGAAGTACATTGCAAAACAAGAAGAATCAACTACTAGCAGTGCTTGATTTATCATATAGAAAACAACTACTTCATAACATGATCACGGGACATCCAGAAAGTGTGAAACAATGCAGCTACATAAGAACATGACTCATTTCCAAAATATAATTCTAAATGAGCCTCTTACACATGTACCGTATTTTTCGTTCCATAGGACGCTCCGTCCCATAGGACGCACCTACTTTTGGGGGGGGAAATAAAGGAAAATTTTTTTTCCTTTATTTCCCCCCCCAAAACCAGGTCGGGGACCAGTGGGATGGCGGCGCTGCGCCTCCCGTTGTCCCCGAGCTTGTGGGGCTGGCCGATGTCTGCCCGGGCGTGAGGGGCGCTCTGCTTCAGGGCGCCCCACGCGCCGGGCGGCAGGCTGCAGACACCTGCGCGAAGCACGGGACGTCCTCCGAGGGCGCCCGTGCTCCGCGCTGCAGGCTACCGCCCGCAGCCTTGCGCTCCCGGGGAGATCCCGGGTGCGCAAGGCTTGCGGACACCTGCGCAAGCACGGGACGTCCTCCGAGGGCGCCCCGTGCTCCGTGCTGCAGGCTGCCGCCCGCAGGCCTTGCGCTCCCGGGGAGATCCCCGGGTGCGCAAGGCTTGCCGACACCTGCGCGCGAGCACGGGGCATCCTCCGAGGGCGCCCTGTGCTCCGCGCTGCAGGCTGCCGCCCGCAAGCCTTGCGCTCCCGGGAGATCCCCCGGGCGCGCAAGGCTTGCCGACACCTGCGCGAAGCACGGGGCGTCCTCCGGAGGGCGCCCCGTGCTCCGCGCTGCAGGCTGCCGCCCGCAAGCCTTGCGCTCCCGGGGGGAGATCCCCCGGGCGCGCAAGGCTTGCCGACACCTGCGCGGGCACGGGGCGTCCTCCGGAGGGCGCCCGTGCTCCGCGCAGCAGGCTGCCGCCCGCAAGCCTTGCGCTCCCGGGGAGATCCCCGGGCGCGCAAGGCTTGCCGACACCTGCGCGAGCACGGGGCGTCCTCCGGAGGGCGCCCGTGCTCCGCGCAGCAGGCTGCCGCCCGCAGCCTTGCGCTCCCGGGAGATCCCCGGGCGCGCAAGGCTTGCCGACACCTGCGCTGGGCACGGGGCGTCCTCCGGAGGGCGCCCCGTGCTCCAGCGCTGCAGGCTGCCGTCCGCAAGCCTTGCGCTCCCGGGAGATCCCCGGGTGCGCAAGGCTGCGGACACCTGCGCGAGCACGGGACGTCCTCCGAGGGCGCCCCGTGCTCCGCGCTGCAGGCTGCCGCCCGCAAGCCGTGCGCTCCCGGGGGGGAGATCCCCCGGTTGCGCAAGGCTGGCCGACACCTGCGCGACGCACGGGATGGCCGCCGGAGGGCGCCCCGCGCTCCGCGCTGCAGGCTGCCCCCCGCAAGCCTTGCGCTCCCGGGAGATCCCCGGGTGCGCAAGGCTTGCGGACACCTGCGCGAGCACGGGACGTCCTCCGAGGCGCCCGTGCTCCGTGCTGCTGGCGGCCGCCCGCACGCCTTGCGCTCCCGGGGGGCGAGCCCGCGGGTGCGCTAGGCTTGCAGACACCTGCGCGAAGCACGGGGCATCCTCCGAGGGCGCCCTGTGCTCCGCGCTGCAGGCTGCCGCCCGCAAGCCAGGCGCGCCCAGGGGGGATCTCCCCCTGGGCGCGCAAGGCTTGCGGGCAGCTGCTGCGAAGCACGGGGCATCCTCCGGAGGGCGCCCGTGCTCCGCGCTGCAGGCTGCTGCCCGCAAGCCTTGAGTGCCCAGGGAACTCCCCGGTGCGCAAGGCTTGCAGATAGCTTCCTGGAGCCTGAAGAGCGAGAGGTGCCGGTGCGCACCGACGCCTCTCGCTCTCCAGGCTTCAGCGAAGCTCTGCATTCGCTCCATAGGACGCACACACATTTCCCCTTCATTTTTGGAGGGGAAAAAGTGCGTCCTATGGAGCGAAAAATACGGTATGTTAAGTGTGTATACAAACTCAATGAGAGGTGTGAGCTTGCAGTATCACTTGATGCTCCTAGTCTCATTTTGAAAAGCTAGTTATTCATATTTTGAAAATAGAAAAATATTTTTACATTATACTACACTAAAATGTTTCTTTGATTGTCCTTGAATCTTTGTAGCACATTTTCCAGCCTCTCCTGCCACACTTGTGTGGTGCACCACACCCTCTGAGAACCACTGTTTTAAATGAATGGTGATGAAATCTTATTGGCAAAGTTATACTTCTGAGTATTTTTTAAGAGAAAGGTCCTGTTTACACTCTAGTTTGAAAGATAGGCTTGGATACATTTATCCCCTTCAGAATGCTCTCATTGGATAAGGCACAAGAGGGAGTTTGCTGAAGATACTGATGAAGTAATAGTAACCAAAGTCCAAGGGAACAAATAGCAAGAAAAATTCAGGGCAAAAGGAAAGATATGAAAAAAATCATTTATGATATTGAAATTTGGGACATAATGGTGAGTGTCAAGTAGAATAAACCCATTCTAGTAAAACACTTAGCTTGGTATTATTGTAATTTTCACCTGCTATTAAAATGAGATAATTCAATAATTAAAATTATGATTTTGTTTCTGTTCAGATAGCTTTCGTTGTACTTACTTTTGTGAGAAGTTCTTGATCCAGTATCTAGTTTTATTTCACATTCAGTTTTAAATTGTGTTTTTATGTTGCAAATGCTGAAATTGTGGAGAAACATAACAAAAGATTCATAAAAATGCATCATAGGGGAATTTAGGTAAATATTGTGTACATGGCAAAATATATAATGATCCCAAGCAACATTTCCTTAAAATATGTGTCCCTTTAAAATTTTCACTCATCTTCCACAGAAATGAAGCACTTGCTTTCCTTCCCAAGCACATTATAATTTTATGCTAAGAAACTTTGGGATTCCTCATAAAAAGTCCCCCCCCCATATCAACACTGCTTAGCATTGATTTTCATGAATTGGGGGGTACCATGAAACAACCTTATTTTAACACTTTAAAAAACTAAGGGAAAATACCAGTCTGTTGCTACTGAAGTGTGAACATTATCTTTGTACTCTGTTTTGTTCATCTACTGAAATTTTGATTGGTTTTAGAGTCTGTTTTGAAACTGTTTTTAGACCTACCTTGTTTTGAGCTTCAGGGAATACATTTTTGTGAAAGAATGTGTCCATAGTTGTTTAGTCATAACACATTTATGATACCTAAAAATACATAGTTGCCTGTTTATCTTGCTCTAACTTGAAATCAACCACTTACTTGATAAGAGAGACAAAACAGGAGTCCTTACAAACTTGAATTAAATGTTGCTCCACAACTTCCTCTACTATCCGCCAACTGTTCTGCTCAGCTTAATAGTTTTCTGATACCCTTTGTGGGCAACACTGAAAACTCTGGTATTTCTGTTATTGAAACTCCTTTGGCCATAGTTCCTAAGGACAGTTGCTCACAATGCACTCATTGCATTCCAATCATTGCAAAATACAGTCATACCTCGTGTTGTGTTCCGCTCTTCTTATGGACTTTCAGCTTACGAACGTGGCAAACCCAGAAGTATTTACTTCCGGGTTCGCCGCCCGCGTATGCACAGAAGCAACCTGCGCACTGTGTGCAGAAGCGATTGCTCGCACCTCACACATGCGCGGAAGAGGCTCTCTAGTTGTGGACTTTTTGGGGTGCAAATGGCACCCCAAAACGGATTAAGTCCACAACTAGAGGTACCACTGTAGGTTTCGTTGGCCGAGTTTGAACATCATGCTTAAACCATCGTTTCAGTATTATATAAATGAATCTGGACATGAGCCTTGGGTTTGCCCTCTCTTTTGTAGTTCAGGCATGAAAATGAGATTGGAAGAATCTGCTTTCAGATTAAAATAACCATGGTTGTCACTACAGTTACTCTAGAGTTTAGTTTATTGGAACAAGTTAGAATCAATCCATGGTTTCTGATCCTGGCATTTCCTGTGTGTTGTTTCCTTCAGACTTCTCATAATGAAGCACTCCAGCAGCAAAACAGCGCACAAACCTGATGTTGGGAATTGTTGGATTGACTTTAGATCTTTTCAGTTTAAATGGTGATCCTAAGATAGCTGTGCATCTGAAAGGGCCAGTTCAGAGTTCCCCTCCATCTACTTCTGTTAGAGTGGGGAGAGAGAGAACAATTTGCGTTTAGTGGGAATGGTTTGAACACACATTCTGGAATGTGTCTTAAAGTATTTTTCACCTCACATTAAAAGGTTGCATCTGCTTTGACCATTAGTTTGCTTCCAGTAGTCCTTAACTTACTGAATAAGTAGTTTCTGTCAATCCTTTTGCCCTCATTGCATGGGTGTAGCTCGGTTTCTCGTTAGGGGGGCAGGCAAAGCATTTTTTAAGGGGATCAGCCAAAGTTGCTGAGCTTTTTGAGAGGAAAACACTGATAGAAATATCCCCCAAAAGACATCTGCTGGCGCCACCCCCCAGCTATGCCCATGCCTCACTATACTCCATTCTTCAGCAGGGAAAGATCCATGAATGCCACTGTTGCTAACTCACACTCTTGTGTGACTCTGTTCTTCCACAGCACAGTGGTACCTCATGTTACGTACCGTCCCCCTTCAGAATGCTTCAGGTTTTGCGCTCCGCTAACTCGTAAGTAGATGCCCCTTGTTGCGAACTTTGCCCTGGGATGCGAGCGGAAGTCGCGCTCCAGCGGCGTGGCGGTAGCAGCAGCAGGAAGCGCCATTAGCGAAAGCACGCCTCATGTTATGAACGGTTTCCGGTTACGAACGAATCTCTGGAACAGATTAAGTTCGTAACTGGAGGTACCATTGTAGTTTGCTCACTCTGGCTGTGGGTACTCTTTCCTGACCAGACAAATGGAGATACTACCCTCTTTTCACCAATCGGGGGGAAATCTGCTCCTTTGGAAACAGAATATGCGGTGCAAATAGCACCTCCAAACATAAGGACATTTAATAAATGTGCAACATAAAAATATAAGAAGAGCCTGTTGCATCAAGCCAGTGGCTCATCTGGTCCAGCATCCTCTTCTCGCACTGGCCGAACAGTTGCCTATGGGAAGCCGCCTCTCTCCTGTGGTTTCCAGCAACTGATATTGAGAAACCCCAAAGTGGAGGTAGAACATAGCTACCATGGTTAGTAGCCATTGATAGCCATATCTTCATGAATTTGTCTAATCCTATTTTAAAGCCATTGAAGTTGGTGGCCATCCCTGCCTCCCATGGGAGCAGATTTCATCGTTTAACTGTGCACTGTGTCCAGAAGTACTTCCTTTTGTCTGTCCTGAATCTTTCAACATTCAGCTTCATTGAATGTCCCCTAGTTGAAAGACAGAGACAAACCTGTCTCTATCCACATTCTCTACATAATGCATAATTTTGTACAACTCTATCATGTCTCCTCTTATTGATCTTTTATGAAAATCCCAAACTGTTAAAACCTTTCCTCATGGGGAGCTATTCTATCCCATCGATCATTTTTGTTGCTCTTTTTGGAGCCTTTTCCAGCTCTACACTGTCCTTTTTGAAGTGAGATGACCGGAACAGTACTTAGTATTCAAAGTGTAGCCGCACCATAGATTTGTATAATTGCATTATATCAACAGTTTCATTTTAAATTCCTTTCCGAAAGTTCCCTAGCATGGAATCTGCCTTTTCTGCAGCTACCACACACACTGGGTTGGCATCTTCATCAAGCTATTCTCTCCGAACTCCAAGGTTTTGCTCTTGTCAGTTACCACCGGTTCAGACATCAAGACCATGTATCCTATGCGAAATTAAGTCATCTCCCCCTGCATCATTTTTATGCTTGTTTACATTGAATTGCTTTTTGACATTTTACAGCCCATTCACACAACTTTTAGAAATCCTTTTGGAGCTCTTCACAATTGTGTTGTGTTTTGACCATCCTGTACAATTTAGAATCATCAGTTCCTCAGTTCTCACTCTATAAAATGAGTGTGTTAATTACCTTGTGCATAAATGAGAAAGAGTTGCTGTGAATTAGATCATAATTATAAACAAAAGTGTGTTACAGCCTGGTGTTGATAAATGCTAGGGCTCTGTGTAATACTACTCTTAGCTTAGCAGTTAGTAATGCAAGAATAATAGAGTGAGCTCCATGTATTGCTTCTCCCACTTCCTTGGACTCCCCCACCCCCCCTCTAATGGTAGAGAGGAAGGGAGGAAGTTCCACACTCTGATTCTGTTTACTTAACTATTGTGAAGCAACCAAGAGCATTGAATCTGAAATGTTGGTGTTGCCCCTCTACATTCTTAGTGTTAGATTCACAAATGTTAATGAATGATACTAACGAGTTGGGCAAATCTTCTGACCCAAAGTTCATCTGCGTAAGTCCTGAGATGACATGATTTAACAAATTGTATGGTCTAACTTATCATTCTACACTTTCACTCTTCAAACACTTTTCCATAACTATAGCTGGGGTCCCCCCCCCCAGCAGATATGTCACATCTACCCCATTTAAAATCTTAGAAGCCAGTTCCACAGATTAAAATCTGCAGAGCACATGGGGTCATGCCCTGTGTTTTTAATATCTTGCACCCTTAAAAATGTGTTGACAATCAATTGATTTCTCTCCTCTTCATCCCAAACACCCCCTCCAAAACCCAGCCCTATCTAATTCAAAATATTTGTTTCCCTTAAATATTCTGATAGTTCTTTGTTTAATTGTCTGGAATGTCGCTGGCATACCAAGAAGGCTGAAAGTTGTAACACCAAGTTTTCTTGCACTGTGGGTATGCAAGAATTTGTGTGCCTCATTCTTCTGAATTACTTAATATTTTATATAGCGACACTGAACTGCAAAACAACGGCTTTTAACATTTTATCCTTAAATAAAGTCCTTCACTGTTTTTGTCTGTAGGGATGGCAGGAGGGGGAGATTGCTTACTGAAGGAGAAGACAGTATTCTTATGCTAATCCAGTCTGTGGATAAGGAGCAATGCAGCCATGCAAACAATGGAAGTGGAGCCAGAAAGTCTGCTGTGTAGTCTAGCACGCCTTGAAAAGCATATGAGACAGGGCGCCTAGGGCTGCTTAAGGGGAGGGGCCCAAGAAAAGGGGAGCGCTTTACTCCAAGTTATTTTATGGAACTGGCAGATGACCAAAGAAAGGAACCTTACTACGTAGACAGAGAGAATTAAGATGAGGGGGATGAGAGAAAGGAGTTTCTGAAATCTGCTTTTCAGTTCTCATAGACTAAAACCCTAGCTTTGGCTTTATTTAATGTATGGCTGCAATTGAAACCTCAAATTCAACTTGAAAAGATTTTCACATAAAACTATAAGTATTACAAAAAGCTTATTTTAAGAGAAGATGCCGACTTTGAACAGGGTTTTGTTATATTCACATGGTTAAAATATCTGATCACACAAATCACTGACCAGCAAAATGCCCATTTCTGTTAATTGCCTTTATATTTAACTTCTGGCAGTGTTTTATTTAATTTATTCATACTCAACCTTTCAAAACCTTCATCTGCACACACTATACAGTTAGAAATGAGGCATACCATCCAGCTGGAGTTCTACTTAAGTGGCTTACCTATTCCTGAAGGAATGAATGTTGTAATCTAAAGTTATCAGCTTGCATGTCTTGCTGAAGAATGATAGCAAGCATTTCTTCTTGGCTTATTATCTTTTCAGTATGCTAATACTAGGTAGTAAAAGCGAGATGATGAATTCTTAAAAGAAATACCAATTGTATAGCAAATTAATATCCTTTTTTGAATGCTATGATTTCTCTACACAAGGGGCAATAAAGCGGGCACCTGGAGAACTCATTCTGCAACATAATACTAACATTTATTAATGGCAGTTGGCAATTCACCATACTTTAAAGGGAGGGCTGTTTAAATTCCATAGGTGAGGTATAAGGATCATAAATAAATATGAACCTGTAGCAGATTATTTGGTGGTTTTATTTACGTGTTCAGTTTTTAGTATGTACAGTGGTACCTTGGTTTAAGAACTTCTGGTGGTCCGTTCTTAACCTGAAACTGTTCTTAACATGAGGTACCACTTTAACTAATGGGACCTCCTGCTGCTGCTGCGCCGCCGCCACGCAATTTCTGTTCTCATCCTGAAGCAAAGTTCTTAACCCAAGGTACTATTTCTGGGATAGTAGAGTCTGTAACCTAAAGCGTCTGTAACCCAAGGTACCACTGTATTGCATTTTATGAAGTGAGGGGCTTTTGCAGATTCTAGTCAACAAGTTCACAAATTATCTGTCATTGGGCAACAATGCTGAGCGAATGGAAGTTCTCTCTGCCACCTTTCCCCTGACTACAGTCATACCTCGTGTTACAGACGCTTCTGGTTGCACATTTTCCGGTTGCACACCGTGCCAAACCCGGAAGTACCGGAACAGGTTACTTCCGGGTTTCGGCGCATGGATCGTGACCTGCATGGATCATGTTCGCAACCCAAGTGTCCACTGTACTTCACTGAGAAAAGCTCCTTCACAGGGCAAAGGAAGTGCCTCTCCAGCTCTGCATGGCTGCCAGGCAGCCATGTTTAGTGAACAGCACTATCTTCTTTGTTCTTGCCTCCTACCCACCCTCCTCACTAAGGAAAAAAATCCTCTTTGAGACAAAAGGAGTGCCAGCTGTGTTAACTCCATGTGGCTGGTGGGCAACAACAGCTGAGTGATGACAGGTTGCCTTGGGGATGCCAAGGAACGCCTTTGTCGGTGCTGGTATGACAACCCCCAATCTAAGCAACTTATACATTGGATGACAGTAAACTGGGGAACCGGGTTCGAGTCTCCGCTCCTCCACATGCAGCTGCTGGGTGACTTTGGGCCAGTCACACTTCTTTGAAGTCTCTCAGCCCCACTCACCTCACAGAGTGTTTGTTGTGGGGGAGGAAGGGAAAGGAGAATGTTAGCCGCTTTGAGACTCCTGAAGGGGAGTGAAAGGCGGGATATCAAATCCAAACTCTTCTCTTCTTCTTCTTCTAAACCCACCAACAAATCACAGAACACGTCTGTAGACACAGAAGTGACATATGAATAGATCACAGAATTTTAGAGTTGGAAAGGGACCCTTAGGATCATCTAGTCTAACCCCCCTGCAGTGCAGGAATATGCAGCTGTCACAAATTGGTGATGGTTTTCAGTGGCTCCTTTGTCAAAATTTGATGAGTGGGGAAAGAAACCATGAAAAAAGTATGTAGTGTTCAGACTATTCTAATGAATCTGGCATGCGCACTTACACTCACATTCCTTTTCTCTTTCTTGATTTTCTTCCTTTTCCCTCTCTCCTGACGCTTGTAGCACAGTGCCCTGTGGAACACCCTCCCGGCATATGTCAAGGCAATAAGCAACTATTTTACTTTTAAAAGACAACTGAAAGCGGCCCTGTTTAGGGAGGTTTTTAATGTTTGATGCTGTATTGTTTTCAATATTTGGTTGGAAGCTGCCCAGAGTGGCTGGGGAATAAATTATTATTATTACTCATTTCTACTTCATTTTCCCCTCCCCTTTCCCTCCTCATTCAGTTACTCCACTTTCCAGTTACTCAAATTCTGATTTGATAATTGAAAATCATATAGAGCTGAAAGAGGAAGTGAAAAAGAGCATCACTCTTCTAATTTTGTTCTTAAGTTCTAGTACTTTCAGAGGGGTGGTGGTGTGGTAACCACCCTCATCACAAAGTGGGTAGTGAGCTAGGGATAGGACACTATTGCGTGTCACATGGAGTATCACATTGGCCTCTCCAGTTATGAACAAACATGGCAATTTAAAATCTTTTAAAATATTCTGAAATACACAGTCCTCTGTTATAGGCAAACTGTTTGTAATGCATTTTATTAATATCAAACAAGTGCATGTAAATCTTACATAGCTGATCCTAAAACATTAAGCCAGTTCATTTTGTTCTTTAAATTACACCCAGAAACTCTCCTAATCAAAGCATTTCTTAGTTGAACATAGCCTCATTTTTTGCACTTTTAATTACTTCATTTTCATTTTTATTACAATGATTACAAGGCATTGAAACAACTCTGAAACGCTTTTTCCTCTGGCTCTCAGAGAACTCAAATGTCTGAGCATCTTTCAGAATGTATTAGAAAAAAGCTTTAAATGGCCAGGATAAGCAAGGGGTTATTTGTGTTAGCCCTTGTTGATAGGGTGAGGTAAAAATCAAGTAAGTTAGTATGCTACATACAGGAAGTACAAATGACCAAGGTCTGCCACTCTAGAAGCATAAGCTTAGTGTAACTAAATCCTAGTGGTTTATGCAAGTTAGCTGTGCCACAAGTTATGTGGTAAGGTGAAAAAACACCAGATCATCAGCCAGTTGATCCCCAGGGAAAATTGCAACCTGGCTCCGGATATGGGTCATGAAAGCAGGATTTGCAGCTCTGCCTGCCTGTCTGCTTGCCTGCCTGCAATCTCTGATTCTTCAAGGGGAAAAAGAAAGTAAAAAATAAAATAAAATAATCTTAAAGGCATGGTCATTGTCTTAGGTTCTTACACTTGGTCCTAGATAAACTCATCCCTTATATATAATCACCTTAATTTTGGATACTTGGGTCCTTTTAGCCCTGTTGTTTTTGGGCCATCAGAAGTCAAATGCTCACACATCTAGGAGAAAGTCCAGTAATGTTGACTATTACTGGTGTGGGGACCCCGTATTTGACAGTCTTTTGTGCTGATTTGTGTGAGTTCACACATTTTACAATGTCTTGCACCCAAGGAAAGCTTTGGGCTGGATGTGATTCAATGCCACCTTGTTGAGGACACTGTCCTGGATCTGTGGGTATATGATTTATGGTGCCCAAAAATATTTTGGGGTCACACACAAAGTTTCTTAGTCATTCCTACGTTCTTGGACTATATTTGGCATGTGAATGCTATATTTTGACACTGACTTGCTCTGAAGGAAAGTGTTGGGCTGGATGCAAATACCATCTTATAAAAGAAATTTGAATGCTTATTTTGGGATGATTCAAAACTTACGGCGGGGCGTACAGCCCAACTTATTAACTTTTTAATTGTTATCTGAGGTCATTGTGCATTCATGACCATTACACATGCACAACAATTTTGACTGGGGAAAATTATTCTGGAACTGAAAGGAGACAATCTGCCAGTCATGGAAACGTGATTCAGGGATATAAAAACTTTAGGTCACGTTTTAAAAAGGTTTTCTAATTGAGAATCAATTCTGTGATTTTGTGACAATATTGAGGGCTGTGTACAGTCTGAAATGACATAAAGCAAATGTAAAATCAATACAATAAAAGCTGAAGACTTTTTGAAACAGCAACACTATCCGAGACCTAAAGGCTAAAATATTCATTGAGACTTTTAAAAGAAGTTTTAGGTGGAGATATTCTGGACAACTATTATACTCTGGGCATAGCCCAACGTTGAATATACATCAATTGCTGTATCCACAGATAGGCTATTCCATTGCAATGGTTCTATTTCTTGTAGTGAGGAAGCTGCTTTGTTTCTTCATTACTAAGAAGTCACAGATGTGTGAAAAGTAGGCCACAGGTCGAAGGCTGCATGCCCCCTGCATGCGCAAATTGAAAGTGACAGACACCTCTATGCTCTGCCAGTAATTTGCCTCCATGTTAAATGCCTATGAAGCAGTAATTAAAATGAAAAGTTCTTGGGTCCTGCCAACAGACAGATTGAGTTATTTATGGTAGAAGCAGCCACTAACAGTAATTGCAGCACATCCTTGAACAAATACAAGTTTTTTCATTCAAGAATAGCGCCAGGCTGACAGGGGTCAGGAGGTCAAGCCCACTCAAACAAGAGGCCAAAGAAAGGCAAAATCAGTGTTCTGTTCATCTTAACACAGAATCTGTATTGTCTATATTAACTACCTAGGTGTCCAAATTGCTGTTTATTCCTCTGAGACCTAGTTAGGCCCTATTAATCATTTCAAAAACATCACTGTGAGATTACTAAAAGCTGCTACATTTTAATATAACCATGTTTGCCCACTTTGTTTCTGAAGTGTACTTCAAAATGGTAGAGCAAATTTTACTGCCTTCCTTTTTATGCAGTTGAGCAAACATTGGAAAAGTGTTTTCTAGACAGCTTTGTATTTAAAGAAAAGTCTTTTTTTCTAGTAGATGTTTGTGCACTGGTGTGTTAGAATGGAATTATTATCATTCTTTTAAAATTCTAAGTTCTACAGCAATTTCACATTTTTAGCTACATAGGTGTTATCAATCAGCTAGTTGTCAACTATTAATTTTAAAATGTATAGTTATCCAATGGATTAAAATACAAATGGGTCATATTTTAGTCTTTTAAATATACTTGTATATGTTTTATCACTTCAAGCTTTTACTGCATCTTGTCCATTTGATACCCCCCTCCAGTTTTCAGAGTTTGGGGAATTTGCATAATTTTATTCATCTGTTCAAAAATGCAATTTTGTTTCGTTTCTTTTTTCCAGAAAACAAATTGGAATAATTAAGCAATTGCTTCAACTGGCCACCAAGTCTTCTAGCAGATTTTGCTAAACAGTCCAGCTTAGAACTTGTCAAGCAGCAGGGCAATTTGCCAAAGTTGACAGTGCACAGGAAGGATTTATATTCGAACAATGATTTGTCTGAAAGTTTACATCAGATTGCTGGGGTTCTATGCAGTCATCATTTCTCAAGTTCAAGGTAAAGTCATACTTGTAAAACGTTTGAAAAAGAAAGTTTTTGATGTATGGAATGTTCATGTGCATAGCCAACATTTTATGTTTTAACTGCAGTCTGAAATAGATGCAGATAAGCTGCTGTAGTTTTTGAAACGTAGAAACAACATGGAAGCTGTTGAAATGGAAGACTTTTTTGTGCACACCTGAAAATGGTTTCCATCTTTTTCAGCAACTCTCAAACCCTCTGGTTTGAAACAAAAAACATCAGTTACATTTTTACAGAAAGGGAGATTTCGAACATAACTTTCATAGAGAGTCTATGAAACCGTCTGTCTGTTGTTAACAGGACATGCTGCCTGCCTTTTAGTACTATGATCCCACTTTATTGGTAATATATAAGAGCTGGTTACCAAGAATCAGGCTTTCTTGGTTAGTCTTCTATTTCAAAATCAGTACGGGGGGGGGGGGGGCTGGCTAACTATAATAGACCTTAGTACTGAAAGCTGGAAAATGTTTTGATTTGGTACATACTTCATTGACATGTTAAGATTTTGCTATAAAAAAATATTCCAGGTTCTGTTTGATGTTTTAATTTGTTGGAAGCCTGCCAGGCTGGAGCAACCCAGTTAGATGGGTGGCATATAAATAATAATAATAATAATAATAATAATAATAATAATAAGTTCTTATTATTTATGCAGTTCATACTAAACTCAATGATAAAATTCCTTTGTATTTTGAATGGTGCAGCATTTGCATCTGTTGACTAATTTCCATCTCTATGGACAGTCTTATTCAGTGAAAGCTTCAGATTTTTCTGAGTTAATGTGGCGGCTATAATATTTTTAGACGAAGGACCCTAAAGGAAAAAGGACACAGTGCACTTAAGGAATCTAAGTTATCAAGTTCTTTCCTCACACAGGGAAGATTACCTAGTGAGTGCACACGCTGCTAGTCAGAAGAGTCTTCTAGCCTCCTTTTGACAAGGAGGGAATCAGGGTAGATATGGCTGTTTTTATGAGACTAATTACTTGAGACTAATTGCAAAGTCATTATTCAGGTATAGGTCTCTCTGAATCACCCAGAAGACTATGTAAACTGTGAGCTGAGTCATGGAAAAAGTCAATCAACTGAAATTTATAGGCGTAGACGAAGGTTCATTTAAGCGAGAAAGCAAAGATGTTAGAGATATCCAAAGATACCTGCCTGTTTTATTTATTTAAAGTATTTAAATACTGCTGCTCAGTTCAACCTCATTAAGTGGTTCACAAAAGAATATCACAACAGGCATCATTTTAAAAAGTTACAATAAAATGGAAATGCAACTGTTTGTTTAGAAGAAGCAGTAACAACGTTATTTGGCTCCTGGACTCCGTTGAGCATGCTCAGTCCTTTGAGGGCGCCATGTTGGTGAAGGCTAACTTAGATTCTGTGCCCATTATGGATAGTAATTGAAATAATATTCTGATTTTATGAATATTGTAAGTGTTAGAGGAATCTCAGTTTAATCTGAGAGATGTGGCCTTCCTCAACCTGGTGCCCCCCAGATGTTTGGACTACAACTCTCATCGGCCTCAGCCAGTGCAGCCAATATGCAAGGATGATGGGAATTGTAGTCCAATAACATCTGGAATGCCACAGGTTCCTCACCCCTGCTATAGAAGTATTCCTACGCATGATCCCTAGCAAAGTAGAAGTTTGTACAAATTTAGTAGGAATAAAAACTCAACAACCAAATGAAAATTTTAAACACCTTACTTTTTGAGATAATGTCAAAAAAAGAGAAATGGATTTGGAATTCATTTCCATGAAATTTCATATAATTATCAGGACAGAACTAACATTTATGTTATTAAAACATAATTATTGTATTATGCTCAGCTGCCTGCAATATCAGAATGTTAACATTGATATTTCAGTTACCTACGTTAATTTATGTTTATGCTTGTTAATTTGAAAGTCAGATTTTTAAAAAATTAAAAAGAAATCTGTGGTGGTTCACTTACAGGTACAGTGGTACCTCGCAAGACGTATGCCTCGCAAGACGGAAAACTCACAAAACGAAAGGGTTTTTGGTTTTTTGAGTTGCTTCACAAGACGATTTTCCCTATGGGCTTGCTTCGCAAGACGGAAACATCTTGCAAGTTTGTTTCCTTTTTCTTAAAACCGTTAATACAGTTGCGACTTGACTTCGAGGAGCAACTCATAGCACGCGGTGTGGTAGCCTTTTTTGAGGTTTTTGAGAACTTTGGTGATTTTTGAAGCTTTTCCAAAACTTTTCCGACACCGTGCTTCGCAAGACGAAAAAAACCGCAAGATGAAAAAACTCGCGGAACGAATTAATTTCGTCTTGCAAGGCACCACTGTAAATAAGTTTTCAAGTTAGGTTTTAAGTATGCAAATGAGCATTCCAGGTTTGCTTTGGGACGAAAACAGAAGGACTATACAGAGGCTACTGCAGCCGAGAGTTCTAAACCTTCAGTGTAACCCTGCCTTCTGAAACAAACCATTATGTTTGTATCTACATTATACAGGGCAGAATCTAGACAGCATGCTCCATGGGACAGGGATGAAGACTGATCCTGATCAGAAAAAGCAGGAAGATGGAGTCACCCTAGCTCCAGAGGACACGTTGCCCTTTTTGCAGTGCTACTGCTCAGGGCACTGTCCAGAAAATGCCATTAACAATACATGCAAGTAAGTGTTGTGGGCAGAATAAAGACTGTTTCCTCATATGTACAAGTTAGAGTAAGGTTAGAGGTTTCAAATATTTTTACTGTCCGTTCTTGTTTCTCAGTTCCCTTGTTCCACCCTTTTTCAGTTCATATACTATTATGGTCAGGTGAAACGACTTTCTGAATTGAGGATTGATTAAAAGCTTTTAATATATTTCTTAGAATTTGGCTATACCTTGTCTGTGGCCTCTGAGGAGACACAAACATGGTTTCTGCACCTGCAGAAAATTTCATTCAGGAAACCTACTGTCTTCCAAGGCACCTTTTTAGTGGCAATTGAATTGGTGAGGAGTGTGATGATGAGTGTGAGTTATAAGTGTGCTCCAAGTGTTGAGCTCCCATATTTGAATCCCATACACCAGATCAGAGTCGAATTGAAACCAGATATTTGTTCTTTCCCAAGGTTGCCTCTTCGTTCCACCACAATGAGGCCATTGTCTTCCGTAACCTAGCTTCAGAGTTTTGAATGTTTATTTTTCCAGAACCAAAAGCTTCTTGAGTAGTCTGGATCTGTTTATTTGTTATGAGGGTGCCAAACCCAACATTTCACCCACTAGTATCCTCAATAGTTCACCTGTGCCTATGCCTACAGACCTCCAAAGTTCCCTACTCCAAAGTGAAGCCAGAGCTGTAGTGACTTCCATGGTATTCCTCCAAGGTCCACTGCTGGACCTCCACCATGCTGCTACTTGGCTACAATGTTTGGTTTTCACCTGTAATCTGCTTGATTACAAGGCAAATGGAACTGAGCAATGTCTTTTGGAAGGGCTGCACTTGCGTCCTTGACCTCATCGTATCTTTCCTGCCTCTAGTAAGCTAGCTTGCTTTACTACCCGTATGTGTGCAATAGCACAGAGACCACGAAGAACGGGTTGCTTACTTGTAACCTGAGACTTTCCAATAGTCATCTGTGCAGACGCACAACCCACTCCCTTTCCCCACGGTAGATGTAAGTATGGTTGTTATCTCCTGCATAGTCTTCCTATAGGGCTGTGGTTTTTGAACTGAGCAAGAATGCAGGAGCTATGTCCCTGAATGCGTGAGCATGGAAGGTGGGGGCGGGGCACTTGCCAAATCTCTAGACTAGCTTACATGTCTGCACATGTGTGTCTGCACAAATAACAACTCAGAGGACTACAGGTACAGCTAAACAACCTGTTCTTCTTGCATAGCATAAGGGGATCTGATTTGGTCAAATCGTTGGTCACATTAGAATTGTTGCTTTTTATTGCCCTCTAGTGTTTGTTTTTTATATAGTTTCTATATCCAAATATTACATTCATGTAGTTGATAAATCTAGTAGATATAATTTTTAAGATGGAAAACCCATCAAATAATTTTGAAGGCATATGTTTTGATTGATCATAAATGTCCTATTAAATGTTATTAATACTGAATTGAAAGATTTCTTACTTTTTTATTATTGACCCGAAGGGGCCATTTTACCTTTAGCTGCCTTGAATCTCCAGGCATTCAAAGGCTGAAATCTCAAGTACAGCTAATGGGAAACAAAATCTGTTGAAACCAATGATACCTGTTTATGTGTGGATAGGATGAGAATGAAAAAAGAAAAAGAAAGAAAGGGGGAAAAGTTCTATAGCACCAAATTTTAATGATATCTATTTGGTGGAACAGACTTGGATCTTGGCACATATGTTGAGGGAGATTAATCTAGACTTCATTATTTAATTTTGTGCTTGAGAGTAATTGAAGAGCCGTATTTCAGTTGGCTTCTCTTAAAAACAGTTCAAATTATGAGATGCAGTCAGAGAAGCTTCCAGATTTTGAAAATATTGAATTGGTGTTTGCTTAATTACTAGGCCTTGAATAAGAATTGGTTTAAGTGCTGATTTTTGCAGGCAATAGAGGATTGATTTTCCATGGGTATGTACAATATTTTCAGTGTCACATGATAGGCATGACTAATGTATAGGAGGAGTCTTAAAGGTTTTTTCATAGCATTAATCTTGGAATGTAGTCTTCAGGAATAGTTCATCTCCCTGGAGTACCTCCCTGGAGTACCTACCATGACTTTCCCACACCATCAAGTAAATCCAACCCTGTTTTATCTGTTCTGAAGTCCCTTGTTTCCTTTGAGTACAGTATCATGAGTGCCATGTGTCCATTATACTGGAAGGAAGAATACAAGACAATAATCTAATAGATATAAATAGGTTGGTTGAATGCAGAACAGTACACGGAAAATTGAAGTCAATTCATCTGTTCCAGAACTAATGGACATTGCTTTGCCATAATCGAAGAAGAAGAAAATGGCGAAATTACACTTGCTTCAGGCTGCATGAAGTATGAAGGCTCAGACTTCCAGTGCAAGGTATTCCAACTGTCTTCTGTTGCATGTGAACCCAGGCAGCTCCCCACACTCAATTCCAATATTTGCTGTTCATGCAAGTAATTTGCTCCAAAAGCCTAAAATTGGGAGATTATTTCTTTGCCAATTTTATCATTTCTAACATTAATAGGTTGTCTTAAAACCCTTACAGCAAAGCTGTAAAGCTCAATATTATTGTCCCCATAATGTGCACGAGAGACTGATTCAGAGTGGCATACCAAAATGCGAGACATAAGAAGGTCCTGACAGGATTGTATGAACCTGAATTGTTTGTAGAAGCACAAAAAATAGGTGGGGCACTAAGTGGGGAACACTCTTCTCTCTCTCTCTCTCTCTCTCTCTCTCTCTCTCTCTCTCTCTCTCGTGTGTGTGTTTGTTTTTTGAATGGGCAGGACAGAAAATGGGTGCAGGGGATAAGAATAGAATGCAATATCCTGGGAAAAGGCATGGCTTTCTGGAAACCTAAGCACTCCGTGGTAGAACATTTTGCTGCAGATCCCACTCGTCAGTTTTCTTCTGATCTAATCTACTTAGCAAAAATCTACATAACTTTAATCTTTCCCTTTGTTGTAACTTATGTAGCTATAGAGGGTTGTTCAGAGAATGCTTGTGACAAAATATGCATCATTTCTTTTTCTCTATAGGACTCTCCAAAAGCACAACCACGACGGACAATTGAATGCTGTCGGACAGATTTCTGCAATCGAGATTTGCAGCCCACATTACCTCCTCCCATAAGTCCAGGTATGGTGCTTCCTAGTATTTCCAGAGTATGGTTTGAAGGTATGTGAGACCACCACCTGCTGAAGATGATCAGGCTGGATCTGGTTAGTGCCTGGATGAGTGTCCACCTGGGAAATAAATGCATGTCACACAACCTTGGGTTCTGCAGCAGAAAAAAAATGTGGACCATAAATGGAAGAAAATGAATAAATATTCCACAGGCAGGATCCTTAGGGATGTGAACCAGGTTTTTGCATGGGCACTAGGATTTCTGTCACAAACCCTTCCCACTAGTCCCCTTGACTGCAGCAGCTAAACCCAAAGCAGCATACAGCATCAAAAAGTTGGTTTATTTCAGCATAAACATAATGGGAGATAAAAAGTCTGGGGAAATAGAACTATCTTTGCTTGGCACCAGAAAGATGTTGGAATAGATACTGGGTGAATTCCAACGACAGGGTGTCACAGCCAATAAATCCCTCTCCCCAACTACCAGCTGCATAGCCTCAGGCAGACAGAAGACTGGTTATGAGGGAATGCTACCCTTGGGGTAAATTCTCCCCCCCCCCCACTCCTGATGTAGATGTTAAAGGGGGTGGCAGAAAGGAACCCTTTGGAGCCCCATAGCATAAATGCCAGAGTCAAACATTAGTCACACTGCACCACCTTCTAGAACCAGCCCTCTGTAAGTTTATGTACTATATTTATTACAACTAAATATACAAGTCATTTCATATGGGGATCTCAGTACAGACCAAGTTGCCCTTTCTTCCTTTGCATGCGATAGAACCAAATTAGCTGTGTTTGCTGTTCTGCCCATGCTGATACTTTGCATTGACTATCATATTTGTTCATCACCCCAACCAAGTTTGAGGAGCTTGGAGACCTTAAAGCGATTATAGCATCTTGACAGGCAAACAGTGACATGTTGCCAGTCAAGAGATCACTACCGCTATTCTCATTAGGCTTCCAAAAAAATTATCCAGCCCTCTCAAGGGGCTCCAGAGGATCATTAAAAATTTAGGATGCTGCTTGCTGTTTGGAAAGCATTTTTATGGATCTGCGTGAGGGCCTGCCCCCAAGCTATCAGCATTGTTTGGGCTAATTTGTGAATGAGGAAGTCCCTGGTTCAAATTTCAGCTCTGTCATGAACTCACTAGGTGGCCTTAGGCAAGCAACTCACTCTTGGTATCTTCCCTCCCATCTGCAACATGGAAATTAATAGTACTAACTTGACTTACAAGTTTGTTGTAAGGATTTCAGATAATGCATGGGAAGTGCTTTGACCACTTAAAAGTGCTAATGTTAATTATCGTGATCATTATCATCACAGTCATCAGCGTTGCTGCCTTCAGCAGTCTCCCCACCACTTTTCTGATTTTTCACCAGTCTCAACTTTGCTTTAATTCACCCCCCCACCCCGAAAAGCTTGTATTTATTTCCTGGTGCAGTAATAAGAAAGTAGTAAGTGTAATCTGAACCTAACACCCCCCCCCCCCCCCGCTTCTCTAACTTGTTTTTCAATAGTTATTGTGTTTCATCAGAGGAAGCTAAACCAAGCTGGATTGTCAGAGGAGTTGTAGTGGAAAATGTCCTGTAAATCACGCACCAAAGTCTTACTGCATTTGATTAAAAAGAATGAGTGAATTCTTAAAATAAAAATAGTACAGGAGCCCTATCCTTGGGGATCCCGCATGCCTACTGGTTAAAAGGAGGCCTTCCACACAATTGCTGTATATGTAGCTATGTAAGAGTTGCAACGGGCAGTGTGGGGATGGATAGCTTTCCAATATTCCCTAAGTTTGTCTCATATTTCCCAGAGATAAATTTACCTTTCATTTTAATTATATTAATATTTTGTTCCTTTATGTAGGTGGCATCTTTGATGGCAGCATACGTTGGATGGCTGCATTTATTTCTATGGCAGTCTGTATAATAGTTATGATCATCTTATTTAGCTGTTTCTGCTACAGGTAAAAATCTTGTTGGGTGATATCCTATTTTTCATGCATAGCGTATTGCAGATTTGGTGCTAACTAGTTAGATCGCTAAGAATGTCTGGAGGTATTCTAGAATCAAACACGGTTTGATTTGCATCACTGTGAAAATAGTCATATGTATGGAAACCAATCTGATGTGAAACTTGGCACAGACAGCTCACTATTGTGTACACTCTACATATACCGGAATATGGGAGTGTGTTTCAAGTATATGGCCTTGTCCCCACCCTGCATCTAGCACCCTCTAGGTATTTTTGGACTACAGCTCCCATCAGCCCTTGCTAACATAGTTAATGATTCAAAACATCTGGATGTCAGCAAGATGGGGAAGACTGATTTAGAGTACTGCATGTGATCTGGGGTATACCCTTTTCTATGGCAGTCAGAGTCTATTTATGGTTGTGTTTGCATACATACCATATCACATACATACATACCAGGGGGTTGGACTAGATGATCCTTGGTGTCTCTTCCAACTCTACAGTTCTATGATTCTTTGATTCTATGATCTGATGTTCCATATGCAAGGAGGAAGAATGGGGAAAGCAGAAGAGACTCAGTATTGTGCTCCATCCTGTGCATGCACCAGAGGACTCTGTGAACTGATCCTTAGACTACAATCCTATACACGCTTAATTGAGATAAAGCCCAATTGGGACCTACTTTTTAGTAGACATATAGACGATTGCACTATTGACCTAATACAGAGTAAAAATAGCAATCTGAGCAGTATGTGACATTGGCATTTTTAAACCCTATAATTAGGCAACTCTTAGCATGATACTATTTTTGTATCATATTTAGTGTCTTACCTCTGAAACTTACCATTTGTAACTCACCTTGGTTTTGTTTTTTAAAGCAAAGTTGCAATCTGGCTCAGTCACTTGCTGCATCAGCACTGGAGAGCTTAGAATGGATTATAGCAGCAGCTATGCAACCCACCCACCCACCAGTCATGAAACGTTGCCTCAGTGCCAGCATTGCAGAAAGGCTACAGTGGCACCACAGCTTATTCATTGTCACACATATTCAGGATTAGGGTGCCACCGTCCTAATTTAGCTATGAATTGTTCAGTTTTATCTGAGTTTAACTCTGTACACAGTAAAATCAGAAGGGGACCTTGAACTTGTGCTCTTCTTCACACTCTGCTTAGCATGCAGAGAACTAAACTGGGAGATCCAACAATTTGATATGTGGGTTTAATATCCAGAGGCAATAATAATAAAGGAGACCACAAATTCAAATGACATTGGCCCCTCAGTTCAGGTATTCATTTCTGTGTGCAGTTTGCATTTGTCAGGCAAAATTGAAAAGCAAGAAATGAAACTATATAGACAACATTTGCTCACTGATGCAAAAATTGATTTTAAAAAAACCATCAGTGCGCAATATTTTGGGAATTATGACACTGTATGCATAGTTACTTAAAATAACACCATGTTATATCAAGATGTGTTTTTCCCCCCAGGCATTATTGCAAGTGGGTAGCAAAGAGAGGATGTTATAATCGTGACCTGGAGCAGGGTGAAGCCTTTATTCCGTCTGGCGAGTCACTTAAGGATCTTATTGACCAATCGCAGAGCTCTGGCAGTGGTTCAGGACTTCCTCTGTTGGTAAGCCTGTGCTTTACCTGTGCTTCTTCAGCTGAGAGTTCTTTGTTTTACAGCAGTCATGTAGTTAACAACTTGCCTGGAGTTTTTTGAAGCTGAGTGAGGAGGCTGGCAAGGTGGGATAGATTGCCCAGTCTTTCTTCTCTGGGCCTACTGAATTTCTATGCTGTCTTCAGAGGACGGTACTTCCCCTCCTCCGTGCTTGCCTGGCACTACTAGTCTCCTAGCATGCTAGTTTTTTTAAAAAACAACAACACACAACTTATTGGGAAGGCAGTTTTATTTGAGGGGTGTGTGTGGAAATTTAAATACACAATTTGTTTGTTTAGAAAGAAATCTGAAGAACCTATAAGGGAGAGGTGGACCCTGTCCCCAGATCTTTCAGTCCCCTAGGCTGAAGCCACATTAGGTGGAAGATGGACTCCCTGGGTGGGAGAAAGGAGCCTGCACTATCTCCTCAGTCCCTGCTGGGCAAGTCTTCAGCTAGTCTGTCCTGCTTTCTGCTTAATCCCACAGTGTAGTAGAGACAAATGGGGAAGGTTTCTGGGAAACTGATTCACCAGTCAAAATACATCGTCAAACCATTTGGGATACGCAGAGAAAGTTTTCAAGAGAGACAGGTTTATAAAGTTAAATAATAGTTTCTGCTAGTTTTTCACATCTTTATACAGAAAAGGGCTTTATTTTTCCCCCGGTTTGGGTAAAAGGGGAGCAGAGGTGGAAATAGCTTGTCCAGTCAGCTCCCGGAGGGCAGAGATTTCAGCCCCTGATTATGGGGAATCGGTGAAAGAAGTTTGTCACAGTCAGATGGGTAGTCTTGGGGACTGCCTCAGCAATGGTCCTTAAATAAGTAGGGCAAAGTACCGTACTCAGGGTGTGGGAAGCACATATGACACTGACTAGAACAATTACAGATGGAAACGAGGCGAGTGTGAATGTCTCCTGTCCCTCACTCATCCTAAGCTAGGTTCCTGGAGCCAAGTTATTAGAATACAGGTTCTGGTCAAGTGGGTAAACCAGTTCTTTATGGGGTTAAAAAAAAAAAAACCCCAAACAAAAAACCTCACACAATTTGTTCTTAGGTTAAAAGATAAACATTAGATTGTTGAAGACGTGTTTATGTCAGAACTGGGTTTTTCTGCACACCGAGTCTTGCCACAGTTCCAGTGAAATTCATTTCATGTTGTGTTGACCCAAGACCAAATATTTCAAATATGTGGCTTGGTTCCATAAGCAACAATAAGAAAGAATTCATTTCTTGATCTGGTTATGATTTAGCTTGTTAAATTAGTGGCAGATTTTTGTTTAACTTAACAGCTCCTTTTTAATGAATTGTTTTGAGTATCCACTATTTTCTGTGAAGAAGCAATGTCAGAATAAGAGCTTCTAAGCACTTGGTCAGCATCCATAGAATCACTCAGTGATTTCAGATTTCTTCTTCAGGTCCAGCGGACAATAGCCAAACAAATTCAGATGGTGCGGCAAGTTGGAAAAGGGCGATATGGTGAAGTCTGGATGGGTAAATGGCGGGGTGAAAAAGTGGCAGTGAAAGTGTTTTTCACCACTGAAGAAGCCAGCTGGTTTCGAGAAACTGAGATTTACCAGACAGTTCTCATGCGCCATGAAAATATACTCGGTAAGTATTGAAAACTGTTTTTGGATCAAGATGTAGTGTCATTCCGAGAAGAAAGACAAAACCTGCTAAAATCTATTAATGTAGTTCATCTGCAAAGTAGAAATCCTGTTAATTGAAAGGGATGACGATGGGTGTTTTCAGGGTTGTTTTTTATGATTCTAAAGGCAGGAAACTGAACTCTGTAGTATTTTCCAGTCACTTCCAGGGCAAAACTCCATCTATCCTCAGCAGAAGTACTGCTAAGTTAGGAATCTGAGATTTGTAGTATGTGTAATTTATTTATTTTTCACACGTATACCCTACTTTCCTGACTAAGCTGGAGCCCTAGTAATTGAAAACATAAAGCAACAGAACAAATGCTAAAAGCATTATCAAACAATAAAAACAAATCAACAGCAGATTATGAAATTGCCTCTTCAAAGTCAGACTGTAATAAAAACAAAACCTGGCAGATTGATATGTTTAATTCTCTTCCTAAAAGACCACGTCTTTTAGGCTTGTGATTTGTTGCCAGGGAGTTAGATGTTTAAATGGGTTGGAATGGTGGAAAAAGCCCCACTCCATGTCACAGAAACGTCTACTCAATATCCATCCCTGGCACAGTGTTAATTTCACTATTTGTGGGAACTTTCAGCACTAACTAGGTTTCTAACTTCCACAGGTTTTATAGCAGCAGATATTAAAGGCACAGGCTCCTGGACCCAACTCTACTTGATTACTGATTATCATGAAAATGGGTCATTGTATGACTTCCTGAAGTGTACCACTCTGGACAACAGATCTCTGCTCAAACTGGCTTACTCTGCTGCTTGTGGCCTATGCCATTTGCACACAGAGATATATGGAACGCAAGGCAAGCCTGCTATTGCACACAGAGACCTGAAAAGTAAAAATATCTTGATAAAGAGAAATGGGACTTGCTGTATTGCTGATTTGGGCCTAGCTGTCAAATTCAACAGGTAGGTAATCCAATCCTATCCTTTGTAAACTCATGGAGGTATCTGTGCACAAATCTGAAAAGTGTGATGGATTCATTTGGCTGGTTCACAACTGCAGAATCTTTGTGCATAACAGGAATGTTCCCGAAAGAATAAATATTTTCTTTGCAAAAGTGGACTTGGGAAAGAATAATTGAGACAAGGTATAGCCACAAAATGTTCTTGGACTAGAGATCTCGGAATGTCACGCACACAAAAATAAATTACTCTGCTTTCAAAGAAGAGGGAGACAAATGTTACTGTTCAGCGTTCTATTCTTCCGTGGCAGTTTCAGACACTTCACTCCCTTTAATGCTCAGTTTGAAACAAATTGAACTGACAGCTATAAATTGCATCCAATATGCATTCATCTACAAATAGTTTACTTCATAAAAATTCTCCATGCAGGCTGTTTAAAAGACTCCTTACTCCTGTGATCTTCACATTAGCAGGCAGGTTGGTTATGCTAGTCTTTATTTAGCAGATTTTTAACCCACTACTTAAGATATTTTCTGAACAAGACAGCTTGCAAAGTACACATCCAAAAATAACCAATAAAATATAATGCAATAAATGATTTAAAACATCTTCCTAGTAATTCTATTCAGAGCCATCACAAAAATAACAAATATCCCAGTGTAACACAAGCGTACCAAAAAAAGACCATATCACCATTTCTATGGCTCATCTTACAATAAGCCACTGAAGACCATGGCAAAGAGGTGGGTCTTAAAGGCCCATTTGAAAGTATTGATGGATGGGATTTGCTGCTATCACGTAGTACAGTGGTACCTCTGGTTGCGAACAGGATCCGTTCCAGAGCTCTGGTCAGATCCCGAGGAATTTGCAATCGGAGATGCTGCTTCTGTGCATGCGCACGGCGTGGTTTAGCACTTCTGTGCATGCGCACGCAGCGAAACCCAGAAAAATACTTCCGGGTTTGCCACGTATGTATCCCGAAGGATACGTAGCTGGAGGTGAACGTAAGTAGAGGTACCACTGTATTGAGTTCCGCAGCTGCGGGGCCACCACCAAAAAGCATCTATTCTGTGTGTCAGTCATCTATCTGGTAGCCATTGGCAGCCAGGAAGTGAGTGCATGGAATTTCACCCAGGTTTGGGGCTGTTGAAGCAGCAACACAGCACTCTTCTCACCAGCCCAGTCAGCTTCTATGCTGCCTGCAGAGTATGTGGCATCCCTTCCTCTGTGGACACTACGGAAGCCAAACTGGCTGGCAAAGTAGAAGCAAAGCACTCCGCTAGCCAAATCAGCTTTTCTGCAACTGCCACCTGCTTCCTTTGCTAGGAGTGCCTGTGGGCCTCATGGACCAGTCTTTTGCAGTGGGCAGTGCTTCTAGCCGGCACCTTTTTTTTATTAGTCTGCTTATTGCTCATAAAACCAACATTTTTGCAAGCTGATATTTTCTAGGGGCTTAGTATCAAGGCTGTGTTACACTGTTAAAAAACCCCCACTAGTTTAACAACTGAAGGAAAAAGCTTCATTATTGTAGCTACTGCTTCTTGTTGCATGCTAGTTTTACATTATTTCAACCATACAACATTTTATGTTAATTTCAGTGATACAAATGAAGTTGATGTCCCTTTGAATACCAGAGTGGGAACAAAGCGTTACATGGCTCCAGAAGTCCTAGATGAAAGTCTGAATAAAAATCATTTCCAGCCATACATTATGGCTGACATCTACAGTTTTGGCTTGATCATTTGGGAAATGGCTCGGCGTTGTGTCACAGGAGGTAAAGCCTACATCTAGTCTTCAAATATGATAATGCGTATGTCCCAAGTCAGGAGTGGGGAACCTTTTTTTGCTTCATGGGCCAAATCCTTACCAGGATCTGCATCATGGGCTAAATTTAATAGGTGTCAAAATCCCTTACACTTAAATCGCAGGGACTTAAGAGGGGAAGCAAGAGAAGATTCACAAAGCCTTTTCCAGGTCTCTTTGTGCTTCCCTTTTAAGTCTCTGAGTTCGTAGGGAGATTTGTAAAAGGCTGTAAGAAATCCCTGTGCCTCCTTTTGAGGGAATAGCAGCTCTGGAGCTGTCTTAAAGCCTCTAACCCCAACTCTTCCTTTTCTCCATGAATCCCCTAGCACTCCCCCCCACCGTCTTAACAATCAGGGGATGTGCCAGGCAATCCCCTGACTGAAAAGTGTATGTGCTGCACCCACAATCTCTCTTGCCAGCAACATGGCCTCCAGAAATTGAAATCGGTGACTCTGATTATTTATAAAATTAGTGTTGCTCTGTACATTAAGTGCTGCTACTCCCAGTGTTCCCTTTTTCTACCAACCCAACTTGTGTGGGGCTTGGGGTGTAGCATGGGTAATGGGGAAGGCAATATGGTTTTGTGACAAAGCAACCTGTCTCTCTCTCTTGCCTATTCTGTCAAGTGTAGCATCTGTTGAGATCAGCATGAATGTTCTCTTTTAGTTTCTCCTTTCTTTGCTGTTCCCTATTCCCTTGAATGTGTAGGTCTCTCAGCCTCTATGTATGCCCCCCACCCGAACTGCTTGCAAGTAGGGTGGAATATTTCCTTTTGAAATGCAAAAATAAGAGCCTCTCTTAAGTCTTGTAATGGCCTAAAATCAGAAGCAGGTTTGGTATATTGGTCTTGTCTGCAGCACATGGGATAATTTTGAATTGCATGCTTAAATTTATATCATTTATTTGCAGGTATTGTTGAAGAGTACCAGCTACCCTATTATGACATGGTGCCGAATGATCCTTCATACGAGGACATGAGAGAGGTCATATGTGTTAAGCACCTGCGCCCTATAGTATCTAATAGATGGAATAGTGATGAGGTAAGCATGCTGAAAGAAGGAGAATCTAGTTGACAATTCTTTTTGCCCCACTTATGGAAATAAATTTTAGATTTGAAGGGAAACATTAACTTAGAATTTTTCATTGTTTGCTGATTGGAATTCTCCCCCCCCCTCCCCCAGTCTTCACTTTTACCAGTAAAACCTTTTACTATTATTTATCATGATGCATGAACACTACCAATATTTTATTCTTCTCTTATTAGAAAAGGTTTACTTAACAATAATTAACTCCAAACAGCAACAGTATTTCACTTGTATTTGATATTAGGCAGACATCTTCACTATATTGTTTTTGGTGCCTGCAGAAAACTTTTTTCTTTCGGCAAACCTTCCCAGAAATGTAAATTTGACATGTTTTTTAAAACATAACCGTAGACCCTGAAAGTGGCTAGGTTCCTGGTCGCTGTCCTTACCCAAAAGCGTCGCCAAGGAGCACCACAAGCTAATTAAGGCGTAGTATGCCATTCCATCTTATAGTAGCTTATTGTTATAGTAATGTTTTAGCGGCTGTTTTTTTCCCATGTGCACAGGCTGTTATTTATGTCTTGTTTTTATCTGTATGGGCCTACGGCCGTAATAAATAATAATTATTATTATTATATTATTAACATAACCGTATTTGATTATGTATCTTTTTTAAATTGATGGTTTTAGTTATCTTTTGCATTTTTAAAGTCATTGTTTTTAACATTTGACTTTATTTCTATTGCAGTTCGCTTGTTGGTTCATTTTTGTAAACCGCTTAAAAGCTTTGATTTAATTATAAAAGCCTATAAGTGGTTTAGAAAAACGAGCCAACAGTTGTTAGTATAGCAGTGTATAAATCCTGTTAAATACATAATTGTTCATGCAAGAATTCCTTTTTCTATTTTCAGTGTTTAAGAGCAATATTGAAATTAATGTGTGAATGCTGGGCCCACAATCCTGCCTCTAGACTTACAGCTTTGAGGATTAAGAAGACACTTGGCAAGATGGTAGAATCTCAAGATGTTAAGATTTGACCAAGAAATGCCATTGGACTGCTATGCCTCTTCACTCAAGCAAGTATAGGGTCTGGTGGGATGGGGCTGGGTCTGATTTTCAGCCCCCTTCCTCACCACTTTTACAGGCTGCTAATATTAAATTTTTCAGTACTTTGTAGAAAATGGTATCCACGTACACTATATGGTATACATGTGGATAGCCTCATTTTACTTTTTTTGTTTTTGTTTTGAGCTGCGTTGAGATTTTCTTCACATTTTCAAACTCCCCTAAAACTCATTGAGTTCTGAATTTCATATTCAGATGATAGTGCTTTCTGTGAAAGCCGTAAGTTAAATGAATTAAACAGCGGAGGTGGGGGGAATAAGCTTTTTGCCTACCTGATGATACCTTATCAAGTCTTGGTGGATTAGCCTGCAGTCTGGGGCACTAAATAATTTACAAATTCCTTATGCCTTTTATGGTTTTGTGTGGGCGTGCCAGGATTTTTCTGGTGCCATTTGGAGTACCTAAGAAGCCATTTAATTTCATGCAAAACTACTATTTTCTTTTGCAATGCCTTGGCTCAGCATATGGAACCTATTTGGATTTCAAAGAAAATCAGTTTCTGCCTTCCTCTGTGCTGCATGGAAAAATTATATACGTTTCATGACCAAAAACCAAAACGGCTACTATAAACCTATGCAGTAAGTCACCGTCAAGTGTGATGTGAAGAACAGACCAGAATACAATTCATACTCCCAGTGCTATGAATTCCCCAAAGACTGAGCACACAACATGGAACAGTTAAACGTCTCCGATAATTTAAGTGCCTGTAATCTTGTACTGTAAACTGTATCTTAGCTAGCTTTAAAAAAGGGAAGTTATTTATATAGTGTTCAGTGTACTTTTATTTGCTACATACCTGCTCTTTTGTATATGTGTAAACATAACATACTCACATCTGAAAATAATGAAACTTAATAATCATATTCAAGGTGAATGTGACTTGCAGAAATGTTGGATAGTCTGTCAAAGTATGTGCATGGATACTACAAAGATATAAAAATTTCCCTTTTAGAGGCATTCATTAAGACCCTTAATGCAATATTAGAGTGAATTCAAATAAATGTGAGGATGTGTTAAAATTTTGTTCTATAGGTTGCAAACAGTAAATGGTCAGGCAAAAGATTGCAGTATTTTTTTTTAATTTATAGATGTACAAATCTTATTTAACATTTCCTTAAATCATTGCTTTTTTCAGTGATGCCTTTAAAGTATTAGTATCAGCTGAACAGTTCACGGGATACATAAGCTATGAATTAATTTATTTTGAATGCAACAAGTCAGACAATATTGTGCCACGGATCTTGAGCAAAGGTGTGTCATTTCTTTTCCGTCCAGTACCAAGAAAGCAATTGGGCTGACGTTCTAAAATGTCTTTTTGTTTTGTTTTGCACAGGTAGCTGGTAAATATTTGCCATAAATCAAATTATTACACTAGACTACTGCTTTCAGGGAACGCTTTCCACCGTTAACTGATGTGTTTAAGAACTTCTGCATGGATTGCTGTTTGTCAGAGAGTATTTTGAAGATTCAAGAATTGTTTGTAGGTACACTCAGTCCACTTGCTGGGCCTGTTTGGCCTCAATATTACATTCTCGTAAGCCGAGTATATACTCTAGGACACTTTCAGCTGTCCACTATGGCTCTGAATAGCAGAGGAAGATCAGTAGTGGTAGACAAGTGGTCTCGGGAAGCCTGTTTGCTTTTACTGATCATCTTGAGGCACCTCTGACGTAATCTCTTGAGGAACCCCAGGATTCCTGGGAGTGCAGATTGAAAACTGATGTAGGCTATATTAAAATACAATGTTAACAAATACATGTTTACGAGTTTTGTCAGAATAGTTGGTGAAGTGTCTATTTTCCATCATCCAGAATGGAATATTTGTTTCCTTGTTTTAAGTGCCATGTAAGTTGGGTAGCTTTTTAAGTGGTGCATTATATGCTGACATTTAATTTTAATATTGACGAGAATCTAAAATAAAGCAAATGCCAATACTATCTGAGAGCCACTGGGTTGCATCCAAATTAAGTTATTTGCACTTAAGCCACATTTTCTCCCAATGAGAACTAACTTAGTAATGACTAACTTTTCACATTGAATTCAGTGGAACCTAAGTTTAACTAACATGGTTTGGATTTAGTCCATTGTTCCTAGAGTCCAGACATATCTATGGGCTATTTCATGTCCCTGATACTCTCTTAGGAGACATTTTAGCTAGAGCAGAGGGAATAGCCCATTATTTCTGAACACACTGCATTTTGTAGTAGAAGCAACAGATGTCTGGCATTTCACTTTCTAATTGGAAGCGCCACATTCCTTCCAGCTATGCAATTAGTAGAAATGAAATTTGCCTCAAAAGGACTTGAGATTGTTAAACAAGTTTTGAAATAATTTCCTTCCAAAATTTAGTACTATTAGCATAATGTTTATGAAAAGTTTTGTTCTTTTAGCTAGCTCAACTGTGACCTTTGCTAATTTTTTCTTCTTGATTTCATCACATGGGAGTAAGATTCAAAATCTCATTTACTAAAGTAAATTTTATTTTTGATCTCTTGCCCTCTCCACCCCTTGGCAATTTGACATAAGAGCAAGGGGAGAAATTGTACTCTGGCTTCTTCATGGTACTAATCATTCTGTGTCCATGTTTCTTTGGATCCCTTCTACCAGTTGTATGGCTGTCCCACCTATATTGGGGTTTGTTTTTTAATGGCATCCTTAACACCTCTGTAGATCACCTTATTGATCTGACCAAAGCTGTGCTTGGAAGTCATTTGTTGCACTCATACTAATTCAGCAGTTGTAAAAATGTTTGACTAATTCATGATTGTAAATTAATTTTCAATTGGGAGTAGATGCAAGTAGCAATTCTGCTATATAGTTGCACTTGATGAGTGGTAGAATCCTTCTTACTATTTGGTGGCCAAACAGCCTCACATATGAGCTTCTGCAGTGTGGTTTTATCTCCAGGCTACCACCAAATATTCCTGGTGGCAGCTTGCAGACAAATGACATATATCTGATTCACCTGGTGAGCCAATACAATGTGAAGGATGTGGCCACTCACAGAGGCATTTTCAAGTGGCCATGACATCACAGCCAAAGAGTGAGAAGTGACCTTAAATGTGGCAAAATTGAATTATACCATTGTCAAGAGAATTGGTATGTTTTTTTAACATTATTGCCTTATCATAACGCCAACAGACTCATTTCATACTAATGTTATCTTTTATTAGACTACGTTTAGTATGTGCGTGTGTCAATTCTTTAAAAACACATGCTTGCTTATGTCTTCCATTGTGTACTATACACACTAGTAATTTCCCACTTGCAAACGAATGTGTACCTTGAAGCTTTGAGAGTATCATGATAGTTAGATTAATGAAAAGTATAATGGTTTGATTGCTCCCTTGTTCCTTATGAAGCGGACTTTTCAACTCTCCCTCTTTTTTAAGGAAGCTGCAGCATTTTGCAAAGCTGTGCCACCCTTGGGAATTTGAAAGCAGCAGGGGCAGCTCCATTTAAGCCTGTAAGGAAGGTTGGTTAGTGTTAAGAAATTAACCCAAATGCTGAATGTATTTTGCAGTAAGGAATACTAGAGGAACGAGAATGAATGGAAATCTCCCCTTGGAATTCTGTTTGCTTGTTTTCTAAAATATTCCTAAAAGCCAATATTGTAATTAAATTCCGTGGTGTTTTCTGCTCTGCAAAATATTTTTCTCCCATTAACCATTGTCATCTGAGAGAACTTATTAATTATCTAATAACAATCAGCCAAGACTATTGGTATATATTTTGAATATCACACTTCTTCTTTTTTTAAAAAAAAGCAAAAAGCCATCATTTCACTAAGTTCTGACTAGTGCCATAAAAAAACCAAACCTATTTGCTTCTTATGCCATAAAAATGCCTACCTCCATAAATACATTTCTTGAGTGGCCGCTGTCACCTTTTGCTTGATGTAACACCTTCATATTCCCAGAATCAGCCTCTTTATGAACCCATAACGCCTGTTTGTGTCGCTAACAGCATCGGTTTCCCATGTCTATTTTGATAAATGCTTTCCCCTAATACTCTTCTCAGCTCTAAACATTATTTGTCATTGGCCTCATGACACTACTGTCATTGCATCTGTACCTTTCCAGCGCAAGGGAAACAGACTTTTCCATTTCCCCCATACATTTGTGAGCACTACAACTTCTCTGTTTAAATAGAGTAAGCTGACAACACTACAAATTTGTAGGTTGCCTTCTTCAGTAATGCTGTCTGACGTCAAGGTGTGATCTGAAATACTAGAACAAAATTTATTATTTTCACGCTGCATACTAATTTAAATACTGAGTCTTCTGCTCACTTTCAATGTGAGAGGACTCAGATTTGGCTGGTCTTTTAGAAAAGTAATTATGTACCTTTTGCCTCATCTTGTGATGGTAGCTATTGTTGGCCTAGTCATTCATATTGAATCCTCATCACTTATATCATGTCTCCCAAACCCATTTTGGTGGATTGCAGAAGTTTGTAGAAAAAGAGACGGGACAGGTCACCAGACACTTCTTTACTATGAGGGAGATTTGTTGTGTAAACAGGAGTGTTCTTGCACAACTCCCACTCATTCTAAACTGGTGTTAAAATTTCTGGTGGATTGTGCCCAAAATGAAAGACTTATTTCTTGTATCAAATGTGGAATGAACAATATTTCAAATGATCATCTCATTGAACAATTGCCTTGTTGTATAGTACCCCTGAATGCAATATAGATGCCCACATACTGTATTCATGTTTTGTGCTCTGACTTACCCATGCCCAATATAAAAATGTACTATATTGTATACAGAAAGAATAATGTAGCTAACCTATAGAAGATGTAAATAAAAAGGAGAGGGTGAAAGAAGCAGTATGATTATACTCATTTTGTTATATATATATATACCACAAGTTTAGAATGTTTTTTAATTGTAACAGGCTAAGTGTCTTTTTGTACAGCATCTGATTTAAAAGGTGCCTTAAGTTTACCATGAATTGCTTTGTTCTGTACACAAATTTATGTCAATGTATCATTTTTAAGTAAATAACCTTATTTTAGTAAACATTAGTAATATATTTGTTTGTTAACCGTTGCATATTGGTGATCAAACATCCACACACATGGTTGTATGCTGAAGATCATGTCTCACAAGTAATTTGTACTGCAGTATAGTCGTACCTTGGAAGTCAAACGGAGTCCATTCGACTTCCAAAACGTTTGAAACCAAAGCACGGCTTCTGATTGGCTGCAGGAAGCTCCTGCAGCCAATCGGAAGCTGTGGAAGCTCCATCAGATGTTCAGGCTCCAAAGAACATTTGCAAACCGGAACACTCACTTCCGGGTTTGTGGCACTCGGAATCCAAGGTACGAATACTTCAGTCTTTCCTGGTAACTTTTCAGATGCACCAAAAGTGGAGCCCCAGGCATTGATCATTCACTGGTTCTGTGTATTTTTAAAGTAAAACAGGCCATTCATAATTGCAACAATGTGCACTCCCATGTGTTCAAACCAAGGTCCAAAATACCTTGTGAGAAGTTTCCCTCCACCATTCTACAAGAAAAATCTGTTGAATCTGGGTGCAGAATTATACGTCATACACAGCATCAGGCTGCTGTTAAAAAATGTTACCCCTTCTGTTTTGTTCTTCCATCTCCCCTGTAGCATGTGAAACCGCTTACCTCAAGTTGTACATAACATGCGCGCATAAACCTTAGGATTCCCCTGTCTGCTGAACCTTTTTCTGTAGCATTTATAAAACAAACCACACACATAGTTTAGTTTTATCAAAGTACATACAGATAATGTATATTCACAGTTAGCTGGAATCATGCATATGAGGAGTTTTATTCACAATAATTTGGCCTTGAAATAATCATTTGATGTCCAGTATTTGCACATCTACATGAAACTGGGTTAAATGCTTATCAGTGGAAGTTTTATGATTCCTGCACTTGAACTATTAAAATGTGCAAAGCAAAACTACAGCCAGGTGTACAAAACAAAGAGTATTTATTGAGAATGTACGCAAAGTGATACAGTCCTCGTAAGTATAGACACCATAATTTCATAACACTTTAGGAATAGAAATGCCTCATTTTGTTCATCTGAAAGTCCCTCCTGTGTGTTTTCTGATATCGCTAGCATGACAGAGAATGGCACCATGCCAGTTTTTTTTTTAATGTAGGAGGGCCTGTCCTGGATTTTTTTTATATAAAAAAATAAATCTTGAAATGAATGATTTTCCACTGGAAACTTATATCCGGTGAAAAATGAACAATGTTCTTATAAATAAGACAAGGGGAGCATTTTTAGTCTGAGGAAGAATAGAATCAAATGCATGATAAAGTATCAAAGGGATGGAGCGGGGAAAACCTGGGGCTTCCTGATATTTCCCATAATCCCTGACTGATCATGGCTAGGGCCAAGAAGAGTTGGGAATCCAGCAGCAGCTGAAGGCCACAAGTGACCCATCCTTGCTCTAATGCCTTTCACAAAGCCTTTGCAACATACAAACTCCATTTCTTCCTCATTTGTGACACCGCTAAGCAACGACTGAACTATTTCTAGGAAGCAGCACTGAGGCGAATCAAGGGCTGGGACTACATTTAAAAGTGCACACAGCAAAACTCGCCGTCTTTGGGCTAGTACAGGTTAGCCGTGTGTGTATAGCAAAGTATCATTTATGACTTTGGGACCTTTTATTTTTCAAGTTTTGAATATCAGAAATCCAGCCATGCTTAATCCAGCTGGGTTCTGCTTCGCTCCAGTGCCCTGCACCAGTTCAAACCACATGAGCTCACCCTTCTTGAGCTCCACAAGTGCAAAAGTAGCCAGAGAGCCTCCACTTGCCTTTCTCTTTTTGGTGTCAATGAGCGTCATTCTTTGCCGGTTGCTGAAGACCAGTTGCCCCAAGGCAGGTCCTGGTGCAAGCTCCACGCTGATGGCAACAAGGTAAACCCCAGTATGAGGAGACTTGAAGTAGCCGTGTTCAGGGAAATAACCCCCTCCGTAATTAAGATATGTTCCGTTGAGGCTCAGCTCTCCTCTGGCTTCCGAATACCTCACATAAAAGGCCACATATGTACCTAGATGGGGGAGAGGGAGAGTTTACATACAGTGCATACAGTTATCCAGAGTCCCAGAACATTTCCAGTTTACCGGGCAAGATGCTTTCAAGTGTCTCCCAGGCCAGGCGCTGAGGTGAGCTTCCATCTCAAAAACGAGGTAGGTCTTCCATTTCCCAAAATTCTTCCCTGCTTGGATATTGAGTACAGCTGCAGAATCCCTGGATTTGTCACTGCCGCTGCCTCACATTACAAAGCCACCCCTGCCCCACATTCCCCCTTTGCCAGGTACTCGGATGAGGCAAGAGGGGAATGTTTGGGGTGGCAAGAGGTATTTTTCTTTCCCTCCGTGACTAGGTGTTTGGGCTTACGGGAGCGGTAGTTGCTCTAAGGGCTTCTGTAAAGGGAAAAACTACATATTCCAAGGCACACTGTTGGCAACTATGACAGGATAATTATTTGGGGAGGGGGGGCTCTTAGTGTGCATTTGTTATAGCTACTACTAGGTAAAGAGAAGGGAGGGGATGTTGGGGGGGGCAATGGGGTGGCGAGACCATCATACCAAATCTGCAGGTTGGCTCTGGAAATTTGCATGGGTTTTCCCAGTTGTCAAAATGTTGAAACACACCTTTCTAGACTACAGCTCAGAGAAAACAGAACAAAAGCACTGTTCTGCCAGGAGATGGAGCTACACTGTAATTCAACGAGCAAACTAATTCAAGAAACCACTGTTGAGTTCTGTGCCTCTTTAGCACAAACTCCCTGAGTTATGTTGTTCACTGTTTTACATAATTGGCCGTCTCACGGCACCCGTGCCGCCCTTTCAGGAAAAACAATTCAAGTGGAAACTAAGGTTCGTTTGGATAGGATAAGACTTTAAAATACTCAGTATTATCCTTGCCCCCATCTGTGAAACTTACAATATCTTATGTGCCCTTTTGTTCCATGCAAACCCACCCCTGTAAGCCATTTATAAATCTCACTGAATTTTATCACAGAGTTTTGCCAGCATATGGCATGGCAAAAGTGGCACTCCTATAGAAGAGGGAATTTCAACAACTTTTAAATACTTATTTTCTTTCTGTGCAATGGATTACCTACTTTCCACGCTCCAATCAAACTCTGGTTTAAACTGAAAATGCTCATTTGATGCTAAGCTTCAGAAAGTGCTGGCATCATAATGGCTCTTGTACCTTTGTTAGGATGTGTTCCGTCAAAATTCAGAGTGTAGCGGACTAAATGTTCTCTTCTGCACTTATTGACAGGACTGGCTTGGTGGAGTCCAGAAGCTTCCTGATCAATAGTTCAGAATAAGAGTGGAGTTTGCCGAGAGGAAATATGAAATAGATCTAGAAGTTCCTGTGGACATGAAGCTGCCCAAAGTGGCTGGGGCAACTCAGCCAGATGGGTGGGGTATTATCATCATAATCAACAACAATATCATATGCTTTAATGCAATTGAAATTTAAGAAGTTGCCTTATGCTAGGTCAGGTTATTTGTCTGCCAGGGATGGGGGAATCTTTGGCCTAGTATGTTGCTAGACTCCAACTCTCATCATTCCTGACCATTGGCCATGCTGGCTGGGGCTGATGGGAGCTGGAGTTCAGCTGCATATGGAGGGTCCCAGGGCTCCCTGCCCATGGCCAAGCCCACAACTGCCTACTCTTGACTGGCAGCAGCTGTTCATGGGTGTGAACTAGTTCTTTTCTAACCAGGGCTTCCCATGCTGTAGAACACCCAGCAGAGATTCGGCAGGCATCTCTTGGAGACTTCCTTTCTGCACCACCCTGATGTTTTGTGAGAGGGCAGTATATAAATACTTTTATAAGTACAGTGGGACCTTGGTTGTTGAACTTAATCCATTCCAGGAGTCCAACTCCCAGAACCATTCAAAAACCAAGACGCAGCTTCTGATTGGCTGCAGGAGCTTCCTGCACTCAATTGGAAGTTCGGCTTCCAAAAAATGTTTGCAAACCAGAACACTTCCTTCCAGGTTTGCGGCGTTTGGGAGCCGATTTGCTTGGGAGCCAAGCCGTTCAGCAACCTAGGTACCACTGTCAATGAAATATTTACACTTATTTTGCATCACCCTGGAACATATTGATGGAGGGTAGTTAAGAAATATTTGAAATATAATAAACTTCCCCAAGCTGGTTGGGCCTGATGTCCAAAACATCTAGAGAGCCTCAAGTGGGTAGATCATGATGAGGTTATTATAGGCGGTTGATGGAAGAAACGTACCTGCCTCCAGGATCTCTGCATGTATCTTGTTTCTTCCGTTTAAGGTACCTTCCCTACGACTGCTGGCTTCTTTCTTGTCTCTCATTTTTTGCCCCTCTTGAAGCTGCTTCCTCATCCTCCTGCCCACCAGCGACTGAATCTTTGTGACATCCAAGCTTACATTTGCAGCGGCTAATTCCTTGTTGCTTCCAAACAGCTTTTGAAAGATCTGCAGGTGCTCTTCAAGGATTTGCTGGGCTGACGCAAGGTCTTCCCTCAAATTCTCCACTGAGCCACTGAGTGGTTCCACTAGGCTGGCTATGGTGTAATTACAGCAGAAATCAGCACCATCCCTCTGCAACTTATATTTATGCATCTCCCTGCTGAGGTGCCCAATCTCTTTCTTCAGAGTCATGATATCGTGATATGCTGGGTCATCCAGAGCATCCTCCATGGCAGCTTCATGGTTTGGCTCCATGTGTTCCACTCCACTGCGTTGGGTGGTAACCTCCTGCGCTGTGTCCTCTGTTTTCCTTTCCAACATAGGATGCTTAAGAGATATATGGACATTGGGGTTGTCTCCATGGTCCATCATCTCCAAAGAGTGAATTGTCTTCATAAGATATTCCAGTGTATAATTTTGCTCCTTGAGTTCGTCAGAGATTAGCCTGATAGTCTTTTGAAGCTGCTCTATGGATAATTCTACAGGACTTGAGTCCTCTTCCAACAAGATCTCCATGTTTTCTTCTCCCAGCAAGGCCTTTAGTGCTAGCTCATGTCTCATTGCATCAAACAACAAAGAGTTAAAAGAGCTGTTGAGATATTTGATATGCCCGTGCATCTTCTCATCATTTTTTTCCAGGATGCCAATATTGTCAGACAGCTTTTCTGCATGAGAATTGAGGAGGGACATGCCACCTTCCAGCTTTTGACTCTGCTTCTGTTGGCTTTCTAGAACTTGATGTATAATAGGGAAAGCTGCATTAAGATCCTTTAAGCGTGCCTCAAGTTGCTTTATTTCTTCTCTGTTGACCTGAGTGATGTTCACTAGATCCTCTGTAACAACATGTGAAGATGGTGTTTCGCAATGACATTCTTTCAGAGACCTCTCTAAATCCCAGTGGCTGTCTTCAATATTGGACAGAGTGTTGTTGAGAACAAGAATCTTCCTTTCCAGATCATCCCTGTATTCCTCTATTATAAGACTCTTCTCTATTAAATCAACTCTGAACTCCTCCAGGTCGTGCTTCAAGGTGGCTTTCAAGCTCGCAATGGAATCGGTTAGTTCTGTGTAGTCCTCATCAGACTCATCAAAAATTTTGGTCAGCAGCTGTGCATGCGCTGCCAGGGTCTCATTGAGGATCTGAATGTCCCTCTCAACAAATGCTTCGTTTTGGCTGCCAAATTGTATTGGGTATACTGCTAAATTTCTATTCAGAGTCTTGAGCTCATCTTCAAGCTTGTTTTGCTGCTGCCTCATGTCTGTCAGGCTGCTGTTTAAGGCTGACAAATAGAAGTGTTGTGTCTTTTGGTGTCTCTTGAGCTTCAGATCAGTGTCTGCTTTGATCATGGTGAGATTGTAGTGTAAGGCTGCCTGCTGCGAGTGTAAATGACTCTCTATTTCTCTCTTCACATGGTCCACTCTCAAAATGTTGGCTTGAACCTTGGATTCAAACTTCGTTCCCAACTCTTGAAAATCTTTCTTGGGCACGGTGCTTTCTTGGAACCTCTCTATACTTTTCCGATTGGCCTCGACATTCTTTGAGAGATTTTTCACGGCAGCAGAAAGATCCTGTAGACTTTTATTGAAGCTTGCCCAGACTGGGTCGAAATGCTCCTTCAAGAAACTCTGCACATGGGGAAAGAGTGTTTGCTGGAGGAATTGCTCCTGTACTTCTGAAATACAAATAAAAACAATATAAGGTAACATGGGCAGTTATTCCTTTAGAATTGTGTGCCTGCCTTTGACGTCAATTCGGAAACTGCAGCTGGTGCAGAATTCAATGGCCACACTGCTGGCTGGAGCAAGACAGTGCAAGAAGATAACACTTTATTGTGGCACAACTGCATTGGGTACCAATTAGCCCAAGGCAACTCAAAAGTGCTGGTTTGGACCTATAAAACCATATGCCACTCAGGAACCCCAATAGCTCAAGGGCCACCTCTCCCTACATGAACCATATCAGATTCTGTGGTCAATATCTGAGACCCTTCTGCCCATGCCTCGTCTGAGGGAGGAGGCACAAGAACAGGCCTTTTCAGTGGTGGCTCCTTGCTTGTGGAATGCTCTCCCAAGGGAAGCACACAGGGTGCCATCTTTAGTTTCAGCCACCAGGCAAAACATTTCTTTTAAACCAGGCCCTCAGCCCCTAAGTTGGAGGGTTTTAGATATCTGTGGCCTCTTACTTGGATGGGACGTATGTGATTCTAGGTTTTTATTCTGTTCTGGTTTCTTATAATTGGTTTTAACGCTTATACTATTTTGTACATCACTTTGGGCCACTTTTTTGTGAAAAACGTGACTCATAAATACAAGTAATAATAATCATTAGATGCCGATGATGGAATCATAGCTCATCCAATCTTGAATGCTCAGGCCAGCTCAAGCACTCCCCCAGCAAATATACTTAGGGCAGGACAAGCAGCACATGAATTATTATGTAATACAATTAATTGCCACCCTTCCTTCAGTGAGCTCAGAGTGACTTGAGTGCTCGACACACCCAAACACCCATTTTATCATCACAGTAACCCATAAAAACGGGCTGAGCCAAGCTCAGACAGTGAGCTTGATGACTGAGCTGGGGAAGGAGATTTTGAAGCAGATTTTTACGGCCAGTAATTTTGTGTCATGGTTCCCTCTGAGCACCCTCGATTCAGACCAGGAGTGGAAGGCACTTAAGGACAAGGATTCAGAAGGGGAGGAAGAGACTATGTGGCAAGTTGCAAGGTGCAAAACTTGCTGGAACGACTTCACAGCTCCTGTGCAGTCTTTGAACCCTTGCTGCTATTCTCAGACTCCCGAACCTTGGCGCTTGCTCTCAGACCGGATTTATTGTTGCAGCTCCTTTGTCTTGCAATAACATCTTGACTATATCCTGCTCTTTTTCCAGCTGCTGAGTTCGTACATTTAGGCTGCTCTACTTAAAGTATACTTCTTTACGTACAAGTAAACACACCCGTTATCTGGTTCTGGGCTGGAGCCAGGACTATGAGCGCAAGTGGTGTGTCAAAACTTGCAAATACAAATGCCTCCTCTTAAACTTCTCCAAGCTAAATGCACACCATTTCCAACCATTCTGCAATAGGGCTGGGCTTCCAGATCCCCAACGTGCCCTCATTAAGTCACACTCCAGTTTGTCAAGAGTCCTGCCCGTCAATGACTTGTGCACCCAACTCTACCCACCCTTTTGTGGCTGTGCTCTCACCTGATTGGTTGTGGCTCGCTGCTCGCCTTGTGCTGCTGCCGTTATAATGAAGCACCTTCTGTAAGACTCCCAAGTTGCTCGTGGCCTGGTGAATATCGTTCTGCAGATCTTCCAGCAGGGCTTCGTGGCTTTCTTGGGCTTCTGCGATATCTCCTGATCCCAACAACAAAGGGCAGGAACAAATGAAACCATTTACAACATACCTCAGCCTGGAAGGTAGCATTACTTGGAGGAAAGCATTAGAAAACACTGCAGAGCACCCCTGCACACAGCTAACAGCTGCCTGCTCCACTCTGCCCCCCACTCCACCCCCAGCCCTATAGACCCAGGAGAAATGTCAGGGAGAACCATTACAACACCCGTTGTTCAAGTACAGTGGTACCTCTGGTTGCAAATGGGATCCGTTCCGGAGTTGCGTTCGCAACCTGAGCAGAACGCAACCCGCGCCTGCGTGTGCGTGGAATGTGATTCGCCGCTTCTGCGCATGCACGTGACATCATTTTGAGCGTCTGCGCATGCGCAAGCGGTGAAACCCAGAAGTAACCCGTTCAGTTACTTCCGGGTCGCCGCGGTACGTATTCTGAAAGAACGTAACCTGAACCTAACGTAACAAGAGGTATGACTGTAACTTAAGGAAGATTTGGGCCATTAGTTTCTCATCCATTTGCAAAGCTCTGTTAGGCTGCAACCCTATGCTTACTTACCTGGGAGTAAGTCTGACTGAACTCAGTGAAGTTAACTTCTAAGTATTAATAATAATAATAATAATAATAATAATATTCAGGTAGCTATGCTTTGCTTGAATAGACCAACACCATACATTGCAAAAATATTCTATCCTATGAAGAAATGTCATGCAGACGGATAAATGGTTTAAGGGATGCATTATTCTAATGGTGAAACAATATATTGAATTAAAACATACTCTGGCTGGAGAACTCTTCTTGTTCTTCCTCCCAGCTTTCCGGCTGATTGGTGGACACCGGAAGAAAATTAGGATCTGCAAATTAAGTTTGCCAAGTCAGTGATTCTCTTTTTGCAGTTCAGCACTGTGGGGGAGGGTATTTTCATTTAGGTAGAGTCTGGATTCATAAAGCATCCCTAACATTAATCTCTTGCTTCCAGACATGCTGGTGAATTAGAATTATAGCACCTAATATATAAATAAACATAATTACCATGGGTATAGTACTTTATGAGTATTCAGAGCACTTCACAGTCATTCTGAGAATCCTTACGACAGCCATGTAAGTTAGGCCAATTATCCCCATATTGCAGCAGTTGGGGCAGAATGAGACCAAAGTACATAGGCTAAGGTCAATGCAATAAAATAAAAATAAAAATAGGAACTTTGCCAACTTCTCCAACCTCTGCCAATCTCATCCCCCTACTCTACCAGAAGAAGACAAAAATGCAAAAAGATGTGTATCCAGGAAAAGTGTTTATGAAAATGCACATTTTTTGTGGGAAAATCACATAAAAATACGCGTTCTATCAGGAGTAACTGCTTGAAAACATGTATATTAGTCAACACTGCATAAAATGTGTTTATTAGGAGAAATTTGCACTAAATGCTGATAATTTTTATGATTTTTCTCAACACCACCACCACCAACAAAACTGAATGTGAGAAATGGGAAATGGGAAAAACCAAAATGGGTAATACTAGCCTGGTAAAGAGGAGACTGAGAGGAGATATGACAGCCATCTTCAAATATCTAAAGAGCTGCCACACGGAACATGGAGCAAGCTTGCTTTCTCCAGCCCTGGAGGGTAGGACTCGAACCAATGGCATCGAGTTACAAGAAAGGAGATTGTGACTAAGCGTTAGGAAGAACTTTTTGGTGGTAAGAGCTGTTTGACAGTGGAACAGACTCCTTTGGGAAGTAGCAGACTCTCCTTCCCCGGAGGTCTTTAAGCAGAGACTGGATGGCCACTGGTCATGGATGATCTAGTTGAGATTCCTGCATTGCAGGGGGTTGGACTAGATGACCCTTGGGGTCCCTTCCAATTTTATGATTCTCTGCCCATCCCTTTCCTTCTCCCATCTGCACAAGACTCACTGCTGTTACCTTTGCAGCGTAGCAAGGAGCAGACTGCACTGCAGTGACTTCCACATTGCAAGGGGGGTGACCCAAGGGGCCTTGGGATAAAAAAGGTAAAAACCGTCCAGGGGTCCAGTCAAAGGTGACTATGGGGCTGTGGCGCTCATCTCACTTTCAGGCCGAGGGAGCCAGCATTTGTCCACAGACAGCTTTTCCGGGTCATGTGGCCAGCATGATTAAACCGCTTCTGGCGCAACGGGACACCGTGATGGAAGCCAGAGCACACAGAAACGCCATTTACCTTCCCGCCACAGTGGTACCTATTTGTCTACATGGACTAGTGTTCTTTTGAATTGCTAGGTTGGCATGAGCTGGGGCAGAGCAACAGGAGCTCACCCTGTTGCAGGGATTTGAACCGCCAACCTTCGGATCGGCAAGCCCAAGAGGCTCAGCGGTTTAGACCACAGCGCCACCCGCATCCCAGGTCGACTGAACAAGCCTAGCGCAGGCCCAGCACAAACTAGATGCATCCTATAAAGTGCCCCGGTATATTTTATGGGATATCCCTACAGCTGTGTACAGCCTTAACATTTATTCACCTTAGGGCTTTGCTTACCGTGATGTTCACAGTTCCTGCCAAAGTAGCCCGGGCAGCACTTCCAATGCAAAATGTTCTTGACTTTTTGTTTAACCTGGTAAACGGGCTTCAAAGCTGCTCTGTACCTAGAGGTAGGAAAGCAAACACTTGAGAGATAGCAGGCAAACAAAATTTCAGATGATGCAATTGGGTATACTGATACCCTGGCTTTTTAATAGAGAAATATGCCAACTGTCACAGAGCATACCAGTTGGTAAATCACCCGCAATTCAGAATTTAACGCTTTATTAGCAAAAACACAATCACTACTGACTTAGCTGAGCATCAGGCCTAATCAGCACTGCGATTCAGTCCCTGTTGGTCTTCTTCCGTGTAAACAGTTGCTGAGACTGAAACGCCCTGCCTTCCCATAGCCATCTAAGTCCCCTCTTCTCCAGGGCTTTCCCAAAGCAGTTGGAGACTGCGCCTGCCTGCAATCTGCTGCTGCTCTGATCATTTCAGCCCTCTTCTGGTTCTGGGAGATGGGAGGAGGGGAGCTTGTCACAGCAGGAGGGGGAGACACCCGTGACTCATCACTCCCTCTTAGCCTCCCCTCCTCCACCTCACCTGCGCCAGCTTCTACTTGCGATTCTCGACTTCTCTCTGCCACAGTCTCTCCCAGCTCGCTAAGCCCTGTTGCCCCTCCAGCTTCCGACACCTCTTCCCAGTCTTCTCTTCTCCCTCTGACCCCTCATCATTGTCCCACCACTCCTCCTCAGGCTCTGATCCTTCCTTTGGTAGTTCCCCAGCTGGTTCCTCCCGCCATTCCTCTGCATCCAACCAGTCCATGACACCAACCTAGCCTATAGGGGGAAGGGGACTTCCATGAGAAACCTGGTAGAAAATGCCTCATCCTTGTGGGAGCTGGCATGCAGCAAAGCATAACATTCAGGAATGCACGCAAGAGGAGAGGCCCCACTTCTGATCTCTTTCCATCCTTCTTTCTAGATAACTTGAACGATCTCTTTACGACTCATAGGAGTGTTGGGATATTTTTCTAGGAGCATCCTGGCAGCCTCTGCACATATAAGGCAAGTGCAAGTGGCTTGGGCTAAGAATCACATCCAGCTTGCAACCTGCCCTTTCTCTGCCCTCTCGTCATCTCTAGAAACAAATAACCTGGGCACTATAGCAATGTGAGGGGAACAGGGGTCTCCCAATTCCAGGATATGCATAGTGCAGGCAAGGCCTTAAAGTTATCATGAAACCCCCTTAAAGAGGCTGTCACCCTTACATGATCTTCTGGCAATCTGGAGTCCCATTTGGACATGGTTGCTGAGACTTAATTACATATTTCTCCGTCTTGCAAACAGCAATATACGTGACCAGGCGGGACTGCGGAAACGAGCACCAGTTCCTAGGGGAGAAGAGGGAAATGCAGGCAGGAATTGTGAGAACAGCTACCATTGGTCTCTATATCAGGCAAACATAACAGTTTTTATTAAAGATCGTATGGTGCAACAAACAAAAGAAAGTACATATAGCATCTTCACTTTCAATTCATAGATTCTCGTTCACAATTTCTTTACATTTGGTATGAGACATTGTTTTCATAGGCATTATTATAATTGGGGGGGGAGAAAGAGGAGGGGGGAGAGTGATGGGGGTATTGATCTTTCATTCTATTGCGCAGTGCTTGTGCAGGGTTTGTGTGACAGCATCACAGGGTTGGAGATTATATATATATATTTGTTGGAATGCGAGAGATTGGAGGGTCCATTCGGCTTGGTTGGTTTGCTTGAATGTGGAGCAGGGGGGAGATGGTCGAGTCAGATTAACCATACTGAGTCATATGCTGGGGTGGGGGAGTAGGTTATTGTGTTGTTGTGCTGTATTCGTAATAAAGGCGAGCCATACGGGGCTGAAGGCATCCTCCTTTGCTTGTCCCCTTGCTAGTTTAAATGTGTCTGTTATCTTTTCTAATAGGTCGGTTTCTCCTACATTTTGGTACCAGTGGTCCACATTCCCTCCTCTATGTGCCTTTCATGAGTGCACAGCAGGCAGAATTTCACAGGGGGAGCTTTTCCAATCAGTGCATCATCCTGCTAACCAAATGCTTCCTCCTCTGGTTTCTGTCTCCCGTGTGTTGTGGCAAAAAATCCTCTCTTCAAATGTACTGTTAAAGTCATAAAACCCCTGTCCTGGTTTGCTTCCGGTTACCCTGCACCAGGGTGGTGTAGTGGTTAAGAGAGGTAGACTCATAATCTGGTGAACTGGGTTCGCGTCTCCGCTCCTCCACATGCAGCTGCTGGGTGACCTTGGGCCAGTCACACTTCTCTGAAGTCTCTCAGACCCACTCACCTCACAGAGTGTTTGTTGTGGGGGAGGAAGGGAAAGGAGAATGTTAGCCGCTTTGAGACTCCTTAGGGTAGTGATAAAGCAGGATATCAAATCCAAACTCCTCCTCTCCTCTTCTATCCACAGGTCAGCCTTTCAAAACCTGGTGCCCTTCAGATGTTCTGGACTCCAACTCCCATCAGCCCCAGCCACCATGGTTTAATGATCAAGAATGATGGGAGTTGTAGTTCAACAACACCTGGAGTTGGTGAAGACTGTGCTGTGACCTGGTCCCAGAGCTCACCTTCTTGAAACTAACAGTTGGCAGACACTATGCTTTGGCATTTTTGCAAACATGAAAAAGGCTGCCCTTTGCCTGTGCAATGTTGCAAAATGCTGTTTGCTGAGGGGCCTCCCATCTTGTTGCACATAGAACTGTGCTGGCACGCAGGTTGCGAATGAGCTCTCTTGATAAACAACATTGTGCTGATATAAATATCCCTCTCTCTCCCGAGAAGTAGGCCAGCAGACAACAACACAAAATGTAACGTTTCCACACAATGCCACCAGCGCCATGCAGGCAATTCAGAAAGGTCAGGAGACCTTTCCACTCGGCTGCTGTAGGCAGATTTGCATTGAAACTGGGTGGCTTTCTGTCGGCGTGGAGAGAGCTCGCACCTACGAAAGAATGGCTGGACTTAGCTGCAATTTTATATCTTCCAGTGGGAACTGATCTCTGATAATCACCATACATGGGAAAGTTTTTGCTTTAAGGCAGAGTGGCAGAAACAATGGGAAAGTGCGTAAGGCAGGAGAAAGGAGGCTGAGGTCACTTCTTGCAGGAGCAGGAACTTAGCAACCAGTACACTGAGGCAGGAAACCAAGGAAAGCAAGCCCTGAAAACAAGGGTCGCAATCCAGCCAAAAGTTAAGCACATTTAAAAGTACTTTCCCAAAAAAACCCAGAGTCCTTTCTTTTGGGGATAATTCAGACTGAAATTCCCAGGTGTCAGAAAAGGTTATTTATGTGTGCTACAACTGCGGCCCATGTTTTGTTAGCCCCAAAATGGAAAATGAGTGAGGTCCCAGCCAAAGAAGAATGGCAACTTAAATTGACACAATATGCACAACTTGCAGACTTAACACATAGAATAAGAGAACAAGAAGAACATACGTTTAGAGAAAATTGGAAAATGTTTATTGAATATATGGGAAATAATTGTGCACAGCTGAAAACGCTGGCGGCATTAAGATAAGTTCAACAGTGTAAATAAGTTTTGATGGATGCAATAATGGAATACTGAATGGTATAGTTTTTGTAAAATATGCAGGGATTTATGATATGTAAAATGAACCATGGAAAGAGAAGGGAAGTCATTGATATCTTAAGGATGTAAAATGAGTATTTTAAACTGTAAAACAGAAAATTTAATAAATTTAACAAATTACACACATGCACACACACACACACAGAGAGAGAGAGAGAGAGAGAGGCCGGTGGTGACACAGGAAAGGGTCTTCTTTGTGGTGGCACTTTGGTTGTGGAATGTGCTCCCCAGAAAGGTTTGCCTGGCACCTGCATTATTTTATTCATTATTTTATTATTAGTTATTAAATGTGTGCAGCGCTGTTCATCAGCAGATCTCAGGGTGGTTCACATTATAAAAACACAAGGTAAAAACGCAAAACACATAATGAAAACAAGAATAATAGCAAAGCAAAACAATGCCCCCCCCCAAACATAAAAGGACATAGGATGTTTGTCAGCCCAAAGCCTGATTGAAGAGAAATATTTCAGCCTGGCATCTGAAAGTGTATAATGAAGGCGTCAGGCAAACCTCCATTTATTCAGATTTATATGAGTCCTACAGGCATAGGGCAGTATACAGAAGCAAAAGAAGTACAAACTTAAGGAAAACTATACCAAATTGATTTTAAGACCTTATGAAACAACAGTACATCAAGGGGAAACTCATAACATTGATCCAAACCCTCCAGGTATGAATAAACAAACACAATTGTATATAACAAAAAGTAAGATTATATGTATTGGGAAAATTTTGGGAAACAACACGCAGGGTGGGTAATATGGAAATAAAACAAAATGGGAATATGAGGGAAGTCCAGAGGAGGGGGGGGAATATGGAAAATTGTTAGAGAAATATTGTTAGAGGATGTATACATGGAAAACCCAATAATACACACACACACACACACCCTCCTTGCTCCGCTTCCAAAGACTTGGTGGAAGAGGTACATATTTTCCTTTTGTCTAAAAGAATGAATTGGGCCCGGAGAGTTTCATAGACATGGAGCCACGACAGAAAAGACCCTTTCCCAGGGACCCACACCTCATATCTCATCCAACACATGGACCATTATGAGGTCTTCTTTTGTGGATCTAGGGAGATGGGGAGGTAGATCGGGAAGAGGATGCTCTTTCGAGTTCTTGAGTTTGAGGTTTTCTATGGCTTTAAATGCATGTGAGATACAGGACTGGCGGTGGACTCTGTTTTGTCCTTTGCCTCAGGCAGCAGCATTTGTTTGGCTGGCCCTAGGGGTGATGGTTTCATGGGGTTTCTCTACTACGAAAGTGTAGTTGGATGAGATCACCCATTTTATGACACCGTCTCCTAATGGGAAACGTTCTCATTAGACAAAAGCCCAAAGGCGCCAATTCAGAAGCATTACAGGAAGCCGAGGTCACAAGATGGCAGGCTGAAAATGGATTTTTGATCCTCTTAAGATGTGTCCAAGACTTTCCCTGCACTAGATTAATGCAATGATAAAATGTTTTCTCTCTTCTGAAAGCATCTTTTGTTCCTACTTAATTCACATTATCGCCACCGCAACAGAAGAGATACAGCCAATTCAGAAAGTGGTTTGCATTTTGGTTTTGTCTTTACGCAAAGGGATCGTCCGCTGTAGTAACTGCAGCTTAGATTTCAGATTTCCCTTACATTAGCTACCCTGTGCAGGCAAGTCCAAAGCCATTGTCTAGAATAATTGAACAACTCCGTGTTTCCTTCTAAACCACTGTCATCAGAGCTTGTTCCTTCTCTGACTTGGCTGAAACCATCCCTTCAGGAATCACACCAATCAATGATGCCCCTTTGCCAAATCAACATAAATCTCAAAGGGCCAAATAATCTTAGCTTTGGAAGGCAGTTGTGAAGAAGAAGAAGAAGAAGAAGAAGAAGAAGAAGAAGAAGAAGAAGAAGAAGAAGAAGAAGATGGAGGTCTTCAGTTGTTGTTTGAATATGTTTTCGTCCAAAACACAGGGGCTACTTCTGGAGACAAACTGCTACCAGCATATAACACTTGGGCAGATCCTGCAGACAATCTGCTACCAAGCCAAGTTCAAGGTTTCAGAACATACATATAAGGACCAAGTTGCTTGATAGGCCACCTTATCCCTTACATATGTTCTGCAGGAGAATTTCTCCTCAATGTTCCCTAAATTTCCACAGCAACTCAGAGCTGGGCTTTTAGTGTGGCCGCCCCTGTTTCATGCAATGTTATACCTGCCGATACCCCATGGAATGGCAGCAGTTTGGCTTTTCTTGTCAAGTTCTCCCTTGTCTGTCTCCAGGTGGAGATGATTTCAGCCTACTCCAGGAGCAAGGAACCCCACGGCCTATAAACTGGATCAGGCCCACAGAGCTATTTCAAGTGACCCACCATTCCCTGAACCCATTGATATTTTTCTAGAAAGAGGTGCCAGAACTCACCATGAACACCGCCCTTGTTCTCTTATACAGTGGTACCTTGGGTTACATACACTTCAGGTTACAGACACTTCAGGTTACAGACTCCGCTAACCCATAAATAGTGCTTCAGGTTAAGAACTTTGCTTCAGGATGAGAACAGAAATCATGCAGTGGCGGCGCTGCGGCAGCAGGAAACCCCATTAGCTAAAGCGGTGCTTCAGGTTAAGAACAGTTTCAGGTTAAGTACGGACTTCCGGAACAAATTAAGTACTTAACCCGAGGTACCACTGTAATGGCGAAGCCCACCTGTGAGGTGCAGGAACTGAGTTCTGGTGAGTTCCAGATGAAAAAAACCTTGCCTGAATCCTGCCCCCCTCACCCCATCACAGCATTGGGCCTTATTCTGACTTGTCGTCATTCCCTGCTGAAGTTCAAGGGACTCAATGCCAGATGGGTTTTCTTCCTCTAAGTGTTGCAATATATTTTTTTAAAAAAACAGACAAACAAACCAAAACAAACGACAGACAGATAGATTACATAGATCACAGTGTCTGTGATTTTTTCCCCCCTTCTACCTGAGACAGGGGTGGGGTTTGTTTGGTTTGGGGGTTTTTTAGCACTTTTGGTGCAAACTTGACGGTTTGAAAAAGGGGCCTGATTAGAACTACCAATGTTTTCCGGTACAACCAAGCAAAGCAAACAAGCAATTAAGCCTGAGCATTGTTCTGGCTTCCCTAGAAGGAGAGCAGTGGGGATTTTCGCACTGCTTTTATCTGCTTCCAGCGCTTAGGAGAGTTCCTGCAGCCCCCATTTATCACCCAAATGCGACAGTCGGAAATGAGAAGCTGCTTATATTAAAGATCTGGCCAGCCTATCGAAAGCAGGGAAGCCTGTGTGCAAGTGTGTGATAACAACACCGCACCTGAAATAAATCTTGCTTCATGGCTTCTGACTTCCCTCCTCAGTGACAAGCACCAGGCCATGGTCACACCAAGGTCCATTTCCTATGCGGTGACTTTATTGGAGACCTGTAGCCATTCCTAGCCTAGCTCTGCAGTTATGCAATTTTCAATATTCAAATCGAGCCCAAGGATGTGTAGGCCAACAAACACAAAACTGAAAAGCCCACGGTCAAAACCCCTATGAAAAGGTAAAGGAGCCCTGACAGTTACGGTAAGTCCAGTCACAGACAACTCTGGGTTTGTGGCACTCATCTCGCTCTATAGGCCGAGGGAGCCGGCGTTTGTCCGCAGACAGCTTCTGGGTCATGTGGCCAGCATGACTAAGCCGCTTCTGGCGAAGCAGAGCAGCGCACGGAAACGCCGTTTACCTTTCCACCAGAGTGGTAACTATTTATCTACTTGCACTTTTTGGTGTGCTTTCGAACTGCTAGGCAGGCAGGAGCTGGGACCAAACAATGGGAGCTCACCCTGTTGCGGGGATTCGAACCACCAACCTTCTAATCGGCAAGCCGTAGGCTCCGTGGTTTAGACCGCAGCACCACCTGCATTCCTCAAAACCCCTATAGCATTGTAATATTCCACCCGCCTCCCAAGGAATTTGTCTGAACTGGGGGAGAGAAGAGAGAAAATGAAAACACATTTGTTCATGTTCTCCCTGGCCTGTCGCAGCTGCAGTAGGGGACAGGCTACCAACCTGCCATTGCTAGTTTATAAAGTGGCATCAAGTATGTCATCAGCTATAAAAATTCAGACTCAGCGCCAACTCCCCAACTGTTTATCTCCCCTCCCCCAAGCAGGTGAGATATGCCGGTATCTCATAATCATCAGGGCTCATCAACTTGGGAAGGTAGCCTGTCTAGGAGAAGGAAAACTCTGATCCTAAACCTCCTCTGGCTTGGAGGACATCTTTGGGAGAAGAAATGGCTGAAGAGTAAACCCTGCACAAACCCAGAGTGGAGTCCCTAAAACGGTTGGATGGTGCCTGGTACATCTCTTTCCAGCAACTCCTGCAGCCAAGCTGGTGCCAAAAGTATTGCTCTGCTTTTCGTTGGACCACCCCACAGAGGCCAAGAGTGGTCTTGTCATCTGGGCAGCCCAGGACCTCCATCCACACTGCCCAAGTTTGCACCCTGGAGAGGTCACTTCGGTGCTGCTTGACTTCACCCCCAGAGGCGTGCTCCATTGTCTCCTGAGACAGATGGATGCCAACAAGTAATCATCAGCTATCCAAAGCCTTCGAGCACACATATTCACAATTACAACCCATTATTCCCCATTGTTGAAGCACCTGGGTAGACTGTAAACAAAAGCTTCGAGATGGTTTTCTCTTGACACCACACCATTTCTCAGAATGCTATCACCCCCAGCACAGCCCCAGCACAGTGGCTCTAAGGAACAGGCAAAATTTCTTCTAGATTTGATTCTCAGGTTAATACACCGATTTTCACTGCCCAATTCCAGCCTCTGCCTGCTTGTCCCTGTTTCTACTGATGACAAGAGTCGGGCCAAATAAGGTAACAGAGTGAAAGTATGTCAGGATTGCTCATCCCGGAAACCACAACGGTCCAGTGACAAAATGCATTGTCTTTCAGGAAGTATGCAGCTTCCGCAACTGAAAAATGTATCATCTGGATAAGACCCAAGATACAAATAATGAATGACACCAGAATTCATCAGAATGCACCATCACAAGACAGAATTCCAGCATTTTGCTCTTTTGAGCAAGAGCCAACCTCCAGAGATGGGGAACTGGTGGGCTGTCAGATGCGGCTGAACTGCAGCTCCCATCATTCCTGACCATTGGCCACACTGTGATAGTGCAGGATCTAAGAACACCCCCAGACTCCACACCAGTTCCTTCAGGAAGAGTGTGGCTCCATTCAAGAGCAGCAATTTCATGACCTCCCAGACCTGCAACCCTCTCACCCACGGAGATGCCACCTCACCAGGATCCAGGCTCAGTTTATTAGTTCCCACCCAGCCCACCTCTGTGTCTAGACACTCATCTGGGGCCTGCACAGCCATTTCTGATTTAGAGGAAGGGGGAGGGAGTTCCAAAATTTCCTGATCTTAGAACTTGTATCCGGTCACATCACCAAACTTCCTTTCCATATCTTCTTTGTAATCGCAAAATACCGGAAAATGTATTGAAATAGCAGATTCTCCTCCTCCAGACATACATTGAACCAACCACCTGTTGTGAGACATGAGCCGACAGTATAACATTGTATATGACCTTGTGTGGGAAAACATCCAAAGGCCGGGATAGATTTATATATAGCCGACGGATGTCTCCATCTGGCAACTGAAATGGTTTCCTCTCACGCCTACACTTGAGGCCTTTTCAGACACGGTGCATTTCCAACATGGAAAGCCCTTTCAACTTAGAAAATGTGCAAAAGCCACACGGAGACCATCACAACCGCCGGATGTGTACGTGAGGGAATGCGTGCGTACCTTTTATTTTTATTTATTTAGAGAATTTATATGCCGCCTCCCACTTCTGTGACAAATTATCAAAGCAGTTTACATACATAATCAATGAAATCCAATTAGTAGAACTAAATTGGAACAGCGAGGAGGGGCAGGGAAATACAAAATCAATCCCAGAACAGAAAAGATGGTAATCACAGAAGCAAGTTCATTACAGAACACAGGGCTTGTTTCCCCCCACAATTCAGTGCTAATTCCAAGAGCAGCGCTTAATTTCTCTCCATAGAAGTGAAGGATGGCTATTCTCTATTGCCCTCAAAGACACCACTGTCTGGTGGTCTCAGTTTTTAGAGTGGCACAAGAGCCAACTCTTTCCTACTGAACTGGAAACTGTTGCCCTCCAGATATTGCTAGATGATAGTTCCCGCCATGAACTGGCAGCACAACAGAGAGGAGGAAGAGGATGCCAGCAAGTTGTGTAGTCAGGACTGGGACACACCAGGGCAAGCTGACGATGGGGAAGGAGAGGTTCGTGTAGGAAGTACTCACAGGGTGACAGATGATGACGAGGGGATGGGGGTCAGTGCACAGGAACCAGAGCAGCAGGACCCATCACCAGAGCCAGAGGGGCCCATCTCCATTAACACGGCAGACTCTGAGGCATTGGGAGCAGCAGCACTCTAGGAGGCCGAGGCAGGCCGGGGCCCACAGCCCAGCTCTAAGCTGGCCAGGTAGGGCGTGCTAGCTCTGGACTATGATTCCTCATCTGGAGTAGGCTTGGAGCAGGTGAGGACCACATGCCTTGTCAATCCCAGATGCTGCAATCAGCATTCAAAGTATAAAAGGGCAACAGAGCTGAGGTGCTGTGTCTGTTCAACTGCTCCAGGATCTCTGTGGGACTGTGCTTCCTTGGACATGTGGACTGACCCTGGTCTGGGGACTTGACATACTGACTTGCCGTCAGGTCAGGCCAGAGGTTCGGGACAGCTCCCATCATCCTTGACCTTGGTCCATGGTGGCTGGGGCTCATGGGAGTTGGAGTCCAGTGTTTACAGCCAGTTTTCCCAGACCAGACGTTAAGCTATCCAGTCTGTAGTTTTCCAGATCCCCTCTCAAATCCCTTTTCAAAAACTGATGTCCACTTTCTGGTCATCAGATGCAGAAGCCAATTTTAGGGAGAAGTCGTGTGGTTTGCTTGGAAGGTCGAGAATTTCGCTTTTGAGTTTTTAAAGAACTCTTGGGTAGACACCACCTGGACCCAGTGATTTGTTCATTTTTAGTTTGTGAGTAAGGTCTAGAAATTTTGTCTCTTTTCACTGTTTCCAACCAGTTCAACAATACTTACATTTCCCACCAGGTAAGATTAAGTCCAGTGTTAGACTCATAGAACTGTAGAGCTGGAAGGGACAATGAGGGTTATCTAGCCCAGGGCTGCCTCTCTTCTGATTGGTTCCATGACCAATTGTTCCAGGGCACAGTATTTAGGAGTGTATATAAATGTTACTAGAGGTAACCAGAACAGGCATGTAGCCAGTTTCTGTGAGGGTTACATAAATCACTCATTACTATGACATTTCCCCCTTTGGCTGCCTTCTCGATTTCAGTCTTCAACCCAAGAATGCCCTGGGCATTTCTGATTAGGGAGTGTGTGTGCACCGGCATGTGCAAAGAAACTTGTCATAAAACAATTAGAAACAGCTCAAACCATGTGTCACACGTCACCAAGTATTTGGCCTCAACAAACAATTACACCCTCAGGGTTGAGTCTGCGCTAGTTTCATGACACTGGGTGCTGGCATCTCTTTAAAGAGTGGCTTCTCTGTTGTAGTTGCGGATGGGTTGAAGGAAGAAGCTGAGTCCTTACAGTTGAGGTTAACCGATTCTGATCTCCCCACAAGGAATCTGCCCTGCAGTCCTCAGGTGTCAGCCACTCCAGGCGCATTAAGAAGGGAGTGTCTCAAATGCTCCGTCAGGGTAACTTAGATGTCAACGCAGCTAACTGCCCTGTTCATCATGCCGTGAAGATAAACAAAGATCAGCAGCCAATATGATTCACAACTCATCACATGCATGAACAAGCAAAATGTCATCAAAATAATTCTGGTTTGCAGCACCAACACAACCACAGCATGTAACATACATCACATCATCAGAGGTCAGATTGATGCTGCAGTTCTTGAGGAAGGGGCTTTGGTCAGCAATAGAGTACATGCTTTGCACACAGACTTCTGCATTTCATCCCTCAGCTTCTCTGGTAAAAAGATCTCAGGTAGTAGGACCAGAAATATCTACCTGGTGCCTTGGAGGCTTAGATCTACTCTGCCATTTGGAGTAGACCGTGCTCAGTGGGATGGACCAATAGGTAGCTTTATATTGTTATGGATTTCCAATCAGATTTCTTTTAAGTCCTGAGGCACCCCTGGCCAACCAACTTGAAAAAACATTGTATGTATCATTCGTTGGAGTTTGGTAAATATACTGCAGCTGTGTGCAGAAAGTAGTCTGGTAAGACTGCTGCCTGAATGAATAAAAGGAAGTTAACTTTTATTAACTTCTGCAAACAATGTCATCCTGGGCTCATGTGTGCCCACTATGGAGTCATGAGGTTAAGGGAACACTAGGAAAAGCTAAGAAAGTCTGACTGGAGAAGGAGAAGGAAGTATAAGCCTGAAAAGAAGTAATGCACATGCCAACAAGTAGCTACCAAAGAAGGAACCAACAGGAGGAAAAACAGGTTGCCCGTCTATAGACCCAGCCCAGTTCAGGTAAACAACTACAAACTTTGTTGCTTTTACTCCCAACACCCCAGCATTTCATCAATGGCATGAGATGACCCAAAGCAAACCACAATCTCTGCCAAGCCAGAAATCTTGGTTTGTTTCCTTTCAGAATGAGCAGGGAGGAATGAAGTAGGTGCACACTAAGCGATAGTTTATGGCTTAATATGATGTGGGGACACAGTCTATGTGTGGATTGTGTGCACACGCGCTAAATTTCTCCTTCAGAACTTGGCACACTTATTCTCTGCACACCAGTGGCTGCATTGTGCCTCTTCGTAGAACCGTAGTTGGAGTGTTGTGAATATCAAGGAGTTACACTCTGTGCTAAGTGGAAATGCTGACTCAGTATCGTGTGATGGGTCAGCCTTAGGAGACACGGGGTGTTGCCTAACTGGTTTATAGCTAGCTAGTATAAAAAGGTATGGTTGACTTCTCCTCTGTATGTAATACCACCTGTGTATGCTGATTCCTGGATGTAAGAAGACTGCTTTATGATGATGCAAGACTGCAACTGGAATAAAGCCCTGCTTAAAATGCAGCTTGACTCTCGAGTGCTTCATATGGGGCTGCCGTACATCTCAACAGACGGGACCACAAGAGTCATCTCTAGTCCCACCTCCTGCATCTTTCACCCAACATGGGACTGGAACCCACAACCCTGAGATTAAGAGTCCCATGTTCTATCCACCCTCTCCCATGAGCCCATGTTCTGAGAACCCTTAAACCCTCGGCAAACACAGAAGGGGAACCATGTTGAACATACCTCAGAAGGTAGAGAGCACAATGGAGCACAGCAAACACAATATGGAGACCATGTTTTTTGGAGAGCCAGTAAGCTAAGATGGTAAGAGACACAAACACATTTCCTTTCCACATTTCCCTTTCCACATTTCTCAGCTAAGGTGGGTGCTTACCTATAGTAACTGAGACTTTCAAAGCAAAGGAACCAAACATTAGCAGCACAGAGTTGTAAATATAAAGAGTTGGTTGTTGTTGCTGCGGCTGCTTCTGCTGCAGGCACAGCTCTGCACTAAGAGGTATTGCAATGAAAAATTCATTAAGCTTTCTACATTGGTTTTTATATCTCATCAGCCAAGGACCTCTTTACATGCCCTGGACATCTTTGAAATGTACTGGGGAGCCCTGAGATTTCACGAGACCTTGCCAGGAACTGCCGCAGCTGCTTCTCCTTCTGTGGCAGTAGCAGAGCACCTATAGGGGTGCAGCCCCATGGGATTCCACTTTATGGGTGGGCCAACCCCGTCTGGAAGTAAATCCCATTGAACTCCAAGGGGCTTACTTCTGAGCAGACATGTATAGGATTACACGGCACATCCCATTGATTTTGATGAATAAGTCAACATGAAAGACATATCAGTAATTGATTCTAGCTGAACAACGCTCCAAGTTCTACAGCACATTTAACTCTTCTGCCCTGTTTTACACTGACACTGTTTAATAATTTCTTGTTTGCTTTATTCCGAATTTGATTGCTTCTGTTTTCAAATGGTGAGCCACCTCGAGTAAAAGGTGAAATATAAATCACTATAACAAATACATTTCCAGTTTCACTAAATATTACAAATAATAGCCAAGGCTAGCTCTTCATCAGTTTTGTGTGTGTGTGTGTATGTGTGTGTGTGTTTAAACTGTAGGTGAATGGCTGTAAAACTTAATGTGCTTGCACAAGTTAGGTCTAAGCACTGAACAGAAACAAACCATCTCGTTCCCTTGCTACCATTAATACCCATTTGTTTGCTTTTGGTTGCTAATAGGCTTACAAGATGAAAAGAATAATTAAAAATATGGGATGCTTCCGTATCTATGGCTGTGTGGTCCAGTGACGTTCTAGAATAAACTGCACCCCTTCCTAGAATGCATATCTAAAATCTCCAACTATCCTTCTAATTCCAGAATTATTTCCTTATGAATACAATCCTATACACACTTACCCTGGTGAATGTGACTTATTCTGAGTGAAGCTGACATATTCAGGGCAACCTTCTATGTGTCTACTCATGAATGGGGTGCAACATAGATGTCACAGAAAGTCTTTTTGGCCGATACTTACTCATGATGAGGTTGATGTTCTCTGGTATCATCATAATCCTTCACATCATCAGTCACAATGGTGGCAGCCGGGTGGAGGACTTCTTCTCTGATGTGTTCCTTCCCCCAATATTCCTCTGGCCAAGAAGATGGCTGTGGGTCTGTTAGCATCTTGTGGTCCTGGGGCCACTGCTTGTGATCTGGATGCCCAGGGTATCTTGAATGCAGGTCTGACTCCGCCAGCACTAGGGTGCCACAGAGGAAGAAGACCTTAGCTATCATCGTGGGCTCCTTCCTTGGTGCTCTTACACTTCCCTGCACTTCAAATCAAATTGCTCCTGCAATCCCCTTTGCACCATTCCTTAAGCTCAAGCTTGGAAAAGGGAATGGCACGTAACAAAGAACGGAAGCAACGCTATCGGCCCTCCCAGCTACAGTGGAAATGTTAAAGGTCATCAGACAATGTGGGTTCCTGTGGGGGCCCCCAAAGACCTCAGTCGGGGAGGTGGTGTGTGAGTTTGTGTGTAGGAGAGAGGCAGGGGGTGGTCGTGGTTGATTCAAGGGCGGGGGGACGGGGACTTCTGTGTGTTTTCCTTACTAGCTTCTGAAATTATCAACAGACAAGAACTGGATCTTTTATCAGCTGCCTTCTTGCTGGGGAGCAGGAAAAGGATGTTAGCTTTCGTGAGGAGGCAAGGAAAAGAAAATATTTAGTGATGGAGCAGTTTCCCAAGCCGCATGCCACACACTAAGCAGCCCGATGCAGCCACAGAACACGCTGAAAATTGCTGTGACATAAAAGCAGGGCTACATTTACTTTGCACTCAAACATATTAACATCCTGTGCCCAGGATGTCCAAATTCTGCACCAAGAAAACAGGATCCGAGATCCTGCAGCCTGTATACATAATACTGTTTTGCATAATGCTTTCTGTTTTTGCTATTCATGGAAAGGAGCAAGGAGCTATGCAGGGCATTGAAATCCCACAGCAAATAGTCAAAATCATCCAGCTGCTATTGCTTACATATTTTTGGCTATATTTTTGTAGTCATGAGGTCTAGTAACTTGCTTTTTTTTAAAAAAAAGCGAAGGCTGACATTTTCAGAAAACTGAATTCTGTGGCCATTTCCATATTCTCTGCTCCTTTTCTGAACTCCAGTGGAGACCCACAGCCTTGTTTAAAGACTAGTACAAGCTGGTTACAGCAAATACCACAATTTATTTCTATATCTCCTTACCTTATACAGTGGTACCTTGGGTTAAGTACTTAATTCGTTCCGGAGGTCCGTTCTTAACCTGAAACTGTTCTTAACCTGAAGCACCACTTTAGCTAATGGGGCCTCCCGCTGCCGCCGCGCCTCCGGAGCACGATTTCTGTTCTCATCCTGAAGCAAAGTTCTTAACCCGAGGTATTATTTCTGGGTTAGCGGAGTCTGTAACCTGAAGTGTATGTAACCCGAGGTACCACTGTATATCCTACATTTCTTTCATCATGCAACCCAAGGCAACCTACATGTAGTTCTCAGGCTGTCTCCCATCCAGGGCAGCTGACCAGACCCACACCTGCTTAGCTTTAGCAAGATGGTGGCCTCATTATGGCTTGAATGCTTCAAGATTTTGATGCCAAATACAGACCAATATGGCGCCCTGAGAGAGGACAAAATTTGGAATCCGCCCCCTACTTTGAGCAAGTACCCATATAAATGTAGGCTTTATTATTTTTACTAATAATTTGTGCTCCTTCAACTAGGGGCCCTGTATGGGAGAACCACCCACACTGCCCTACATCTGGCGCTGATCGCAGGACCATCTTACAACCTTCAGTATTTCAAAGATGAAAACTCTTGCGCATTTAAAACATGCCATTCTCACAGCAAAGATCATTCCCTGAGCTGCCCATCCATACTATCACATTGACAAAACTCTCTTCCACCTGCTGCACTGTTCATTTACTCTAAAGTAGTCTGGCTTACACTGATATAGAAGCTAGAAAGATTGGGGATTTGAAGTTGTTAGGATAAAATTGCCATGCCCCAGTTTCACAAGACATTTGGGACAAATGAATCTCTCCAGGAATAATCCATCATCTTCTGTTTATTACAAGCTATACTTTACATCCCTTAATTTGTATTGTGTTGTCAACTATTATACAGTTCTCTGTACGGATGCTGCTGCTTTCTCATGTTTGATATTTTGCTTCATCTCATTTACCACCCTTAGTCTGCCCAAGTTCCTTCTGTTCAATAAAAATAAATAAAAAATATTTTTTTTTTAAATTGCCACCATCCTATTGTAGATGCCATTACATAGTTTGCCCACAAGGCAGCGCTGGACTTAGTTGTATCTGGTTAGAGACAGGAGTTTTCTGTTGCTCTTCTGTCTGTAGAGAGAGACTTCAAGGTTCTTATCTAGCTTCCTAAATAGTGTTTCCTTCCGTGACAACTGTTCAACAGAGGGCCTTCTCGGTAGTGGCGCCTTCCCTGTGGAACACCCTCCCACCAGATGTCAAAGAGAACAACAACTACCAGGCTTTTAGAAGACATCTGAAGGCAGCCCTGTTTCAGGAAGCTTTTAATGTTTGATGTATTATAGTATTTTAATATTCTTTTGGAAGCCGCCCAGAGTGGCCGGGGAAGCCCAGCCAGATGGGCGGGGTATAAATAATAAATTATTATTATTATTATTATTATTATTCAACACTAACCTGATCAGCTGTTCTTTGGGAAATGACGCACTGTGTGCATTATGTCATGTCTTAGTGGCCACCCTGAGCCCGCATTTTTTAACGCACTTAGAAACTGAAATGCATCCTCCTCCTTCCAGGATTTCTGGAGCCCTGCCTGGGAGAGGGAGTGGATACCAGGAACAGGAAGTGGATACCAGGAACAGGGCAACTCCAACTGACATGTTGCATGTTCCCCACTCCAGGGTTCAGTTCCTTGGAAAGAAGGTCCATGGAGCCTATGTTGTCTTTTGGGTGTATGGTTTTATTTTAACCTGAGGGCAGGATGGATGAGCTCCCGGCATTAAGACTCCAACAGATCTCGCTTCCGCATTAGGTTTCCAGTGAAGACCTCACCGCCACCAAAGCCATAGCTTTGGGATTCAGTCCACAGACAAAGTCAAGGCTGCCTGTGTCTCCAGCTTCCAGCCCAGTCACAACTCTCTCTCAGACACTACCATCCCTGGTTCATTGCTCTCCAACTTAGGATTCAACCATCTAGTCCAGCATCCTGTTCTCACAGTGGCCAACCAGACAGTGACGTAGGAAGGGGGGTGCGGGCCGCCCCAGGTGTCATCACTGGGGAGGGGGGGTGACAAAATGGCAAAAATATGTGTTTTTAAAATAAGAAATTATTATCGTGGGAAAAAAAGGTTTTAAGTGCTTGTGTTCACAAGTAAATAAACCATAAAATAACACTTGCAACTGTATCTTTCCTTATTTTAATAATTTCAATGTGGTGGTGGGGGGGAGTGACAAGAAATTTTCTGCACCGGGTACCACCTGACCTTGCTACGCCACTGCAGCCAGATGCTCAGGGGAAGCCCACAAGCTAAATCTGAGCACAACAGCATTCTCCCCACTTGTGCATCTCAGCAGTTAGTCTGCAGAGGTGAACTGCCTTTGATAGTGGAGGTATGGTATCATGGCTAGTACCCCCCCCCCATTTAAATTTTGCTTGCTTTTTGTTTATAGAGTTTCCCACCAGAAGATCGCAGTGCAGGTTACAACAACATAAAAAATACAATTTTGAACATCAGTTCAATAACCTTAGGAAAGTCTTTCTCTCAGCCTCAGTCTCCTGTCTGTGAAATGGGTGCGGGGAATGATACCGATTTGCCATGCCGGGCTGATGATGTAAGGATTATAACAAGCTAAAGCATGGCAAGTTCTTTATACACAAAGGATGTTATTACATCACTGTTGATAATAAGGTCAGGGAGAAAAAGATGTAAAAACACCAAAAAAAGCCCTAACAGCCAGAATCTTTTTAGGACATATTTTTTATGGCAATTCCTGAGGGTCACAATTTCTCTGCATATAGTTTGAATAATTTAAATGAGTTTTATGCTCACAGAACTGGAACAAGGATTCAGCTGTTCTCGGTGAATATATAGGAATGTTGTGTGGATTTACCACCTACTCACCCGACTTAGAAAGTGTGGACTCCTTCTGCCTGCCTCTCTCTCTCTCTCTCTCTCTCTCTCTCTCTCTCTCTCTCTTCCTTCCTTCCTTCCTTCCTTCCTTCCCACTCACTCACTCACTCACTCACTCACTCACATCTAAGCATATTTAAATCACCTGACTTCCTCCAAAGAAACCTGAGGGAGTACCCCTCACAGAGCCCCTCAATTCCCAGCACCCTTAACAAACTACAGTTCATTGGACTCTTTGAAGGAGGGCATACCCTCTAATATTTCTCTGATGAAAATAGGTTCATCCCATGCCATAATGATAATTTTACTATTTATACCCCACACATCTTACTGGGTTGCCCCAGTCACTCGGGGCAGCTTCCTACATATATAAAAACATAATAAAACATTAAGCATTAAATAAACTTCTCTATACACGATTGTCTTCAGACAGCTCGGGGGTCAGATAACTCCATACCCTCCAACATTTCTCCAATGAAAACAGGGACATCTTAAGGGAATGTGGGACATTCCAGAATCAAATCAGAAACCGGGATGGCTTCTCTAAATCAGGGACATCCCTGGAAAATAGGGACACTTGGAGGGTCTGGTAATGTACTTTAAATGTATACTGTAGATAATTTGAACTCAAATAGTCTCAGGTAGTAGGACTGGGAAGGATCACTGGCTGAGATCTTGCTCAACAGCACACCACTTGCTGCATGTAGTCTAATGGTTGAAAGAACGAGCTTTGAAGTCATTGGTCCAAATTTCACCTCAGGATATGGCATGTCTGGGTACCCTCAAACAGCACGTTTTCTCAGCTCTGACCCCACACCTGCTACAATAATTTACAAAATTGTTGTAAAGATAGTTCAGGAAGTCTATGTGACGATCCCTAGCACTTAGGGAAACTCCTGTATAAACAATAGGTATTACTGTTTTAACTTTCCAGCTTGTATGCCCTGTAAAGTGCAATCTAGACTTTTTAAGAAAGGGATCCATCAAAGAAAGGAGTCACAAAACACCATCCACTGGGTGAGCAGAAGCGCCTAACATAGCAGAATGCAGGACTGGCTTCAGAATTCAGCTTTCTAAGACTCCGGGCATCCATTGCTTAATATTAATTTAAGTTTCTAGTCCTTTTAGTGTGGAAATGAGCTTGAAAGTGTGTTGAGAAATCTCAGAAGCTGGAGGCATATAACATTTCCCAGCAGCTATGATGCCTCACAAAGCAAACAGCAAAAAAACCAACTTATCCAAAGAGAATTATGCAGATGTGCTCAATAGGCATATTTTATACTGTTCACAGAATCCAGCTTTTCTTGGGGCAGAATTTGGATTGCCTAGGTGCAGAATTTTAATATTCTTCAGAGCAGAACATGTTTGCTTTCCCCTCCTTAAGTAGCATTGTTTCATTACCACTGATTTAGATGGCCAGGACTTCAACTCAACAACTGTGCTAAGTGCAGCAGGTCAGTTCTCTTTAAAAACTCTTGGCTCTCTTATGTACCAAGCAAATGATAGGAATATGCAAGCATGAAGACCTGTAATTAGCCTTTATCGCAAATCCAATGGAAGTTGCATTAGCAAGAATCCTCCTTCACCCATCTCCAAAAATCAATTGTGCATGTGCATGAGCCTCTGAGTGTGGAGTCCCAGTGGCAGCCATCAGCGCATGGATAAAAATTCTCTGCAAAGCTTCCAGGAAATCAGGCAAAGAAGGGAAGATGTCTGTGAGGAATGCCATTTTGCAGATCTGGATCCATTTCAGACCAAGGATGGTCCAGGGCAGATGGTCAGCGCCAGCCAGCATGACCAATGAAGGACTGGAGTTGAAGACTAATAATCATCTGGAGGACCACAGGGTCTCCACCTTTGGTGAAGGGTATGACCTGGACACGGGTGGCGCTGTGGTCTAAACCACAGAGCCTAGGGCTTGCTGATCAGAAGGTCGGTGGTTCGAATCCCTGCGATGGAATGAGCTCCTGTTGTTCAGTCCCTGCTCCTGCCAACCTAGCAGCTCGAAAGCACGTCAAAGTGCAAGTAGATAAATAGGTACTGCTCCGGCGGGAAGGTAAACAGCGTTTCCATGTGCTGCTCTGGTTCGCCAGAAGCGGCTTAGTCATGCTGGCCACATGACCCGGAAAAACTGTGCGGACAAACGCCAGCTCCCTCGGCCACTAAAGCGAGATGAGCGCTGCAACCCCAGAGTCGTCCGCGACTGGATTTAACGGTCAGGGGTCCCATTACCTTATGACCTGGACTAGAAAAATAGCTCATTGGTACAGCAATACATTGCATGCAGAAAATCCTAACTTCTGTCTATAGAATCACCATGTAAAATAATCTCAGGCTTGGTCCTAGGGTTTCCAACTTGAATAAAATATTGGGGGGGCAGGTAAGCCCTACCCCACATAATTGATCACATGATGTGGTGCGCACACACCATTTGAGTGGCAATGCCCATCAACTTGGAGGTAGCGGCCCCCACAAATATTTTATTGGGGGGGTGAAGACTCCTCATCCCCTAGGAGTTGGCTCCTATGCTTGGTCCACGTGAACAGCAGACAGAGGTGGAAATGAGAAGCAAACTCCTAGTGTAGAGTAAACGGATTGAGAGAAGTTTTTCTGTCCTCTCATAATACCAGAAATTGTGGCCACCTAACAAAGCTGAAAGTTGGAAGATTTCAGACAGGAGAAAGGAAGTTCTTCACACAGTGCATGGTTAAATGACTGAACCCACTCCCCAAAAAGGGAGAGATGGCCACCCACTTGGATGGCTTTAACAGAGGATGAGACAGATTCATGGAGTCTATCAAGGGCTACTAGCCACGATGGCTTTGTCCTAACTCCACTGCTGGAGGCAGTCTGGGACAAGTGAAGGGGAAAATGGAACGGAGTTGCTAGAATGCTGGAGAGAAGCACTCCACACTGCAACATTTCATTGCAGTTCCCACTCGCAAATGCTAAACATTATTATTAAAGCTCCATGTGCAAGGCTGATTGTACTCAGGCAGTAAATGTCATAGAAGTCATTTAACCTGTGTCAACTCGGATGTTCAACTCATGCAAGTCCATTTGTTTTTCTGAATCAACATGTCTAACATTTGATGTCAACATGTGCTCCAAGATCCCCCCAAGCACATGGATCTTGCATGTAAGATCTTTGGGCTGATTCATGTGACCCATCTGGTATTTTGTCCCTTCTTCCAGCAGCACCAACACAAGGAGAAATCAGGTAATCTGCCTTGCCTTCACAGCCTCTGTTTATAGAAGTCACTGCATAATGGGCAAACCCAACATGGCAGAAGTTGGGTTCCTACAGACTCCCCTGTGAGTCTCTGCTTTGGCTGTAACATTGAGAATGAGAATTCAGGGGTGGCTTTCAGAAGTGTTTTCTGACATCTTTACTTTGCTGATACACTCATATTTTGCTCTTGGTTATTAGCTCCTGACTTTTTATATTGAGCCAGTGAAGGTCAAAAGGAGAAAAGACTATTAAGGAAAGAAAAACCCTTTTAAACTAATTGTATCAGTAGCAATATGTCGATTAGTGGACTGCAGCTCTAATCTCAACTTGGATCAATATTTTATTTATTCATCTCTCTCCGTGCTTATCACAGAGGACTCTTTGCCTGGTGTCCAGAATATAATGTTCAGCTCATTTCCTCCTTAGTGTTTTGAAAGAGGAGGGATTTTCAAATGCAAAAATGCATATGCGTATTCAGGACCAAACTTCCAAATTATATTTTGTAGTTGGAAACCACAGAATTTGGCTGAGTCTGTGTGTAGCCGCCGCAGTGACAGGAGCAGTGCTCACCTATTGGAGTTCCTGCAGCAAATTATTTTGGAATCTACTTCAGCCATGGCTTCTTCTGACATTCAGGTGAAAGAACTAGAAAAACGTGCTTCTGGACAGGCATTTGAATTGATACTTGGCCCTCCTTCAAAAGAAGCTGTTCCAGAGTTTCCCCTCTCTCCTCCAAAGAAAAAAGATCTCTCACTGGAGGAAGAAATTCAAAGGAAGCTAGAAGCAGCAGAAGAAAGGCGCAAGTCCCATGAAGCTGAAGTGTTGAAGCAGCTAGCTGAAAAACGAGAGCACGAGAAAGAGGTGCTGCAGAAGGCAATTGAAGAAAATAACAACTTCAGCAAAATGGCAGAGGAAAAGTTGACCCACAAAATGGAAGCTATCAAAGAGAACAGAGATGCACAAATGGCTGCTAAACTGGAGCGCTTGAGAGAGAAAGACAAGCATATTGAAGAAGTACGGAAGAACAAAGAAGGGGGAAAAGAATCTGGTGACAACGAAAGCGACTGACTTCATCCTGGAAACTCACTTTCTCCCCTTTGTCTAAATATCCAAAGACTGTATTGGCCAGTGTTTTTGTTAAGTTTCTAGAAAACTGATGTAGAGCTGTATAGTTAGATCCAACTGTACACATGCTTTGGGGAGCTAGAGGGGAGCCCTTTTCATGTTCACTCTTTTTCTAAAATGTTGTCTTTCCTGTGTAGCTATCTTGTTGCATTTCTTCTATTCCAGTGCATTTGTTCCTGGATTGATGGCTAGTGCTGTATTCAGCTCTGACATATTTGTGAAAGAAATATGTAGTGTAATGCTCATGCTGAATCTGTTACACTTCAGAATCTGTCGGTTTTAAACATATTACTGTAACCAAGTGACTTAATAAAAGCTGCACAGTGCTCTTATCACAGATGACTGTTTCTGAGACTAGCATGACTAAATATGCAACTTGGGCATAGCTATGGCTAGAACATTTTGATGCAATAAAGAACAAAAAATGCTTGCAAGCAAAAAAGAAAAAGAAAAGAAAAGAAAAGAAAAAAGAAAGAAAGAAAGAAAGAAAGAAAGAAAGAAAGAAAGAAAGAAACCACAGAATTTGACCTGTTGGAATAATGTGTCCACAAACTTGGTTTGGATCCAGACGAAGTCAATTCGGCTTATGTTCCGTTGAGTTAACGAACTGAAGAAAAGAAGAGTTTGGATTTGATATCCCGCTTTATCACTACCCAAAGGAGTCTCAAAGCGGCTAACATTCTCCTTTCCCTTCCTCCCCCACAACAAATACTCTGTGAGGTGAGTGGGGCTGAGAGACTTCAGAGAAGTGTGACTGGCCCAAGGTCACCCAGCAGCTGCATGTGGAGGAGCGGAGACGTGAGCCTGGTTCCCCAGATTACAAGACTATCGCTCTTAACCACTACACCACACTGGAACTGGCCTAAGTTCTGCAAAAAGATTCCTCTAGGAACAAAAGAAGCTTCTGTAGAGCTCTCCATCCAGCTCATTTGGTTGATAATGCCAAGGTTGTAGGTTCAATCCCAATATGGGATTGAACCAATGAATCAATCAATTCTATGATTCTATGAAATTATGGGTCCATCTAGCCCAGGGTTTCAGCCAGGGGATATTCCCAGTCCTGACTGGAGAGGGTGAAGATTGAACCTGCAAAACAGAACCCCTCCACTGAGCCACAGCCTTTCTGACAGACCTTTAGAAGTGGGCCTCTCACCACAGTTCTCCTTCCAGGACTTCTGCTTTCAAATTCCTTAAGGTCACTAGAGAAGGAGAGAGTTCCATCATTGTAAAAGATGCCATTGTCCATTAATATATTACCCTGCTCAACCTGTTCATATGAGAGAGGGGAATATCGCTCATAAAGCATAGGCATGAGAGTCGTCTCTGTGTGTGTGTCATTTTTCATTTAGACTCCCTGTTGAGATGCAGCAAAAGATTGAATTCACAGCTATCCGGGAAGTCAAACTCCTATTATGTGTTTATTGCGCAATTGATTTATGGGTCATTATTCTTCATGATACTGCGGCATATTCTCTATTCCTTAGCAGGCCTCTCTGCTAACACGTCCGGTTTTGTCCAGTTCTGAGAAGCCACATTTTCAAGGACCCAATTATTTATTCTGCACCTAAGGAAGCCTAACAATAAAAAAGAGATTACCGTACTTTTCCATCTCAAGAAAATGGTGGGAGACGGCACAGAGTTTTTGAGCTTTTTTAGGGGAGGATTGCCAGAGTTTTTGAGCTTTTTTTAGGGTGGATTGCTGAAAATCGCTTACCCAAACGCGTCCAAAAATCCGCCTCTCGTCTGTACCCAGTCGCCCGCCCAATTGCCACAGCGTCAGCCAATCAACACCAGCCATTGACGCAGCAACCAATAACACGCCCAATAGCCGCTGACAGCCACGGCAGCAACCAATCAAACGTCCACCCTACGCACTATCCACTTTTAAGCATATTTTTAAAAGAAAAAAACCTAGTCTTATACTCGGAAAAGTACGGTAGTTATTGCTATACCTCCTGTTGTTCAATTTTATTTCATGCAGAAGCCCTAATGAACAGAGAGCTTGAGAAGCACCCCTGCTTCAGTGGCAGTGGGTCTCCTCTGGCTTACCTTGTGGCAGCACCAAACTGGGTCCAGGAGCCACCCTTTAAATTTCCCACAATGACTCCTATGAAGCATCACTCTGGAGCATTATGGGAAATTTAAATGGCAGCTCCTGTACCCAGTCACTTTTTCAAAAGGGAGGCAGAGGGCAGGCACTGTGACTCTGGCAATTGCTTGAGGGAGGGTGTTCCTTTTCAGGCAGAATGCTTGAGGAATTTCAAGGTGGCCCAAAAGAAAGCTTCTTAGAGTTCTTCTGCACACAGAGTGAATTTCACCTGAATTGAAACTTGAAGTGTTTTCCAAGCAGTGCTGGTTCCATGTTCCAGTGGGTCCTTGTCTTCTTCTTCATTGGCGATCACGCGTTTCCAAGTAAGATAGTCTTGCATGAACACGGTCTTAACAGTGAGTCTGTAAGTGACTGTGGAGGCCAATTCTGTTTTGTTTTTTTTTAATGATATTTATTGAGAATTTAAAATTACAGAAAGAGAAAGGAAAAAACAAGAAAAAAGAAAAAGAAAAAAGGTAGACAAAAAGAGAGATTAAACAATATAAATCAATAAAAACAAAAGTCAAACAAACAAACATACCAAAACACACAATACATCAGAATCAAAAAACAAAAATAAACAAAAAAATTAAAAGCAAATCCAGTATTCCCCAATCTTTATCTTTCATTAACTTGTTTCATCGACCTCCTCACACCTCCCTTTTTTGTATTCTAGTTATTATCTCAGCAAATCCTTTCCATCTTTCACAGTATTCTGTCATTAAATTACCTTAATCTATTTTAACCTTATCTTACCATAAAAAACCCTAAAGCTTAAAATTTAAATCTTATTTATACTTAATTCTTTTTAACAAAACATATTTATACATAATTCTTTTTAATATTTCTACTAAAGCCAAATAGTTTCATTCCAACATTTTTCTAATACTCATTAATTTTACAATGATTTTCTAGATGGATTTTTAAAACTTTCTTCCAATCTTCATCCGTCGTCTCTTCTTCCTGGTCTCGGGTTTTGTCAGTCCTTTCTGTCCCTTCATCTAGTCCATCAACCTGGTGACCTTCTATCCGAGGCTCTTAAATCTTTTCCATGTCCCTTCTGCAGGTCTTCTTCATGTTTATACCTGCACTTTAGTTTATCTTCTGCTGATCTTATTCTTAATTTCCTTCCTTTCTCTCGGGGAGACTCCAACTTGACAATATCTTTATCCCTTCTCAACAAGTCAGCCCATTCTCCATAGTCGACACTGAAATCCAAAAGATATTTGAAGGCATGTTTCAAAGTCCCTCCAAGGTTAAGGGCCCCCACAACTCCCAACTCCCCCCGGCCCAAAACCAGATTCGAAAGGTCAAAACACCCCTGCATAGGGGGATCTATCCAACTTCCCATCTCCAGACCAAACAGTACTCCATCTCTCCAAATCTGACTTTCTCCAGATTCAGTCGTCAAAAACAGCAGCTTCTGTTCCAATTCTGGATCCACACATCCTTCCACAGTGGGGACATAGGTTTCTGGGCAGGAGTTGTTCACGATGAAGGTTTGCCAAGCATGCCTTCCTCTTAGCATGTTTCTCCCTTTTGTCCTGAGTTCGTGCTTCTTCAAAGTCCAAGACACCTTTGGTCAAGGCTGCTCTCCAGTTGGAGCGCTCGTAGGCCAGTGTTTCCCAGTTATCAGTGCTTATACTACCTTTTTTAAGATTTGCCTTGGGAGTGAGCCCTTGATCAAGATACTCACAGTGGGGCCTTCTCCTCCTTCACATAGTTGCTGCTACCTTCTTGCTTGGCTCTCCCTCTCCCAGTTGGATCATCTTCTGGAGATACAACCAGATGTGCTCAGGTTTCTGCTCCTCTTGTTGCTTGCTTCCTCACACAGAGCGTGCACCAACAGCAGCAACTGCAGCGAGTGATTGACAGCAGTACCACTGCTAAAGGGTGGGCATCAGCTGGGTAGCATCAAAGCACTTGTGCGCATTAAACTACAGTTTATTGCAAACTAAGGTTAAACATTGTGCATGAACCAGAGGTCTCTCTCTCTCTCTCTCTCTCTCTCTCTCTCTCTCACACACACACACACCTCTCTGGGCTAGAGGAGGAGTCTGGACGAGTTATCTCCTCCAACCATTTTAGCTTCCTCTTGGACCATTTTGGCTCCCATATCAATACGTCACTGAAACACCAGAGCTATCCACAGTTTTGTTGGGTCTAAGGGCTTGGATCTAGAACAGGCTTCTTCAAACTCAGCCCTCCAGATGTTTTGAGACTACAATTCCCATCATCCCTTACCACTGGTCCTGCTAGCTAGGGATCAGGGGAGTTGTAGGCCAAAAACATCTGGAAGGCCAAGTCTGAGGAAGCCTGATCTAGAAGGAATGCAAAATTTTCCCCATCTAAAGCTGACCTCCTTAGCCAACACATGCATGCAATTGCTGTTTAGTTATTTATTTCAATCAATATCCCTCCCTTCCTCCCCCAAAAGAGCCCAGCTGAAGATCTTGTCTGCTTGTTCCCATCCCCTTTGTCTTCATCCCTGATGTCCATTATGCTGATTCAAGTGTGCTAATTTTGCACAAATGGGGTGCACAAACACAATCAGCTGAGTGGTGCCCTGCTTCCCTTGCCTTTGTCCATGCTAGCTGTAGCCCCAGACAGTCACATATTGGGGTGAAGATCCAAAGGGAGATTATTCTGCATGTTGGGCTGAATGCACTTGTAAATCTCCCTGCAACGAGAGTTCCTGATTGTTGAGAAGATTCTATGTGCATCCAGCAAATGCATGAAAATGCCCCGTCCTACGACTCCAGACTTATCTGTCCAATGCGCAAAAGCCGAGGATGTGGGGGAAGAGGCTAGAGGGGCAAGGGGACATGTCAGTTGCTAAGAGCAGCATTCAGTTTCTGAATTGAGAAGTGGGCCAGGCCTGCCTGGACACCTTGCTCTGTGATCTGGAAATCCTCATTCGCCCCTGATCCGAAGGGTGTGATGGGCTGATAGCAGGCTATGAGCCTTCCAGTAGAGCCTTCCCAAGCTTTGGGCACTATGATAAGATTCTGCAGCTAAAAGCCCTGGTCATCCCTGGCTCAGATACACCCTGTTTGAAAGATGAGACAGATTGCTTGCTTGCTGTGAATCCAGGCACTCTCTGCATCTCCTATTTGCTACACATACTAAGCCCCTCAAGATCTTTGCTTTTTCAAAAAAAAAGTCTAGTTCCTGGGAGCATGGCTGCAGAAATAAATAAATAAATAAATAAATAAATAAATAATCAAGCCCCCCTCTCCAGCTGAAAAGCATCTACAGAGTGTCCTTGAGTGAGCACTGCAGCAGATCTTTAAAGGCGATGATCTGGATGCTTTCCAAAAAGTCTCTCATTTACCTCGGCATCCTTCTTTCCCCCCACCCCCAACACCACTCTAAAACCTTACCAGGCAAATCCATATCATTAATATTTCAGCACCAGCCACTTCGCAGGCATTGGCTACGCTGCAACGTACTTCATCAATAAGAGCTGGCAAGGACGATACAGTCCACCAGGCGCTGCTTTTCGTCTAGCAGAGGGATAAGAGCAGGAGGAGGCTCTAGCTAGAGAAAGTGAGCAGGAGAGTGGCACTGCAGAGAGCCGGCAGAGTACCACTCCATCTCCCAAAGCTTTTCTACGGGGAACCTCTCGGCAGGTACCGCAAGAGCAGCCCGGCATGGATGTCTTTAAGAAAGGGTTTTCCATTGCAAAAGAGGGTGTGGTGGCGGCCGCAGAAAAGACCAAGCAGGGAGTGACCGAAGCTGCAGAGAAGACCAAAGAAGGGGTGATGTATGTAGGTAAGAGTCTCTTCCTATTACTAAGAGATCTCTGCCTATTAGGAGTGGCTGTTGCTGCAATGCAACGGGGGGGGGGGGGAGAGAAATCCACATTTGCTGGGTGACCTTGGGGAATGACGCTACCTTTTCCATACCCCAGGGGCAGGTAGTCATATTTTCAAAGAGGGTAAAGTGAAGGTGTCCCATAATATGTCCCTTGATGAACTAGTTTTGGAAATATAAAGCACATGGCATGGTGAGAGTGATGCCAACCTCCCCTGGACCTGTGCTTTTAGCAAGGGTTTGAAATGCACTGATGTAAAGGCTGCGGTTTTCTGTATGCACTTCTTTTGGAGTACATCCAGGGAGCAGGACTTATTTCTGGGTACCTCTGCAAAGGATGGAGGGGCAGGCAAGCAAAGCTCTGCTCCAGGAGAAAGCTTCACCTAGGAGCAGAGGTAGGAAAAAGGGTGGCTAACCTGAGGGAGATCATTTATGATTCAGCATTTAAGTCATTATAGGTCATCCCTTTCATGATGCACCGATCTTCCCAAAGATTTGCAAGGGGTATGAATGAATGAATGAATGAATGAATGATTTTGGTCACAGACTAGTTCCAGCCCACATACAATACCAAGGAAGTCATAAAAACACGATAGGGATACACTTGAATTTGCAATTAGGAAGATTTGCAAGGGGGTCAAGTGGCTGCCACGGTGGGTGGTGGGTGCTTTGTATATATATATATTTTTAAGCGCTTTTCAGCCTTGCCTTGGTTTTTGCATTTAGTTGTGCATCATTTTCCCAGCAAAAGGAGCTGCTCTGATGCATTTAATTGGCTGACAACAAAGTAGTAGCTTGTGTTATCAATTAAGGGCTGCAGAAGTTCTTGCTCCTTCTAGAAACTCAGTGGAATTTGGCTTCAATTTGCCCTGCAAGGAAGATAGCCAAGTTGCCCTTGAAGCCAGGCACACAGTGGAGAAGCATTTATGAACATGGCCATGGTCTGAGACTAGATGAGGGATTTGTTTTCCTTTTTTGTAGCCTTTTTTTAAAGGCTGCAACCTCATCACTGTAGGAGTAAGCCACGTTGACTTCAATGGAATTGACTTCTGACTAGACATGCATGAGTTTGCACTGTAAGTTCCTTCGATGTTTCCCATTCCACAGGGAGACTGCTGTTTTTACGATGCTCCCCAGAAGGGTGCAAGCTGCTATTCTCTATAATAGAAACATTCACCCTCCAAAAGCCATGAGCATGTCTGAAAGCACATAGAAACTGCGACAAACCGGTGTTCTGAAACTCAGCTGGAACCACTTGTAATCCTGTTAGTAGCAGATTTGCCAGGGTCTCCAATGGCCAGAGTTGGAAAGGTAGTCAATAACTTATCAGAGCTGGCTCCTTCCATTTCAAAGCAAAAATAGAAAATAAGTTCTCTCAGCTCAAAAGCAAAATGTTAAGGCTGCAACATCCTCCTTAAAGACTTCACAGAACACTTTGAAAAATGACATGAAAGGTTCCTTCCTACCCTCCTCTCAAATTCTCAGTGCTGCTGGTGATTTTACTCTAGTACTGTAGTCCTCAATCACTTCAGTCACATGCTCCCAAGAACCACTTTTTAATATTTGAGGCATCTCCATTCTTCTTCCTTGGGTGTCCACAGGATTTTTTTCCAATGGGAGAGGGAAAAATTTGAACACCAAAAGAGGGAGCAAGCTAGTTTCTCACACACAAAACAAGAGGAATAGTATGCGTGCATTTTGCTTTGTATCTCAGGATGTACAAATGCTGGTTTAAATGAAAGCTGTCAGTCTAGATATTATGGTTCAACTCCCCTCTGTGGACACCTAGGCATCCATCTTCCTTTCTCTGTTGTGGTCCCCTCTCTCGTCTCCCCTCTTCATCCTCTTAGAGCGGAAGTGCCCATTCATCACCTTGGCAAACACATTTGCTTTGTTACAGTCATGTGGAATGGGAGGGAGATGGTCACATTGTAGCATAGCTGTCAACCTACAGATTTGAAAATAAGGGACCAGCAGCCAAAATAAGGGACCTGCAGCCTCACCTGTTCCAGGCACTCCAGTCTTCCTGTCCTCCTGCAGTCTGGTCAAACTCATGCTGGTAGCTTCAAGAACACTGTCCAACCAACTTTGTAACCAGAGGTTCAACTGAATAGAATCTGAATCACATGCACCACAAGGCCTATGCAGCCTCAACTTAAGATGGCTCCCTGGCCTAGCTTTGCACTGCAAAGTTTGCAGCAGCACGTGCAACAAAATGGCGTCCAGCATTCAAAAACCCGCTCAGCTTGCATTAACTAGCCACACACAAGGCATGCAAGCTCCACCCCCCAGTCGTTCTTAGACTTCTTATTGGGTGAGCAACACAGCCAAGCAACACAGTTGGAGCCTCCCTCCTCCCTGGCTGGCAGGGAGGGAGGGAGAGGAGCTGCTTCCTTTGAAATTTAAGGGACATCATTTAAGGGACATCTATCAATAAGGGACAGCAGCGGGACATGGTGCTGGAATAAGGGACTGTCCCTTCAAATAAGGGACACTAGACAGCTATGCATTGTAGGTCAAGAAACAGCTGAAAACCAGTGCCCAGGAGAAGCCGCTCCGTTCAGCTCTGCAGATTCAGGCTGAAAATTTCACGAGGACGGAAAAGGCTTGCATTCACAGCTTTGCTTCTGAAGTTTGCCTTCTCTGCCCTTCAGATCTGCAATGATCTGACGTGGCCTTTAGAGATAGAGCTCTGCCACCAGTTCTGAAAGCTGCTCCTGAGTGATGCATTGTTGCGGGTCGAAATGGTCCGTTTAAATACTAAGAACAATAATTCGTAACTGAAGCTTTTCAGTACTAAAAAGTGCCAGAGAGGGGCTATTGGAGGAGAAAGACTGAAGAGCTGTGAGAGATGTTGAAGCTGCATCAGGAAGCTTAAAACAAGATTGTCAGCGGTAGATTATCAAGTATTTTCCAGCCCTCTTGGGCACAGTAGGCTGCCTTTTCTGATTACAGGCGCTCTATATCCTCCCTGCTCAGCCATGGTAATTGCATCCTTCTGAGCAAAAGCATCAGACTTGATCAGTGGTGGTGCATCCTTACTGTGGTTTGGTTTCAATAAGGGCTGGCCCAGGACATTTTTCATCCTAAGATGGAGCAGCAAACCCACACCACACCCACAGACCCACACCCACACACCCCATCAAGATGCATAGTATTCTTCAAAACCAGCCAAGTTATTTTGGCACCTGAGGCAGAAAATCCCACAAGCACCTCCCCCTGGGAGGAAAAGTACAATAACAATGAACAGAATCACTTAACAATGCGTTGCTCTTTCATGACACCCGTAATCTGCTGCCAGAGGCAGCTGACTCACTCTGTGTAATGGTAGGGCGGCCTAGACGCATGTTTTAGGATTCCGATTCTGCAATAGCAGCTGTCCTATCAGAACTGCAGTGGTCACCACACTGTTATCTGCATCGCCTTTCTTGTTAGCTATGTGTCTGGGAGGGGTAACCCAAAAGCATGGCCTTTTCTCAAACCTACAATAATATTTTTATTATTTATAACCCACCCATCCAGCCACTCTGGGCGGCTTCAAACACATATAAAAACATAATAAAACGTCAAACATTTTAAAAACTTCCTAATACAGGGCTGCCTTCAGATTCTGGCAAAAAAGTTTCCTGTATATTTCACAACTTTATACAAGGGGATTTTTAACAGGGGCAGCTCTCCTCAGCTTTGCATGACCTAACAAATTTCCTGCTTCTGCACAACTTTTGAAGGTGCACGAAGGAACTCTGCCTGCTTCTGGATCTAGCTGACTTCCCAGCATGACAAAGATTCATCTGCCTATCCAATGGTTTTTTTGAATGACCATGACAAAGCCCTGCATTTAGGCCAGGGACATCTTTTAAGGAAAGCAGTACAAGCCTCCTGCTGTGTGTCAGGCTATATATCACTAGCTGTAGGGCTAAGAACATAAGAAGAGCTGGCTGGATCAGGCCAATGGCCCATCTAGTCCAGCATCCTGTTCTCACAGTGGCGCACGAGAGGCCTGTGGGAAACCAGCAAGCAAGACCTGCGCACAAGAGCCCTCTCCTCACTTGTGATTCCCAGCATCTGGCATTTGAGAGCAACCTGCCTCCGACAATGGAGGTGGACAGTTCAGGGATTCCGGCCACAGACTTTTAAATCTCCCACTAAAGGAGGAAATAAGGCTTCTACTGCCTGGCTCCCCTCATTTGCTATTATGAGCATGGCTGCAAATACAAAAACATAATAAAACATCAAACATTAAAAACAAAGTAAATGGGAGAAATTGTACCAGTGGCTCCCGTGAACCAAAAAAACAGGCCCATGTAGTAGCCAAAGGGCGCAAATCCTTTTGCATTTAAAAAAAAAAGGGTGACTTTAGCCTGTGCAGATAACATTTAACAGCCGCAAAACTAGGGCTTTTAAAATACACTGCTTCTTTCTGATTTAATCTTAACTAGCTAAGTCTGACCTTGGAAGTTGCCACATCTATGAAAATTTTAGCACAACATACTTCCATTGAGAATTGCAGACTGGGAGTGGGGTTTGCATCCTAACCTGGAGAAGCTCTTTGATCCAACGTGAGGGAAAAGTCCCTCTTTCCCTTGGGATCTTAGCAAACCAGTCCCTTTCCTGGAGATATTCTTGGCCTTGGCATCAAATCATGCCGTTTATTAGCAGCCAGTTTTTTGCTGCACTGAAAGGGATTTCTGGCATATCCCTCAAGATCCCTATTGACTAAGCACAAGTAGCGATACTGATGAGTCACTGCAGAGATGGAGAAGAGCAGTGGCTGGTCTTGCAAAGGCTGCTGCTGCTGCTGCTGCTGCTGCAGGAGGACACAGCATCTCTCTGCCTAACTTGCATACTCCGCCCCTAGGGCAAACACTCAAAGCTGAGTTGTTTTTGCTTCACATGGTTAACACAAATCTGACTGCACTGCAGCTTGAGTTGTGGTGCTGTTTATGAGGCCTTGGCCTTTTTCGTTCTGCCAAGTGGTAAGTGGCTCACCTGATAGGCTCTGCAAGTTGTTAGAGCATGAGACCAGAGCCTCCCCAGAGTGTCCCTATTTTCCAGGGACAGTCCTGGATTTACAGAAGCCATTCCAGTTTCCGATTTGATCCCAGAATGCCCCGCTTCTTCCTAGGATATCCCTATTTTCAAAATGTTGGAGGGTATGGTAGGACGTCCCTATTTTCATTGGAGAAATGTTGGAGAGTATGGACTTATCCGACCCTCGAGCCATCTGAAGGCAGCCCTGTATAGGGATTTTTAAAATGTTTAATGTTAATAAAATAAGAATAAGAATAATAATAGAAGAAGAAGAAGAAGAAGAAGAAGAAGAAGAAGAAGAAGAAGAAGCAGCAGCAGCAGCAGCAGCAACAGCAGCTGTCCCTATTTTCATCAGGGAAATGTTGAAGCGTATGTGAGGCTCTTAATCTCAGGGTCGTGGGTTTGAGCCCTACATTGGGCAAAAGATTCCTGCATTGCAGGGGGTTGGACTAGATGACCCTCATGGTCCCTTCCAACTCTACAACTTTATGATTATAATATCCAATAGGAGCAATTCAGATAATGTAGCCAAGATATCTCCCCTCAGTGGCAGCATGTACTTGCTCTTGTCATGCTCTGTTCCTTAACCACCAGAGACCAGTCAGCCAAATGATGTTCCTAGCTGGTGAGCAGAAATGGGGAGTTTAAAGCATGGAGTAAGAGATGCCTCTCCTGTGGACCATTAAGGCTCTTGAGACCCCATTATCCTGCCCCTTGTCTCCACCCATGCTATATTTTAGGACATCTCCATTGCAGAGCAAGGGACTCACAGAGACCAAAACTCATCATAACAAAAATATGAAGATGGAAGAGCAAAGTTTTATGGACAGATTGCACAATGGGAAGAGCTGGGAGCTGAATTTCTGGCCTGGGGCAAATTTGAAGAGAAGGCAGGGCATACAGCCTGTATCTCTGGAAAAGGAGAGCTAGCAAGGACTAAGAAATTCCAGACTGAGAAATAAGGTAATACAGTGAAGATGAGAGCAGAAATGCTACAACAGGGTAAAGTTATGTGGGAACAGCCTTCATTCTCCCTCATCAATAGACCCTGGTGTCGACCCATTCTGAGGATCTCTTTGAGGGCTGGCTCCAGGTTTGATCTCTGCCAAGTACCATTCTGTGAGGGAGCCTTCCAGTCACTAAGATCCTGTGCGCTTATCCATTTATGTAACTGCAATGGGCATCAGGTGGCTTGGGCCTACTATTAAAATTTCCCACAATGCCCCAGATCAGCGCTATACCAGCAGCATTATGGGAAATCAAAATGGCTGTCAGCTGCCTAAGGTTTCCGGGCCTAGCACACAAAAAATTGCTCCACTCTCTGTGTGTGATGTTTTGCACACACACCCCTCAAGTTCATTTATGAAAAAAAGAAAGAAAAGAGAGCATGCTTTCCGACAGCCAGCTGTGGCGGGGAATCGGTTGACTTTGTAACCTTATACACCCAAGCTGCAGGCAAAAGTTTAAGCTGCTGGAACAACACCCATTTTGTCTTTGGTTGGCAACAGCTGTACTTTGTTGGCAAAGCTTTGCGCTGGCAGGTCGGGTTTCATGCCATGCATAAGGCGAGCGTGAAGCCTGACTCACTGGGTGTGGTCCTTAAAGAACACAGAGCAGACCAGACAAGCTCAGAATAGCAACACCAGAGCTGCCTTCTCCTGGCTTTTGCAGGGACTTTCAACTCAGTAACTGTGTGAGACTCCTCACTCACTGCTGTTGCTAGTCCCTCCCGGATAATCTGAAGGAGATGGTGCCAGTAAGGTCATGTAGTAGTAGTAGTAGTAATAATAATAATAATTTATTATTTATATCCCCCCACCCCATCTGGCTGGGCTTCCCCAGCCACTCTGGGCGGCTTCCCAAAAAATGTTAAAATACTGTAATACATCAAACATGTACATAATACCGTTTCCTCTGGCTCTGGTGCATTGTTTCAAAATGCAAGGCGCATGGGGCAACGCATTGCTGAAGGCCAGATCCACGGCCCCTGTGGTTGCCTGACCTTGCCTCACGGGTGGACCAGCCCTGCTGGACCCTTTAAAAGGCTAGGCACAGCGCTCATTTGGCCGTGGCATTCATCAAGGGTTTAAATTCCTATGGATGGCAGTGGATCGAGGCTGCAGCGTTCATGTGTGGCTGTGCTAACCTTTCAATGCTCTTTAAAACCTTCAAAGAGAATCAAATGATGCACACAGATTCACAATGCCGTTTTCAGTCAACTCACCAGACAGGCTAGGGCTTGTTATGCTCCTTTGTTATTCCTACAGGCTTAGTTTCCCTTCCAGGCTTACAAAAAAAAAAAGCACAGGGGGTGGGGTGAGTGATCTGCTTCTCCTTGAGGGCTGAGCTAGCTTTATCCACGAACCACCCCTTCCCACTTTATTTATTTGTCATTTCCATTTCTAGCCTGCCCTTCATTAAATTCACAGTCCCAGAATTAGGTTGAAACGTGGAGGAGAAATCACGGGTGCAGCTTTGTTGTCAACTCAGGGGCACAGTGTGGGGAGGGCTGCTGGGGCAATTGCCCTGGGCGCATTTTTCGGGGTGGGTGTGTGCCACTGCTCCCGCCGCCCTCCCTGAGCCAGCCTTAGATTAGATCTCAGTTTTGCAAAGTACCTCAGGGAGGGCGGCCTGAGAAGGATGCAATAGCCACATGCCCTTTGACCCTGGCCGCACAAGGTGGCGAGGCTGGGATCAAGAGGTACGTGGCTATTGTGCCCTTCTACATGCCACCCTCCTCAGATCCGAGCTTCACAAAGCCACTCAGGGAGGCTGGCATGAGCGTGCAACAGCTGTCCAGAGGCATCGACGGCTGGGCAGGCATTGTGGGCTTCCTCCGTTCCTCACCTCACTTCTGGCACGCATGCGCAAAGACACATACCCGTCCTGGGCGCAAGGAGAAAAAAATTGCCTGGCCAGCTGATTTTTGGTTTTGCGGTCAACTGGCAGCAAATTCAAATCCCCAGCACTACCTCTTTTTGAAAAACAACAACAGTATACCTTAAGTTTGAGCTCATCTATAGCTAACCAATGTTTGAAGGGCTACCTCTGCATTTAAATGTGTGGTTGCGGTGGGAAGAAATCACACTATGCTTGTGTTAACACAACCAACCAAATCAGTCATGGAAGATTTCATACCACTCTGTGGATAGTATTCATACTCCCCTCCATTATTATTATTATTTTAAAAACTAACACTATACCACTTTCATACAGTCCAAAGACTCCTTTTATTTAATACATGGATAAACTTGAAAGTCCACGCTTTCAGTTACGCCACACAGACACACAGCAACCCTCTCCCACAAATACCTATTTTCAAGTTTTACTGGCCTCTACCTATCAAATGAAGGGATATTTGGAATTCTGGCGAACAGGTCACTTGAAAATCTTAAAACATAATTATAAAACAACAATAAAGATTTGAGGATCAGTTTCAAATGAGCTGTTTGAGGCACACTCCCAGTAGTTGTTTGTTTGCTTAAAAAAACAAAAACCTTGTTCATGCTACATCAGACCTAGTTTGTTGCAATACATGCTGATATGCAACATGATATGCAGAATTCTTTGATAGCAACTGATCTGTGATTGTAATCATTATCAAGATTGATTGATTGATTGAATCCCCTGGTGTGAACTAGAGGTGGGTGAATCTGTCCATTTCAGTTTCTCTCCTTTTCTCATTTTTCCCTTCTTAAGTTCAGTTCTCCACATTTCTGTGATTTTTTTAAAAAAGCCCTCACGAAAATTCACCAGTATTTGAATGTGAATTTCCCCTAATATGCTGTTTTGCCTAATAGACACATTTTAACAAAGCAATTTCCCTAAATTAGTGTGTTTTTGTATCTTATCTTCACTAACATAGATGCATTTTTATGGACGCTTTTACCTCAGCATGTGGATGTATGTCAACATTATTTGGCTTATGTGCACTGCAACATTCAGAATAGCTGTGCATTTTGATGGATAGCTGTGTTTCAGTTCTTGTATTATTTCAGAAGGTGCAAAGTAAGTTTGCCCCAAAATGCAAACTGAACGAAGCTTCTCCACTTTCCCTAGTGTGGATGCAGCCTTAGCTGATTTAGGAGGTACCAACCTCTTATGCAAAAAATACCCAAAGTCAAATCCAAAGAACAAAATGTCCAGCTTAGGGGAAGAGGTGGGTGGAGGTGGGTTTGTTGTGCAAGTGGGCCAAATCCATTTTAGTTGTGCAACCGCAATTTTCTGGTATGCGATCAAATCCTCCCTGCAAAATAGCAACTGTCTAGAACCCCCCCCCCAAAAAAAACCCTTTCTCCTCTCTATTCCCACCTCCCCACACGGGAAAAAAAGATGCCCTCTAAAAGGCTTTTGTGTTGTACATTTGTATGGGCTCTCACCATGCCACTTATCTGAAGTGCCTTATTGTCTTGGATTCAGGAATCTCTGATGCTTTTGTGTGGGGATGAATGACTCATCTGCACTTTGCCTAAGTATGCCTTTGCTGTACATACTGTCATGCTACCGTGAATGTCAATTGAAGGCGCTCCTCCCCCCCCCCCCGTTTGTTTTTTTACAAAAAGAAAAGCACAAGGATCAATGAAAACAAGCCTGAAAATACCTTTTCCTCCATTTCACAGGGACCAAAACCAAAGAGGGCGTAGTGCAGAGTGTCACTTCAGGTAAGATCATTGCAAATTCCCACGTTATGTATTGAATTAGCAGGTTCCATTTTATGCCTTTGGTTCACTTCCATGAGTGGCGTTTTTTTCTTATACCTGTGACTACACTTACACTCTTTGACTACACTTGTTCCCAACAGAATGGCTCAATTGGTTAGAGCGTAGTGCTGGCAACGGCAAGGTTGCAGGTTCGATCCCCATAAGGGACAGCTGCATATTCCTGCATTGCAGGGGGTTGGACTAGATGATCCTCAGGGCCCCTTCCAACTCTATGATTCTATGAGATTCTGTGAGAGCTGACAGAAAACATTGCCACTTTCAAAGCAAGCAAGACTTTGGCAAGACTTTTACCAAAAGTTTATAATTAGGTCTCCCCCCCCCCCCCAAAGAGAATGGTTTGCACTGTAGCTCATCAGATCTGCCTATTTCTATTTTATGTTTAGTTGCTGAGAAGACCAAAGAACAAGCCAACCTGGTGGGGGAATCTGTAGTGGCCAGTGTCAACACTGTGGCAAAGCAGACCGTAGAAGGAGCAGAGACCATTGTCACCACCACTGGGGTTGTACAAAAGGTAGGCCAGAACATAAGCATCACAAACACATGTTCCCCAAACTGGACTTGCCAGGTAAAGCCCATGGTGGGGTATTTGTAGCGGAAAGTAAGCAGGCTGGATGGATTAATAACTCCTCACCCCTGACAACCTCACCTCTCATCCTTCAGTCATCTGAGAAATAAACCTGGTGAACTCCAGATACTTCACACAACATCTACCATTGTTCCTGACCACTGGTCAGTCTGGGTGGAGCTGATGGGAGTTGTAGTCAAAAACCAGATTGAGGAAGGTTGGTATAGATGGTTAGCACTCAGAAATGTTCTTGGGCTGTGTACACTATAGCTTTAAAGCACATTCTTCCTCTCAAGGAATTCTGGGCACTGTAGTTTATCCTTCACAGTTACAATTCCTGGCAACCCTTAACAAACTACAGTACCCAGAATTCTTTGAGGGAGAAAAAGTCCTTCAGGTGTGCTTTGAAGGTTTAGTGTGTAAGCAGCTTTAGATGACATGGGGGAAAAGAGCAGGTGTTCTCAGTCCCAGGATGGCTATATGCATCTTCTTGGAGGGGGGGGGGCAGGATAGCACCACCATTGTCCAGAGTTCTTACACACTCCTCTTACAGAGTCTTCATTTTCTGCCTAGCATCTTGACAAACAGAGAAGATGTTTGTGCTTCAGGGAAACCACAAAGCTTTTTCTTTCCTGCCCTGGCATGTGTGAATTTCAGTGCCAAACAACCTCCGTTTAACCGTTCTCGTCTCAGAAGGGGGATCAACTTTTCCATTCAGATGATGCGGCACAAAGCTTGCTTGCTGCAATGCAGGCACCGACCACGCGTTCACCAGCCAATGCTTGCTCAATTTGTAAGGGAGCCGCGGACGCTGGACCAATTAGGCAGACAGCAGATGCTTGGCCTTGTTTTGCTGCATCGCCTCAGTTCCATTACAGTTTTATTAAGGCTCAAGCCAAAGACCAGAATACGTCAAAAAATAAGTGATAAAATCACAACACACACGGCAATAACACATATATATCCTAAAATACAATTTGAGAACAATTGATTCAGTAGATTCTCTGTGACATAGCCCTGAAACAAAACTCTCTGGAGTTTTTCCTCGCAGAGCATAGAAAGCTATGGATCGCATTTAAAAGTCACATGGTGCAGGCAGTGGCAGACATAGAGCAAAGACAACTATCTTATTGTCTGTGTAAAGATAGCAACATCAGAGGCAAAGGAACATATTCTCACCATCTTCAGAAATGCCACTCTTCAGTGGATTAAAAATATGTGTGTACTGTGGCTGCTCCCATCCTCTGCCACTTCTGGAAGTTCCACTGTGGGCATGAGCTCAGGTAAATAGTGTGTGTGGCCAATTTTTGAGACACAAGGTTTCCACCCAACCAGATTTGCACAAAACAGTGGGTTAATATTTAAAAATTACACATGTGGCCTCGCCAAGTCTCAGAAAACTGAGGTCCATCGTGGGCATGCATTCAGGTATCCTTTTTACCTGTGGATGTGGCCAATTTTGTATTTTATTTTTGAGATACAACTGAAGTGCTGGCTGCCACTTGGATGAGGACAACATGAAAAGCATGCCCACACAGGATGCAGCAAATCCACTTTCGGCAGCCACACTTCTACAGACCTAAGCTTTTGGTATGTGCCTGAATCCCTCTCGCAAAATAGTGACAGTCTGCAGGCAGCCAGTGCGAAATATTGGGAGGGCATGTGAAGATAAAGGAATGATGGAAAGGCTCTTGTTTGATACAACCATAAGCGCTGCCCTGTCATGTTCGGAGTTTGTGCTTCTAACCGGGGAAAACTTGTGAAGTTATAAGAGAAGAGAGGAGAGAGAGGAATTAAATTAAATATATATTATGCAAGCTGACACTCCTTCATCCTGGAAATGTGTCGGACGCTACTGTTCCAGTTCAGAGAAAGAGAAAATCTCAAGAGGCTTGTTCCTGCCTGGTTAAAAATAGATTGGTGAGTCAGAGAAGTAAAATCATGGTGTGCGGAATGCGGCCTGAGAAACAAACAGAAGAAGATTCTCAAACACGTCACTCATCATTAGATACGAGCTGAGCATGCTGGGCAATCACAGGCATCTGATTAATTAGTTATATGTTAATTTGATTTTTAAGCCGTTCTCCATGAACCCTGTTCCCAAGGGTGGTTTACCATACCAAAGGTTGATGAACTGAAACCACAAAATGCCCCAACTTGTGTAAAACGTATTTGAAAAAAAACAAGAACCGTACATGGACATCGGCTAATTTCACTAGCCTTATTGAATCAAAGGCCTGGATGGAGGAGAGAGGTTCAAAAGCCTGATGGAAATCGTGTCAGCCGCACATCCAAAGAAGGGGGTTCCATAGAAGAGGGGCCACTACAGAGGAGGCTCTAACTTGTGTCATTGCATTATGGGTTTCACCCAGTAACGGGACATTTTAAACACACACTTGTCCTGTTCCCATATAAAGAAGGGTGGGTGGGTGGATGTGTGACAGAGAGAGAGAGAGAGAGAGATTTCCCCAAAAGGAGCATGTAAGAGAAGAGTGTAAAACCTTTCCTTACCTTGCTGTGCTCCATGGATTTAAGCAATTCCCTCTCTTCCCAGCTCACTAGTACTATCTGGGGAAAACAGCTTAAAAGCACATTAAGGAGACATAGGATGGGTTTTGCTCCTCTTCTTCCACCAGCACATGCTCCTTCTTTTCAAATGCATTTCAAACCCCCTTGGCTTTACAGAGGAATGAATGCTTAAAATACGCAGTTGTCCAACGTACCCAGCTTAGCCCTGTCAGAGAGTGACATTTCTTACTGATCCTCAGCCTCAGTGTCCTCAGTCTAGTCCTCACCAGCCTTCAAATTTGTGTTCAGATTCAAATTTGAAATTCCAAATGAGGCAATTTATCAGTGTGCATGTTTCATTTCTGAACCTGAATATTTCGGGTTCTATCTATCTATCTAGTTCTTTACTTGAATACGTATTATCACCACCACAAACCATACATTTCAAAAATTCAACAGTAAACATACAAGGTCCAGTTAGAGGGAAATTATGTATGCAGTACACAATTGTAGGCAACCGCCAGAAAAAGCACAGAATGGGATACTGGGACTAGGCTTCTTGATAAACCCCCGTTTTAATTTTGAAAACTAAAGTTCCATTGCAGGAATGGGAAAGCTGTGGCCCTCCAGACGGAACGCCATTTGCCATGAGCCCCAGCCAGCATGACCAGTGGACAAGGTTGATGGGAATTGTAGGCCAGCGACATTTGGAGGGCCACAAATTCCCCATCCCTGATTCATAGGCTTCGTAGTATTTGAGCAATCAATCAATATACTGCCCTTCACCAAACATCACGGGGGGGGGGGGTTACAACATAAAGGAACAAAATGCTAATAATAATAATAATAATAATAATAATAATAAACGCCACACACCCCACACACATTTAAAAGGCCATAGAATTGACCAGAATGTGTGGCACGTCTCAGGAGCCAAAGAGGAATGTCAGTGCAATTGCGAGTGGTTTCATTGACCCTCCCTGTGGTGTGTTAGTCTGCCTGTGTCTCAGATCTACCTATGTATATATAGAGATATAGAGATATAGGAGCTGCAACAGAACAGGACGAGGAGGAAGTGCTAGGAAGGAGCAGCAGGGGAGGAAGGAGGAAGCAGGCACAATAGTCAAGCTTCCCCCTGGTGGCTCAGCGACTGGCGATGACCTACTCTCAAAACAATAAATATACTGACCTACTGGCTTGAGGAAGGGGAAAACACCATGGGGACAGCGACCATTATTTATAGGGGCTGTAAGAACTAGATGGAACTAATCTAGGATTGTAACATAGGCTCTAACAGTTTCTGTTTGGCAAATATCCGTTCCCCTGCCCCTAACACCCCACTCAAGCGCCATCAGAAACCTTCTAGAACAGTCCAAACCCCTGTAGTTATTATGTCATCTCTCTGACCAAGCTGAACAGAGCATCTGTTCTTGCTAGACACCAAAGTGCCCCTTTGCCGGAGGTAAAACAATGAATATGCATCCAACCAGGAAGAGGAAATGGGTATGTGAGCCCAGCCAGCCAGGTCTGCTGCTGCCTGGGGGTCTGGTCATGGGGAGCTGGTTCAATGCCTTCCATTGCCAGCCTGATTTTCCTTTGAGGTTGCCAACTCCCCCCTGCTCCCCCCCCCGCCACCGCCATAATGGACTGGTTTGCTCTTGAACACTGAACAGCTTGGCATTCAGAAATCAGCAGGTGACACTGTGGGGAGGTAAACAGTTTGCCTGGCTGATGTCTGCACAGCAAGATGGTGGAAGCTGGTTGGAAAGCTGCCAGATTTCATTTTTGTCGCAAGAACGTTGCATAACCTTGAAAGGGATTCAGCAATAACCCTGCTAAGGAGAGGCAGTGAGGCCAAGTGGGCAGAGATCTTTTGAGATCTGGATCCAGAGAAGTCTCACTTCAGCCTTTTTCCCCTGATGATAAAAAAACAAACAACTCTGCAATAGTTCCTCAATATGCTTCTGCAGTATGTTCCTATTTTCTAGGGATAGTCTCGGGTTTACAGAAGCCGTCCCGGTTTCTGATTTGATCCTGGAAGGTTCTGCTTTTCCTTAGGACGTCCTTATTTTCACCGGATAAATGTTGGAGGGTATAGAGTTATGTGACCCACCAAGCCAATGAAATAAGTAACTATACAACCTTTAGAAGACATCTGAAGGCAGCCCTGTATAGGGAAGGTTTTTTAAAAATGTTTAATGTTTTATTGTGTTTTTATATAAGTTGGAAGCTGCCCAGAGTGGCTGGGGCAACCCAGTCAGATGGATGGGGTATAAATGATCATTATTATGGATTATTATGTCCCTATTTTCACCGGAGAAATGTTGGAGGGTCTGCTCTTGCCCTCCTAATGCTCTGCCTTGTGGTTTACGTCCCACAGGAGGACTTAGAGCACCCAGTGGAATTTGAAGAGCCACCTGCTGCCACTGCTGAAGATGACGCCCCAGTGGAAGCTACAGAAATCAGTGCAGAGGTAAAGCACAGCCACAGCCCAGCTAACCCCAGAATCCTTGGCTGGTCTGGGGTTTTTCTCGCCATCTATTGCTCTTTCCTTACTTTCTCTGTGCTGAGCTGGTTTCCATTTCTTTTCTGCATACAGGTGATTTCAGATCTTTTCTCTGCTGATCATAATGCCAAAAATACTCCCCTTTTGTTTGTCTTTCCAGCTACAAGCCCATTCCTGGCCTGTCTGGCTGGAAGCAGATAGTTGTCATCAAAATAAAATAAAATAAAAATAATACCCTGCCCAATAGTTGGAAGTGGGTCAGATTTTCTCCCCATTGCATACATGCACATTTACTTTGTCCCAGGCTGTGAAAACATACCCCCTGGGAACTGTAGTTTACTTCTCATACTGCAACCATTCCCAGCATTCTTATCAAACTACAGTTCCCAGGATCCTTTGCGGGAAACTCACGTGCTTTGAATGTATGGTGTGTATGCAGCCCCAGTGCTGCATCTCGGCAAATGGGTTTTACAGATTTCTCAAATGATGCAAAACCCTAACTTTTCTATCAAATTTAAAAGTAGAACAGTGTACATAGCACAAACTGCCTGCAGCTTGGGGTGGGGTCAAAAAAGAACGACTATCTGTTTCCAGTCTTTGCTTACTAACCTCAAACTACTTACTGGGGTGATTCTAGAATGAGTAGTTTGTAGCTTAAGAGCTGACTTTGATGGAGCATTTTTCTGGACCAAGTGACCCCTTGATAATGCACTGGGCGTATTTGTTTGTGCATATATTAAATCTTAGCATATATCAACTTTTTTCACTATTTCATTTTTTTAAACCATTTTTTAAAATTAAGTTTCAAATGCAACTTTTTTTCAAACAACAAACACACACAATATAAATCATTCATCCATGGGCAGGTAAGAAATTCTAGCTATAATTCATAACTCCATTCGAATCCTATATGAATATACCAAATCTATCACTTTAACCAAAAAGGGTGTTAGAAGAAATACTTTGCAAGGAAGGAAAATTTATAATTCAGGTTCATTATAGCCTATAAAACTAACTGAGTCACATTCTGGTGGACCTAAGTTCCAGGACAACAAAACCTAGAAGGTTAACCAGAGGGAAAATGGCTAGCTCATAGGATCCCTAGTACAAGCCAATAACGTTAGCTGATGCAAAGCTCAGAAGGTACCTTCAGCGCATTTTGGGGAATGGTACATCTCAGGAAAAGTTAGTGTGGTGTTCTTCGGATTTGTTGGACTCCGTTTCCCATCCGTCCCGGTCATCATGGCTGATGGCCAGAAACGATGGGAGTTGAAGTCCAACAATATCTGAACTGCCAGCTTTCCCCCTTCCATGATTGAATAAAGCAAATGAACTCAGGTATCTGGGGTGCTTACTGCACCTTGTCCCCATTGTTTTGCCACACCATTTCTTGATCAGGTAGTGCCGCCAGTGTGGTGTAGTGGTTAAGAGTGATAGACACGTAATCTGGTGAACCGGGTTCGCTTCCCCGCTCCTCCACATGCAGCTGCTGGGTGACCTTGGGCCAGTCACACTTCTTTGAAGTCTCTCAGCCCCACTCACCTCACAGAGTGTTTGTTGTGGGGGAGGAAGGGAAAAGGAGGTTGTTAGCCGCTTTGAGACTCCTTAGGGTAGTGATAAAGCGGGGTATCAAATCCAAACTCCTCCTCCTCCTCCTCCTCCTCCTCCTCCTCCTCTTCTTCTTCTTCTTCTTCTTCTTCTTCTTCTCCTGTGCCACCAATTAAGGTGGGTTTTTTGTGTGTCTCTGTGTGTGCCCTTCTTCCCAAGAGCTTGCTTAGTGATAGCACACCAAGTCATCATGTTAGTCCTCAGCTGGGGACCCCACCGATGGTGCCATGGTGTCCTTCCAGGTTGGAGAGACAGATGAAGGTGATTTCCATTTGACACCCCAACCCAATAGGAAGGAGGACAGTGGAGAATCCCATAAATACAAAAAGGAAAGAAGAGATATAAACCAGGAATGTGGGTAGGTGCCTTGTCTGCCAGCCAATCATCAGAGGAGATTCCAGCAGCTGCCCTCCACTCACTGCTATAGTTCAGAGCAAGTGAGTAGCAGAGCATGAGACAACCAGCTGCTGCAGAGCAGAGACTAGTTGCTGATTGCGGTGCAGAGCCAGTCTACACGTACAGAACCCTCAAACGGAGTTAATTTGCAACTTGAATTGTTTACAAGGGAATTGCATCCTCTGAACGGTTGCTGAATGGCTCTGTGATTCTTCACTGATCATTCATTTAGAAACACATTCTGCCTAAGCAAGAGCCTCCAAATTCAATGCCAGATTTCCAGAGAAAGAAAGTTATACGACGCTGTGGAACAGGCTTACTCTGACCCACCCACTGTTGGCCCCGACTCCCGACTGACGCATCCCGTGAGTCAGGGCAGGCCTAAGACATTCTGCTGCCTGAGGCAAAGGACAACATGCCCTTCCCCCGACTGCACCCATTCCATTTACAAAAACCTGACAGGAATGGCATTTGCAGCATCCTTCAATACTGGCAATAGAAAACATGGTTGGTAATACGCCACCCTGTGCAAGGCCAACATTTGACTTCCTCCCCCAGCTCTCTTGGCTCTGGCTTAAGTCAGGCTTTGAGAAGGAAGTGTGAGGCTCTGACAGGGTCCTAGAGGCCTCCTTCATCCTTCTCCAAGTCTGGTAAGTGCTTGCCCGGCTTTGGGAAGGAGGCAGGAGGATTCTAGGACCCTGTCGGAGCTCTCACAACTCCTTCCTGCAGCCAGGCAAGTACAGTGGTACCTCAGGTTAAGTACTTAATTCGTTCCAGAGGTCCGGACTTAACCTGAAACTGTTCTTAACCTGAAGCATCACTTTAGCTAATGGGGCCTCCTGCTGCCGCCACGCCGCCGGAGCACGATTTCTGTTCTCATCCTGAAGCAAAGTTCTTAACCTGAAGCACTATTTCTGGGGTAGCGGAGTCTGTAACCTGAAGCGTATGTAACCTGAGGTACCACTGTACTTACCAGACTTTGAGAAGGTGCCCTCCTCAGCTGTGCAGCCATACTGCTCACACTGCCCTAAATCCACCTCTGTAAGATAGAATGCTCTGGCACAGGGGTCAGCAAGGTTTACCTTGCCTGGGCCGGTTCACTCCAGCGGAGATTACTCCGTGGGCCAGATTGCACACGCGTCTGTGCAGACGCAATTTCCGGCTGCACAGAAGCGAGTCACCACACCATGCTGTGCACTGGGACTAGCCAAGCGGGTGGCTCGGTTCGGGGGTGGCTCGGGGGCTGGTTAAACGACCCCCGTGGGCCACTTGTGGCCCAAGGGCCTTAGGTTCCCGACCCCTGCTCTAGCACACCTGGGGGCAGCAAGCTAGTGTAAGGGGTACAAGATAAGCTGTGTGATGTACCCAGCCCTGTCCTCATACAAGGCGGATTGCCTAGGAGTTCAGGAGGAACAGCATCTGTTGTCTGAGTCAATTGCTCACTCTGCCCAATGGAAGAGCCAAGTTACCCTAGAGAGGAAATGTATCTAGGATGTCAGCATTCAGCAAATTTCAGGCACACACGGTAACATATATACATACACACACACCCCTCCAGATTTCTCAGGGTCATTCCACATTTTCATTTTTCTGCATAACAAATATATTCTTTCTCATTGATGCAAAGGGTGAAATATCTCTTTTCTGACATTGGCACTTTTGCTGAGGAGGGTGTCTACTCAGCACACTTTATTGTTTGTTTATTCCTATGGTGCCACCAAAATAACCACTTACGTACATGCCTGATCATAAATATCAACATGTATGTTGCCTGGCAGAGTGGGGAACCCCTCCTACAGTCTACTTACTCATTACATTTGATGACAGCTCATTCAGAGGCATGTTTACTGCTCCTTTTCAAAACTTTCTGCATGTGTATAGAGATCTTGCTTTCCCCTCTGGCTTCGGAGTCGACTTGGATTTTGGTGGGGGGCAAATTAACCTGTTTTCTTGTTTTTCTTCTTCCCAGGGCGAAAATGAAGGAAATTAACCCTCCTAGTGTGAAAAGTGGGAATCCCAGGAGTAAATGCAGAAATGTTAGCTGCCACCAGAGCAGGGAAATCACTCATCCCCTAGGCTAACTTCATTCAGCACTACAGTCTTTCACTTGCCTCATACCGACATATCATAGATGTCTAGCAGACTCTTGACCATCTGTTTTAGGGAAACTGTGTGCAGCAGAGCTCTGTCTGTCCCCGTCCCCCCCACCTCCTTTGTGGCTTCCTTCCTTCCCCATCTTCAAAGCCTTCTGAGCGTGTGGTTTGGTAGCCGTGTTATAGCACAGTCGTGGTTGAAATTGCTGGTTAATGTCTTCTGCCCATTAGCATCAGCACTTGAGATCCCTAAAAATGGTGGACTTTTTTTTTTTTTAAGAAAAAAAGAGAGACAAAATAAAACAACTTGTTTCAACTAAGTCTTTGTTTGCGCCTTCTCAGTTTTTTCATCATTCTGACTGTGAGTCTTGTTGGTTATAGTAGTTTTGCCTTTGTAAGAGGCATACCACACCAGCATTAAAAAATTAGAGGGGGGAAATGAGTGAGTGGTTGGTTTATATTATCAGCTGATCAAAGAGGACACATTCATCACAGTCTAATCTTGTGCCGCCAGAGCTGATCCCTTTTCATTAATATCTATGAATGCTTTAAACCTTGAATATGACAAAATCTATATCAGTATGCCTTCCTCCAAAGCACATCTCAGATTTGCTTAAATTTGCAGCTGTAAGACAAGTGTATCAGATTGTGGTCTGGTGCATATAAATGTAATAAAAATTATGCTGAGCTTGCCAAGCAACTAACAACTGTCTGAGTTTGAGGCCCCCTTTGAACTTGAGGTCCAGGCCAAATGGCCCTCCTGCACACACAAACACTGGCTGGCCTTGCTTGTGATACAGCTGAGGAAGTGGGGAGGCCCTCTTTCATATATTTTGCAATCCTCAGACTGGCAGGGAAGGGATTTCCAGTGGCATCCAGGAAGCTATCTGTGCAGGTAGAATATAGAAGCTAATCTTCAAAGAGGATGCAAAGCTGTCATTTGGATCCATCGTCTTTTCCTTGCATCCCTAAGATAAACACAAGTCGCCATGTTCCTGGCAGAGGCTTCTGCGAAATGTTTCTTCCCTTTGCAAGATCAGCAAGAGCAGAGCCAGGGCAGTGTTCATCTCTTAACAGGGACCACTCACAGTTGATTTGATGTGATTTGCTCAGTAGCTCTTGGGTGGAGCCAAGGATTAAAACAAAGCAGACGATCCAGAACAAGCAGTGTGAGTCATATATTTCCCCTCACTCGCAACTAAAAACAAGCACACTTCTAAATAATCCTTGAGCCAGATGTGTGTGCCTAGTGGTGTTTCTTGCAAAAGAAAAGCCTTCGGGTGTTGCAACATAAATTGGGGTTCTTCAAGCATTTCCTTGCCTCAATTCACAGATTTCGCGGTCTCTGTGTACTGCCCACTATCTATGCCCAGGACATCTTTGCCACATGGTATGGGGCTCAACTGTCTGTTTTTCAACACAGATCCAAAACGTAGGAAGCTGCCATATACTAAGAGTGTGTACACACTACAAATTCAAAACACAAGAATCTTGGGAATTATAATTTGGACAACCACTCCCAACACCCTTAACAATCTATGGTCCCAGAATTCTTTGTATGTGTGATGTGCATACACAATTATACCACTTTAAACATGACGGCTTCCCCCAAGGAATCCTGGGAACTGAACTTCATTAAAAGTGCTGAAAGCTGTTAGGACACTCCTATTCCCTTCACATATCTACTATTCCCTGGGAAGAGGAATTGGTGGTTAAACCACTCTAGGAACTGTAGCTCTGGAAGGGGAATGGAGTCTCCTAAAAACTCTCAGCACCCTTAACAAACCACAGTTCCCAGGAGTATTTGGGGGAAGCCATGACTGTTAAAATGCTGTAGCATTGCTTTAAGTATATGGGGCAGATGTGGCCTAAGTCAGACCACTGGTCTGTCTAGCTCAGTATCAACTGTATAGACAGACAGGAGTCACTGCCAACCCTACCTTGACATGCCGGTGTTTGAACCTGGTGGTTTTTTTCATGCAAAATATGTGCTCAGCTGCTAAGACATGGCTCCTCCCTGCTGTATAACTGCTTCATCACCTCATGTCTCCCCAAGTTCCAAAGTGGGCGAATGCCCCAAATCCAGGCCTTGTTTTACCTTCCAAGGAACCACTCAGCTCAAGGTCAACACAAAAGACAGCTGCCTCAGTGGTGCCTTAACGCCCCATCTGTGTGTTTTATTAAGCCAGCAGCAAGCTGTTTCTGTTGTCTTCTGTTCTCAGAAGTCCATGCATTGCCTGACGGGTTCTTTCCTTTCCTCGCCACCTGACACATCTGGACTGTACTTCATATTTGTTTGCTGGCTTCAGGTGGCTGTTTGCTCTCTCTGCTTTTTAAAATTCCGAGTCAAGAGATGAGAGCCATTAATGGCCTGTCCAGCGCTGCATTAAATGGTGAGCAAAACACGCCTCATTTACTAAAACACACTAGTTTGGCAATACGATTGCTAGAGTCAATACCGGTGATCCCGCGAACGGAAGCTCGGGTAAGTATTGACACAAACTCTGCTGGCTGCATGACTGGATTAGAAGAACCACTAAATAAAACTCGGCTCACCACCATATCAGAAGGGGGAAAGATGGCTTAGTGGTTTTTAGTAGTTTCTTGCATTTCATCGTGTACCAATTCTGTTAAATAAATCAATAAAAAGGAAAGAGTTTGGAAGCAAGTAAAGTACGTAATATGCACAAATTGCCTAAAGAGGGTGTGCATACAAAAGACTGTTAAGACTTAAATGAATTAACCGAACCTATGCCATTTAAGATACTGCATCTATCCCATGAATGGTGCACAAAGGAGGATAAGGGGCCTGCAGAGAGACATCTGAGCACCAGTATGTTGTGTTCTTGCAGGCCTAGGACAAGGAGGAAGGGCCTTGGTTTCCTGTACCCTTTTTCGAAGGATGGTACTTTGTAAATAAATGTTTAGTGCAATAGAAATGAAATCCATATGCCAGAGCTAAAAATCAGAATGCAACCTTTGAGGACACTTCTGCAAAGGCAGGAGTAGCCAATGTGGTGTACTTTGGTGTATAATGTGGTGTACTCTATCCAACATGACAAATAGTCGGGGGTGAAGGAGAGTTGTGGTTCAACAACATTGGAAGGGGGGCACCACATTGATTACCTCAGTATTGTGGATACACAGGCCCAGATATGAACGGACATTGGTGCCTCTCTCACACAACTGCCTCTGTGTTGCTCCGTGCTGACGTGCCCGCCATTTGCTCAGTTATTTTCCACCGAGATTCTATTCAGAAGGGATGAGCACTATTCCCACTGATGCAGAAAGAAAACGCTTGCTGAGACACACCTCCCACCTGGGAAAGGCGAAGAATTTGGCATTTTGACACGTGCCTTCAGTTTCGTTTATCTGGGCTTAAAATGCTAAGCTACCTGAATGCTCCACCTATTGAAAATATTTGCCCAGTGAGCATGGGGGGGGGGTCTTGGTTTGTATATAAAACCAGCATAGGCTGGAGACACTGCTGCAGAATGTTTAGAAGGCCGATGTTTTAAATTTGGTTAAGGACGGAAGCTGTTGAAAACAACCATGTCTGGAAAGCAACCATGTTTTAAGGGCTTCACTCAACAAGCTGAAGGGACCATGCAGGATGCTGGTAAGAAACTCACTCATCTATCTATCTATCTATCTATCTATCTATCTATCTATCTATCTATCTTGGTTTCACTTCAGATGCCCGATGAAAAGGAGTTTTGTTCTCAGGGCTGGTTTATACATTCTCAGTAGCATCAAGCTGGTCTCCTTCCTTCTTGGTCTCTGCTTCTTGTAAACCAGAATGCACCCCTCTGAAAAAGTGTCTTGCAGATTGAAGACACTTCCAACTCTATGATTCTATGACTCTAGGAACTAACTCTTCCAACTCTATGATTCTACAACTCTGTGGCATAGCAAGTTAGGCTGTATCCACACAGCATTTTATTCCATTTTCACAAAGTTTCCTTATCTGATAATTTCCACATTTTATGCAATCTTTCCCACAATTTAAAGCCACTTCTGGAAAAACAGTGGAATCTAGCAGAAGTTTAGTGTACATTTCCAGGTTATTTGGCTCCAGGGGAAAAAATAATCAATTTTACAACCAGTTAACTGAGCAAATTGTGGGAGTTCTGTGTTGTAGTCTCAGGTGAAGAAATTTCAGGCAGTATTCAAGCATACAGTTTTTTCTACCATATCAAATTTAGCACGACATGGCAGTATATTGAGCAACAAGTCACAGTTCCATAATGCAACAGGTGAGGCAGTATAAAAGAAACATTAAAATCTGGGGTAGATGTGCTAGCATTATACGGTAATTAGGATTGTTGGTATCCATCTGTCTTGGGAGACAATGGAGGAGTGCGTCTTTGGGGGTGATGTCAAAACATTGGAAGGTTACAGTGCCTGCTGTGGCTGTAGAGACCGATACAGGAGAGACATGCTTTGTTGCAGCTGAGGCAGATGAAGGTTGTGCTGTTGAATGCAGCCTTAGACTTCTATAAACAAGGTGTTGTTGTTTTTAAATGCTTGAAGGAGGCTGAATTTCATTTTAAAAAAACCACCCATGTGCAGTCTGAAGTGGTATAGTCCAGGAAGAGCTTCACCAAAGAACAGGTTAGCCCTTCAGCAACAGGGATCTAACTATGGCATTTCTTGATTGACATTATATGGTCTGCTTAATAGTCCTGAGCACTGACGTGGATGCAGCTTACTTTTATTACGTTTATTCCATTGTATACTGCCTTTCCTCTGGAGAGCTCAGAACAATGTGCCCCACTCCCAATTTTATCCTCAGGACTACACTGCAGGGGTGCCAAGTTGAATAAAATTGGGGAGTGAGCCCCACCCCACATAAACGATCACACGAAGTGATACACGCACACCATTTGAATGGCAATGCCCATCAATTTGGGGGGGGGGGCCTCAAATATTTTATGGAGGCCCCCGAAGGGACCTCAGCCCCTAGGAGTTGGCTCCTATGCTATGCTGTGAGATAGGTCAGGCTGAGAGATGGAATAGCAATGCAAGCATCAATGGTTGTTGTTGTTGTTGTTGTTGTTTAGTTGTGTCTGACTCTTCGTGACCCCATGGACCATCGCACGCCAGGCACTCCTGTCTTACACTGCTTCACGCAGTTTGGTCAACCTTATGTTAGTAGCTTTGAGAACACTGTCCAACCATCTCGTCCTCTGTCGTCCCCTTCTCCTTGTGCCTTCAATCTTTCCCAACATCAAGTAGGGGAGTGGTGTGAGCTAGCCATCACTGTAGTACGCTCAGAGGAATGGCGAGATTTCTTTTCTGTACCGAAGTTAAATAGCCTTTCCTGCTCACCCCATTACTTGTGATGTCACTGCTTTCCCCCCTCCTAAAAACAACTCAGTTCTGAAAAACATATACATTCATGTCCTCAGATGCCACTGATCTGCTAGGTCACAACCATTCACCCAGGTGCTGTGATAAGGAAGATCTTGTTTTTCCTATGATATCTATGTACTCAGCATGCACTCAAAGAACATCTTGTTATTGTCTGCTGATGCGTGTCTGATAAAGTTATCAATCTGAACCACAATTCTAACCTCATGATGCAGGACCACACAGCTTGTGGACCCACCAAGAGGATCTCACAACCCATCAACTACAAATGGAAAATGTGCCAGGGATTCATTAAAACCCTTCTGGGGCTTCTGCATGCATGCATGGGTCTGCAAAAACACACCATGGATACCAGATGATCCTCAAGTATTGCTGATGTTTTCAGCTTGGTGGGGGTTACACTTTGCTGGGGGCGGGGGAGAAATGTGATTCAGATCACATTAAAAGGTGAGCCAAACTGATTTGCACTTCCTGAAACAATACAAGAACCAAAATGCAGCCATCCTTCAAAATTTGCACTTCTTCAAATTTTGCAACACAGTTCTCCGATCAAGCAATATGTACAAAAATGCCTATGCTATTGTAAAGTGTACAAAAAAAATGTATGCATTGGTGAAAATAATGCACAAAAATGTTATATAAGGGCGACTGCCTATGAAAATATGCATATTAAGCAAAATTGCATACGAAGAATGTGTACATTAGGCAAAAACACACTAAAATGATGAATTTTCATGAGGACTTTTAAAAAATAATAATAATTTGCAAAATGATCTCAAAATTTCTACACATTTTTACAAATGAACTTAAGATGGGAAAAAATAGCAACTGAAAGTACCCAAATTTACAGATTTTCTCACCCCTACAGTTTGCACAGGTTTTATTATAAACTGCTCCGGGAGAAGAATACATCCTGAAGGAAACCTATGATATAAATAAAAATAAAATGAATATTTCCCTTTGATTTTCTTAGTGCCTTCCCTTTGCACAACTCATTTTTTAAAAATTAAATAAATCTCTTTTTTCTCTTGCTTGCAGTAAACAAGGTGGGACAGGCCACGCAGCAAGTTGTGGACCAAGCTACCCAGGCCGGTCAGAAAGGTAGGACTCGAAATTGCTACTAGCTTAAAAGCAGATTGTCAATTCAGAATGTTCTGTGCCTGTTCCATTTATGATATGTGTATACAACCCTTGGTAGGTTGCATAAGGTCAGCGGTAGCCAAGCATCTGCTTTGTAAACATAATGTCTTTTCCCAGGGGAACTCTGAAAAATATAGCTCTGTGAACATGGCAGCTGACTCAGTCTTTGCCAGTGTCATCCCAATGAGGAAGGCGCACACACTGGAATTCTGCCAAGTGCAGGGAAAACGCAGCAACATCACAACTGACCTCAAAGCAAGATCCCATCCCTAATCTCTGACTGGCTAGGGAAAGGGGAAGCTGGGACATGAGGAGTCATTGAATATTAAGTGGGCTATCTTACTTTTGCAGTAGGATAGTGGTTGTTCAGACTGGGCAGCACATGGAAGCTACACATTAGGAACCAAGTGCTTGGGAAACCCAGATTAGTAACATCCTTCCTTCCCTTTTTACAGCTGTGGACCAAGTGTACAAGGCAGCTCAAGATGGTGTGACCGACCTCGAGAAAAAAATTGGACTCAAGAAATGATGGCCATCGTGATATTGAAATCAGACCAAAGAACGTTTGGCATCCTCAGATTCACACTTCCCTCTTCCATTCTGTCATAATCCTTATCCTTACGGAAAGCATGAAATTCTCTCCACCCCTCCTTTTCTGATTTGTAGATTTGCAGTCCAAAGAAAAGAAAGAAAAGGATCATATCGCCACCTTCCTTCAGAAGGAAAAACGTGCCAGATTTGGACAACTGAATTGTCTAACTACCTAGTCCGAGGCATTTCGGCACCTGTGATTGTCATATGGCATGAAAAAAGAGGGCTGCCCCCGAGATAAGATTTTTATATCCCCTGCCAGTCTCACGCCTCATTCTTGTAAAGACAAGACATACTACTACCACCAGTATATCAGGAGTCATACCAAGGATGGAATTAACTTACCTTTTGTCTTTTGTCTCAAAAAATAGCTGTCAACTGGCTGCCCCTGGGCCAAATTAAGCAGTACGTTTATGACCCTCCTAATTTCCAATCCTAGAGGCGAAAGAGGAATGGAAATGAGCAGCATCAGTGACAGAGGGATTTTGGCAGGAAGCCATTTCAGTAGATAAGGTGTGAAGCTTTGTCCCATGCTTCTACTCTCTTGTTAAAGTGGTCCCCCTCTGGCAACACTAGTTGTTGACCCAGGAGAGAAGGGTTTTATTTTTCAAAGTTATTCATATTGACTTTCCCTGTCCAAAAAATTGTTAGGCTCCAGGAGCCTGCCATGTAGTGCATTTCTTGGAATGTTTCCCATTGCAAGAAAATGTGGGTCAGCAATACAGCACTGCACTGTTAGCCCTCCACCCTATAGGACCACAAATAAACTGCAATTTGCCATCGCTACTGAACAAATAACAATCAATGCGCAACTTTGCTTGTCTTCCTGAGATCTGAACAACTGCACTGTGCATAGCCAACCTGCACCTTGTGTGCACTTCTGCACATAATGTCTTTTACCACTAAACCTGTGAAGGTTTTCTGGTGGATGTATTTTGAAATAGATCAACTCCTTTCTTGGTCTTTATCTGAGAAATGGGCTTCATCTATATATAGTTTAAAACACAGTAGGTGGAATGGTTTCTAATGCTGTGTTAGTTTGCTCCACCATGGAGCTAGAGGTGTGCAGCCTGACAGTGCAACACTGCATTGTGAGTTCTCCATGCAGGATCAAACAATTGGAGGAACTACCACCACTTCTGATACGCATTATCGTGAATGCGCAGAAAAACCCATTGCCATCTGGGATCAGTTTTTGAGATCTCAACAATTGTACTGTGCACTTCCAGGCTGCACTATTTTTAGTTGAAACAGACTGCTTTCTTTAGCAGAGTAGTCTGTAATTGTATTGAAAACTCTGCAGTGATGCAATGTTAAGGCAGTCATAAGAATGGCTCTTAAGGCAGTCAATGGCAACTTTTGCAAAACTGCAAAGTTTATTGAGGAGGGTGCAGGATAGCAATGGAACACTGTGTTGTTCGCTCTCTTCCAAGCAAACACAATCAACCAACCAACCAACCGGTCATAGCAATACCCATAAAGCATAATTGTTAACACAGAAGTACTATTTGTTGCTTTACCTTTCATGTCTTTCCTTTTCTTGACTTGAATGTTAATAATAATAATAAATATGCATGACAATCTCAATTCTTTTGGGTGCTTACATGTGACTGAGCTCTATGCTGCATTTTCCCCCATGGGAGTTGACAGTAACTTGCAAGGATAAAATCACAGGTGAATAAGTGGTTGTCCAAGCCACCCGACCCTCCATGCCTACCTCCTTTCACTGTAGGAGCACTTTGAGATTGGGCATCATGTGGCATGGAGCAAGGAAGTCCCTGGTTTTATTTAAACCACACCAGCCATTCAATTCAGGGTGTGAGACCTCCGGGTATAGGGCAGTATATAAATTTAATAAATAAAATAAATTCGGCAAGGCGCAGGAGATCCACTATCAAGATATAGCTTCTTATGGATCTAGCTAGCTGAATTATACTGAGCAATTTTGCCCAGAATCATTTACTTTTACTGCCAGCAGCTCTTGAGGGTCTCCAGCAAAGATCTTACCTATCACCTAGTCCCTGAGCAGTTACCTAAAGAAGCAAGGGGTTGCGCACGGGCCCTTCTGTATGCAAAGCATCCCTTCCGTCCTGAACCCCTGGCCTACCTGGCAGCAAGTCAGTCCAGGGTCAAGCCACGTGTCCGAAGCACAGTCCCGCAAAAATCCTGGAGCATCCAAGCTGAGGTCCATCAACATGGGCAGTTGAGCAAACACAGCCCCTCAGCTCTGCTTCTCCTTTTGCATGCTGATTGCAGCATCTGGGCTTGACGAGGCATATGACCCTCACCTGTTCCAAGCCTACTCCAGCAGAGGAATCACACACTGAGAGCTAGTGAGCCTCACCTGGCTAGTGAGGAAGCTGGGTTTGGGGCCCTTGCCTGCCTCAGCCTCTTGGAGCACCCCTCCCACCGCTCCCTATTCCCCAGAGCCCACTGTGTTCATGGAGACAGGGGCCTCTCTCGCTCTGGTGATAGGTCCTGCTGCTCTGGTTCCTGTGCACTGACTCCCATCCTCTCATCATCCTCCATCACCCTGTGAGTACTTCCTACATGAACCTCTCCTTCCCCATCCTCAGCTTGCCCCAGTGTGTCACAGTTCCGGCTACACCCCTCTCCGGGATCCTCTTCCACCTCCCCGTTGTCCTGCCAGTTCATGTATGCCAAAGTTAGGCCCTTAGATCTGCCAGTCTTTTGGTGTATGTGTTTTTCTTTGAATCAATCAATCAAACAAACAAACAAACAAACAAACAAACAAAAACACCTTCAAAGCAGCCCTGGGGAGTCACCATTCTGATCAGAGAAAGGGAGATGGAGCGTCAACATTTTCCCTTTGCAACATTTTGTCCATCTAAGGCCTCTCCAATCTGATATTTGCCCCACTGGAGGTGGGGATGCTGGCGTACAAATAGCAAAGAGTGGGACAACCTGGGCAGGGCCTTAAAGCCAAGGGCAGAGTTTCAGATGGATGCATAATGTGATGGGGACCCAGTGCAGGGATGGGAGGATTGGTGTGAGTGACGGAGAGATCAATGCTTTTCAGAGGCGAGTTTTGGGTTAGAGGTTAAAAGACTAAGCTGTGACAAGGGAAGGCCAGAGAGCCACAGCACACACCCAAAATGGTAAATTTGCATCATTTATTGTGATGCAAAATTCTGAAATACTTTTAGACAGATTATTATTTTGTAATGCCCAGGACAAATAGCCCTGCTTGTAATAGACCCAATTTCCCCCCTCTGTGTGGTATATGAAGCCACTGAGGATAGGTTCACCCAAGTCAATTTCTCCCAAGACAATGACCAGATCATTGTGTGTGTGATGATGCCCTGCAGATTCCACAAACAGCCTCAGGTTAAGCAACACTGATGCACATTTTCGCATAACATGTCAGTGTTACTGCAGTTTCTCTTTCCAGCCACGGTGTGGAGTAGAAGCCTAAGAATATAATTCTCAGGGTTTGCCATGTTTTCTTTCCACAGCTTGTGAAGCAGTGCATGCTGATGTTAGAGATTAAGGCACATGTAGGAACAAGACAACTGACCACAGTAGAATTTGTTTTCTAAGTGCACAGAGTCAGCCCAAGGCATTCTGCTAGGTAGGGCAGTGAATGGCAGTTCCTCCCTTCCTAAATAGGGAAGTAGGGAGAGTTCAATTCAGTTTGAACAGAAAGGCAAACATACCTAATCCGTGCTTCCCAATACAATACAAGAACCAAAACACAACGATCCTTCAAAATTAACACAACTCAGTTTTGCAGTGCAGTTCTCGACCTAAGCAATGCTTACAAAAATGTATATATTGGGGGGGAGGAGTGAATAAAAATTAATATGTGTATTACTGAAAATCATGCGTTGTTGTAGGGAAAGCTCCTTCAGAAAATGTGTGCATTAGTCAAAACTGCATATAAACATGCATTAGGAGAAATCTGTAGTAAAACACTGGTGAATTTTCATTTTTCAAAATCCGTAAATCGGTGCAGAAATGTGGAAAAATGAATTTAAAATGGGAAAAAAGAAATTGAGAGAAGTAAAATGGACAGATCCCTCCATTCCTATTCCCAAATCAAGGTGCAAAGTACGGTGGTAACTCAGTTTGTTAACTTAATCTGTTCCGGAAGTCCATTCTTAAACTGAGGCGCACTTTCCCTAATGAGGCCTCCCGCCACCAGTGCCCTTCCACCATTCAGTTTCCGTTTGTAGACCGAGGTAAAGTTTGCAAACCAGAACACAACTTCCGGTTTTGCGGAGTTCGTAAACCAAATCGTTCGTAAACAAGACTGTTCTTAAACCGAGGTACTACTGTATCTGAACCAAGGCAAGATATTTGGGCAGCTAGCTGAGCCCGAAAACCAAGCAAGCGGCTCTCGCTTCCCTGACAGTAAAAAGAGAGTGGTGAAAAATCAAATAACTATTGTTTGCCCTCTCATGACACCCAGAATCATGTGTGGGAGCACTCATTTTGCCTAATGGTCGGACTGGGTCCCAGCATCACCGCAGATGACAGCAGCTAGGGGCCTACTTCAGAATGCTTGTAGGGTTTTTTGGGGGGGGGCAGGGGAATGTCATTGATTCAATAATAGTGCACGACACAACATGTCATTGACATAATAATAGTGCATGAGTGGTCGGCTTATTTTGGACCACCCACACAACATTCTGCTGTATTAGCTGTTCTGTGATGCTCCATCCCATACAGCGGCAACCACTGAGATCAGAGAAATGACACTTGTCAAAATTCTCCCTTCTTTTTAACACTTAAAAGGCCCTTATCGCTGCATCACATACCAAGCTGAACAGATATGCTTTCCAATATGCATTGTAAACTTGAAAGAAAACTCTTCTCTTCACCCGAAACTGTATAAATAATTACTGATGCTTGCCAACTGCCACCTTAAGAGACTGGGAAAATTGCTCTTTTGGGAAGTGAGTAGTGCTATTTTTCTAGAAAACTCACCATGAGCACCTCCCTTGTTTTCTTTTAATGGCAATGGCACCTACCTGAGAGGCGCTGGAACTGAGTTCCAGTGAGTTTTGGCTGGGGGAAAAAGCCTCATTAGGTCTTATTTCTGAGTATATTATTTCTGTATTAGGAGTGCACTGTTAATGAATGCTGAATTTTGAAACCGTGGAAGTATGGGGGATTTTTCTTCTCTTCCCCTCCCCATTTTTTTCTTTAGGTATGAAATGAGCATTTTGTCACTCTCAGGGCATCCGATCAGTATCTGGCAGTACACATAAAACTAGAAAAACTGGAAAAGGTTAAGAGGCTGTCTTGCCCGTCAACCTACCTCAAGGACTCTTAAAAAAGCATAAGCTGTTGTTTTAGCGATATGGCATGTTGTCTGTCTGGCTGGTACGCATACCTAACATTGCCTAAAAGTGTACCTTGGATACCATAGAAAGCAACATAGAAAGCAAGCATCAATAAAGAGCAAGGGAACTTTGGGTTCTGAGAGCAAAATGCCTACCTTCTCATAGGTATTTTTAATGTTATTGAGATTTCTAGTCTTTCCCCCTTTCTCAAATCCAAGACTCGCTGGAGGAATGCATGTGCATAGAATGTAAGGTGTTCAGGAGACAAAAATAGCTTTCCAGTGTGAAACATAAGGTACATTTTACCACATGTATTGGCTGTTGTTCCCCCACCCCTCAGCCAATGCCCCCACCCGAACAACCCCTAAACAATTGGGTTCTTCTATACCTGAAAACGGGGGGGGGGGGAGAAATGGTGGTACTACTGGGATAATCAATCTTTGATTGATGTGCAGCCCATCAACCAAAATCATAGATTTGGTATAATATAATTGGATAACCTCTTTTTGACTTCTTGGATAGAAAGATGCCCAGATTGAACACTGGGAAAACATCAGCGGAAGGAAAAATAAATGGATACTACTCTGGATTGAACATTAAACTTAACATTTACCTGAAATCTGCTTCCTTTCATTTCCCACCCATTAGCTCTCTAATTCTGCCCTCTGAGCACCTGAGAACAACAGATTCAGAAATAAGGCTTCTATGCTAAAAACCATTTGTTTGGCTTAAGCCCTGGCACTAAAAACCAATGCACCAGAAACTGAGAATTGGCAAGCAGGCAGGAAGTGATTCACTGACTATGGAGCACTTTCCATCCTATGCCTGCACCTTTGTGTCTGGAGCAGGAAAAGGGTGAGATATCCTGGTAACTGTTTCTGCCGGCTGGCTGTTGCTATCAGAAACAACCAAGAGTTAGAGATGGAAAAGTCCATAGACTTCAACTGGCTACCCCCATGGGCCAGTTTGTGAATGGTGAGACTTAACGCAACCAAAGGTTGGATTTTAGTTCAAGAACCCTGGAACAGTGGCATAACTGCAATGAGTCATTGCCCATCCTCATATACATAATGCTCATCATCTTTTTTTCAGCACCATCTTCCAACAGGTATCACCTGTCACAGTCCCAACTGTCCCATCACACAAGTGGTACCCTTGACTAGAATGGAGGCAAGAAGTTAATCACATAGCATTGTCACATGGGTGGATTGTGTGAAGCCACTCATTTGCAAAGGCAGAATCCATCTGCCATACAATGAGCCTCAGCACAGGAACATAGGAAGCTGCCTTATGTTAACACCAGACTATTGGACCATTTAGCCCAGTCTTGTCTACTCTGACGGGCAGCGACTCCCCACCAAGAGGTTGTGCACATCTGCTGTTACCTGGTCCTTTTAACTGAACTCAGCGGAGAACCTTCTGCAAGCAAAATATTGTCTAACACAGAGTGATCTCTCTTCTTCAGAACCAGTGAAGGCGGTGAAGGTGCCTGGAGGCAGTTGGAGGATGGATGGCGGCTAATGGATTGAGGTTGAATCCTGACAAGACAGAAGTACTGTTTTGGGGGGACAGGGGGTGGGCTGGTGTGGAGGACTCCCTGGTCCTGAATTGGGTAACTGTGCCCCTGAAGGACCCGGTGCGCAGCCTGGGAGTCATTTTGGACTCACAGCTGTCCATGGAGGCACAGGTCAAATCTGTGTCCAGGGCAGCTGTTTACCAGCTCCACCTGGTACGCAGGCTGAGACCCTACCTGCCCGCGGACTGTCTCGCCAGAGTGGTGCATGCTCTAGTTATCTCCCGCTTGGACTACTGCAATGCGCTCTACGTGTGGCTACCTTTGAAGGTGACCCAGAAACTGCAGTTAATTCAGAATGCGGCAGCTAGACTGGTGACTGGGGACAGCCGCCGAGACCACATAACACCGGTCTTGAAAGACCTACATTGGCTCCCAGTACGTTTCTGAGCACAATTCAAAGAGTTGGTGTTGATCTTTAAAGCCCTAAACGGCCTCGGCCCAGTATACCCGAAGGAGCGTCTCCACCCCCATCGTTCTGCCCGGATGCTGAGGTCCAGCACCGAGGGCCTTCTGGCGGTTCCCTCATTGCGAGAAGCAAAGCTACAGGGAACCAGGCAGAGGGCCTTCTTGGTAGTGGTGCCCGCCCTGTGGAACGCCCTCCCATCAGATGTCAAAGCGATAAACAACTACCTGACATTCAGAAGACATCTTAAGGCAGCCCTGTTCAGGGAAGTTTTTGATGTGTGACATTTTAGTGTATTTTTGGTCTCTGTGGAAGCCGCCCAGAGTGGCTAGGGAAACCCAGCCAGATGGGCGGGGTACAAATAATAAATTATTATTATTATTATTATTATTATTATTCCCTGGAGGAGTCCTTCCATCTGACGAACCCAACTGATAGCATTTTCCAGAAAGGCAAAATTCAAGCAGGTTGGCACAATTTGTGACCAGACTGAACATGGTTTTTTGGTCACAGATCAGAGGCTTGCCTGGTGCCATTTTTGCACTCCCAGGTGTGCCACAACCCCCCCCCAAAAAAAGGCTGAATTAATCTCCTGCACAGCTGCATCCAGTTTGGTCACAGGTTTCTGATTTGAAGTTTATGTGCTTTCAAACACAGTAATTAGTATCTTTGGACTGGTGTCATTTCCCCCTTCCCATACATTGAAACTTACCGTTATTTGGCCTTATAAAACCTCCGGCTCTTCTGACAGCCATCATTATGGAAACATTTCATAACAGCAGGCTGGCCAGCCCAGTCCACAACCACTCTTGTTTTGCAGCTGTGGAAAACCACTTTGGTTAAAAAAGATTTTAAAAGTGCCAAACCCCACCCTCTCCCTTGCGGGGAAGAATACAGTAATTCCAAACATCCCTCCACTTCCTTTGAAGTCAGGAGTTGGTGACTAACAGAGCTCTGTGGGTTTTTCTGGATCCTAGCTGGGAGGAGTTTGCCTGTCTATAAGAGCCAACTCTTTGGGAAGCAACAAAACAGGGCTGGACTGCATTTGAGAAAGTGACCGTCCATCAACTGGTTGGGGATCTACAAATCAGGGAGCAGGAGATCTCATCCACACAAAAGCAAAAATGTTTAAGCTGAATCTTGAAGAGGAAGGAAAAACACTGACCGGGATGGCTTCCCAGGTTGCAGGTAAAGACACTGAGGTTATGTCGTTGTTCTTGTAAAACCACCAGTCTATATTCTACTTTTTCAGTCACAGAAAGATCTATCCTTAAGTAACGCCAACATCAGACTTGGGGTGGGTTGTTGTCTTAACAGCAACTTGATGTGCAGGTATTACTATCAATTTATTCTCTATGCTGTTAATAGCTTTGAGGTGAACGACCTCTGCCTGAAACCCTTGAGTCACAGGAGTCCAGAAATGCACTAGGCTTGATGACAAAGTAGTCTGATCTCATGTAAGACAACTTTCAATGATTTTACCTGCTGATCATGCTCCAGTGTAATAGGGGAAAAGGCTGCAAGGGTATTAATTGCACAAGAGCTGATCGGGTCATTTTTTTCTTGGTATGTTAGCAAAGCTCCCTGGGATCTATTTTTATTTTTGTTACCATATATGTTCAACTTTCTTCTTCTGCCTTAGTAAGCCTCTTTGGAATACGGTGGGGTAAAAACCAAGCATGAATAACTTGGATTTCATGAGAAAGCACTTTTCCTTTCTGATTTTTGCCTTTCTGAGAAAATACCCCTCCCCACAAAGTTAACGTCTGTATTGTCCCTACAAGGGGGGATGGGGGGTGTACCATACTGCAATGCCCACATGAGTTTAGCCAGGATTTGGGGGGGGGGCAGAACCTCAGTTAGATATGTATTTTTATTGATTTCTATTGATTTAAGGGAGGAAGGTGCCCCTCCTTGCCTACGCCCATGATTGCCCATATTTATTTTACAATTGAAAATGGAAACAATGGAGGAAAAATGTTTTCTGGCATTGCAGACCTTTAACAAAAATGTGTGAATATAATTCAAAGTACCTCAAATTGGATTTATTATTTATAGATACAAAAAAGGTTTGATTTTTCTGTCAAGAAATGTACCGCCTACAGTAATTATCCTGACCTTTAAATAAAAGTTATGGAAGGGCATGGGTCTAGAAAGCCAAACAAAGACCCCTCTGTTTCATAATTGTTCAGGTTTTCCATGCAAGTGTTTATACCAGGGCTTGTAATCAAGGCACAAAATGTCGTTTTAGGATTCCAAAATAAAACTCATTATATAAACAACAGGCTTTGCCAACTGACCCGAAAACAGCCTGGCTGGCAAAAAACCAATAGGCAACACTTTCTGCAGTATGTGGCGAAATATCACCAGCTATTGTCTAGAAATCCAGCTTCTGTTCAAGCTATTGCAATAGCTTGCTTGAAAAACTGGCAGTCTTTCTAAAGAGTTTGGATGGAGACCGTAAATTGCTTTTTCTCTCTGAAATGCTGGATTCGCTTCTTTTCTTTTCTTGAGCTGGAATGCTGTGGCCAACAGAAATTCCATAAATGGAGTTTTCCCAACCTGCCAGGAAATGCTTCAGCTGAGATTTTTCTGCTTTGGTCAAAAAGCAGTAAAAGGCCCATGATCTGGTGAGAAAAGTTGGCAAATCTTCTGACCCGGGGCAACATGGAGGATTTATGCAAGTTCCTTGAACAGTGTGTATTCACTATCACAGAAATGCAAAACTGAAATGCATCTTAAAATGTTAATGATCTCAGACATCAGCTCATCAAGTTACAATTAAGAGTGACCAGCTAGGATAGGAACAGTTCTGACAGACTGATGAAATAGCCACTGCCAGGTGAGATACAGAAGAACCAAAAGCAAATAAATCTCTCAGCAGACCTTGTGTAATAAGCTATGTATCTCTTCCTGAAAATGATTTATGACAACATGTGGGATCAACAACAAAATGTTGCATTGTGAACTGCTCCTCTTACGGATTTTTGCCAGCCAGTGTGTCTTCCATGATTCTGTTCTATATAGTCTTTCCCTCTGGATTTCTATTTCCGTCCTCCGACAGCAAAGCCAGCATGTTGACCCATTAAGCATGCTCAGTTTTTACTGGGGTCCTCCTCCACTCTTCTAGGTTTTTCCTTTTTTTTTTTTTACCTTCTGCAAACCTTGGGAGTTCATAAAGGCTTGCTGATACCTCCATTGTGTGATGGGGTAATGCTTTTTGGCTATGTAAGAACCAACTATGAGTTTGGTATTAATATATAAGATACACCATTCACGTGCTCGGTACAATTCAGAGAATTGTAAATTTTCTATTTCTGTGATTTATTCTTATTTTTTACTTGTAGTTAATTCAGCAGGTCAGGCTGTGCAGAAAGCACTGGACCAGGCTACAGAAGCTGGTCAGAAAGGTAAGGAGGCATCCTTCTAATAACCTGGGCAATTCTCAAAATGTGTGGTATCTGGACGGTTTATAAATGTAGAAAAGACTTGGTGTATACCTTCTAAATTCAGATTTCCCCCACCCCTCCAGTACAGACTTAAGTGGGGAACAGTTTTTCTGTTCCAAATAGTAAATCTGTGTTCAAGTAACTGGTATTATAGGGTTGCCATACATCCAGGAATTTCTTGACATGTCCTTCAGGGGTCCTACATACCCATCTGGGGGAAATTTTACATTTTTAAACAAATGTCCTGGGTTTGGGGGGGATTTTGTGTGTGCGGACTGCTCTGGTTCATACTTGGGCGACCTGGGCGGCAGAGGGGCTATTGGGCGATTGCCCTAAAAAACGCTCTACAACTTTTTGTGTCCAGATTTTTACCTCTTCAAATATGACAACTCTATGCATCAGGAGACAGAAAACTCAAAAATCCAATTTAGCTCTTTTCCACTGTGCTAAATATTACCTTGAGCCTACCCAGGTGGCTAGTGTTCAAGTTAGCAGCCTACACAATAAGCATTCTGTAGCTCCTTTCCAAGCTCAGTCAGAAAAGCACACACTTTGCATGCAGATGTCAAGTGTAACCCTTGGCAAATCTAGCTTAAAAAAAGGTTCATGTACCAACGTAATCGGACCCTGCAGAGCCATTGTCAGTCAAGAGCAGACAATAGTAAACTAGATCTGAACTGCTGCAAGCCAGCTTCTTCATCTGGTGAACGGGTTCCTTAAACAGCATGTAGCCTTTCCTTCCCACATGCACACTTGCACTTCCAATACAGTCCTACATCTTATGGAAAAAGCAAACCACATATGTAGTCAGCCATTGTCTCTCACCTCCTTAAATTGTTTCCCTTTTTGTTTTGAAGTGGTAGATGACACCTGCAAGGCTGCACAGGATACTGGAGAAAAGGCTGCACAAAGCCTAACAAGCCAGGTAACTGCCTGGGGCAAAGCCTTTGGACAAAGTGAAGAACAGAAGAACGTTTCAACTTAAACCTTTTATACTGTTTTCTCTTATTATATATTTAATGGACCGAAATTATTCAGGTGTTTGGCATATATTCTTTACACCTTCATTAAAAGTGAAGCTATAAATCCCTATACATTTCATTAAATTAATCTTTAACAAGGTGCATTTTTTTTTACATGGTGGTTCAATATGACTGTATTGAGAAGTGTTCATGAGGTTGGTTTCTCAGAAGGTGCTAGGGCGTGTTAAGTGGGCATATACATTTTATGCGAGACTCGAGTGCACACATAAGCATGTAGGCACACACATAAAATGTAATATGTGGCTTTAACTATGCATCATCTAACTAAATACTCCTCCGGTCCCACACAACATTCTATGTGAGTGGGGGACCCTCCCCACCCCACTGTGAAGATCCTGTGTGCAAAGCTCAGATGAAACTCCATTTCATTAAAACTATTTAGAAAAACTTCAAAGTTTTGAGAGAAACTATGTATTAGCATGATTATGCCACACAGCTGTAAGAGTTTTGGCTGGACGAACTAGGGAACTGTTGGTCACTGGCAAGAAATGTAGCAGTTTGAAGTGGAAAGGGTATAAGAACTGAAACATTAAGGGGGGAAAGGGTTCAGGACAAAATGCAAAGTTTAAGGAAAGGGACAGTTCAGAAAACTCAAGGGACTGTTCACACACGTCTGCTCAACACTTGATATCTATAACACCCAAAACAGTTTGCATACATTGAACAGCCGTCAGGAATAAAATGCATCAGTAACTCCTTTGTAGCATCCCAATTCAAACCAAGGAACGTTTACACATTGTACAAATTTGATTACCAGTACTATGAAAGATGCATGAAAAGTTCTCTGTCTAATTCCAAATCCAGCTTCATTCTACTTACACTGAACGTTTCAGCTCTCGTGATGTTGCGAAAAGCTATGAAAAACACAAACCAGCATATGTTTGGAAAGGTCAACTTTTAATAATTGCTTTTGTTACCATGTTATGTCATGAGTTACAAAGTCGCTAGAAAAAAGCATGAGTTCTGGGAAGGCTTGGGTTTGGGTTTTTTTAAAAAAAAACATTCATATTCATTACATAAATATACCTGGCACTTTTATAGGACTCCTCTGGACAAAATACCTATCAAGAATCCTCAAAACTGTGATCGAGTCCTGGCTTCAAGGCCCTCTCTGTATTAAACTATTTATGTTCAGAATATGCAAACCGCCAAAAAAAAGAGAACAAAGTCAGCATGTTAGGACACTACACAAAGTTTGTAGTAGCAGCTTGCCTCCTTGTTGCCAATGATTTAATTGTTCATTGAGGCAATAGCTAACGCTAAAAGCTCTCAGACAATAAAACACAACTGAGTAAGAGGCTACACAAGTTCTTTGGACTACCTAAGATTATGCTCAAGTACATGTCAATTCTTATTTTAAAAAACAAGTTTAATGAATATGCTGCGATAAGATTAAACACAAGAGATAATTTCGCTGGGTGCCTGTACAACAATGATACTGCTTCAGCTTATAAAAATACTAGCTCCCGGAACCCATCTTTTTACGTGCACCTTGCAGTGCTTGAGTAGAGGATGAGTACATGATTTAAAGGCATCCCTGTAACAGGAGCACAGATTATAAAAAGAAACACACATTGCCTAAGGGGAACCAGGTATATGATGCTGCTAAGTGTAAAAATGAGAATCCTATCAAAGATATTCCCTGCAGGAGGCCCGTTCTGTCGCTGATAATGCCACCGCATTGATCATCCAAGGCCTTTATTCAAAGTGCCAAAGCTGGGAGAGTCATTGTTTGAAAACCAAAGTGCATGAATAGTTGGCTATTTGCTCCAATAGCACACACTCGTGTCATCTGAAGCTTTGCTAGGTTGCTTATTGTGGCTAGACCACAGGTTCATACAATAAAAAGGTACCTTTTTTAAAGTTTCATGGCAAAGAATACTTAGAACCTCCCCCCTTCCCCCAAAACAAGTGCATATGAACTGGTTATCTTTAGATATCTTTCGGCATGAAGCACTAACGCCCAGATTTATTTATTTTTTTAATGATGAAAGACTAACTCAAACTGAAGCCAACAGAGAATCATATCCGCTATAGTTAAGTGAGAAAAGAGGGGTTTCTGTGGTTATATGTAAACTTGAAATATGCTTTCTGAAGAGGGTATGCAACAGGGTGCCAGACCTTGGCAGATGACTATCCGTTTATGTGAAGGTCACGCCAGCTTCATTGTACACCTTGAAGACTTTCTCAATTGCATTGACGTAGGCAGCTGTTCTCAAGTCTAGACCTAGATTGTACTTCATAGCAGTACGCATGATTTGCTAGAGAATACAAAAATGTTACAATGTGAGTACAAAATATTTACTGAGCTCTTATTGAATACACGTACAATGTTAATATTGATCTGACTTGGAGAAGTCATTGAATAAGGAATATAATGCTCCTTAATTAGCTCGGGTTTCATATTCATTTTCTAAATGGCACAAGGTAGCCAACAAAGTGGTAACTGAATACTTCTACAGTTTATTAAGCACAGGGACCTACCCATTCTTTCTAAATGTTGGGGCATTGACATTCAGCTACTCTGATCCTGGAAGAGGCTGAGAGACACACCACAGAACTGATGACAGAGCAAACCATTTTAAGTCAGCTGCTGTTCCAGACAGATGGTAGAAATGAGGAGCTGCCTCAGTGTATTCACTCTGGTTTAGCTGAGACAGACAGTGCAATCATATGCATGTACACACTCTGCTCAAAAGGGCTTACTATTGAGCTTACAACAGGGAACAGGGCAGCCTAAGGCAACACTAATCAGGTACTTCACCAGGCAGAACAGACTCCACTACTTGTTGCTATATTTATAGGTAGAATATTTTTTTTGCTAATCAGCAAGTTAGAAAAATAATAGAGTTCATTTAATGTTCTGTGTAGGTTACCCAATGCTGATCAATGCAATCCAGAAACTGGAGAGAGGAGGAACAATTTCACCCTATTATGTGCCTCTACAATTTACCTCTGGAGATAAGGTGTCAACACAAGTTAAAGCTTCCACCGTTACATAATACATACCCTAGCAGAACGCTCCATGGTGTAGGCCAAACCAGAATGGACAATGTCTTTTTCAGATGCACCCTATATTTGAAAAGAATTGCAATGAGTAGTCAGTCTGAAACCAGCCACAGACCCCATTTTGTATTTTTTTAATATTAGTGCTTAAGGGATTGATATATTATGCCACTTTTTGTATTCCCCTTTAACTGCTGGATAGAAAGGGAAACTAGCCAAAGCCAAACCAACCTAAATGTGTTTAATTTAACAGTTTATATTCAGTTGACATACTAACAAGGCTATTCCCTCTGGAATTTCTATTTAGGAAGCCAAGCAATAGATTATCCCGGATGTATATAACATGCATGTAATTCAGTACACTTCAGAATACTGTGTCAGTAAATATTCAAAGATGGACAACAATTATGGGAAGCTGCAAATTCCCAGCCTGTCTCTATGTCCCAGCTGCAGGCCTTCCAGGACCATTAAAAGGAAACGCACCTTCGTGGTGAGCAAGATGGTTCCCCAGTTTATGTGGATGCTGCACAGAGTATCGAGGAGGACAAATCGGAGTCAGATCTACTCTGCCCACCCCACCCTCCGAGGTCTCCACAATACATCCCAGGTCAGCCCATTCATCCACAAAAAAATCATGGATAAGTCACTAGCATTAATTAACAGCACTACAAAGTCAGAAGGCAAAGTGAAACAACTACCAGGAACTTGTGGACAGGGGAGAAGTTTGCTATGGGGCATGGGACGCAGGTATCCATAGTCTCATCTCCCACAGTGACCCCCATACACTTTTGCCAACTGTCCCATTGCCTGTGATCACTGGAATGGGGCACTCACACTCTTTCCTGTTCCCCAATGGAAACTTTGCCACGGCACATAGTACCATGGTATCAATTCAAGCATAACAAAGTACACAGAGTCGATAAGCACAAGAGCATCTTGCTGCATCTCTGTGTCAGCACTTTGTCAAACGTTCAGGGCCCCCACTCTATCTCTCACCTAGAAAGTGCAGTGCTCCCACCCCATACCGTGTTCAATATCTTCCTTTCCTTTCCTCCACACTAGTCAGAATACATTCATCTGGGCTGGTACCAAAAGGAAAGCATCAAGAGGTAGTGCCTTACACTTGTGTGACCCCCCCAAAGTAGAGACCCCTTTTAGGGTCAACCTACTGGTAACCCACCAACAGCAGCCATACTGATGTGGTCTGACTTTTAAGTTGTTTCAATCTAGGGAGTCTGCCAGCTCCCACCTCTAGTACCCAGCTGGGGCTTGTTACAGCACGACATGTTCAACATGAGCTGCCATGGACTAACAAAGATTGTGGGTAGGTATAAAAAAAACTGCATTTCCCCTCCAAAATCCAGCAACATCTGGAACTATAACCCACTGAAAGAAGCTAAACAAAACACATATTATGTCCTTCATACTATAAGTAGTGAGGTATTTTACTCTAGTCTGTTGTGCCCACAGATTGGTTTCTCTTTTTTTTGCAATAGACATTTATCAGGTATGCAATGAGCAAAATCTTGCAGCAGCTACTTACAGATATTCTATCCTGGAATTCTGCAGTAGGCACAACTGGAATACTTCCACCATGTTTCCCAAACTTTCTTTCCAAGCTTTCCTGGACAGACACTGAAGGAGGGAGAAATAAATAAGTCATGCTGCTTTCCTATGCATGATTCTTAAATGAAGCAAGTTTTAGTCCAGACAGGTACAATCCAATTCTATGCCTGCTTATTCAGAAGTAAATCCTGCTGTATTCAATGAGTGTGCGGCCCTGGCTGACTCAGAAGGCAAGTTTCAGTAGTCTCACTCAGAAGCACTTGCTTTGCTACTTCTAAGTTTCCTATATTTCAACTGAAGCAATTCTGCTGCAGGAAGACAGAACTCCGAAGCAATTCAAAGACAGACAGCCAGGTGACGAGACTTCTAGATTAATGCAAAATGTATCTACTTCCACTTTTAAGATGAAATTTGCTTTTCAGTATTGCCAGTAACTAATCTATAAACTTTCACTATAGAATAGAAAATCTGATTCTCCAGTATTATTAATTTGTATTTACATAGGGGTTTTTTTTGGCAATATTATTCTATGTATTGCATTATGCCATACAAAAACAAGTTCTGCTAAAAGGTTCTGTCAGAATGTATCATAAACTAATTCACAAAACTTGAAATCTTCTAAAGAAAGTGAGTTTGTTATTAGTAGATGGGATGATACAATTTATTACTGAATCTGCATGAAGTGTGCAGTACTTGTTATACTTACTTAGCAAGTGGTAGTTTGAGTCCCTTTCATATTTAAAAGTCAAGCGACCATAGCTGACGTGGTTCAGGTTCTTCAGCCACTCAAAGTAAGACACAGTTACACCACCAGCATTTAAATAGAGATCCTGAATAGGACAAGATTGAAAGGTTTTGTGTGTGTTTTTGGTAAGAAAATGCACTGTAGGCAATGTAAAGTCTACTTCAAAACTGCAAAAGTAATTTGGAAAGGTACGCTTTGCAACAGACCAGTGGCGTAGCATGGGGGGTGCAGGGGGGGCCGGCCACACCGGGCACAACATCTGGGGGGGCGCGCTCGCACTCGCAGCTCTCTGCCCCTACCGGGTTAGGGGGCGCAAATTACTTGCCTTGCCCCGGGTGCTGACAACCCACGCTACGCCACTGCAACAGACAGAAATTGTTAATATCACAAATTCTAGTACCACTTTGTAAAATGAAAAATAAAGCTGGTTGAAAAATCCAGTTTAGCTGCTATTACAGATACCAACACTCACTGAGCACAACACACTTCAAATTGGGTTCAGTTGCTGGGTGTCACCTTTGCAGCTTCTTCCATCTCATCTTGACTGCATTTAAATGGGGGTGGGGGGTTGAAGCAGAGGGAGCTGAGGAGGCAGCAGTCAGAAGCAGACCTTGGAGGGTATAACATCTGGCTGCTAACATGCTACGGGCACAGGCAGTGCCAGAGGGTGGTTAAGTGCCCCCCCAAAAAAACCCCAAGGTGGTTTCTTGCACCCCATTGCTGGACTCTCTCATAATGGATTTTCAGATGTGAGCTTTCCCTTCCATGACATTGCCACCTGTACTACCCCTCATGGGGATTCCCCCCTACTCCTAAAATCAAGACGATTGTTCAGGTATTACCTCCTGCAGCTGTGCAATGTTTGATGTACTGGAAGCCAAAAAGTTACCAACAGCAGATGGAAACCCCAAGGTGATAAAGCAAGCCAAGTTGTTAGTTGTCTTAACAACTGGAATGCAGTGACTTAAGTAGAGTCAATCAGGAGCTATGCCTTTGCTACCTAGGCAAAGGCCAGAATTCTTGCCGGGTTGTGGGAGGGTTTAACTATATGAATTCTTTATACATCATATAAACATACCTCTTTTTCACATTATCAAATTAAGTAGAAGCAATTATTTAGAGTATGCATGGCTGACGAAGCCCGGCAGAACAAAACAAGCTATTATTCCGGGAATCCTTGTCCTAAGTTCTTTCGTCTGATACCTGATACAGCAACTATATTTTGCAAAGGCATATATTAAGATCTTTCGTATCTTTCGTCTGATACCTGCATACAGCAACTGTATACAAGAACTACACTTTGCAAAGGCATATGTGGAACATTACAAACAAAAAGTTCATTTTCTGCAAGTACTGCTTCTTAAAGTTGTCGCGTCTGACATCTGTATTCGTAAAGACATACGTGGAACACAAAAAAGCTTCTATTTGGACATTACGTATATAAGAACTGATCTATTTGTATTTTCTGTTCAAAATGTTGGTCTTTAATGGCTTCTACTTAATTTGATAATGTGGAAAGAGGTACGTTTATGTGATGTATAAAAAATTCACATAGTTAAAACACAGCCAGTCACGTTGTGGGTGTTATTGTTAGTTGGATTTACGTAACTATAGGTTTGATAGTGTTGTGTGTGTTGTGGGAGGGAATAGAGGGCTAGCATATGTATCATCTGCCTATGGGACTTTAAGGTTGGCTGGCACTGTCCAAGGAGTACTCTCTCACTGCTCCAAGTCAAGCCACAGTGAGGAGGAGCAGCAGCATAGAAGCACCCCATTCCTTTGGATGCGGACTAGGGGCTTGTGAGAATGTGGCTGTGAGTGATGAGAAATGGGGTGTTGTACTAAAAGCCTGCACTTCTTTCCCTTTACATTCCAACTAGGCTAAATGACAGTACAGGCACCCCGCCCCCCAACACTGGGGTTACATTCGAAGGCATCACGCGTTTAAGTGAAATCGTGTATATTTGAAACAGCACTGAAAAAGCCTTCAAACACCCCATTCTGTTATGAGTAACAGCTTGGAAATACAGAAGTGAAAGGAAAGATAAATCTGATCAGTGTTAGTAGGCTTATTTGTATGGGATACAATTAATCTTCAACCAGGATGGATCCCTTGCCCAAAATTCATTTTCAACTTGAGTCCTTGAGTAATTTTATAACTCTGTGGTTTTCTTTTTTAACTATCAATTTACAAAGTTATGCATCAAGTTGTGATGTATTCCCCTGTACCAAATCAGCATTCCTTACCATCCTTGCCATAGAGAAAATGGAAATTCATAGGGTACAAATCCAGCTCCATTAAAATCATTGGGAATTTTGCTAAAAATTTCAATGCGCTCCAAAATGATAGCACATTTTTTTACTGGCAAGTTTTATATTCCCAGAAGATATCTGGCATGTAAATCAGGTATGTTTTTTTTTTTAAAAAAAAGATAATGCTAATTTTGGCATGGAGGAACTATATACCTTACCGGAATAACCATGATATTCCTTTCCAGGAAGATTTTATCTGCCTCGGGAGTTGTGGGTCCGTTAGCACCTTCAGCAATTATCTGGAAAATAAAATAAAATATTACAGCTGAATATAGAAAAACTTGTGATCAAAAAATAACACAATTTTTCCATAGCAAGAGGATCACAACTTCTGGATCCATTATCAAGCATTTATTCTGCAGGCTCCTCTTACTTTTGCTTTGACCTTGTGGGCATTGGCCTTTGTTAACTGTTTTTCACTGGCAGCTGGGATGAGGATGTCACAGTCTGCTTCAAGAATGTGGCAGTCCAGGGGCTGTGCCTTTGGGTAGGTGAGAATCGATCCATGTTGCTGTTTGGATACAAAAGGGAAGTCAATGGCTCATTCCAGTGAATTCAAATAGAACAGAAGTTTCAATAATCCAATCTGCTTCTATATCTAATTCCATAGAATTAGGTATAGAATTAGATCCAAACAAGCAAGGGCCAAAAATGGCCTGGAGACTGCCTGATACACCTAAATTTGGGATGGATAGAAGACAAAATATGGCAGACTCATAATAACAAATTCAAAATTGGGGGGAGAGAAACTATTTTATATAAAGAAGTCCTTCCCCGTCTCCTTAAAAAAAGGGCCCCATTTAAAGACCTTGCAGGTACTCTCAGAAGAAATGACACCAGGTACCGCTGGGAGTACCCAGAAGGTAACTCTTTAACTTATAAACATAGAATCAGAGATGGAAAGGAAGTAGAGAAATTCTGTAGGAAGTATCATAAAGATTTTGGAGGTACAGACCCCGCTCTGGAAGGTGCAGTAGGAGGACAGGACCCAGAACAATCAGAGGATAGTGTAGACAGTCAGGAGGAGGAAGAAGATAAAAATAGGAAGAAAAAGAAAAGTAAAAAAGACAAGACTTTGAAATCTAACCAATATGGCAGATATGAAAATATTAAGCTGGAATGTAAATGGATTGAATGGAAAAGTAAAAGGAAATAAAATAGCACATATTTTAAAGAAACAAAATTTAGATATAATTTGTTTACAAGAAACACATATTGCTAAAAGACATAGATTACTGATAAACAAAGGACTTTGTTTGGAATTTATATCATCAGACAGCACCAAGCAACGAGGAGTAGCTTTGTATATTATTTAAAGATGAATTTATTGAAAGATGAATTGGGAAGAGTGATTGCGACACAAATTACAATACAGGGGGAAAGGTTGTAATTGTAGGAATATACGTCCCGAAGGAAAAGAAGGCTGATTTTTTTAAAGATTTGGAAAACAGGCTAATTTGGAAAACAGGAGTACATGGACCAAAATATTATTATGTTAGGAGATATGAATGGAGTATTTTCTTTAGAGATGGGCAGAACAATAAGGAAATCAGAGTCAAAAGAAGGGAAATTACCACAAACCTTCTTTGCAATGATTGAAAATTTAAATTTAATTGATGCCTGGAGGTTTAAACACCCACTAGACAGAGAATATACTTTCCAGTCAGAAATACATCAGTAGAGCAGTCGGATCGATGCTATATGGATCTCTAAGGAAATTTCCTTAATGGTAAAGTCAGCAGATATACTTTCCAAATACAAATCTACGGTTAAATTCTGTATATTGAGTAGTCCTAACACAAATTTATGGAACACTTTTTTCCCTGTTTTATTGATCAAAATACTCAGTGTACCTTCTCCATTGCCAATATGTTGTTTAATTTTGCTGTACAAATTTGCAATGAAATCAAGAACCAGTTTTTCATACCAATTTGTAATCTTCCAACTCCTTTGGGTCAAGTCCATCAGGATTCCAGATTGCACCATCTTTTTCTCCAATGGCAACACATTTTGCACCGTAACGATGAAGATACCTCATAGAATGCAATCCTACATTGCCAAATCCCTGTTAAGAAGATAAGTATATTTAGGCTCAAGATCACTGTACAAATAAACGGGAGATCTCAAAACCTTTGCTGGTTAAATCACAACCTACTGTATTTTTCACTCCATAAGATGCACTTTTTTCCTCCTAAAAAGGGGAAATGTCTATGCGTCTTATGGAGCGGATGTGTGGTCCCTGGAGCCAAATCACCTGAGTGTGATGCGTGCCGTTGCCCCACCCTCCAGGGTTGCCAGCAACCTTCCCTTTCCCCTGAAGCCCCAGGAAGGTTTGGGAGAGGCAGGCAAGCTGTGCGACATTGCCTTGCGCTCCCAGGCTGTTCTCTTTGAGAGAGGCTTTGCCGACGGCCTCCCCTTTCCCCTGATAGCTCCGGGGATGTTGGCTGGACGATGGCGGGAAGAGGCAGTTGCCAAGAGAGGGGAGAAAGAGGACGGAGAGGAGGGGGACTGAGAAGCGAGTGGAGAGTCATGGTAGAGGGCAAAGGAGAGGCAGAAGCAAAGGGGAGAAATTGCAGACGTCGCCTGAGGAGTTTGGGCGAAAGGGATGGAGAGGAGGAGGCTGGAAAAGGGGGCTGTGCTGCTTGGGGAGGGAGAAAAAAGTGGGGAGAAGGAAAGGCTCCCAAGCCTCTGCAGGAGGAGAGCGATCCCTGCAGAGGCTTAGGATGGAAGCTGCGCCCCGTCAGCCATATGGCTGGTGGATGCGCAGCTTCCCTCCCAAGCGTCCCAAGCCTCTGCAGGGATCGCGCTCCTCCCAAGGAGGCTGTGATTCAGATTATTATTTTTCTTGTTTTCCTCCTCTAAAAACTAGGTGCGTCTTATGGTCAGGTACGGTATTCACATTTCAGGGGATGCCTTGTTTGTTACTGGGGATATAAGAAATTAGCTGAAAGTCCATGAAAGATTTCACCATCACCCATTAAAGCAATGTGTTTAGTTTTCACAAAAGTTACACTGAAAGATACTCAGTTTCAAGAAGATTTCTTCCTCTTCCCAGTAGTTTGGAATGCTGATGCTAAACTCTTTAAGCTGGAGAAAAGGAGGTTTGGATCCTCCTAGAGGAAAATTCATATGGTTTTGGAACCCAATCCTAGATGTTTGCACTAGAATGACTACTTAGGATGCAAGTAAATTTGCACTAGCATATGCCATGCCCTGGCTGGATGCGGAGGAGTGGTGGGAGGCACCAAATGGGGAACCCTTAAGGAATCCCCTGGGGAAGAAGGATCGGAGCCTAGTGGAACAACGATGAGTGGTCAGAGGGAGAAGGAGCAGACTGGGAGGCGGTGTCAGAAGCAGAAGAGGTGACAGGGTCTAGTGCACAGGAAGAGGCTGCTGCAGGGCACATTTCAGACTCCAAGGCAGAAGCCAGTGAGTATTCCGCTCTTGCTCCGACCAGCTTTCCTCCCACCTGGTCTTTATAACCCACAGAGAAATGAGACGAACAACTTCCGGGGTGGCGCCATCGGTAATGGTGGACTCCCTCTGATCTGGAGGGACCAGCTCCACGGGAAACGGGTCTTTCCCGCTACGGCGAAGCGGGGACCCTTTCAAAAATCACAGGCGGATGAAGCCTGTGACCATGGGACTCGGCGGGCACCTTTAGCGCCCCCCCCCAACCCGCAAAGGAACCCACTAACGGGCTCCGGAGCGAAGAGGGGGAAGTGGCGCGGTGCTGAGAGTCAACTGCTTCTTCCGTGGAGCGAAGCCGCACAGCCGTTGCCGGAGAGCACTGCCTTTTTCCTGGGACAATTTGGCTTTTAAAATAATCACCCGTCATTACTTAAATCTCGGACAATTGGACTCTAAATAATGATTTGTGAGTAGAAAGGAAAATTGGACTTAAAAATTTACTTTAATTTGGCACTGAAACGGGAAGGTCTAAACAGGAAGTCAGCCTTCCGTTTCTTTGTAGATAGATCAAAGCAAAGACATGGCAAACTAGAGTTCAGAAAATCGCTTGTAAAGGATTAACTTCCATCATTTAAAACTGCTGAACCCCCTTCGGAAGCAGGAGAAGAGGGGGGATTTTTCCGGACTGTTTAAACCTGCAGAAGAGAGTGTAAAGCAAAGTAACTTTCCACCGTCTTGATCCTGGAGCGGGGTGTCAGGACTGACGTTCTTTGGGAAGCTCATTGACCAGAGACAAACGTTTTTGACAGATAGTTAAAAGAAGAGAAACATAGTGGTTCCACTGTTCCTTTTCGCATTTTAAAGGAACAAATATTGACAAAATATCTGAAAAAGGAAACTTTGTTGTCAGATCTGCCTTTAAAAGAAAAGAACAAAAAGAAGTTCTTCCCCTAGAGGTAGCCTGTGAAACAGTTTCAAATTCTGAATTGGGGAGCTTGCAGCTGCTACAGATTACGATCGTGGGAACAGACTTCTGACCTTGCAGAACAATGTATTCAGAAGCTCTGCCGCGTGCTTTCTGTAAAACAAGTGCCCTACTGGAACAGCTACATGAGAAGACGGACTTGATGACTGATGCGATCAGAAATTTTGGACAGGCAGTGGGAAATTATATAGAGCCCACCCAGGATTCAAATCAGGAGTGTGCTCTGACAGAACAGATGAGAGAGGATGTTGCTGAACCTTGGGCGCCAGAGATGGAGGGAGCTGTGGCCCAGCAGGAACATGAGTTATTGGATTTGACAAATGAACTTGGAAAAAGCCAGATTTGGAAAGATAAAGTTTGGTTTGGTTTGGAAATGGGGGGTTGGATAGACCCCCCTATGCAGAGATGTTTGGACTTTTCAAGTCTGGCAATGGGCCGTGAGATGTTTGGGGTTGTGGGGGCTCTTAATTTTGGAGGGACTTTGAAACATGTTTTTAAATACCACATGGAGTTTAGTGTGGACTATGGAAAAGGGGCTGATTTGTCGAGAAGGGTCAAAAACATTGTTAAGTTGGAGTTCCCACGAGTGAAAGGAGCAGGAGACAAAGTAAAGTACAGGTATAAATATGAAGAAGAGCCGCGGAAGGGACATGGAAGGGACTTGAGGGCCTCGGACATAAGATTACCAGGTTAATGCGCTAGATTGATGAGATAGAAAGGACTGACAAAACCCGGGACCAGGAGGAAGAGACGCTGGATGAAGATTGGGAGAAAAAATTTTTTTTTATTAGGATTGTTTTATAAAATTGATGAACGTTAGAAAAATGTTGGAACGAAATTATTTGGCTTTAGCAAAAATGCTTAAAGAATTATGTAAGAATATTATGGTTATGAGAAATTGGTATAAATAAGATCTAAGTTTTAAATTTTAAGGTTTTTTTATAGTAAGATAAGCTCAAAATAGATTAAGGTAATGTAATGACAGAATATTATGAAATATGGAAAGGATTTGCTGCGACAATTAATAATTAGGATACAAAATAAGTGAGGGGTGAGGAGGTCAAAGAAAGAAGGTAATGACTGTTAAGGATTTGAGAATATTGGATTTGTTTTTAAATGTTTGTGGCACATTTTTGTCTTTTGATCGTGATGTGTTATTTTTTGATTCTGATTTTTATTAATTTGTATTGCTTGATTGTGGCTTGTTTTTCCTTTGTTTTTTCTCTTTCTTTTTCTTTTTTGTTTCTTTTTTGTAATTCTAAAAATTCTTAATAAATATCATTAAAAAGAAAGAAAGAAATGAGACGAACAGAGCAGAGGGTGGTTGTGTGCAGATGCAGCCCAGGACTGCGTAGGAAAGACCCTGGAGAGGAGCCGCCCTAGTGGGCACTGGGAGGGTGGGGACCTTCAGTCCTTGCAACTGCTTCATTGGGGCAAGACCTCCTAGAAAGCGTTTCAGAGACCAGTAGGCTAGAGCTGTGGTTGGTTTCCTTGAATAAATAATTTCACTGTCTTCAGTTGATTTATTGTTTTTTTACTGACCAGCCCTGACAGTTTAGCAGCTAATTTTTTAATCAGTTACTTCAGAGGGAAAAGGATGCAACCTACTTCCAGCTTTATTCAAGGACAAAGCTTGCCTGTCTCCATTTTCCCCCTTATTATTTCCCTGTTTGTTTGGGCACAGGCACACCCCATTTCAGCTCTGCCAACACAAGCATTCCAGAGCGGCAGTGTTGGCATCCCTTTGTTTTCACAGGTCAGAATTCCCCTCCCGCTTATTAATTGGCAAAAATACAGTAACTCATTAGTACAACCCCATATTTAGTAAGGGCAACTTTCCTTCTTAACAAATCTAAAATTTGATTCTACGTAGCTCTAAATAAAGGATTCTAGCAAGCAATACAAATACAAGTTTCTGAACTCCAGGTAACTGTAAAATTCAAAACTCTGACTGATACAATCATATTAGAAAGAGAAGTACTATTTGTGGCATTTACCCAGCTCCATGTTTTTAGTTGCTCTTATTGTTATGTTATTATGCTTAGCTGTTCATGAAATTTTATGGAAACTAGCTTGTCCTGCACCCTGGAATCCACTGAGATGAAGGGTAGGCTATAAATGCTTTTAATAAATGAATAAAAAGTAGTCTACTTTCAGACTACGCAGGTGGCACAGGACCTAGAATGCAGTATAGCAGCTACTGCATGTTCATGAAACCCCCATACACTGGAGGTTGCTTTACAAAAAAGGGCCTGTCTACAGAAGATACTTCTTCCAACATGATTGATATATAACGCACACAATTTTTCCTAAGCATTACACAAAGATTTTTTATGAAGTCAGTTCCTGCAGGCTTATGATCTGACACAATACAAAAGGCAAAAAGAAAAGGAGCGAGACCTCTTTACCAATGTCAATTACAGTGTCTGGTTTAGCAGAATCTGAATGTCATACTGTGTGCCACGTCTGTTCTTTAAGGTTCTAGCAATATCCCATGAGATGCATATTATCATTTAAAGCTTTTCTCTCCAGTGTGGTTACTATTCTAGACAAAATTACCTGGATAGCAAATGTCTTATCCCCAAATCCTGGAGTCATTCCCAACAGACTCATATAGGATGCTTCATTAATGAAGTTCTCAATTCCATGGAAGACTCCACGGCCTGTGGCAGAGATACGACCATGTATACCACCTTGGCTTATTGGCTTTCCCGTGACACAAGCATGGGCGTTAATGTCCTAAAAAGTAATAAAAAAAATTAGGCTCATTCCCATGGGAAACATCTGTCAAAACATCTGAATTTTTATGTGTTAATGATGTCTAATGAGTTTTAGTTTCACTGAAGTCAACATATCTAGTGGTTGCTCCTGCAAACAAATCAGTTTATCACAATACTGTACTTTCACCAATTTAAAGGTATTTGCATGACATAGGATGCCTTGAGGATCTGCTTACTGCCCAGCAAAGTGCCATGTAGTAAATTTAGCAGAAATATTAATGTAATTGCCAGAAAGAAGAGATACCAGATTACTCAAGATCACCTTGACATATTTTTAAACAGCTTTTTAATTAGATTTTACATCAGTGTGCATTTGCTCAAGGGGTGGATTTGGTTCACAGCAGGGTTTCCTGACAAGTAATGACACACACCAGTGATTTCTGTGAATGGGTACACCCAAGTTTTGAATGGTTCATAAATGTCATTTGCACCCTTTAGGTAACGGAACAGCTTCCTCATAGTTCACTTATTGATTCAATGTATCTTAAAAAGCATGTTAGTCTAGCTTTGCTACCCTGCTATATAAAAACAAGCTTATAAGAAATCCCAATTAAACTATGCTTAAAATATTATCCACTTTGGGTAGACTTTGTCGACTTTGCAATAGCACATAAGAGGATCTGAACCTTCTATGGGCAGTTTACAACTAAATCAGCCAAAGCTGTTTAATCACCTTTAAAATAATCTGGCAACGGGAACATAAAATACAATTATTTGAAAACTATTAGCATAATCCTTTAATTTGTTAAAAGCCCAGGCAGATATCCGAGCCTATGCATAGCAGGGTAACTCTTCTAATTATATAGTTCTTTCTGCACTTTTTTGGTTTCATCTTCTTTTTTTCAGACTCTTTTAAAACAGCTGAAGCATGTTTCACTGCTCCCTCAATGAAAACAAAGCAGAGAGGGGCTGGCTGGTTAATTTGTAGTTTAGCACATGTGTATTCATTACACAAAGGGTGAGTTAAACATGAGGACCACCACGAAAAGCTGGCAGTCTGGTGTCAAGTTCACTGTGTGCTTCCATAACACAGGGCTGCCACTGGAGGGAACACCTCCCACAAATGACAGATGGAAAGCTTATTCCCCATATTACCAACGTTCTGGACAATTTGAACTTCCTTAACAAACTTCCATTTCCTTCCATTTTTCAACTGCCTCTTTATCTCTAAATTTACTTTTTGCAGGAGCCCCTTAAAACTCTCGGCAGCATTCTTCTTCTTGCTACGCCTTAGAACAACATCTGACTCATAGCATAAAACTATTTTCTTTTGCTGATGACTCATGTAAGAATTGCTTCATTCACAAGTGAGCATTAGTGTTTTTTCTCATAGCAAGTGCATCTGGGATTAGAATCCCACAACCACAGGACCCAGTCCATAAACCTGCTATATCACACAACAGTGTGGAGTGTTGTGCTTGGCACACCTAGAGTGCAGGGCATGAACAGGGACAAGATACTGCATGACTCAACTGGTCTGGAAGCAGCTGTGGCATCATAGGCAGGTTGGCACCCAACACTTTGGTTGGGAGCTGATGCACCTACAACAGAATCAATGGGTGCTGCAGAGCAGCTTGGCCATTTCTAGCTTGTCAAGATTCAGGTGTCTGTGCTGAATTGGGAAAGGACTGTGATTTTACAGCAGGAAACATCTGAGGATCACCATCAGAATGTTTTATAGAAAGTCAACTAGATTGTCTTACAGCTAAGATGTCACTCATGCTTTTGGGAACGGGAAATTACTCTTCTTGAATATACAATGAACAACTCCGCCAACTCCTACTTATTGCAAGCTTTTGGACCCCACGAAACACTTTCATGCATGCCTATCTATGCACTTTTGAAAGCAGAAGTTCATACAAGACTACAGAACTAAGCTTTTTCACTTTAAATGCACATGAGGCATGCTACACTGTTGCTTCAAAAAGTTAGGCAATACTTGAACTGAAAATGAACTGGGTTTACAATTCAATTTGACTAACCTTGAAATACCAAGTCTCAAACTAATTCCTAGGGCAACACATTGCATGAAACAATTACTGAGCTAGAGATTTTCAACTGACACTTAAAACCTGCAGGTTTGCAGAGAATTATTAACTAAGTTACACCAATACTTATGTTTTGCCTGTTTTTAGGCATCCGATGCCCAGAACTAACATGCAAACATTCCCAGGGACAAAAAATCTCTTAGAAGTAGTGCCTTGAATCACAAGATAAAAGAGGAAAACAAAAACTGTACAGGGACACTGGTCTACTGCCCTGAATACTAAAGAGTTTGCTACAGTAGAATTTAATCACAGCAACATGCTTGTGGGCCAAGAAAGATTTTAAGTCTTAACACTTCTCATTGCTTTCTACTTTGTGTTTATTAGAATCTTTATCGTTTTGCCACTCAACTTGCAAACAAAGTATAAATTGAATGTAACAGGCCAAATGAAGAAGCTGCTCCAGAAACTTGTTTCCATAGCCACCTTGAACAAGCAAAATGCTAACTCACAGCAATCTAGCCAAAGGAGCTGTGGAATAATTCAAAAGCTTTCTCATGCATGAATAATTAAGAACTCTCAAAGGCCAGCCTGTTGTATCCTGAAAAAGAAACACTTTTCCTGTTGCGGTATAAATTCTGACAGGGAATTCAATCTGCTTTACCATGAGGAATACTTCTGTTTTCTCGTGCCCTGTTATTCAGAGATGAGCAAGTGTTAAATGGAAAGAGGCAAAACAAAGCCAGGACGTATAACCACCACAATTATTTTTCTATTAAGAGACTAAGGTCTACCTCCAGTTATACTACAATGAATAAAAATATACAGTGGTACCTCTAGTTATGAACTTAATTCATTCCGGAGGTCTGTTCTTAACCTGAAACTGTTCTTAACTAGAGGCGTGCTTTTGCTAACGGGGCCTCTTGCTGCCACTGCGCTGCTGGCACACGATTTCCGTTCTCATTCTGGGGCAAAGTTTCCAACTCAAGGTAACTCTTCCAGGTTAGCAGAGTTTGTAACCTGAAGCTCAGGGTACCACTGTATAGACAGCTTTAGAGTGAATTTGACCACTGGCCAGTACTACTCCAACTTGCGGCAGCTGGACAAAATCTCAGGAATAGGCCTTCCCCATCACTACAATGATTTCGTCCCAATAATCAAGATTCCCTGTGTGACCCCCAGCTACTATTGTCTGACTGGTTCCAGCTGGTGGTTGCAGGTATGAGTAGCTCAGAGGCCTGAATCTCATTTTATGAATAGGCCTGAACAGCAATATTCAAGAGGCTCCCTAACACACAGAACTAGTATACAACAGAACAGGATTTGACCCAGCCTTTTCTTAGCATGATTTTTCCTTGGTTTGTACATTACCGAAGAGGTAGACAACTGGGTGCCCTTCAGATGTTAGGCTTAGAACTCCCATCAGTCCCACTAGCCTGGGACATAATTTCACCAGAGATTATGAGTGTTATAGTTCAACAACATCTGGAAGGCACTGCATTAGAGTAACATTAGGTATATGACTCTATAATGCAAGAATTAAGATTGGGGGAACAGGTTCTACTACCATATGTACAAGTTCCTGGGGGCTGCAACGGGCCTTAGCTTCTCATGTGTACATGCAATAGAAAAACTCAAGTATGGATGTATATTATGGGAACATTATGGTTCATAGAATGTAGCCACACTAACTTTATCAATGTGTGAAGCTACCCAAATTTTTTAAACACCACCAATTTAGAATTAAACAGCCCAAAGATTTACTGAAACAGAGGCAATTACAACTGTTTTACTCTGCAATATATAAAAGCATCAAGCAACTGCTATAACAGCTTTTACTAGTTTTTTACATTCAAAATTAACGCCAAAATTCTATCAGGAATAAGACTCAAGTAGCAATACAAATGACTGTGGTGCCGGCTTGTTAAAAAGTGATACAAGCCTTCTGCATTGTATTGCACATGTGAAGTATCACATATCTGTTAGTCATAGTGCTTAAGGTTATAGAAATGATAAATGTTGCACAACTGGCAAAATGGGTTGACTAATTCTACCTAGATTAAAGCGTGTGCCTTCACTCAGAACTTACATAGTGTCCTATGGTATTGGCATAGGTGTCTGCAATCCAGGACATCTCCCTCTCACCTGTGCTCATGTCAGGAGCAGGCACATCAACACCAGGCCCTGCAGGCAAGATTAAAACCATCAACACAATTCAAACACCAAGTCTCAATTGTATCAATTTACAGCCAACCTTAAGTGATCAATATCATAGCAACTCTTATACTGCTTTGTGAACTACAGTACAGTACAGTACTGGTTTGTGCTTTATAAACAATGAATCAATATTTCTTATGATGCACCCACATTTTGGAGGCTGCTTGGAAGACTTCTGGATCAGATGATTAATTATCATCATCATCATCTATACACCAATGCAGCAGCACTGTATACTAGAGCCACATGTGAGGTTAAGGGAAAGTGGAACCATTCCTGGCTTTTCACATGCTCCTCATTACTGAGATGTTTGTCTCTCAAGTTAATATGACTTAGGAACAAGTTTGTGTTACTCGGTTTACTCTGGGAAAAGGTATTTAATGCTTTCGTCTAATTTTCTTCATGTTTTGGCGTGAAAGTGAATTTAGGATTAATGGCAGCCTAGAATCACTGTACAGAGTTTTTTTTGAAGAAATATCTTTAAGCAGGAAAACAAGGCAAAGATAACAATAATTCATTTCCAGAAGTATTTTCCTGTTAGACCAGAAGCAGTTCAGTTCTTTGCAGTATTCCTCATGTAGGGACAAGCCCCTTTTTACAGAGTTATGTCTGGTTATGAGAAGCCATTCCAAATTTTATGGAGGGGGAATTCACATCTAAAAAATGGAAACAGAACAATTCACGCACTAGTGCAACTTATAAGGGACATTAGTAAAGGCTGGAAAACACAGTATAAGATAGTCATTCTGAAACCATCGGGTTATTTTGGAATGCTATGACAAAGCCTTGTTTTTTGGTTGCTAAGGTGGAGCTTCAATTTCCTTCCTCAACTTCCTTTAAAACTGGCACAACTTCGACCAGCGTGAAAAAGCTAACAGTAACAAAATTGCTCTGAATAGCAAACTGACCAGGTTAAGAAGAGCTATTTTGCTACGTTTGCACAGCTGTTAGCTACTCAGGTGCAATTCTGGGGCCATAGAATGAAAGCATTAACTCTGCACAAAGCAAATACAGTGTTCAGAATTATTAGGAAAGAAAGCAAAAATAAGTGACAGCTGCTGAACAAGTCTATGCTACATCTACATGCAAACATGTGCAACCCTGGCCACAACCACATCAACAAGGTCTTGGTATATTTGAAAAATATACAAAAGCAACTAAATACTCTGGAGTATGCCAACATTTTTCTTTTCAAGTAGAGATGACCAACAGCAACTAGATCTGAGCCATAAAGCAGTTTTGCAACTGGCACCACTAAAATTTAATCAAGGTTCGGTAAATTTTTACCCAAATATCACACGGCAAAGCCCTTACTAGAAAAGTTATGTTGCTCTTATGGTACAATCTGACCGCCTATGAGTGGGTCAGAAGATGTGTATATGTCAGTGCAATATACTATGGACCTTGGGCTAAAGTATAAAGTCAACCACTTGGATTCAGATATTGGCAATCCCTGTTTTAAGTAAAGACCAAGTGGCTTAAGCTTAGAGAAAAAAGAGGCAAGGGGAGTTTCAAAAGGAACAGATAATGGGTTAAATCTGAAAGTAAGTTAATGGAACGAAAGATTCCCATCCTCCCTTTTTCCAGCATGCCCTTTCCTCCATCCCACATGATAAAGGAGAGCCCCAATATTGGACAGGTTACTAAATAAAACTGCACTGTATTATAAATATGGGAGCTCTACTCAGTGACTGGATGGAAGGTGTTATCTGGCAAGTCACTCAATTCTCACTGGGGAAGTAAACCTGTGTCTGGGCTGTATCACTTCAAACCATATGGGGGAATTGGCATGGCTGGGTACACCTCCGTAAACAATAACTCTTTGTGCGTAGGGAACCAGCAGGTCAAAGAGAAGCTAAAACTCTTCTCCGCATTCAGTCACAAGAGTCTGCAATCAGAAGTGGTGCAGCCCAGACACAGTCTAACTTGATAGATTGGTTGGAATAAAGAAACAAAGCACTTTGCATGTACCTAGAGGTGATAAATGCAACAATTACACTGTGGTGCATGAGTTACTCAAAGCATGCTAAGCAACTGCTAAAAACTTTCTGGAGAGATAAAGGCAGAAAATGCTGCTGAGCCATCTTTCACATAGCAATTGTTACAGCAGCTGCTGCATAACATACCGATAAAGCCCTTCTTTGCGAGTTCTATGGTAAACCGTCTTGTGATTTTTTCCAATTCATTATCCTATAACAAAAAAGCAGTTAAGGTCCAGGTCGCAAGACATCAACCATTAATGTTATATGTTTAAGATTTTATCAAGAAAAACATTCAACAATACTTGTGTTTCCATTGCTTATGTGCTCTTAGTCATACTACAACAACTCTGCTCCCCCCAGTTACATTGTGCTTGAAACATTCCAAGCACCTTGTAAATGCAGTGCAACTACAGGAGTAACCTCTTAATCCAATCTCTGGATCTAAACTTGGAACAGCAGGAAGGAGACATGGGATTGACCCCAACCTTGCAATGAATTTGAGGAACAGTGAAAACATCCAGCTCTTCGGGGGGGGGGGGGGGGAACAGTGTCTTGGTGAATTTAAATGTTTGGTTGGCTAACAAGTTCAGCCAAAATCTGTGGACCCCTGTAAATAAATTTAAGCAATGTAACCTTTTACATAGGAGATTCTGAAACACCTTACTTGTTTTAAAACCTTAAATTGCGAATACATTGCCTATGTTTCATTCCTCAACAAGCTACAGAATGCAAGATTTCCACCCCACTATCACAATAGCCCTACTATAGCAGAGTAATTTCTCAAACTTACCCAACCTAAACATGCTGATTAAAAGATTTCTGTCAGATTGGAACTTACTGTATAATTTCTAGGATTGATCTTTACACCAGCCTTTGCACCACCAAACGGCACGTCTGAAAACAAATGTTTGTGCTTAAGTTAAACAAGAATATAAAACTTGCAAAATAAGAGTAGGGGTAAGTGATGGGGAAAACAACCTGCCACTACTGGTGATGAGTATTTGGCATTTTCTATTTTTATTGATTAACAAAATAATATATATACCCCCCCTTGCAGAACATCAGGGTGGCGTACAGCAACATAAAAAGCATTTAAAAGCAATGCAGATTGTTACTGGCACTGAATCACATATATATGGAGGTAAATCATAGAAACTGAAGAATTTTGCTGAGCACAAATTCCCAAACATTTCGAAGCTGGGAAAGAAAGCAGGGGAAAGACTACAGGACCCTGAGGTATAATCCTAATCCCTCTTTAAGAAGGGAACACCTAAACTGGCCTATGTGTGTGTTTTAAAACAATGAATTAAGTCTGACTTATGAATTAGTGGGGCTTAACAGGCAGCTTTAACACCATATAAATTGTAGGTTGATTTGGTGTGTTCCCAAATCCTGTTAATCAGTAAATATGGTTATTCCCCATATAAACCCTCTCTGCTGCCAACACATCCCACTAATTTAGCCCTGTTAGAAAATTCACAAAAGTTACTAACTGCCAAATAATGTTTACTAGACTGCTGGGATATGGCAGAGAAGGGATGAGTTCTGTCATTCCTGCAGCAGCTATATTTCTTGGTTGGGTGTGAAGGTACCGTATTTTTCGCTCTATAGGACGCACTTTTTCCCCTTCAAAAATGAAGGGGAAATGTGTGTGCGTCCTATGGAGCGAAGACGCCATAGCCCCGCGACCCTCTCCCGGCTGGAGAGGTGACGCGCGGCTATGGCAGGAGCCTCTATAGCCGCGCGCCACCTCTCCAGCCGGGAGAGCGCGCGCGGGGCTAAAGAAGCCATAGCCCCGTGACCCTCTCCCGGCTGGAGAGGTGACGTGAGGCTATGGCAGGAGCCTCTTTAGCTGCGCGCCACCTCTTCAGCTGGGAGAGCGTGTGCGGGGCTAAAGAAGCCATAGCCCCGCGACCCTCTCCCAGCTGGAGAAGTGACGTGCGACTATGGCAGCAGCCTCTCCGCTGCGCCTTTCCGCTGCTCCCTGACCTGCTCTTTGGGGCTGGTGGTGGGCTTCCCCCCGCCAGCCCCAAAGAGCAGGTCGAAAGGAACCTGAAGCCTGGAGAGCAAGAGGGGTCGGTGTGCCCTCTCGCTCTCCAGGCTTCCAAGGTAGCCGCCTGAATGCACCTTAAACGGCACCTTGTTTTAGAGCGGGAAAACAAGAGGGGAAAAATTCTCCCTCTCTCTGCGCAGCGCCTCCTGCCGCTTCGCTGAAGGGGCGCTGGGCAGAGATTTTTTTTTTCTTGTTCTCCCCCCTCTAAAACAAGGTGCGTCCTATTGTCCGGTGCGTCCTATGGTGCGAAAAATACGGTAGCTTTTATTCTCTGGCAGTCAGCTTGGTTTCCATGCTGGGCACAGAAGAGGGTTGAAGTGATCCATCTTCTCTCCACAAGCCAATTTCCCTAGCTGCATGCAACTCTTTGTTGCCCATGGCTAACAGGCAAGTGCTTAAATAAAGGCTATGCTAATTCAATGCTAAACCTAAATTCCTTCTCATTTTAAGCAGATAACTGCTTCACTGAAAACATCAAATGAAGAACAGTTGGAATTAAATATTTTATATATAATAAATACGTAAGTAGCCCATCTCATATTCTAATGTAATGCTTGAGATTTAAGTTTGACATGGCCTCAAGATTCTTAAATAGCATTGGCAATGACTGAACGTACATGGACCTTTACAAACATCACTTACCCACTACGGCACATTTGTATGTCATTAGAGAAGCCAAAGCTTTCACTTCATCGACACTCACTTCTGTACTGTACCGAATACCTGTAAGGAAAACAATAAGCCAACTTAAGTTTTCATAGTCAAGTAGAAACAAGCCTCAAAGGCTAATAATTAAGTGCCATTTGCACAAGAAGCATTGCAAAAGAATCACTGTGAAAAAGTCCCACACAAGCAATTTTTCAGTTCTCTGGAGACAGACAAAAAACACCCCAAATTTGTATGCAGCAAAGGTATCCAAGGACTAAAATACTACAAACTTTGGGTCTATGGACCACAATAAAGCTGTGTGTGTATTCAAGGACTAAAACTGAATACCCTTCCTTGATTAGTAGCAATTAATAAATATGCCAAGAAGCTTACTGACACAATCTGTCCTGAATGTTTGCGCTAGAATACATACCCACGCTAAGGAAGTTTTTAATGTTTGACTGTTTAGAGTATTTTGCTAGATGCTGCCCAGAGTGGCTGAGCAACCCAGTCAGATGGGCAGCATGTAAGTAATAAAATTATTATTATTGGTTAACACCCCTGCAATTCTGGCATTGTTTTGCAGTGTTACAGGCAAAGAACTGGTATACTCCAATTCTAGCCCTTATGCACTGGAGCAAAATGCTGTCTTCACATTTGGTTGTTAGTGTGTGGTTTGGAAATTACTACCATATGCAGGAAGCTGTTGCTCAAGAGGCTAGTTTTGCTTGCTTGGAATACCTGAAGAATATGAATAATTTCTACTTTAAAGAAAAAGAATTATCCCCCTTCATTTTGATATTACAGTGACTTAACAGAATCTTAAAAAAAAATATTATCCTTTGCCTTTTGTGAAAGGGGCTGAGCAATGACCTATGAATTACTTCCTCTTGATATACACTTGCTCTGGGAGAAACAAACAATTGGAAGGTGTCACTTTAGCCAATATATATATTTCTAGAGAAAGCCTGCAAAGAAAGGTCAGCTAAATGTACAAAAGTGGCTTCTAGCAACTCCATTTGTATTTAAGAAACACAAAATCAGCTCAAATGATTCCTCTTTCAATTCTGCATCTAGAATGTAAACTAATTGTTTAACTATAATACATGAAAAATTAGTGTTAAGACAGGACATGCTGCCTTTCTCAAGGAACTACTTGAACCATAAGTTGTGATGTTGTTGCCATTAAGAAAATATAAGTGCAGGACCATTGATAGTTGAGACAGTACAATGAAACAAGAGCCATCCACACTGTTCTGTGTAGTTGCTGCATTCTGAATATGGGTATTCCCTTGACAACACTGGTATCATTTGCTGGAGCAGAAATGTTTCAGTTTACATTCGCCTTCATTTCTGAAGCCAAGCTAGTAACTGCATATGGAGGAAAGAGATGAACCACTTTTTAATGGTAACATGCCTGGAATGTACAAGGGCATACAGTATTGCAGTGTTTGTTCTAGCTGGAGTCAACATTTCATCATTCCAGTCTTTCGGAAGCACATTAATCAGAGGCATGCCTGCTGTCTGCTAGCACACTTAGGGTTGCCCAATCCCCTGAGCAAGGCAGCAAGTTCAGTAACTGTCACGACAAGTTCATTCCAGCAGTTAGAAATTTACCACGTTGGATCCACAAGGCACTTTTTTTTTAAGCGAGATACTGTACTGCTTTGTACTGAAAATGCCACCAACACCTTTAGAAAGCATAAGCAGAAATTCAATACTTGAGAACCCAAACTACACTGTATATGCACTAGAATCACTCAATACCTGGGCACCCTAGATAAGGATACACATATTAATTTGAGTATAGTGATAAAGTTTCAGTCTTAGTTTTCAGTCAACTTATTATTCTTTCCAGTTTGACTGGAACCAAAGACTAGGACCCAAAGAACTATGGGAGTAGTATGTGAGCTCAAAAGACATTTCCAAGAGGTAGAGCATTCACCCACCCCCAACCCCACATAAAAAAACTTTTCTAAACCCGCTGAACTAGTGCAAGCCCCTTGTATATGTAGCTCTCCTGAATCACAATTAAGGATGGAATATTTCCAGCTGCTTGGTGCTAGAATCAGATGCTTAGTTGATAATCCTTTAAAGACCTGGGGGAGGGGATCCTTCAATTTCTTTGGTATTTAGACAACTTAATATCAGGGATTCTTCAGGATTGCTAGAGCCTATTAAAAATAATTCTCAAATAAGTATACAGTACTTACATGAACTATCTCATTTATTTTAAATGACCAAACTTCAATAAATGAAGGAGTTTCATAAACTGCAATTTGAGACAAAATCCATTCAGCTTTGGACCATCTGCAATTAGGTGCACTACAGAATACGGAACACAACTAATCTTCAATAGAATAAGACTGTATGTAATGTCTGTCTGGCAGCTACTTTTGTTACACCCTACTATGGAACTGGAGCTAATTCAGCAATAGTAGGTTACAGATGTACTGCATGAAGGTAAAGACCATTATTAGCAATTGTAGTCATATTCCCAAGTCAATGGAGTGGTGAATTTGACTAGTCCAGAGTGCAAGCAGCTTCTGTGCAATCAATTCCATCTCTAAGTAAAACGAATAAAATATGCTTGTCAAAGCATATTGACAAAATAAAATTTGCTATATGCAGCTGTAGTGCATATAGCAAAAATGGAAATGGACAATAAATAATGAAATGGCGGGGCATTGATATGTAGGAGTTAAGTAGCCACATATCTTTATGTTTAAAGTGCTGTGGATGTATAAATATCAGCAAGTATAGACTTTACTGTACTTAAAAGAGCCTAGAAAACTGCTTCAGGTATTCTGTGCAAGGAAGCTAGTTGTTCATAACTGCAATACCTCAAGGACCACCTCTTTCCATATGAACCTACCGGGACCCTGAGATAATTTTCTGAAGCCCTTCTTCGTGTGCCTCCTCCTTGAGAGGTGCGGAGGGTGGTAACATGAGAACGGGCCTTTGTTTGCAGTGGAATGCTCTCCCCAGGGAGGTTCCCTTGGTGCCTACATTATACACTTTTAGGTGCCAGGCAAAAACATTCCTCTTTAACCAGGCCTTTGGTTGATTGTCATCCAATGCCCTTAAAAAATGGGGGGGTGTTATTTGGTTTCTGTTTTTATTAGGATTATGTAGTCTATGTTTTTATATTGCAATTTTATTTTGTGAATCACCCTGAGGCCTGTGGGCATAGAGTGGTATATAAATCATCATCATCATCATCACTACTCACCCATTCAACTCAACTACTGAGTAAGATTCCACAGCAAACCGCCACCCCTATAGATTGTAGTGGTAACAACTGCTAGGAGCTTGCTATGGCTTTTCCCAACTCCCATTTGAAGTACTACAGAAAACTGCACACTAGTTTGACAAGAGACCATGATGGGCCACAAAGAACGTGTGCGCCAATGAGCAGCTTAGCTCTGCAACACCATCTCAAAGTACCTGCAAAATTATCACCTGTAAGTCAAGCTGGGACTAGGGGAGACAGTGGTTCAAATAACCTCTCAGTCAAATCACTGGTGAAGGTATCAGTCTTTGTTCCCGATCAGCAAAGAAGGGAAATAACTATATTGTATGCATTTGGAAATGCATCTAGGTTTATCAACATGACATGTAATTTTAAACAGCCCAATGTGTTGCATCAGCATACCAAAAAGGTTAAAATGTTGTATCTTGGCAGTATCTGTTTGACGGAACACCAGGAGACTAAAAAGAAATAAACTAAATGGCAGGAGGATCTTGTTACTGATAGCTCACTGATACTTTGTTTTTAATCAAGGAAGCTATGAAAACTACCCACTGTTTCATGAAGCTAAACAAAGAGCTCCATTGGAAAAGTGCTGAAGGGCAGGGGTAAGGCCCCTACATGGAAGTTACACAGCAAAGTTAACATTTCTTATTTGGTTGTGCACAATACTGTTATAACTCCTAAAACTCAAAGACGAGGAGACAAGATGCTTTTCTGTAAAAGACTTAAATGACTCATAGCTATGCAAAATACTTTCCACTTGAACCAGCAAAGAATCTTACTTGTTTAGGGATTTTCCTTCCCTGGCACACCCAAAAATGCAAGTTAACTTAGAAAGACATTGTGATTTATTAACAACTGATTCACCTCCTTTGCAATGGAACAGTAGTGAAAGTTACTCTGGAATCATCAGCAAACTTGAGAGCAATCCTGTGACTTCTGCTTATGAAAGGAAGAATAAACTATAGAGTTTTAAAATATATATTTCACATATTTTTCCCCTATGGCTGTCTCCATATCAACACACCCAAACTAGGTTAGCTACTCTCAAAAGAAAAAGATTTTTTTTAAAGTAACATATATTGCTACACGCATCACAGACATAAGAAAGTAGAGAAAGAGGGATCATTTAAAAGGTAACCAAGTTTAAGTGACAATAAATGGCAATGATGGGGACATAATGGTGGCAGCAGGAGGCCCCATTAGCTAAAGTGGTGCTTCAGGTTAAGAACAGTTTCAGGTTAAGTACGGACCTCTGAAACGAATTAAGTACTTAACCTGAGGTACCACTGTATTTGGTTTCCCTATACAACACCAAGCCACACTTGAGTGATCTGGATTTATTACTATTTAGACATTGCTATATACACATTAGGTATTTTTTAGTAATAAAATCTTAATTGAAAGGAAAAGTGAAGATGGTTGCATTGACAATAAGAACCTTCTAAGTATGAACACAGGACAAAACAAGTTGGCCAATTTGTTTCTGCTTGTGGGATTTCCATAGGCATCTGGCTAGTGAGAACTAGATGTTGGACTAGTTGGGTTTTCAACCTGATCCAGCAGGGCCCTTCTGCTTAGGTTTATGACATGAGCAAATGAAGTTGCCACATACAAAGTCAGACTAATGCACCATCTAGCACAGCACTATCTACTCTGACGGGCAACAGCTCTTCAAGGTCTCAAAAGATGAATCTTTCTTGGACTTGTTTTTTTCATACAGAAAGTCCCATGTACACTTATCACTAATTTATGACTCATGTTCCGTAAGTACCACTACCACTCATAACCATATGAAACTAATCGTATGAAGCTAACGAAGTGTCAGATCACTATTGTCCATTGCAGCAGCCTCTACACAGCCTTAGGGAAGGGACAGCCAACATCTTGTTAGGCAACAGGTAAGAAATGGCATTAAAATACCCCTCAGGACATAAGGACAAGTCGTGTCATCAGTGAATTAAAGAATCACACTGGAGTCTGCCAATCTGAAATTGTCTTTAGAGTTTCCCTATTATATACATTTTTTTAAAAAAACCTGTATAGTGCAATATGAAAAGTACATGACTGCCAACATACACGGGCATCACTTTATTGGGGCCAAATTCAATTTAAGAATGGACGAGAAGGCAAAAAGTTCAGAATGCTAGGGCCCATACTAGAAATCTATAGGATTTAATTGTTCAGCAGATTCATGGGAGGACAAACTACCTTTATACTAGTATTTCCAAATTTGTTTTGTTTTATGCACACTATAAAGAATATATGGTTCACTGAGTAAACAAACAGCATTTGAGATTTAAATAACAGCAGTAATTCAAAAGGTAGCAAGTGATATAAAATTATGTAGTTAGAAACAAGTAACCATAGGTAGTTTAATTTTTATGTTTGTGATCCAAGAGAGACACTTGCAGTTATTAATCTAGTATTGGTTAAAACTGCTACGACTTTAAATATATTACATACCAATATGCAAGGCTGACAGGATTTAAGATCCCCTGTTTGAACAGGATCCGAAGTCAATCATCTACTATTGCTGACAAAAGAATCAGCACAGATTTGTTCATCACTATAGGATCAAGAGTTTACTTTCAGGCCCAGAATCTGTTGGTCTAACAAGCTTTTGCTATGAGAAGTACAGACAGAGTCAGAAGTTTGTTGCACATTGCTAACTCCTACTTCCTGTAGTGGATACATTTAGTTCTCTAGGCAGCTGTCTATATGATTAACAAGAACAGCTGTAGTTTCTCGTTAAGCACCGCCTTGAAGCACGCAGTCAAACAGGCAAAGTGAGATCTTGGGAAATTTTTGCATTTCTTTATATAAATGATGACTTTTTATATAAATTATATTATTTGTATTAATGAATTACATTATGTGCCAAGTGTTACATCAAACAGGATTTCTTTTATTAGTCACTTATATAGAGCATTTGCAATTCCCTTATCCTACAGGTAAGCAGTACCATGCATTAAAAAAGAACCCAGCAGTTTCTATCTGCTTCCCACCACAAGTATGGTAGAGCAGGGTGTGCATATGTGAGAGTTGGGGGGGGGGAGAGTCAGAACACCATGTTGCTTCAAACCACAAAATCACTAGGTGCATTACTATGTCTCAGTATGCCAGCTCTGATATGGCAATGCTATCTATCTTACAGAGTTTTTTAGATTATTAAGATAATGTGTTAAAGTACTTTGATCACCATAGAAGGTTCTCAAATTGTGGTCTATGAATCATCCGTGTGTGAGCACGATTCTGGTGAGTGATGGAAAGGCTGCTTCTGTACAATGATTCCCTCCCCCCGCCCAGATGGGGGTAAGTGCTTTTAGTCTAGGGACAAATTTATCCAATAAGCAAACAAGGCACTGTAGCCCCTAGAGCAGTGGTCAGCAACCTTTTTCAGCCATGGACCAGTCCACCATCTCTCAGACCATGTAGTGGGCCAGACTATATTTTGGGAAAAAAAAGAAAAATGAATTCCTATGCCCCACAAATAATGCATTTTAAATAAAAGCACACATTCTATTCATGTAAAAACACGCCAATTCCCGAACTGTCCTTGGGCCGGACTGAGAAGGCAATTGGGCCTTAGCTTGCTTATCCCTCCCCTAGAGCTTATGATTTTCCTTTGATGCAGTTTACTACTTTCTGCCAAACAAAAAATAATAATTACCAGAAGGGGACCTTCTCAGCAACTTGGTCCAAGTCCCGCACTGTAATTTTCATACTACAGCACTGGTTGTAATGATGTTGGTATGAAAGAAAAATGTTTATAAAGTGGTCCACCAAGACTACCAAGCTGTCAACAACAAAAGAGAGCTTGAAAACTGCTTCCCTAGAAGCACTACATAAATGCTCAGTATGAGCTACTTAAAAGACCAACAGTTCTATGGTAGATCACATGCTTTGCATGCAGAATGTTCCAAACTCAGTGGCCTTGAATCTCCAATTACAGGGCCTCAAGTAGCTGAAAAAACCTTTGTTTTTAGAAAAATTAACAAGTGAAGCACTCTAATTTTCACCGAACGTGTGACATCATAACCTTAGTAAAGAATAAAAATAATTCAAAATCCTTTGACTGATTAACATTTCAATGTATGCAAACCTTTAAAAAAATCCACCACTTTTGACCTTTTGACTTTAATCTTCTGAGTATTTAACACTGATCCTGGTAAACAGCAGGTCTTATCTTTCAGCTTAGTAGTTGTTCCGTCCTAGATTAATGATTTCTTTCAGCTATGCTGACAGCAAACAGCCAAAGCCAAATTTTGTTTATTATCCAAGCATCTACTTGAAGCTCAAACATTTACTTTATCCTATCTACCCCAAAGGATCGAGCGTATATATTTTTTAAAATCATAAGTAGGCCCCAATACTGGTGTTTCTAAGTAAATCTTCCTTGAATTATCAATGCTATATTAAGAATCAGTATATGAACATCTGTCAGTACACAGCAGTGAAGTCATAAAAAGCTTTGCTTCTAGCTTTTCCAAGTACTAGGATATAACGGTCAGACTTCTGCAGTCAGGTGTCCAGGCAGGATGTGAACACCATCCCTAGCTGAACAGTGAGGATTTATTTGGGCATGGGCTTTTCTACTAGTAAACCCCACACTATTATTTTTTCTTAAAAAGTAGTATTGATGTGGGGAAAGGGTCAGATATTCACAGCTGTCCCAAATCTCCCTGAATGCACACAAACTTTTGGAAGCCCCTAAAGGAACTGTCTGGATCCTATTACAAAAGAGGTCTCCTCTGGGATGCAAGATTTTATTTTTCAAGGAGTCAACCAGCAGCAACAAGCTTTCATAGCAAGCCTATCAAAAGTATTAGGTACTTCCCACTCTAGGGCACATTATGGACATCTGGAGCTTAGTTTACTAACTTGGGGAAACTACGCATCTCAAGAGGCAGCTGTATGGGTGGCACAAACAACTGGATCTGTGCTTTTTGTCATACTCACTACATAGCTCACTATCCCACTCCTTCCATATACTTTTTAAATTTAAACTTACTAAGTTTTTAATAATTGCAAATAAGTAACAAATGAAGCAGACAAAGAGTTGGAGGGAAAGGGAGCTAGGGGCATGACTTAAACTTACCCAAGGGATGATATACATTTGGTTACCACCTCCAGCAGTCACTACAAAGCTACATATATGCAACATCACTACTTCTCAGCTGACTTTCTACCACTAATACTGTTTTCTCTACATAGAAATTGTTGAACTAATGCATGAAAATCATAGGAATTATGACTTCCCAACTCTGGGGAAACTTGAGTATGGAGCAGGTCACTAAAGTGTAGAATGGGGATTTTAGGATCTCAGTTGCATTTACACATAAGCCAATCGAACCTAACCGAGCTTCTTGTGCAATACTGTATGGTAACTAGGTGCTACTCAATAAAACACTGAAAAAAGTTAATACTGCAAAACTACTATGTCAGCAAGACATAGGAGCTGCAAGCAGAATACAGCAGTTGCTTTGTGCATCTCTTAGGTTATCTTCACCATAATATCTGGTCACTAAAGGATAAATCAGTTCTCTTCCAAAGGAGTAGTTATTTTACTCACTATTATTCGTACAATCATGTGATGTTAACCAATTTTGGAAAAGATTTACGTTAGATATGGTTCTGCTAGTATTTATATGCTGTATTATAGGATTTCCTTTCCATTTGTTATTCAGATTTACTGAGCATTTATCTGGATGTTTCAATTTCTTTTGTAAACTCCACCGTCTGAAGAATAAACATACATACTGTTCTGTATTACCAAACTTAGAGCATGATTTTGGCATACCAAACAACTCTTGTACTTGCATCTGAGGCCGATACAGCCACTGTAGATTAAGCAAAAATCACAGAAGCTTCAAGGAGGACAATCCCAATAAATAACCAGCTTCTTTGAAACTTTGTACACTAAGTTCCTCTACTCCACAAAGGATCTTTTTATAAAACTCAACAGGAAAGAAGTCTGTGGTGAGCTGCTGCAAGAATTTGGAGGAAGTTCAGTTGTCATAGGGCTGAGATGAGGAAAAATGTTGAAATGATTTTCTTTCGGAACAAGAGATTAAATTCTCCGATTGCCAAAATGCACCTTAACAACCTTTGTACCAATGTAACCTCATCAGGAGCACAGAATACCATAGAAAGGATGTTTTTAGAGTTCTTACGTTTTTGCAGGATTTGCCCTTAGGCAACTGACTGCCACATGCATTATGGTCTAATATGCCCCCCACCCCAATTATGTTTTTCTAGCTACAGCAGCCCAAATATCTATTTTTTTATTAAAGTAGTTTCAGTGCTGGGCAGACACGTTTACACCTCTCCACAAAGCCTCCTCAGGAGGATGCAAATTGTCCCCTTTCTGATCCTTGGCTTCCTCAGCTAATCTGCATGGAACTTATGAGATGTCACAAGAATAAGCCATGCTGAAAGTCTTACTTCTGAGTAAACATGTATATGATTGCATTATAGTTCTACCCTGATCACACAAGCAAGCAGACAAAAAAATTAAAAGGCACTTATTTAACTTAATGATAAATGCCAAAGCTCTACTCCTCTGTCTTCTATGAGCGTATGTTCTCATGTGTGGAGTGAGGCACCTAATACTGAATAATCCCTACAGGATTACTCAACAGTTTGCCTTAGGAAACAGTATTTCCTCCTCCATTCCCAAATAAATTAAGTGTTGCCTCCCAAGGCACAAACAATTACTTCCATCCTACATACCCTCGGGGCACATTTACTCCCAGCGTCATGGATATAGATATGGTGCTGGAGTATGTACATCATAGACAAGTTCTTCTGCAGGAGAGACTGCCTACTATACAGCATATGACTACTCCCGAAGGAGCAATTTTTAAATAGTAATTACTTAAATTATATAGGTGGTATGGAAACAATTATGGAAAAGCACATAAGAATTCTACACTTTATGTAGTTAGCAAACTAGAAAACAATTTCTGTAAGAAGTGTAGGAAAGAAGACCAGTGTTAGAAACTGAGATATGAAAGCTAGGAGCTAAATGGCACCTTAAACCTAGGTTATGGGCGCAACAACGGAATGTCTAGGCGTGCTTTTTTTATAACAAGAATACAAAGCTGAAAATGAATGAACTGGAGCTAAAATATTATGTTCATTTTTCACATAGTCTAGTCCAGGTGTTGGCCACCTAAGGCCCATGGGCCACAAGTGGCCCACGGGGGTTGTTTAACTGGCCCACAAGCCACCCCCGAACTGAGCCGCCCGCTCGGCAAGTCCCTGCATGCAGCACTAAACCAGCACAGCACGGGGTAGGAACATGCTTCCGCTGCACCAAAAATTGCATCTGTGCGTCTGCGCACACATAGATGCCGGAAAAGACATCTGCACAGACACAGGACATCATGGGCACGGGCGCTCATGCGATCTGGCCCACGGAGGGATCTCGGCTGGAGTGTACTGGTTCAGGCGAGGTAACCTTGCTGACCCCTGGTCTAGTCCTTCTCCTGCCAACCTCCCTAATATTCTTAAGAGGGTCTCTTCAGAGTCTTCAGAGAGTAGTTGGAAGTGGAGAGGCAGAAAAAGGTCCTCCTTTCCTCCTACTTTTAATCTGAAATCTTAGGTGTAGTACTGCGCCCAGAATTCAGAAACTGCTCAGGGTAATGAAATTGTAGCAAAATGAGCCTAGAACAATGAGAGTTTCAAAACTGGAGAAGGTATGTACTCTTGGTATGTACTATTACAGCAAAGCTGAATTTCTCAGCTTTTAAAGGGAATTTTTAAAATATTTCTCCCTTCACTGCTTAGAAAGAGCCCACTGCAGAGGTTTCTCCGAATATTCTTAACTATTTTTTGTGGTGGGTGCCATTTCTCTTCCACAATACCCCCAAACAGTGCAAGATCCAAGGCACTGTGGAAAATAGGAACATAGGAAGCTGCCTTATAGAGGTAGTGGCCCTCCAGGATTTCAGGTAGAAGTTTCTCCCAACCATATTTTGAAATGCCTGGGATTGAACCTCGGACCTTCTGCTTGCGATGCAGATTCCCTTCATGATGCCAGTGATGCCAACATGGCAGCCAGGCTAGCCACACATTTGCCTGCACAAAATAGTTAGTTGTCATGTATTTTATTCTTTGCAAGTGTAAAACTGCCTGGTCGGCAGAAATTTAGCAGGCGAGCTTTTCACATCTTTGTTCTGTGCCAACTTCACCAGTTAAGAGATTGCTCCCACTTTCACTTTCAGCTTCTGATGACTTCAGCAAGTCATTTCTTGGCAGATGCAAAGAAGACATCACATATTTAGAATGAGAGAATCTGAGACACAAAAACACACACACCTCACCAGGTGATCATGGGTCAGTCTCTCTCATCCCAAACTACTTTAACATACTGTTACAAAGCTAAAAATAAGTGGAATCCCCGATCACATACACCACAGGAAGGTAGGTTACATACAAATTCAGTACTATGATACTTCCTGTTAACAACTATACTTTCTAATGGAGTCATCCCAGGTACAATAATTGATTGTGATAAATTAAGTGCTGAGCACGTATGTGGCAAGTGACCTAATCCAAGAAGCCTCATCTTATATGCAGGTTTACTCCAAAGTTCTTTTGGGTTACACGGGACTTACTCCTAAGTAAACAGGCACAAAACTAATCTTTTTTTAAGCTGTTGAAACCACAATAGTCATATTAGAAGGGAAAGCTCTCAAGGGGGCAATGACTACATTACAGCTAACCCACTCAGCAGACCTGTTTACTTCAGTAGCAAAGTACATGGTGTACACACACCCAATGCATACGGTAACTCCAGACTATGTTGATGGGGAAGATGGTAGGAAGGCATTTACTTTGCTAAAGTTACTGATGAGGAAAACTCATCTCTGGGCTACCCCCTTCAGTGGTCCACTGCTGCTGCTGCAAAAAAAAAAAAAGCTAAGAGTCATGCGCCACTTCAAACACTGTGCACTTTCCAAGCCACAATGCATACACAGTTATTTTGGCTGGGACACAGAATACAGCGCTAGTTATCTTGGCTGGGACTATGCTGTTTCCCATTCATTGTGACTCAGGGTTCCCCACTCCCTCTTGTTTTCTTTGGTTTTAATGAACAGGCTTTGAGATGGCCTTTTTTTTCTGCATTGGGGCTCAGGTAGAGCCATTCAGAGAGGGAGGCGCATCAATCAACTCGGGAGGAAGAAAACCAAGCAGCTTGGCGAGGTGGTTTTTATTATTTATACAGTACACCACCACTTCTTCCAAGGAGCTCAATGCGGTGTGCACGGTTCCTCTCCTTCCAACAACCCTGTGAGGTAGGACTTGATGTAAAAACCGTGTTTATGGAAGACAATTCTACTCGGCTAGGAGTGATCCCCAAAGAAGCAGTTAAACTCAAGGCCACCCAGCGAGGTTCGTGGCTCATTCGAACTCTGGTCCCCCAGGCCATATTACAACACACTGCTGGCGTTTCTCAAACTTAGGTTCTCGGCTCTTGTCGGACTACAACTCCCATCATCCCTAGAGCTAGCAGGACCAGTGGTCAGGGACGATGGGAACTGTAGTCCTACAAGAACCCAAGTTTTGAGAAAACATTACGCCGCGCACGGAAATAAGCGGAGGAGGAGGTGGGTATTCGGGGAGGCGAGGCTCACCTCCCTTGCAGGGGGTGCGGTGCTGGCTGTGCTGCGCCCGGTAGCCCTCGACCACCTCCCACTCGCCGTTTTCCCGCTTGATGGGGAAGGAGACGCTGAGCACGTGGTTGCAGGGCTTGATGATGCGCAGGATGCCGCGGACGCGGTGCCGCTTCTCCTCGGGGCTCTCGCGGGTGCGCAGCCCTTCCACCAGCTTGTCCTCCACGATGCCGGCGCCCCGGTCGAAGAAGCCCTCCACCATCTTGAAGAAGTTGGGGTCGTCCTCCGACGCCGACACCGCTTGGCTGTATTGGCGGCGCCCGCCGTCGTCCCGACTCGTCGTCGTCGTCGCCCTCCTCCTCCCCGGACCGCTCCCCGCCAGCAGGGCAGCCGCGCACGGCTCCGCGCCGGACAGCGCCGGCGAGCCCGCGGCGCGGACGGGCGCCAGGAGCTCCCCGAGGCAGCGGTACATGGTTGCGGCGGCGAAAAGGGGCTCGTGGGGCGGAGGGGGGGCGGCCGGCGGTTTACCTCAGCGGCGGCAAAAGGGCAAGGGAGACGCTGGGCTGGCGCTCGCCGCTCTGAGAGGGGGGAAAACTGAAGGGCGTCGACGCGGCAGGGCGGGGAAAAAGGGGTGGGAGGAGCAAAGGGAGGAGGAGGAGGGAAGCTGCTGCCCAATGGCTCGACGACAAGGGCAAGCGGGCCCCCGCCGCTGCCTTTAAAGGGGCCCCTCCGCGGGAGGCAAACAGGGGGCGGGCCCAAAGGGTGGGGAAGGGAAGGGGTCGTGGTAATACCTCCTCCCATTGCGCAGGCGCACCCATTCCACAAACCGCCACCTCCTTCGGCGGCTGTGGGAGGAGCCCGTGTTCTCGGGCGGCGCTTTTTTGGGGGGGAAGCGCGCCTGCGCGGTGCGGCGGCGGAGGGAAAGCGGGTCTGAGGTAAGAGAGAGCTTTTTGATTGGGTGAGGGATTCCGGTTTGTCCCGCCTCCTTTTTAGCAAAGCGCGCGCAGCGGCGGTTGTATTTTAACCGTGGGGGTGTATGTTCGGGGGCGGTAAGTCGGCTGTTTCCGGGCGAAGCCGGTGGGCGCGGGAAGGTAGCTGCCCTGAGGCTCCCCGCTTTAGTAAATAAAGGAAGGCCTCGCTGGCCTCTCGGTCCTTCCTCTCCGCCCGGGCTTAGGCCTTCGCCTGTATTGCGCTGCTCGGGGGTGGCTTCCCTCAGGCTCTCCTGGAAATGTCTTGCCTCACACTTCGCACACCGCATCCATGAGTGACCAGTGCCGCTTTCTTGTTTTTTATCGGGGGGAGGGAAGTAGGGGGAAACTCGCCAGGAAGTTTGCTTGTTTATTGCGGGCCCAGTCGCAGTGCGAGGCAGTGGCAAAATGTAAGATGTTATTAATCAACTCAAACAGACCATGATCTGGATTAGAAATGACCACAGTTTTATTGATTACGGATACAGGTGGATTTTTGGCTCGGGCATTGGGTGCATGTATATCCGTTCCAGCCCCCCGGACAAATAATAATAATTACTTTTAAATGGGTGAAGGGACTCAGTTCCCCAGAGTTCCTGCTCAAAAGAACCCCTGCAAGTGACCCTTTTTGATCCAGAGTACTACTTACTCAGTTTTGCTGAAACTTACTAACTTAAAACATCAAGCATTTAAAACTTCCCTATACAAGACTGCCTTCAGAAAGTCAGAGTTCTTTATTTTTTTGACATCCTACGGGAGGGCATATCACAGTGTGCGCTTGACTATAATAATAATTAATAATAATAATAATAATTTATTACTTATACCCTGCCCATTTCCCCAGCCACTCTGGGCGGCTTCCAACAGGAGATTAAAAATACATTAAAATATCAGAACAGGGCTGTCTTCAGATGACTACTGAGAAGGCCTGGAACAATCCTGGAAAAAAATTTCCCTTAAGAAAATAGCCTAGAATCACTGTTTATCTGTGGTGCAAATGACCAAAATTGGTGACAGTGCACCTTTAAGACTGTGTTTGTTCTCTTGGAGCTGATTCTACTCTAAGAAATGGTTATTTTTCCTCCTCCATACCTTGACAGATTGCTTATGGTGTGTTGTTTGCTTATGGTGCACACAAAGAGAGTAGCAGATTATTATTTTTTACAAGTAAACAGCTGACTGGCATGCTCACTTAGAACCAGTACTGGTAACTCTTTTGATGGATAATAAATTAATGCATTATTTGTATGTTGCCTTTCTACATTGAGTTTGCCTAAAGCAGCTTACAAGAAAAATCCACTTACTATTAAATACAAAACACAGAGGTTGAGGTCAGTGGAGAAAGCAGTTTAAGGAATAAATTCAAAGAAAATGAAATCAATAATTCAGCAAGCATAGAAAAAAACAAAAAGAAAGTTAATATACAATAAAGTTCCAGCTGCTGGTGCTTCTCTTTTTGTCTGCCAAGGAGCCTTAGCAGCCTGGCTTAAATACAGTTGAAACAGAAAGATTGTCTCAGTAGGTTAGATAATTTACAGCTGGCTTTCTCAGTTCTCTTCCAGAGAAGACAAACAGCAGGAAAAAAGAGAGATGCTGGGGAGGGCAATGACAGTAAGTAATTTTCGCCAGCCTCCTGGACATTCCAACTGCTGACTTAGCTAGAGTTTGCTTGCCAAGACTTGAAAGGAAAGGATCTAGCCGTGAAACAGCAAGCTGGAATCCTCCTGTCTCGTGTGGTTCAAATATAGGAAGTGCTTCAGTTTTCAGACTGGGGCACCTACTAGTGGACAGGATGAAGCCTACCAGCCTGCTGTTAGACTGAAACAATAACAGCACAAGGAATGTTCCAAGGGAAATAAGTACCTCTTCAATCAGGTAATTTGCTTTCCACCAGCGAACTCTAGAAGTAGTGCCCTGTTCAGAGATGTCAACAAGAAAGCTGCCAAGAGTGTTTCATCCATTTGTAGCACATTTCCTGGGAAAAGCAGGAATGTGTGACTGCTTTTGTTCAGTGGGTAACTGGAATTAACCACATTTCTTGAGTTTGCCATATAATTTAATATTATTGTTTCCTGTGTGAGACACCATATCAGTTCTGCAAAATGTAGCCCACATTGGAGATAAGAATGATGCCTTATTTACATCAATTCTATCAATGACAGGCTGTACTGTGCACACAGCCCTGTGTGTGTAAGGTTATCTCCCACTTGGACTACTGTGACATCCTATCTTTGAAGGTGACTCTGAAACTATAACTGAATGCAGCATCTAAACTGGTGACTGGAGCAGCCGCCAGGACCATATAACCCTGGTTCTGAAAGACCTACATTTTACGCACATGTCCCAGAGTTTGAGAAATAATAACTTGGCCATAACCAGAGAATTGACCCGTGGGATTTAAATTTAGTTCTCCAAATCTAACTCCATCAGCACTGCACTAGATTTTCTTACTATATTTATAATAAAGGTCTGTCAATTGGGTAATGTGTAAACATTAGACCATTATAAAATACTTTAGCCCTGACTTTTACAGGCCTATATTTTAGCTCATAATATCAATCTCAACATGTTGTACCTGGCAGTTTGAAACACTGCCCTTGCATTTAACTTGTGTTGCCTATATGATCTGTGGGCCAGCATAAACTGGTTTCATGCACTCTGTACTCCCTTACTGATTCTTGCTTGCTATGGCCTTTTACATAAATATTTTTCCTTAAAGTTCTTTATCAGGTGCCTGGGTATTGCAACATCAACTAAGGTTACAGGGCTGGGAATACATATGAAGTGGAAAGAACAGTGTGCATTTAAATTAGTTTATGATTGTAGGGAGATTGTTCTAACCAATTTTATGGAAAACAAATAACCTTAACAAATAATACTTTTGAAGCAATATTAATAAAAACACGTTGGCTATAGCATCCTTAGACTATTGCCTTGTATTTCAAAAAGTATAGTTGTCTCTTGGTACGTAGAAAGAGGAATGGGATGATGTGTTCAGGGTGATTTAATGGCTGGAGTTTTTATAGTTTGTTGTTTGCTGTTCTCCATTTTATTATGTAGGTTACATTATGTTGGCAGTTCCCACTGACAAATATTGGGGTGCAGTTTTATGCGTCAGTAACTTATGTGACAAAAGGTATATCTTACTTTCCTTTTATAACCACATTTACATTCCACCAATTCATGTAAAATATTCAGGCACTATACAAGAATACAAGCATAATGATTTTTTTAAAAAAATGCATGAATGGCCATATTTTTGTGCAATGCATAATAATCTCCTTTGAAATAATGTTACTTGCTGTAGGTTGATGCAAACCATAATGTGGCCAAGCCAGTTATATAAGCAAGTAGCTGCTTTGCCCTTTCAGTATTTGTCTTCAAGAGTGTTTTGGACTGAGTTGTTGGAGTACACACATTTTTCTTTTTGTGTTATGCTAACTGGAGTTTTTGGCATTACAACTTTCTGGTTATGTGTAGATTTAAGCATGTTGCATACATTTTCCAGATGAAAGGGAGCTTCCTATTGCCTGGTTCTGACAAAGTTTTCTCTCTATGGTTTCATTTCTTGACCATATCTTTCTTGACTTATATATTCTCCACTGTAAGAGTGATTTTCCATAGTTCAGTGGGGAGTTCTTAAAGGCATGTGGATTCTGCAGAGGAAGCATCTTCAAATCAAGTCTGTGTTTATGAGAGAAGCCAATTTGACTGAAGCATGAGTAAACCACATCTTCCACCATGAGTCATCTTGCAAATCCCAAGCAAGAAAAACTTTGTAAAATGTATATTTTCGCTTAAAGGAGCACAGGGGTTTAAAGGCGAGAGCTGCTATAAGAACAAAACTGAATAACTAAACTGCTTCTTTTTCTACCATCTCAACCTGTTGCAGACATAATGGGACATGGTTTGCAAAGGGACATTGCCCCCTGCCCCCCATGGTTTGTTTTAAGCATAGTTTGTGAACCCACCACAAGCCATGATTAGAAGGGCAATCATAGTTAACTTTAACTATGTGCTGATGTCACTGCAACAGGACTCCCTAGTTCAAGGACATGGTATACAGGCAGGCAACAGCCCTCAGATGGCAGCAATCCTTAATGAAAACTAGGGATCTGCTTCTGCTTTTCTTAACACAATCTGCACTGACTAGATTTTAGTTCTGGCCTTTGGAACATATCTATTAAAATGTAATTGAAGTATATATTTTTGGAGTGTGTACAGAGTCATTTGGTATCTTCAAGCAAATATTAAAAGGCGCTATTACTTGTGATGCTTGCTGAATTCCAGTTAAAACTACTGACTATTCTCTGCAAAAAAAAAATTGGGAGTTGATAATTTTGGAGCACAATTTACCAGCACAATATTGCACTTGATAACTGCAGCCGAGACAGGGTTTTTCTATTAACCAAGATAAAGAAGCAAGTTGTTTACTTGCTTATTGGTACAGCTGGTTGTTGTGTGAGTAGCTGCTAAGCTCCATAAGCCCCTAGAATTCATTTTCTTTCTTCTGTAATGCTGCCTGTGTAGAAGATCCATCTGCTTAGTTCTCTTATTACTAGGTTTCCTGATGGTGTGGGTTATTTAGTTATTTATATTTTTATTTACAGTATTTATAGCCCACTCTTAGTTGTATGTTTTCAATCCCACTGTGGGGAACAAAGTAATAAAAATAAATGGTAAAAACAATATAGAAAAATTACAAAGTATTATAAACAGGACCAATAAACAGTGCTATCATAAGTTAAACAAGCAAAACTACAGCAACAAAAAGTAACATTTTAAGTTTAACCAAATATGTATGTAAAAACAAGCAAAACATTTAAACTGATTAAACAACCAGCGGTATTAGCAATAGTTCCCAACCCATACAGTGGTGCCTCGGGTTACAGACACTACAGGTTACAGACTGCTAACCCAGAAATAGTACCTCGGGTTAAGAACTTTGCTTCAGGATGAGAACAGAAATCACGCAGCGGCAGCTGGAGGCCCCATTAGCTAAAATGGTACCTCAGGTGAAGAACAGTTTCAGGTTAAGAACGGAGCTCCAGAACGAATTAAGTTCTTAACCCGAGGTACCACTGTATTTTACTCACGGCAACCCACTCTCTTCCTCTTTGTCTCTCATACGACGAGGGCCCCACTATGTGCCAACAGATTCTCTCTCTCTGGCTTTTGAGTAACTTAACATATTTCATCCCCAGCTGGTGTTCTGCTCCCCTTCCCAGGCCTGAGGAAACTCACAGGCCTCAAGGTCAGCAGGGCTGCCAGGTACTGGCATGCACATGGATATGCTGGTTCCCCCACCCTACACTGAATATTCAATCTGCCAGCCTTAAGTATGCATTTGTCCTATCCACCTGCCCACCCAATGAAGAATTTAAAGCGTTATGATAGCTGACTCTTTTTTAAAAAGTAGTTCTGGTCTTTTACATCTTGGAAAATAACATTGCTAGTTTTCACAGTTGTGTCATAGATGAGGGGTCACCCAAAGCAAGGAATACTTGAATGGTAAAAAATGTCTCAGAAGGGCTACATAATGTATTCTTTTTTCCTTAAAATTAAACAGCTCTAGAAATCAACATCTTGCTGATTCCAGATGTCTTATAGATAAGTGGCATTTGAGCTAGAAACAGCCCAAAGTCAGTAGTGGCAGACTGGTTTCTTTCCTATTTAAAATTAGCAGAACTGTTTATATAAACAGAGAACATTTTGTTGAAACTGCTAACATTCACATGCCGATAACAAGCAAGTAGATAACCGAGTTCATTATTTTTTGTTTACAGTGAAAATGCCTTTTTGAAAAAGATTTAGCAGTATGATCCTGTGAATTGATATGAGTTAAGCTGCAGTGACTACTGAATTGTATTCAACTTTCTGTGAGGTGAGTCGGGGGGGGGGATGCTTCAAGACTGTCACAAGATTGTGGGTAGGATTAAATCACATGCTGGCAAATTCAGGTTTCACCATTAAAGCTGATTTGGAGGACTTGTGCAGCAAACCTACTTCCAAGAATATCAGCGGCAATAAGGAAGGTGACAGGAAAAGGTACAGGAAAGTGTAGAATAGTGTTTGCTTTGCACAGCATTGTCTAACCTGGCAAACGTATCAAAATGAACCCTCAATAAAAAGGTTGCCTGGAAGCAATCAAAACCTTGGCTAGAATTAGATATAGAGATTGAAATATAAATGGGAATGCCTGCTTCACACCTTTTGGTGAGGTCTTACTCCTTATGGCATCAGTATCAGAAGTTAAGCTGATGACTGGCTGTGAGCCTCAGAACCTCTTCTGACACTTCAGTTGTGAATCTGGCTCACGAGACTCAGTTGGTTCAATCGGAATCGTTTTAGGAAAACTAACATTGGGTGGGAGGGGTTAGTAAATATTTTCAAAACAGTATAAAAAAATATTAATTTTATGGTAATGTTGTTTATAGATTTACTTTTGAGTTCTTCTATGAAGTTGTAACTTACTTTGGGTCCATCCTGTGAGGAAAATCAGGCTATAATCAAGTAAATAAATATGCTGTCTCTACATACAGACAACTTCACCTTTAAGCATGTTCAATATGTGTGCAACTCCTCATATGCACATCGCGTTGAACCCAGAAGTGACCCAAAAACATCACAAAAACGGGTGGGGGCAGAATGGAGTGTTTGCAGGCTTTTTCAATGGTGTTTCAAATATATGTGATTTCACTTAAATGTATGGTGTCCTGGAAAGTAACCCCTATGTAAATTGGGAGTTGCCTGTATTCACTTTAAAGTGAGCCATCCTGTTCAATGAAGCTTATTGTCAATTAAAATTGTAGAAAATTAGCTACATATCAAGCTAACTTTTAAAATATTGTTCAGAACTATTAATGCAGATGTCAGGGAACTGCCATCAGTGCCGGAGGGAGAGAGCAAAATCCAGAGGGATCCCAGAGAGCGTCCCGGGATTGGGAGAAGCAGCCCATCTTCTGGGGAAGAGAATCAGCGTAGCACCAGTGGAGAAGGGGGGCAGATGGGGGAAGCGGCGAGGCGGTCCCATGACTCCTTGCCGGGGACCAGCGGGGAGAGTAGGGGTCCTCCGCTGCCTACGCCCTCCTTGCGCAGAAGGCTTTCGCGCAGAGAGAGTAGGAGGAGACTAGGCGTCAAAGAGCTTTGCTGGAAGAAGTTTAAGAAACACCCACTGACGGATTCTGCCAGCGATTGAGACAGCCATGGGTGAGTGGCTGTCCGGACAGAAAAGGTTCACTCAGGCAACCCAGCCAGGTGTTTGCACCGGCCTACGCACGAGCAACCCCTAGAACCATTACAGCAGAAAATTCCAACTTTATTCCTTGTATTCCATAGATTTGCCTCACATTTAAATGTGAGTGAGTACTTTAAGCTACCATTCTAGGAGAAGCTCAATTACATTCTGCATGGGTTTTTTTCATAAGTAAGTTGTTACAGAAAGACTGAAACAAAACACCTGTTCATTTTAAGAAGATCTCAGAGGTCAATAGCTAGTGAGAACTTCAACCGACATTTGGAAGTCAGCAAAAAGAAAAGCTAAGCAAGTAAACGTAGTAAACAGTGTTACAAAATCTGTCAAGAAAGTACAGTGGTACCTCGGGATACAGATGCTTCAGGTTACAGATGCTGCAGGTTACAGACTCTGCTAACCCAGAAATAGTACCTCGGGTTAAGAACTTTGTTTCAGGATGAGAACACAAATTGCATGGTGGTGGCACGGCGGCAGCGGGAGTTCCCATTAGCTAAAGTGGTACCTCAGGTTAAGAAAAGTTTCAGGTTAAGAACAGACCTTCGGAACGAATTAAGTTCTTAACCCGAGATACCACTGTACTTGCCTCCGGGAACATTTAGCCGCATTCTGTATTCTTGGGGTGCACTCTGTTCTCTAGATAGTGGTGTTGGAGCCAGTGTATTTTGCTCTACAAACAATTTATTTGTACGTAGCTGGCCCCATAATAAAACTGGTGCCACTAAGCAGTAAATGCTTCCCAAGGGAGGAGCCTGTCCACATAAGCTTAGCAGCACGTACAGATACGGACGTTTATGTGCTGTGTTCACACATGCTGCATAGGAAATAAAAAATGATGTAACATCTCTTAAAATTTGAAAATAATTTTTTGTTAGAGCAAAATATTTCATGACCCCAAGTACAGCAATCAGCTTGACATTCAAAATGCTGTAATCCTTATCCATTGTTTGTTCCCAAAACACATCTGGGCACAACTCTGTCCCAAATCTATCTTGAGTAGAAAGCACTTCCATTGCGTAAGTTGACTATGCATTACACTTTAACCAAGAACACTTGACATTGTATAACTGTAAATATTTCTGATTGTACCAAAGATGTCTATTCACATTTTAGATCAAGTGTTCCACATCACTGAATTCTCGGAAATGCAAAACTGTTTCTTCCTGACCAGTTTCCTGTGAGTCACTAATATACCTTTGCAGGAAACTAAAGCAGAAACTGTTGTAATAACATATGATTTCAAAGGGGTAATTATAAATTTGGGTTGTGAAGTCTTATTTCAGGCGAGGGGAGTGAGGGACAGGTTATGGTGTGTTTGTGATGCCCATGACAGTTTCTCCAGTTTGCAAATGTGCCGATGTGTCCAAAAATGTCAGTGGCTGAAAAGGTTGGTATCCCCTGATCTGAGAACACCTGCAGTAATTTTCAGCCATGAACTGGAATGCCCAAGGTTTTCAGTTTCTGCCTTTATATTGGACAGCCCAGGTTGTCCATATCTTCGCTACTACTTGCAAGGCACCTAATCACACCCATGATTGATGCCTAGGAGTAAAAGTGTGTATATATGATGGCATAACTATACAGTGGTACCTCGGGTTAAGTACTTAATTCGTTCCAGAGGTCCGTTATTAACCTGAAACTGTTCTTAACCTGAAGCACCACTTTAGCTAATGGGGCCTCCTGCTGCCGCCGCGCCACCAGAGCACGATTTCTGTTCTTATCCTGAAGCATTATTTCTGGGTTAGCGGAGTCTGTAACCTGAAGCGTATGTAACCTGAGGTACCACTGTATGGTGGGAACAGAATTGCAGCTGACCCTTGAAGAGCAGGATTGGATGACCTTGTGGTACAAGACAAACATCAATCTATGTTGGCAAATGTGAGGGAGGTATTAGCATGTTAATGGTACCTGACACCAAATTGGGTGGCTCATATGTCATTGAGTTCCTTCCTCATGTGCTGGAGGGACTGCCAGGATATTGGCACTTACTGGCACATGGGGTGGGACAGTTGTTTGGCTGGAGAAATCAATTCATTTTGGAGACTGAATCATGTGTACTCTTTCCACCTCACTTGCTTCGCGCCCCCCCCCCCCGGAATGCAAATTTAAATAAGGCCTTGAGTAGTTTTCAGCTTGAAATACCAAGTGTTTCTCTTGTCCTCAAATTGTGATTTTAAACGTGTGGGTTGTGCGCATACTACATTTTCATTCTAGCTGTTCTTCTGTGTACAACAGTAAGCGTTATATAAGTAACCTCTAACAGCCAGTTAGGCCTCCTTAAATTTAGGTGTGCCTAGCTCTGCATAGAATTAGGCTGTTAATTCTTTTGCCAAGAAGTAACTATAACATTGATCTCTAATTTGGTCTTTGAAGTGCCGAAAGATAATTTGCTAGACAAAATAGAACCCCCCCATACAGATTATCGTGTGTGTGTGTGTGTGAGAGAGAGAGAGAGAGAGAGTGAGAGAGATGGTATAGCAGTGCTTTGTGTCAAAATACTTTCTATCTTGTTATGTTGCTTGTGCAAGCCCTTTTTTTCTTTCATGGCTTCTAATTGTGTAGTAAGAGCCGTTACAACAATCAGTTGCAGCTCGTAGCAAAGCTCAAACTTGCTGATGCAGTTAGTCACATTTTAAGAGATCATTGACCCATCAGTAAGACTCTGACCACCTCAGAGATAAAAAGCTAATGTTCTATTGGCCACTTATAGTGGAACAGATTAAGAAATTGTGTAATAATTAACAAAGGTAATGGAAATGTGCCTTTTAGTTCTAACCAGTATATGTCAGTTGCAGGTTTTATATCTCTTTTTTACTTTAGTACAGCATCTAAATGTAATATAAAAAACTGATTGCCATATGTCACTAGAGAAATGCAGGGCAATTGACATTTATTAACAGCCTTACTGTAGCATTCTCTTCTTCCATAATTTTAAAATTGTTATCCCATATTCTTCTGTGTATTAGATATTAAAACCAAATGAGAGGTGAAATGTGTTTAAGGCTTTACAAGCATTTGAGCAAATAATTTTAGGATTGCTGCATAAATAATTCATGTCTTAAAAACACATTTTTCAGATAAAGTAACTTGCATTGTTTCTGGCTTGGCTATATATTGGGGTTTATACCAAAAGGCAGGGACGCGGGTGGCACTGTGGGTAAAACCTCAGCGCCTAGGGCTTGCCGATCGCATGGTCGGCGGTTCAAATCCCCGCAGCGGGGTAAGCTCCCGTCTTTCGGTCCCAGCTCCTGCCCACCTAGCAGTTCGAAAGCACCCCTAAGTGCAAGTAGATAAATAGGTACCGCTTTATAGCGGGAAGGTAAACGGCGTTTCTGTGTGCTGCGCTGGTGCCGGCTCGCCAGAGCAGCTTCGTGACGCTGGCCACGTGACCCGGAAGTGTCTCCAGACAGCGCTAGCCCCGGCCTCTTAAGTGAGATGGGCGCACAACCCTAGAGTCGGACACGACTGGCCCGTACGGGCAGGGGTACCTTTACCTTTACCTTTACCTTATACCAAAAGGCAGCTTAGGTTCTGCTTGTTGCAGGTGATTAGATGGATATCGGTTGATTTCAGCTGAGGCTGTGGGCAAGGTGCTTGACTGGGTCTGTGCCATGATGTGCCTGCTTGACACTTGTCCTTTCTGATTTTATAACAAGGGTCAATGAATGCCTCATAGGCCTCCATGAGATGAAACACAAAGCATTCCTTAGCATTATGGGAATGAGCCTCTGTGAGCCTCAAGCTCATACGCACCTCCCTTCTCTTTCTTCCTCCTGCATGGCCACAAGTTCAAGCATTGCTTCCTGTTTTAAATTAACCATGGTTTATTCTTACGTCTTGTGGTTTAATGTTACTTCTAAATTCAACTGTTCTTGCTAACCTGAACGAGTGAGTACTTGCAGGTCTGATTAAAAACCAACTGTTGTTCCTTCTCATCTAGGCAATTATAGTGCAGTGTCAAATTTATCATCTTTGGGGCAAGATGCTCAGGTGGATCAACAGTCTCTTGGATGAATCCAGTTATTTGGATTCAGGTATACAGTGGTACCTTGGTTCTTGAATGGCTTAGTTGTTGAACAAATCGGCTCCCGAATGCCGCAAACCCGGAAGTAAGTGTTCCAGTTTGCAAATGATTTTTGGAAGCCAAACGTCCAACGCGGCTTCTGCTTGAGTGCAAGAAACTCCTGCAGCCAATCGGAAGCCGCACCTTGGTTTTCGAATGATTTCAGGAGTTAAACGGACTCCCAGAATAGATTAAGTTTGAGAACCAAGGTACCACTGTACACACTTAGTTCTGCTGCGGTCACCTAGTTTGAAAGCATAGCGTTAGATGCAAGATTGTATCCCTAGATTGTAAACATTTAATTCCAAAGCAACAGTTTTTCTTTTTATTATTGTATAGATTTAGCTACAGTCTTTGTGTAGAAGATGCAAAGCTATAAATAATGTAAAGTTCCCCTCTGATTATACAAAATCTCATTGAAAGTAGACATGGCTTGGGAGTGGATGAGTTTTTTGTAGCCTTCTTCTACATAGCAAGAATTTCATGAACCTCAACCCAGCTAACTAATGTGAGAGAGAGCCCCACAATCTTGGCATCGATATTCAGAGATTGTAGTCTGAATGAACATCTGTCAGCAGTGATTTGGAGTGCTGCCATTGAAGAAGGTTGTTCCCGTCTGTGATACCAACCTCTAGGAATGCTGAGTGAAACCAGTGTTCTTCTTTCTCCCCCTTTCCTGTTCCTCCACTGAAAGGGTTTGTTTTTTAAAAATTAAATCAGAGATTAAATTAAACCAGTGTGTTTTAATGAAATCTGAGATTATGATGATTTTGTCAGGTCAAGCATGGAGTTCTTTCTTTACTTAGGTGATCTTCTATTTCTGAATTGACCTTTGCAGGAACCTAATTTAGTGGGAAACATTCCCTGCTGTTTACAGAAAGTAGCTTAGTATATATCTCTCTGTGTGTAGTACAGCTCCCCGTTTTTGTTAGTATGGTTTAAGTAGTGCCTCAATATAATGATAACCCTACTATTTGGGGAAAATGCATTTCTCCCAGAATCAAGCACAATACAGCTTCTCCAGAGTTGTTACTGCTCTAGAGGCTCTATCTCAAATTGTTTATAGTATTTCGTTTCCTACTTTCAGGAAGTTCTTCAAAGTAGGAGGAATGAGCAAAGAATTGAAGTGCTTTATATACTAATAGTATTCCCAGGTGCTGAGTTATGATGGCTATGTAATCTAAATGATGCTACTGAGAAAGAAGAAGGTATCAGCATATTTAGAGGAACCCCTAGGTTTGTAAAAGTTATAGGGGAAAGCTTTAGGAACACCCCCCTCCGCCGCCCAGCAGCCATAGAAGGCTACATGTATGTTGTGTGGGAGGCCAAAAGCAAGAGGAGATCATAGAATTGTAAAGTTGGATGAGGAATTGAATGGAGAATCCCAAAAGGAGACATTGTTGGATGACTAGAACCCTGACTAGTAGTACTACACACTGCAACATTTTGTTGCCGTTCCCACTTGTATATTTTAGTTTCTCTTTGGTGGTAAGACAAAGCAGAGGTTGGATGGCTATCTGTCATGTATGATGTAGTTGCAATTCCTGCATTGCAGGCGTTTGGATAGATAGACACCTGGGATCCCTTCCAACCGTAATTCATTGTATATTTAAACTCTTGTACTAATATTACTTCTATATGGCTGTTGGTTTTAAATGTTTAAATGGATTGATTTTTTTTTTACCTATGTGTACACTGCCCTATGGGAAGAAGGGCTGGATAGAATTATAACAAAAGTAAGTTAAATGTAATATACTAATGAACAAATGGGGCAAGTGGTCTCAAACCTATGCTCTGTGGGGTTGACCTAAACAAATTATTTACTCTTGTCATTCCTCTGTCACTTTTGAACTCTACAACTCAGAGGTAGCAAACTCCATCCTGTTGATAGTAGGCCAGTGCCTAAAGTTTCATCATTACTTTTGTCAAACACTGCATGACCTTTAATCTCTACTTTGGCACTGCTGTTTCCAGCAGTATTGCATCTTTCTCAGAGTTTGTGGTTCATGATGACCTTGGCTGATCTTTTTCTTTTACCAGACCTATTTAAATCCTACAGATGTTATGAAAACCTTAGCCTTGGATTAGGCAACACTGAACAGTGTTCTCAATTTCTCCTTTTTTACCTTCTGTCTACTTCATCCCTGCCATTATATTCTCTTTATAAATTACTTATAAATACTGGGTTATTGTTTCCGCTGGATGTGATCAACCCACTGTGCTGTTGAACTTGGAACAGTTGCTCATCCACAAGATCCACAAGATCCATGAAGCCACAATAAATACTTTGTTCCTAAAGCACCCATTCCCAATTGATCCTGCCCACTGCATCTCACATTCCTCTTTCACTTTTGGTGTGTCCCTTTGTTCTGATTCTTCCTAAACTGAACTGCTTTGGCTGATTTTTGGCTTTGATCCTGGGTTATAAATTGGTATTATTATAATGAGGCTATTATTGGACTGTAATTGAAATCTAATAAAAAAATTATTTCATAAAAAAGGAATCTCAGTTTTAGATTCCACTTGAAATAAAACACTTGTCCATACTAGGGCAGACAGTAAATAAATAAATATGTTAGGGTATGTTTAATATTGCTCCAGAACTGGATTAATTATAAAATGTCTGTATATATATATATATGCCTCATACAGTCATGCTACAATGTAGAGTCTACTCATAGTTTTCTAAGGACTTGGTGACCTCTGATGGGCAACTAAGAATATGGATTAAATATTTTCTGATAAAATGAGAGGCAAATGTTTCTTATTGTAACCTACTCTGAGTTCCTCTTTAAGAAGGAAAATAGAATATAAATAATTGTTTTATGTGTTAAGTAATAAATGCTTAAGAATTTTATTGAGTGTTGTGCTTGTTTTTTAAAAATATTTTACAGAAGATCAAAAATCTGGAATACGTATCGGAGATCTTGGGCTCCTGATTTCAAGTGGAAGCATTCATGATTGTGCATGTTTCGCCATCACTTAAAAAAAAATAAAATGCCAGATGTGAGCAGAAGCTGATGTCCAAAGTGCCAAGTAGCAGTGAACATCCTGATTTGAATAATATGAAAATCATAATATTTCAGCATAGAAACATGACTGAAAAATTTCATTGGTGATGTTGTCATCTTGTCTTCATGCATTTTAATAAACCTGGATATTTAACTAAAAGTTAACAAACACAGCTAAGTTTTAGAGACAATTGTACTGTATCCCTTAAGAAGTCTGATGCTGTTGAAGCATGTTTCCCAGCTTCACTGTGACTCTTCGCTAGGGACCAAAAGTAATAAGGAGCATCCCATAAAAGTCACATGGGTAGAAATGGCTGTTGGACACCATAGTGTTCTGGGCTCTTTAAAACACAAACTACCGTTATTAAGTCTTTCAGTTGTATGATACATCTCAGTTTGTAATGTTTTATTAGGGATACTTACCCACCTTCCAAAATCAGTAGGATGGAATTTTTTATTTGGGTAATGTGTATGAAATATTAATATTGCTAACCTTTAATGAATTGTTTGAAAAATGAAGAGTGATTATGTCACATTTTAAGCACTGTGTGTTAAATGAACTATTATATTAAAATTTTCTTCATAATCAAAAAACTGAAAGAACAGCATGTCTGCAGCACCTCAAATTCATATTTTCTTTGGTGCACCTAGCCTCCCAGCCTCATTAAAGACTTCTAAAGAAGAGAGGTTTTCAGCATCTACTGCTGAAAAATGGCAGAAACTCTACTTTTCATTACCTAAGGACACTTTTAAACTTTGTACTAGAAAATGTATGTTTCTTGGACATGTAGATCATCGGACACCGAATGATACAGAATTGACTGCTCAGTCCAAAGATCACTTCCCCCCAGATGGTGGGAAAGAATATGGGCTGACTGATGTTATTTTGACAGACTGTGGAGCTAGTGCTGGAAGAGTAAAATTACTCAGCAATGAAGCTAAGCACCTTCCATATCAGCAGCTTCTCACAGATATAAAAACAGGTGAACCAAGCAAGCAATCTGAAGATGCTGAAGAAGGTACCAGTAAGATGCATAACCTTACTATTACTCCCTTGGCTTCTAGTACCGAAAAGTTTAGCAGAGGTCTGGAGTCTATAGGACAGGATAAGAAACCATCAGATGTTCCGTGTGCTCATTACCAGCTCTTGAATCAATACTTGGAGGGATGTTTCCCACAAGTAATGAAACAATCAAAGACTGGAAAACCACTAAATGTGTGTTCAAATCTTCCAGTTTCAACAGACACTGAATTCCTTAGTATTCTGACTTCAAGCCAAGTTGCTCTGCTTTCAGGATGGCATGCTGTAGGACAAAATGAAACACAAAGCAAATCTACAAAGGCGAGTGGAACAGAATTGGATGGACTTTGTAGGGAAGATGAAGCATCCACAGAACTGCATATTCAGTTAAATGAAAATGGTGGTTTGTGTGCAAATATCACTGATACAGATAGCTCTCTTGAACTGTTTGACTTTGATAGTACCGTGAAAAGCAACTCGTATTTGAGAGAAAATAGCTTTCAAGAAAATGCTGATATGCCTACAGACCATTTGTGTTCATCTGATGATAAACCTAAGAAAGAGGTACATTATATTGAACCATGGAAGAAAGGAATATTGTGTTCCCAAGTCAGCCACTCTGCTAAAAGATCTCAAACATCTGAAGATATTTCACCGGCAACTTACATTACACTTGGAGACCAACAGCAATCAAAGAAAGCCAAATTGATTTGTTCTCCAGTTTGTGCAGTTCCACAAATAGAGCAACTGAGAATTTCAGGGTTTAAGAAAGTTTTGAAACACCCATCCCTGCTTAAAGACTGTTTATGCAAAGGTCAGAAGTACACCGTCTTAGTCACAGTTCTACATCCTTGCCATATTAAAGAAATACAAACAAAGCCAGGATCTAAACTGTCCTCAAGAGTCCCCCTAGCCACAGTTGTAGTTTTTGATCAGTCTGAAGTACAACGAAAGATTGCATTGTGGAGAGCAGCAGCATTTTGGTCACTTACAATGTTTCCTGGCGATATCGTACTATTCACAGGTGAGGGTTAAAATGGCGCTTATCAGTTCATTTTTGACATTTTCCATAGGAAGTATTTTAGATAGTGAACTGGTCGATGGTATATACCTTTCTGCTGAGTCTCGGGTACAATGTTAAGTGTCTCCTGAAACACATTCCCTATTGTAAGCACATTTATAAAAAACACACTACAGCTATAGAGATGTGGTAGAGGAGTTGCTCTCCAGCCCCACCCTACAATTAATGCTTCCTAGCTATTAGGAACATCCAAGAAACCTCTATCAAACAATATCATAATGCATAATCTATTTCCCGCCGCTCCCCGCATTTGTTTTTTAATACTGCCTTGATTCAAGGCAGCAACTGAATTGGCGTACAGTTAAATAAGGGATTTTTCTTTTCTCAACATGCATCTGCTCAGTTTGGATGATCAGAAACGACCTTTGCACTCACTTCTCCTTCCCTCGCATGTGGCATCACTGTCAGTTTGCAGCTTAACAATAAGCATGATTTGCTGTTGCACTGGAATTGAAAAGCATTTAGTGTTTGCCCTCCAAAGTCAGGGTTTGAAGTGAGTTTCTGATTTTTGTTGGGAGGTCGTGCTGATCAGTGTTTGCTACAATGATGGAGGAGAAAGAAAACAGTTGGTGGCTCAATTCATAAAAACATGGATTGGAGGCTTGGCAAAACTCTTATGCTATCTCTGAAGACTCAGCTTTGAAAAATCATTCTTTTTCCCCATCAGAACTGTATTTACTGTCGCCCTAACAGAAACTGGCAGTGGTGAAGGGTTCTCCACAATGTGTTTTGAAGCCAAAATTTGGATTCAAAGCTGGACTTTTAATATTACCATATCTTTGCCCACTTCAGACAGACTAAATATATAAAAAGTCATGCAAAGCTTGAACAACTTGGTGGTGGCTTTCAGTTTTTGAACAGGGGCTAGTCCAGTTTGTAGATTTGAAGTGGGATATGTCTGTGTCATCGTTGTCCATCCCCCCCGCCCCCTGGTGACCTGGACTGAGGTTTCTTCTCTTCGTTGCAGATGTGATTATAAATGAGAATCGCTGGAATGGGGAAATATTGCTGCAGTCAACGTTCACTAGTCGGTTATTGAATCTTGGAAGCTGCTCAACTATTAATCAGAACAAATGTGAGCTTTAATACTTTGCATTCAGTGAACTCTTGTCCCAATTCATGATTTCCTTAATAATTTAAATCTAGTATTTCCCAAACTTTCTTGAAATGGTTGCATAGTATCTGTCAGATGACAGTGGTGGTTGCTCGTGAGTAACTAGGCAGGACTCAGACCTGTCTTTTACAGGTTTTATTTTAGTACAAACTATTTACAGTGCAGAGCCACAAGTTCATGTCTACCTCAATCGCTAGCAGAATCCGGGAGTGCTTGTTTCCTGGACCTCCCCCAACATAAAAGTCTCATTACGCCCAGCCATTTCCTTCCTTCTTTGCACTTTAGACTTCTGCGCAGGGTGGGTGACGGAAGGGGCATGCTTCCTTCCTGGCCGGCTTGGCCAGGAGCGGTACTGAGGCTCCCACCAGCATCCTCTGGTCCTTTCAACTCTTCCCCACTGGAGGCGGGGCTTTCCTCATCACCGGAAGAGGAACTGCTTTGCAAGATTTTCGGAGGCTCCCTGTAACACAACTGCCCCTCTGTTTCCCGCCCCTGTTCTGATGGCAGTTCCCTGACAATATCACTTCTTTTACTAAAGTTCATACCCTTCAGACAAATTTAATCCAAATATTTAATGCACGAGGAGCACTAGAATGTGTGTGGCATACCTATGGCTCAATCAAACATTTTTCTACATGAAATGTGCATGTTATATGCTTGTCCACTTACTTTCTTCCCTATCCTGCTGTCCTCAGTAATACCTCTGTATCCCAATATCAACCTGAATTTCAATCTATGTTCAGACATTAGGTTCAGGGAAGGCATGGGTGCAGGTGATATGATTGAGCATCAATTTCTGTCTGCTGCTGAGAAGAGCTGAGGATGCTCTCGTAGAAAGAAATTGAACAGGGCCAATGTGATAAAAAAACCACACCTGAATAAACACACCATACTCATCAGATAAATGATGCCTTTTTAAAACACATGAATCACAGTGGCAGCATTCACACATCATGGTAAACCACATGGCAGATGTGCAGAAGGCTCTTTCATTCCTTCCCTCTAGCCAGCAGTAGCAGCAAACCATGATCCCTGGAGAATCATGATTTGTTCCACAGCAAACAAGCCATGGTGTTATCAAGGTTTGTGTTTGGTTTACTAATCAAGGTTTGTTTGGATGAAACAAGCTATGGTATAAGCTTGGATACAACAACATGGATTGTTGCTCCCACTGGTTAGTGGAGAGGAACAAAACTATGTTTTACCCTGATGTACAAATTGTGCCTTTATGAGTGCCTTCTGAGTGGTATTAAACTAAGTTTTACTCAGTAGAGCCGCTGAAATTCACGAACATGACTAAGGTCCATTAATTTCAATGGGCTTACCCTGAGTAAAACTTAGTTAACTATCACTTCTGAGATTGTATTTGCATTGAAGATATATCTTTTAAATTTATTTCTAACTGCTTAGAAGCTTATTTTGGCATTAAGTAGTACATAATTTTTAAATTATTATTTCTGAATTAAGTTAAGAACATTGGTAGTTATGCTTGCAAGTGATGTTTTGGTCTGGGATTACCATAGGTGAAACATACAGCCCCCCTGCCCAAAAATTAGAGATATTTAAAATTTTTTATATATGTTCTTTTCTAGTCTCGCATATAGTGGATGTTAATATTCTCCAGGATTTGCTGGCATATGTGTCTTCCAAGCAAGCCTATCTTCAAGCTCTCCCCCAAAGGCAGACCCAGACTTTGAACAATATACAACATATTCAACTAGATCAGCTCAAACCAGATAGATTGGTGCACACAATAGTGAAAATTATCAACATCACTGTGCTATCAGGTGAGTTGACTTTTTAATCCTATATTTCACTGGGGCTGTATCTTAAGATTGAAAAGAATAAGGTGGACATGGTAGTTCCCTAGATACAGATTTTAAAAACCTAAGAGTAGACCTTGAAAAGATACCTCCCTCCGACTTACCTGTCTGAGAGAAAACAGCCATTAAGCATGTTAATACAAATATTTGAAAGGAAGCTTTTATGTCCAGGATGCAGAGTACTATATGGCTTATTCCATGTGCCCAAAGACTTGTTTTTAAGAAACATCCCTTCATGTTCCACATAGTAATCCCTTTTCAAAACCAAGGGGACTTTCAAAGTACATAGTTTGTGATCTGGCATGGAGATCTGCTGTTCAAAGGGGGAAGGTCAAAACCAAAAGTAGTTCATTGTCTTGTAGTCTAAAACAGCATATAAATACAATATATTTGATGGGGCCAGGTCACTCAATGTTTGGGAAAAGATTTTCAGGAAATGATCAACCATTAGCTTGTACCATTTCCTAATTGTGGTTCATAATAGTTTCTGAAAATATGATTGTTTAATATGGTGTAGTTAACCAGGTTTCACCTGGTGCACGTTCAGCTGAATTGATAGTTTTCCCCTCTTGCATATAATTTTAGGTGTCAAAATTCTGCTTGACTTAACATCAGCACCCTCAACTACTCCCCCCTCAACTTCTATATAAATCATGTTTGCGTTTGCAATATTTTATCTTTAGAATCTACATACAGTTACAAAGGAGAAACAAAAAGAAAAATTATTTTAACAGTGGAACAGATGAAGGACCAGCATTATGGCTTGGTGTTATGGGGCGCTCTATCGGCTCACTGTCCTCAGCTTCAAAGGAAAAGAGGTAAAAAGTCACTACTTGGTTTAATGCAATATTTGTGGAATTCTTTGTGTAATCCATTGACATAGGGCAACAGAAGGGAGCAAACAGTATGTTATCATTTGACCCTAATCTCCTTTTTGTTTGAAATGGCTATCTCATACTGTATAATACAAATGCCTGTCAAATATATGGCTGATTTCTTACTTCTGAAATAGCAATATCAATCACTTTTGCAACTGTTTCAGTTTGTTTCCATATAGTTACTAACTAGTTAAGGCTTTTGTGTTAAGCAACACAAATTCACACAGTAGTCTTGACTTATGTTAGAACTAGCAAACTGCCTATCGTTATGTGATATATGTCCATGTATATTGCAGGGTCATCTTGTGTGTCCCTGTGCAAAAATATTAAGATTTCTGCTCTTTAAACAACTGCAGGTAGCTGACTGCTTTTTATAGCATTTATTTCAAGCTTTGCTTTGTTAAATTAAGGCAAAGAAATCTAGCATTGTGCCCTTCTTTGTCATTCAACCTTGCAATTTAGTCTACAGTTAGTTTTGTGAGTAATTTGAAATTTCAAACAATTTGTGTTTAATCATTAAAGGACTATATCTGGAAGGTAAGATAAGACTTGTGTTCTTAACTGTCCAAATATCTATCTCTGTTGAAAAATCCTAAATGTTCCTATCAAGACTACCAGGATCAGGAGTTCACTTCATGCCAACCAGGGCTGTAGGTCATGACAACTGAGCATTATGACTAACTCACCATAGAGCAGCATGTGGTGGTCATTCATAGTACTACTGAGCATAGGAAAATAGATCAGCATACAGAGGTCATTTCTGCTGGAAATCAAAGTATTTACAAGCCATTATTTCATTATAAATATATTAAGTATGTGAGAGCGTAATCTTGAGCACGTTCCTCAGAAGATACAGTAACATTTATTCTGAATATAAAGAAGTGTTCATATGTATTGAAATTGAAATACCACTATCTTTTGTTGCAAGGATTGTAAAGAGATGTTGGGCAGCAGTTTTGGTCATGATCTGTAAGCCAGGAAATTGAAATCTCTTCCCAGCTATGAGTACACTAGGAGACCTTTAGCGGTTGCCTTCTCTCAGCTTGATTGTAATGAAATATTCATCCAATAGGAGCAAGCCCAAACCATGCAATACGTGACCTGTGTGGGAATTGACCATATGTTGTGTGTCTATGTCATTGTCATAGCTGTCAACTTTTTCCTTTTTTTAAGGGAAATTCCCTTATTCCGAATAGGATTCCTCTCAAGAAAAGGGAAAAGCTATGGTGATGGGTAGGCAAACTAAAGCCCGAAACCGGCCCTATCACCTTCTAAATCCAGCCCGTGGACGGTCCGGGAATCAGCATGTTTTTACATGAGTAGAATGTATGCTTTTATTTAAAATGCATCTCTGGGTTATTTGTGGGTCCTGCCTGGTGTTTTTACAGGAGTAGAATGTGTGGTTCTATTTAAATTGTATCTCTGGGTTATTTGTGGGGCATAGGAATTCGTTCGTTATTATTTTTTTCAAAATATAGTCTGGCCCCCTGCTGAAAAAGTTTGCTGACCCCTGGTCTATGTGATTTGGATTCTAAAGGCATTGGCCCTGTGCAAACTTTCATTGGCTGAGGAACCTGTGGCCCTCCAGATGTTGCTTGACTACAGCTCCTAGCATCCCTGTCATTGGCCGTGCTGGCTGGGACTGATGAAAGTTGGGGTCTAGCAGCATCTGGAGGGCCACAGCTTCTCCACCCCTGCTTTACATTCATACATGGGACAGATGCATTTGGTGAGTAGGATGGGTTGGTCCTGATGTGACTTCCTCCACCACTCATAGCATCTCCCAAGCAAGATGTTTGTGTAAACTAGGCAAATTTATCTGGTTTGTAAACACTCAAAATGCTATCTATTTATTTTTTGCACACAGCATTGAAGGTATTCCTCTTTTTCATCATCTCTGAAAGTGCGCTATTCCATCCAAAGTTTTCTGTGGCTATTAACAAGGAATTAGAATCTAAAATTCTAAGTGGAGTTATTCTTTTCTTCTTAGACCACATATGGGAATTCAAATACCTATTTGTAAAACACAGTCCTATCTCTGGTGAACTCGAATTGCATACAACACCATGGACATCTTTGGAGTGCCTCTTCGATGATGATAGAAGAGCTATTGAGTTCAAAGAGAAGTTTCAGAAGGATGTCAGATCACTGATGGGTATAACTACTTTTGCTGCACTTCTGGAGGAGAAATGTTCTGGTGAGATTTTCATTCTTTTTTCTTCCCTCTTTTTAAGGGAGTGGGATTCTCTTGCTCCTTTATTAAATTGTACTGAAGAGCTTTGAGAGGGCAAATTACAGCAATTAAAAATAAAAAAGGAGCACACAATGCCAAGTATCTAATTAAATTAGAGTTGTCCCACATCTGTGCAGTCCTGGTGATTGAATGCCAACCCAAAGGGAAATATGTTTAATGCTCTTTCAAGAAGTATATGGACCATTAGGAAAAGAGAACTCCAAGTGTCACTCCCTGTGTCCTTGTTGGTCTAATTTGGTTCAGTGAAGAAGAGCTGTTTAGGCTGCAATCTAACACACCTTAAAAACAATCCAGTTGAACTCAATGGGGTTTACTGTAGACTAAGATTAAGATTAGAATAAGATTAAAATTAGTTTACATGATAGTTCAAGTAGCTACCATTATTCAGTTGGCAATAATGATTTACCTGTTTTCTTGGCAGCAGAAGAGACTAGACAACTCCTTTATGTTTCCGTAGGAATGATCCAAGTGAAAGCCTGCATCTCAGAGTTGAAGTTTGCTGTTGCCTCTTCTCCACATGGACAACTTGTCTTTGATTATAAAACTTCACTGCAGCAGATATTTGCTTCTCTTACTCAGATCACCTATGCGGGCTGTGCAAAATGTGGACTTGAACTACAGATAGATGATAACAAGATCTACAGACAGTGTGTTAGCTGCTTACCCTCTAATAAAGTGAAGATATTCTACAGGTAAAAAAGTGTGTATATAATGAATATATGAATGAATGTGTGAGAGTGAATGAGAATCACTTTACGGTAGCTGCCATGTTAACATATGAATCTGGCCCGCAGGAGTATTATTGTAAAAGGGGATATGTTTTATTTATACTTCTACATTCTCTCCATAACATTGTTTTAAAGGGAATCAGTCCAGTCTGGTGAAATGCTCCCAGGGTCAGATTGAGTCAATTACATTCACTAGGCTTGTGGTTTTCTGTCACCCTACTCTTACTGCTTTGGTATGAATGGGTAGTAGAAAAACTGATAATACTTTATGTGAGTTTTTCGCAGAGGGTTGAAGGGTAAGTAGATTCTTCTGGTAGATGAAGACAAATCCTATGGAAGGGCAAATGTACAGCTGTGTGCCTTGGCATCCCTATCCTGTTGCAGCCCATAGCAATGGGCACCTTGTGGAGGAGCGAAGTGTCTCACACCCCTTTCTGGGAATTATGAGATTAGCAGGCCAGGTTATAAATGCAACCTTTTAATATAAGCATTGTTTACACCATTTAAATATTGAACGTGTTTATGGTGTATAAACCCAAAAGACCATAAAGTTCCCATTTAAAGTATTAGTTTAGTTTTTATGTCCTTCCATATTTTTCTTGAAGGGGTTCCACCCTCGTAGTACCTTACCAAGCAAACAGTGTTGTGGTGCAACAGGATAAAAACACCTCAGTCTAACAGAAACTGTGTTTGGTCAGTGTTACAGAACTAAGTGTTAATGCATATATTTGTATAAATTACTATTACTTCATTACAAAGTGTGATTTTGGGGTTGTTTCAGCCAAAGTCCATCCCAGTCACACAAGGACTTCAGCTTGTGCAACGGAACTTCCCCTTACACCCCTCTCTTCCAAAGGGAACCCCCAAGAACAGCTTTGGTATACATGCAGGGGGAGGAGTGGGGAAGTTCCATTGCACAGGCAGAAACAGGATATACAAACAGGATGATTTCATTGTATAGAAATCTCTATTTTTATCTATCTGTTTTAATGATTCCCATGGTCATAAAAGTTGCTGACAGAGCTTGAGGCTGAAGTCCAAAAGGTTTATGGGTACCAGTGTAACACAGAGACCCCCGGAAAACTGTTGGAGCAGCAATTCATTAAAAACTAGAAACAGCATCATGTTTTAAGAAGCCAATTACCTTGCTGAAATAATTCAGCAACTTCTGTTGGAAGAGAAACCTCACAACAAACACTAGGTGGCAGTAGTGGATAGTTTATGCAGGTGGGAAACCCCCGCCCCACAAAATCCACAGTTGCATCAGACTTTATTATATATAGCAATAGCTGATATTTGAGGTGGTCTCTTTCAGAAATGTTAAGGGCTTTGTAGCAACTCTGCAGTTAGCATTCACATGGAGACAATTCACTGTAGAGAGAGGCAAATGGCAGGTTTGTCCATAGTCTTATACACTGAATTTTGTACAACATAATTTTGTACTTGCCTGCAAGAGAAGTAGAGAAAGCCTATTATGAAAATCCTATTTGAAAGGGTTTCTTAAATGAATTTATCACCTACCGATATTTCTTTTGCCTATTAGATTTGTTGAAAGGCAAATACTGGATCGGATTTGCATTTATGATTATGGATTCTTGTCTGGTTTAAGGAACTGCATAAAACAATTAAATTAACATGACATTTCTCTTTCCTGGTCCACTTAATTGCTGCTTGGGTTTCTACAGCTTATTTTAAACTCTGCAGCAAGGATTGAAAATAATGGCAGGGCAGGGAGTTCAGAATGTGAAAGTGTGCCTTGCATCTCTCTTTCTCTCCCTGTATGTATATTAATGTCAAGTTTCTATTTCAGGTGTGGGTATGTGAATTTACATCCTGCCTTCCGCCTCCCTCCTCCCAAAAATGGAATTAAAAATATTATAATAGTTAAAATCTGATTGTTGTAGTAAAACCAAATAATAGTTACATCTAAAGGTAAAGGGACCCCTGACCACTAGGTCCAGTCGTGACCGACTCTGGGGTTGCGGCACTGAGGGAGCCAGTGTACAGCTTCCGGGTCATGTGGCCAGCATAACTAAGCCGCTTCTGGTGAACCAGAGCAGCGCACGGAAACGCTGTTTACCTTCCCGCCAGAGCAGTACCTATTTATCTACTTGCACTTTGACGTGCTTTCAAACTGCTAGGTTGGCAGGAGCATGGACCGAGCAATGGGAGCTCACCCCGTTGCGGGGATTTGAACCTCCGATCTTCTGATCGGCAAGTCCTAGGCTCTGTGGTTTAACTCACAGCGCCACCCGCATCCCAATAGTTACATCTACAAGCCTTTAATTTCCTGTAGTGGTTTTGACTTTATAAGAGCATGACTTTTGGTGAAATCTTTCCCAGTGACCTTATCAGGAACTGATAATGCTGTAGTTAGAAGCCAGTGTCCTGTGTTAATTATTTAGTGTATTTCGAAATTAAGCATCTCAACCTGCTTCTCTTTGAAATTGCAATTTATTTGTAGTTGATTAAAAGTATTAGTGGGGGACTGAAATAGCTGCTCAGCTGCCAACCGATTTGGTTCACCTTAATTGCTTGCATACAGAGAGCGAACTGATTAAGCACCACCATTAGTCAAGTGTTTGGAACTTCAAAGCTGAGAACGTCCTTGACTCAAGAAGCCAAAAGTTAGATATGCTTGAGTATACTCCCCCCCCCTTGAATTTATTCTGAATCACATGACCTGTTTGAAGGGTCAGCTGCAAGCATGTATTTATTTTTTATTTTTTTAAAAAAGCTTAGTCTTATTGCTCTACTTTTCTCCCCTCCCCCCTGGGTTCTGCCTTTGTGTATTTGAACAACAAATGGAGGTGTTCATAAGTATAGAGCTTTATGCCATTTATTACTAAAATAAATGAGTGGTACTGTTTTCTTTGGGAAATATAAGGTGTTGTCTTTAGGCACAGCCCTCTTTGACACTGGATGGTCTCCAAGATCATCATTTCAGTTATAGGGTAGAGAAGAAGACTCATAGCAAGTTTCAGGTGCCTGTCCTTTGATATTTTCAAGATTTTAATTGCACTATAGTTAAACTGTTTCATTTAAATACAGCTTAATATACTAACAGTATTACTGCACCATAACTTCTCCCCCCTGCAGCCCCCAATAAGCGCTCACTGTGTGGTTGGGGGATTCTCAAGAGCAGGCTTCCTCAACCTCGGCCCTCCAGATGTTTTTGGCCTACAACTCCCATGATCCCTAGCTAGCAGGACCAGTGGTCAGGGGTGATGGGAATTGTAGTCTCAAAACATCTGGAAGGCCGAGATTGAGGAAGTCTGCTCTAGAGCAAGGGAGTTGCAATTGATAAGCTCCCCAAACTGTGTTTTATTGTGGTTAACTTATAATACCTCAGAATAACCAGATATATGTACTCCCCTCCCTATATAAGAGGCTGAGTCAAAAGAACAAAGGTATTGATTGCATTTCCCCAAAGATTCTTCCAATATAGAGATCTTCTCTCTAAGTAACAATGCAGTTGAGCTTATGCCTACGGATCCTTGTTTATCTGGAATTACAGGGGCTTGAAAATATGAGCATATAATTTCGTGGCAACCTTTTGAACAGAGGCTTTTCTTTTTAGAAATTTAACACTGTTCTTCCTAATACGTATTTTATTATTTAAAATGCCCAAATCCCTGATATTCAAGTACATGAGATCTAGAAGGAATTAAAAATTCTTCACTTAATCATAGTTTCCCCTCTTGCTCATGTCTGGAATATCCGAATAGTGTTGCAGTCACTCTGGCTGTAAATATTCAGCATCTAAAGTGTCTTATAAATATATTACCACTTTAAAATACAAGGAAAGGCTACTGAAACAATACACTAGCATATTGTGTAGAAGCAAATTTTGCCTGCTTGTTCAATCAAGGTACCTTACCGAGTCGTTAAATCAAGATAATGCAAGAAAAAAGAACTTGTCATGGATAACAGTATGCGACTGAATGTGATAATACTCTTAATTATCTTATCCTCAGGTTTAATGAAAAATTAAGCCATTAAACACAAGCACTGACAGGACACGTATTTTAAGTACGCTTAATTAGTATATTGATTGTTAAATCCCATATTGATATTTCTTATTGTTTAGGTAGAGAATTATGCAGAAAATCTGGTTTAATATGCTGTTTGCTGTAATAAACATTGACTTGACTTGACTTAGCACTGACAGCACTTTTCCTGTTTCCTCCTTTAGACCTGCACTGATGACTGTAGAGGATGGGAAATGTGATGTGTCCGTTCAAGTGGCGTCAGAACTAATGGAGAAAATGTTCCTCAATATTCCAGCAGAGTGGCTGAACAAGGCTATAGGTAATACACTATGAATTGCAGTGGTACCTCGGGTTACATATGCTTCAGGTTACATACGCTTCAGGTTACAGACTCCGCTAACCCAGAAATAGTACCTCATGTTAAGAACTTTGCTTCAGGATGAGAACAGAAATCGTGCTATGGCAGCAGCAGGAGGCCCCATTAGCTAAAGTGGTGCTTCAGGTTAAGAACAGTTTCAGGTTAGGAACGGATCTCCGGAACGAATTAAGTACTTAACCTGAGGTACCACTGTATTTGTGTAACTGAATAAAAAAAGCAGACAAAACTTAGTGGTCAAATGTTTGCGGCTATTCAACTTCTACTTATGTGAAGTGGGAGTTCTCCCTAATTCCAGTCCTTTAAAAAAAATCATTAAACTTAAACTGGGAGAGGTTTATTCAGGTGTTTCTCCGACAGAGACATACCAACTGTTCTGGGAACTTTTTCCACCCTGGGGGCAGAGGCCTGGTTTGCACGCTCCATTAAACCGTAGTTTGCTGCTCCTGGCTCTGCCATGTGTGGGGGAAAACAAACCAGCCTGGCTTGTTGCAACATGCACACATAGGTATCATGGGTAGGTAAGTTGAGGGTTATGTGGTCTGGGAGGGTAAACTGGGCCGTTGGGAACGTTACTCCCTTTTCTAAATATATTGCAGCCTGACAATCTTAGAGCCCTTATCTTGTGCTTATCCCTGTCTCAGGCCTCTTTCCTTTGCTTTTCACAATATCTTGGTAGGCAGATATTGGCTCTAGCATGAGAAAAAATGGTATAAAACATCATTTGCCTTTTGCCCCTTTGCCCCCACTATCTTGTTTTACTTTGGCTTGCTTTTATAACAAAAGCACACAAACCAGCTTTGGCCTTGAGGTGTGGTCACAAATGAGGAAGGAGTAAAGCACTCACAAGCACCAAACCATAGTCCAAGCAATGGTTTGATGTTATGTGTTAACCAGGCTGTAGATTACTTCGCTAAGTGAATTGTTAACTACAGTTTTGCATCTTCTGAATGCCATTGAACAGTGTATCAGCCCTTCTACTTTAGAGAACCACAGGAGAGAGGGGTGGTGCTTCTGTGAGTATTCTGCAGACATCCACTGTGCCCCCTTGTACAGTCATGGGGTTTCCTCAGTACAGTGGTACCTCGGCTTGGTGTTGTATAGGGAAACCAAATACAGTGGTACCTCAGGTTAAGTTCTTAATTCGTTCCGGAGGTCCGTTCTTAACCTGAAACTGTTCTTAACCTGAAGCACCACTTTAGCTAATGGGGCCTCCTGCTGCCGCCACGCCGCCGGAGCACGATTTCTGTTCTTATCCTGAAGCAAAGTTCTTAACCTGAAGCAGTATTTCTGGGTTAGCGGAGTCTGTAACTTGAAGCGTATGTAACCTGAAGCGTATGTAACCTGAGTTGCCACTGTATTGACCAAGAATCCAATGTCAGTAGCAGGCTTCACTCTTTTTGAACACTTATATTTTTAAATTTTAGATAGTTGTGAATGGATTACCCTGCTTTACTGAAAGTCACAAAATGCTTCATATTGTTCTAAAGGAAAGATTATTGGGGAGCCCTGTTAGGGCCTATTTTTCCTGTTCTTGTATGAGGAGGCTTATCCAGGGAGAATAGCTTATCTTGAGTGTAAACTGGAAAGGAGTCGTGTGATAATAATGTTTGAACCATTCATTGTTTCTTGCAGCGCCTTCTTTAGAGACCACATACGGCATGATAGTAGCAGATCTGTGTCATTCGCTGCTCACAGACACACAAGCATCCTATATTTTGGAAATCAGGAGCCATTTTGTACTGGATGAAAATAGCTACCCTTTGGAGAAGCTTTTCAATTTGCTGGATTTTCATCTTGATCTCTGAATATATATACTGAAATGAAATATTTATTTTTAATGATTTATAAAATATCCCAGATTTTGTATTTTTATAGATACCCTTTGTATTATTTATGAGCAGCAATTATTTCTGTGCAAGATCCTTCTGGTAATTATTATGAAACTAGCTTTTGTGACTAATATTGCTCTTGCCATTATTTTTCTTCTAGAAGCAAGATTAATTATTGGGGTATTTTGAAAACATCCAGTCAACATTTTAAATGTCTTACCTAAGAAACTACTTTTCCCTACTCCACCCTTCCATATGAACCCCAATTTTCTTACCATTTTTTACCATTGTACAGTGATATTTATAATAAAATTCACTTTTGAAAGTAGATGTGTACTTCAGAGTCTGATCTTTCTTTATTCCTCTGAAGAGCCTTTCATGGACTTGCAGATTGTGACTTCAGCTATTTTTTAACAAATCAAATAAAACTGTTGACTAACACTTCTGCATTCATACCAGAAATCTCTCATTTCCTGGATTGAAGTTAAATGTCACTACAGAATTGCAGACGTGTTCCAGAGCAAACACTTGTTTCTATAGTGACATTCAGAGAAAGAAAGAAAACAATTTAAATTATATTTCATTTAATAGAAATCTAATGAACACATGCCGCTACCACCACCACAAAAGCTGATCTGTTTATTAGGCTTGTTCTTTGTGGGGCAGGGGGATCAATGTCTAAACTACAGCCTTAAATTGCTTTAACAATCATTTCCTCTCCCCAGTGAGCCTTAAATTGCTTTTACAATCATTTCCTCTCCCCAGTGTATCCTTGAACCTCTAGTTGTTGTGAACTTTGGATGGTTTGTAGTGGCCCACCAACATTTCAGTCACATGAGAACAAATGCCCACAACTGAAGCAACAAGAAGTCAGCATGGGCTAAGGTAGAGACTTTTTCTCACACACTGAATGGCTCTGTCTCATGACTCCCTTGAGTGTGTGTTGTAACTTGAGGAAAAATGCAGAGCGAGATTCTGAGAAGCTTTATCACCACAATCAGAAGCAATTACTTGGCTGCCGTTAACCACTTGGCCTGCAATTTTTGCCATCTGAGTGGCTTCCCTGAATATACAAGGACTTTCCTTTAAACGTCTCTGATTGGATTCTTCCTATCCATCATGAGGCAGCTTTCAAAACGCTCAAAGGGGTGGGTGTGGGTCTCACAATTAATTGTGTTGCAACAGGCCAATGCTTAAGGGCAAACTCAGTCCTATGATAAGGAACCAGCAGGAAGCAGCCCTAAACTGACACCAACTCACCAAACAGCCTAGCATCTTATGAGAAGCAGACTACAGTTACCAGAATAACACATTGGTTCAAATTGTTTTTAATCACATAAAATGTATTTTTATATATAACAAGAGATAGACACAGGAAAGGGACAAGGGAAATGCATTGTTTCTAAGGCTTCACAGCACTTGTTTTAACATAATGCAAAACGTTACAGACTAATAACCAAAGCATAACTGACCCCAAGCAAAAACCAAGTAACTGCTCTCAGCTTGCTCTGTCGGTAAGAACAGCACATAAATAAACTTGATTTTCACTTCCTTTGTAAGAATGTAAGAGCTCTGTTGAATCTGGCGAATGACCCATCTAGTCCAGCATTCTGTTCTCACAATGGCCAACCCAGATGCCCAAAAGTAGGACTTGAGCACAACACCCCACTTTCCACCTGTGATTCCCAGGAACTGGTATTCAGAGGCATTTTGCTGCCAACAGTAGAGGTCACATTCGTATATGGAGTCTGTAATTTAAAAAAAAGTTTTATTATTCATTTTCTCTCTTTAATTGTTTTTGTTAGTTCACTGTTTTAATCAACAATATATATATATGTGATGTGTTTCCCCCCAAAACCAGCTTCAAAACAAAGTGAAAAAATAAATTGTCTGGCTGCAATGTGCACACATCCCAAGTATGACTTTGGCAGATACAACTCAGAATTACAATGGAAACCAAGATTGAAGTCTGGTGCTTTCATGCTTCACATTAATTAACACTGCATCCTGCTTCAAAGGGAAGCCTGTTTCATTTCCTCATTTTCTTTTTTTCCTTCACTGAAGAATAATTTAATGATTAGAAAATATCACGAGCTGAACTCTCGAGTGAGTTACTGAAATTAAATTACCTTTTCTGATTTTTTAAAAAGTGGCTTGCGCACGACTTTAGGAGAACATAACAAATGGTCACAGCTTGAATTTTTTTTTCTGACCTAAACAGAAAGACTAGACTCAAACAGGAACTTTGGATAATGCTTCCATTTTTCCCCCCTTTTCACCATTTTGCATTAGCACAACACATGCACACAGCCTGGTGATTTAGGAAGCCCGCACTAGTATAATCCATTATCATTCTGCCTGTGACGAAACAATGCTTTAGTCAACCTGAAGCAGAATCCCATCTTCTCAGAGAGACGGAACAGCACAGAAGCTTTGTCCACCTGCCTCAGACCAGTGAGATAATGGAAATGGCTCTAATAAATGAGGCCAGAGATTCCAAAGCCAGAACACTGCAGATGTGGTGCCTCCAACTAGCTTTCATAACATGCCTTCTGTGCTCAATTATATCCTTAATGCACTTACGGTACCTCCTAATACATTTGATTAATTGATATTGCTAAGGAAACTCTTAATGGCACCGTGCTTCCTAACCAAGGGTTTAAAATACAGGGATCAAGCCAGCAGAATCTTACGTTCTTGCCCTATTTCTGCCTTGGTGAGATCTGGAGTACTGTGTCCATTTCTGGACACCAAAAGTTAAGAAGGATATTGACAAGCTGGAATGTGTGCAGAGGAGGAGGACCAAGATGATAAAGGGTCTGGAAACCAAGCCTTATGAGGAACGGATGAGGGAATTGGGTATGTTTAGCTTGGTAAAGGGGAGACTGAGAGGAGATAGGATTGCCATCTTCAAACATTTAAAGGGCTGTCACATAGGATGCAATTGTTTTCTCCTGCTCCAGAGGCTAGGATCTGAACCAATGGATTCAATTTACAAGGAAGGAGATTCTGACTTCAGGAAAGTTTTCGGACAGTAACAGCTGTTTGACAGTGGCACAGACTTCCACAAGAGGTGGTGGACTCTCCTTCCTTGGAGGTTTTTAAGCAGAGGTTGGATAGTCATCTGTCATGCAGAATCTAGTTGAGATTCCTGCAGTGCAGGGGGTTGGACTAGATGACCCTCAGGGTCGCTTCCAACTCTGCAATTCTATGAAATTTCAGTGGTCTATGGTATATGTGGCCAACACTCTCACGCTGATTTGGGAGCTCTCCTAATTTTAAGGATCAAATTCCACTTTGCAACTGAGCAGATCTGAGGTGAAATCTGGCGCTTTTAGCAACGTTGTCAACTGTCTTGATAACTAGGTCACCCAACATCTGTGATGGGCATAAGCTGAGGATACATCTGAAGAACCTGTTCCGGAGACAGCACAGCAGAAAGCTCTTTGCTACAGGTATCGCTTGCAAGAGTGCTTACCACCTTTCAGGTGCTAAGAGACAGAGCGTGCCACCTCTTCACCAACTCCTTGGGCTTACTGATCATTTCATTCCAGTGCTCCAGTTCCTTGCCCCTGGTGTACATGAAAGGCCCAACAACCACACGGCCCAGTGAAGTTTCTAAAACAGGAAGGAGAAAGGAGAAAAGTCCTCAGATTCGTTGCTATGCAAAAATAGTATGCAGGTAACCAGATGGCAGTAGTGGAAAACAGCTCCTTACCTTCTCCCTCCGAATCCTGGAGCACAGACAGGCTCAGGCTTGCTGTATCCAGCTCCTGCTGGTCCACCTTGAAGCTGAAAGTCTCATTGTACAATGGATCCGAGGATGCAGGAACAACCGTGGTCTTTTTGCTTTTGATGAATTGATTATGCTTCATTAGTGACACTTTGACAAATACACCTGGAATGAGGGGATGAGGCTGTAAACCACTCAATATAGGTTGGAAGCATTCAGAGGAGCACAAATCCACAACCCACAACCCCTTCTCCAAGTGTTGCACCTTGAGGAATTACAGTTTGGAATGCAACCTCCATTATCTCAGTGGATGTCAGGCGGCAGAGGAGCCAACCCCCACAGCAGGTTGCCAGGAACGGATAAGACAAGGAAAAGTTCTTACCAACTGCTTTTTATTCAATATTCACAGAGAGAAGCTTGGAAATGCAGCCTCGTGGAATAATGGCGTTGCCCCGAGTGAGTCTCCACCCCTTCCCTCTCTCCATGCGTCATCATTACGGGTGCTGAAAAGTGCCTCTGCCTTTGAGCTCTCTGCTCTCCTGCTTTCAGTGCTTGCTGGATTCTGGGAGAGGGGGCAGGTCTGGAATGCTTTCTAAAGACACTATGTCCATCAGCTGGTGCTTCTTGTTCCTTCTTTCCCATTATTTCCCAGCTTTTCCCCTCATCTGCCTCTGAGCTGTGACTTCACTCAAACCCCTGTTGTAATTCTGAACTGTCTTCATCTTCTCTGGAAGGGTCAGGCTGGGGAGGCGGTCTCCACCATTCCTCCTCTGCCCAGTCCCTGACAGTGGACTGTGTTGATATCACAAATATTCAGTCTTGGGTTTCCAAAACTTGGGTCTCCAGCTGTTTTTGGACTACAACTCCCATCACCCCTAGCCAGCAGGGCCAGTGGTCAGGGATGATGGGAACTGTAGTCCAAAAACAGCTGGAGACCCAAGTAATGTGCTGTAAATAGGGTTAATTTCTCAAAACCCAATTAAGCCTTGTGTTTCTTACCGACAGCATGTCTTTCATTCTGGAGCTTCAAGCCCTTAGCTCTCAGCACTACCACCGTGAGACGGCCCAGATAGTCATTGTAGCTGAGAGAAAACTGGAGGTCACCATGTTCAGAAGGCAGCTTTGGGGTGGAGAAGAATATTGGTCAGCTGTATTGGAAAAACTGCACTTTATCAAGAATTTAATATTAAGAAGCAAATCTTTTCCTTACTCCACTAAGTTTAAGAGCAGGGTTATTATCCCACACCATAGATATTGACACCATATATTGTCTTTGTGAACTGTAGCTTACTGCTCACAGGATTCAATTCCCAGAACCCTTAACACACTCCACTTCCCAGGATTCTTTGGGGGAAGCCATGCACTTTAAATGTGGATGTAAAAGTTGTGGATGTGAGCAGTGATATGCAACAGTGCCCAATAGATATTAGAGATACCTTAGGAAAAGGCGAAGAGGTTTGCCATCCATGCCCGCTCATTTACAAATGCAGAAGGAATATGTAGTGCTTGTCATTGGCACCAGGAGTTTGGTTCCCTTCCTCACCTTGCTTTCCCTGTCAAGGGGCAGGTTTATGCACAGACTGAGCACGTGCAGAAAGGAAAAGTCTGATGCGCTCCCAGTAGGAAAGGGCATTAAGGATACTAGTTGATCTGGAACAGGTGTGGGGGGAACCTTTGGCCTCCCAGATGTTGCTGAACTATTTCAACCACCTCTAGCCACGGACCATGCTTGCTAAGACTAATGGGAATTGGAGTTGAGCAACATCTGGAGAGCCAAAAGTTGCCCACAGTCTGGGGTTCTAGCCCCCACAGCCCCTGAGGACTCAACACTGAGGACTCATAACATCAGGTAGTGCAAATGGAGTCGCACCAGATCTGTATCAGCTTTGGATGGGCATCTCAATATTGCTCCAGAAAACTGACTGTGCACACAGCTCCCAATCCAGGAAGGAAATCTGTGCAGATCTCTTTCCCTTAAAGGGTGTGTTTTTATTTCCCTCTGCTCCAAAACTGTACAATGTACATTTATTCTAGCCTTTTCTCCCACTCTCTACTGCCATTTCAAATTTATTAAGGAACAATCTCTCCACTCATAATAGAGCTGTTCAACCTCAAAAGCACAAGAAAAAATATTTCTACCAGGATCTCTGGCTTCCTGAAAGCTTATTCTCAGGTTATTGCTTTCATTTATGGGGAGGGGCCTGCTCTCACTTTAATTCTGACTGATTAAATTTGCAGCACAGAAAGGGCTTAGTTACCATGTGAATTCATGTGAGGGCTGGTTATCTAGGGGTGAGCCAGGAAACAGTTCCATCCTGTTGACTTTGATGGAACTCAACCTTGGGTGGAACCATAAAACGCTTATCATTTCTTGGCCAGATCATGCCAAATGACAATTGCAATATCTGCCTTTTGAACTGTACCCTTAAGATACACAAATCAGGCTATACAAGAATCACAAGGTGGCAATCTTCCTTACATGGGAGAAAGTACCACTGAACTCAATGGGAAGTACATATGTGTAGGATTGCCCTGTGTCTTTACATTTTCTTAGCTCATCCCATCTGACAGTTTAGTGTGTGCTGAGTTTTCTAGAACACCCCTATCTACACACAAGGTAGGATAATGATTTAAGCTTTAATGAATCACCTACCTCAAGGGTATCGGCTTCCAGATCTCTCCAGACGATCACTTTGCCATCACCGCTAAAGGATTCATTTTTCAAAGGGAATATTACTTGGCCTAAGAGAATGTGTTTCTTCTGTTTGTCAACATGGTAGACACAAAACTTCAGTGTCCTTTGGTATAAGGCGCTACTGGAAATCTGGATAGTAGCAAACAGAACATTGTAAATGAGGTTAAACAGTCTCATTTCCCCCAGTAAATACTCTCCCAGTTGACCACTGTGAGAGAAGTGTGTGTGTACAGTGATGTGTAGTTTGGATCTCAGTTATCAGGTGTATGGGAGGCAAGAATCTACAACATCAGATCAAAACAGGAGCAGTGCAAGCTATTTTGTTGCCTGAGGCAAAGGACAAGATGGTGCAGTCCCCATTCTGTGAAAATCTGACAAGACTGGTAGCTGCATTTTACTTCAGCACTGGTTGAAGGAACAAAGTCCTCCACCACACTGTAGGGCAGAAAGCTAGCTTGGGGGTTGTAGGACAGACAACATAACACACAGTTCTAGCCATGCTCTGCCCCTCAGAATTTGCCACCTGAGGCAGTTGCCACACTTTGCCTCATGGGAGGGCCGGGCCAGCATCAATGTAATATTCCACTGACATGAAAGCTTACTTGGAAAACAAAATTCTCATCAAACTGGGGGTTGAGATTTTTGCGCTTGGTCTTAGACTGCAGATAGCGCCTCTCATCGGGCAACAGGTAGATTTTCACCAAAGGGTTGCAGGAGCTAGAAGGAGACTGCAACTTCCTGGCTTTGATCAAGGAGACGAGGAGCCTTTCCGATTCTTGTTCGTATTCCACTGAGAACCAAAGCCGACCAATGTTACCCTCTGGGAAGTCTGTTTCGCTCTTGTCTTCGGGAAATCTGTACAGCTCTGGGTTGATGGCTCCGACAAGGTACGCGCCAGCTTCACAGAGAGGAAGAAACAACCCAGATCCTTTGAGTTAAGAATATCAGATCTACAAAATGGAATGTTCCTGTACAAACCTGTACACCTCTGCAAACTGTGAAACTACAGTGAATGTATTTTTATATTATTATTATTATTATTAATTACATGAGTAAGACTATGTGTTGACCTTTTGGCACAAGGGTTTAGATTCAAACTGTAACAACACTAGGTTCATCAGGGGGAAACTTGATGCCTTTTATGCATGATTCCTTCCACCAACAGTATACAGCCTCCACAACCTGCATTGGTCCCACAACAGACCCCATCTGTAGTTCAGACAAATTCCAATTCTGCTTCCAGATTTCTAACACTCTGTAGTCCAGTTTACTCATTCAGTTTACTCATTCAAATAATATCAACCTACCTAAGGAATGGAAAGAAGATCGAGGCCCAGAGTCAGGGGTGACATAGAGGTCACTATCCTCCTGAATTTGTTCTCCATTTATCATATCAATCCAAGCTTGCCTGTGAAATTTTGGTGGGACGATGAAGGGGACGCTTTTCGTCCTGCAGAAAAGACAACTACCAGAGTCAGTCATATCAAGCTAGCAAAAAAGGTGTAAAATAAACCCATTGTTTGATTTAAACGTGCGCTTAAATTCCTCCGCTGAAATCGGTAGACGATCTTGGTTTCAGATAGAACGTGACCATTGTTTTTCTAGACATTTTCTACGGCTGCATTATCATTTATACACATGAACACATCTAGCGGAAATGGAAAGAATACGGTAAACAAATTAAATGCTTTTTAAATAAAAAAATAGTTCCTTGGTTTTAAGGAACTATTTTTTTTAATTAAAAAGAAAAACAGTTAAAAGACAATAAGTAGTGCAACCCTTCTACCCTAAATCAGAATAATTTTTAAAGGGAGTGGGAGATGATCAGGTTTCCCCCCACATAAACAATACATTTCATTTAGAATTTGAACTCTCTCTGTCTATCTATCTATCTATTTATCTATCTATCTATCATCTTAGATCTTCAAGTGTTACCGTAGTTATTGTGCAGCAAAAACAGCACCCTCATAAAAAAGAGAATACTTGGAGAAAGTCTGATGTGTACAGAAGTATCAAAAGTGTTTTTTGGGGGGGAGGGGACGAAAGGGGAAAAAAGACCCCACCCAACCCTGTGAAGAGCCTGATGAAGACTGAGCATGCTCAGGACAGGATGCCAACGGACTGTTGGAAGGAAGAATGGAAAACTGAGGGGAGGGGGGAATGGAATGGAGGCATACCACACTGCAACAATCCACTTATTGTTACCCAAGTGATGCTGGAGCCAGAGGTGGGACTAATGTCCTGATCCAGAGGCCCAAAGGAGGTCCTGTGTGAGTGAGGTGCAGGGATACCAAAGAAGGATGTCATAAAGGATGTCAACTCATAGCAGCCTTTATGAGCAACTCATAACAGCATTTACTTACATTTGAGATGCCTCATAAACTCTCATGGCAGTTTAGTTTCAAACAAAATATGTCTTTACATATACCTATCTAGTCTTAATTCTATATAAAACATTTTGGTTAGTTTCTTGTTAATTTTGTGTTCACATTTAAAAAAAGATGTTTCTTGTATTAGTTTGTTTTTCTACTAGCAATAGTAGGAAACACATCCACGTGTTCTGTCAGTGTAGTATTTCCCCCCACCCCAAGTAGAGGAATTAGTCATTTAATAAATTACTCTCTGTCATCTTTTATGGGCAAATGTGAAACACTGAGATACAACTTAGCACATTAAAAAGTGTATGTTGCTGTTTTATTGAAACTAGGATTGTCATGCCAAAAGCAGTGGAATAATGTGTGTGTGTGTGTGTGTGTGTGTGTGTGTGCGCGTGCGCGCGCGTGCGCTATTGTGTGTGTTATTGGGTTGTTGTTACTCTTATTTTGATTCTGTATTTTGTGGTTTTACATTTTGATTTATTCTGTGAACTGCCCTGAGACCTGCGGGTATAGGGTGGTATATAAAATAAACAAAACAAAACAAAACAAAACATGTTCAATTCCAGTTCTTTATTAGAAGAAGGAGTGCACTTACAGCACAGACTCAGGATAGACACCAAAGCAGCAAGAGGTTGTAATGACTTGCCCAAGAAAGCATCTATGCATCATTACCTTGCACAAAAATAGCCTATCTCAATTTGGCCAGAACCTCCCATTAGTTCACCTGCTGATGAGGGCATAGGTGGCAGGTATCCAAATCTCACGACTAGCTCCCGTCCCTAGGCCAATCACCAAGCTTCCCAAATCCACAGATAAGCAGGGCATCAAAGCAAGCCAAAGCACACATCAAAGCAAGTGAATAAATATATGTAAGCTCATTCTTTCAGCAACTATCAATTACGGTAGTTTCAGGGTTATCTTGACAGCCAAGATGGTGTTTGCAGGCCTTCCGGAACATTTTCATCATCATCATCATCATTTTATTTGTATGCCGCCTTTCCACAGTGTAAACAACGCTCAAGGCGGCTTACAGCATGACAAGATTTACATAATTACTAACTTAACAAAAGTCATACACAATAAATAAAGCACATAAAAAGGTACACATTTTCACCATTTGGTTCTACACAACCAGTGGGAAAGATCGTTGGTTCATGGAATCTATAAACAGTGGATCACTGAAATGGGTTAGCCACTGACAATCTGGGTCTCTTGTCGCATGTTCTGCCCCACGGTTTAGAATTTGATAACTGACAGCAGACGTAAAAATAAAGGACAGTAGTACCTCTGGTAACGAACGCTTCTGGTTACGAACGCTTCAAGTTACGAGCTCCGCTAATCAGGAAGCAGCTGCTCCTGGTTGCAAACTTTGCCCCAGGATGCGAACGGAAATCACGCGCCAGAGGCGCGCGCTCAGCAGAAGGCCCCATTAGCGAAAGCGTGCCTTAGGATAAGAGCGGTTTCAGCTTAAGAACGGACCTCCAGAACAAATTAAGTTTGTAACCAGAGGTACCACTGTAAAATAAAATACACTATTTACCTTGCAACATTTGGCTCCTGCAGGCAAACTGGGGCCTGGACTGGGGAAGCGGGATTAGTAAGTTCTTCATAAGAAGCCTTGAAGTACACATTCTTCCAAAAGAGGTATACTGCTATCCCAAGAAGGAGCAATAGAAGGATGCCTCCGACCACACCTCCAGCAACAGCAGCTACTTGTTCTGATTGAGCAAAAAACACACACACACCAACACTTCAGTGAGCAAAAGATTTCAGATGTTCATTTTACAATGGAAGCTTACATTTAGAACATGGAACTTCCAGACTGTCACTATTTTCAGGTGGGATTCATTCACAAGCCAGGAGATGAAGGCTGCATAATTAAAGTTGGTTAACGTTTCTTGTGCAGTGAGAGTACCAAATTATGGTTTAATGTGAATGAGCAGCAGGCTGGTGCATGGCAGTAGAGTCACGGGAACTGAGTCGCTCTCTTGTATGCAAGGCCCCAACCCCAGCTACAACAGTGCAGTAGCAGAATCAGTTCACCTTCCACGCACAGTACTAACGGCTAGGTGGTTTAATGATGGACATCTACTTGCAGAGAGTTCCCATAAGGCACAGCCTGCCACACTAAAGGCTTAGTCCCTCACAAAAGCCAGCTGACCCTCAGGGGCATGGTGATCAAGGAAGAGCATAAGAGAACTTTGTCATGTATACTTCCACCCAGAGATGCCAACAGGGAGCGTAGATTAATGTACAATAATAAGATACTATTTAGGCCTCTCAATGGCTAAATTTCAAGTTTTACATAATATTTTTTAGCCACTTGCAAAAGAAGACACAAATTCACGTAAGATTTGCATACACTTTGTGCCACATGTAAATGTGTACTCTGTCTTCTTTTCCAGGTGGAGGCGAGGGCCCAAACATAAATCAGAGTCCACACACTAGTACTGTAATAAGGTGTCTGGTAGACAGAATGAGCAGTGGAATAATTCCTCTGCCTGTACCATTAGCTACAATATCTGTGACAGTACAGCATAATACAGCCTGCACTGTGTGCGCTTGAAGAGGTTCAGAACTTGACATTTACGCAAGTGTGACGTGACCAATTCTTTGCCCACAGCTTAATCATATCCTTAAACATATCTGACCCACCCATGTGGCTGAAGGCCAAGCTGCAATTTCATTCACGGCGGTGCAATTCCGGAGTAAATTTGCGGAGTCCAAGCAGAAGCGCTTAGGATTTACGCCACTGGCAATGGAAGCAGCATTCGGCTCGCTGGTTTTTAAGAGCAAGTTTGCCCTATCTGATCCAAGAATGAGGCGATACAAATCAGGAAATAAATCAGGAAGGCAGCTAGCACTAAAACATGATGTGGGAACTTCTGTGCAGAGGGGGAAATGGGCATGACTTCTTTTTAAAACCCGCATGTTGTTGAGAAACAGGGCATTGTTCTGTTATTCACTGCGTATTTCCCCAAGCAAAGCGACGTTCTAAGAGAACTGCTGCGTTTTCCTTCTGGATGGGAATTCTGCAGTATTTGGCAACATCCGTTTATTTGCAAATATGCGCACTGGGCATGGAGGAGCAGACAGGCAGCAGCAGCCTTCAGCACAACATCAGTTTCCGGATGTCGTGGGACTACATTTCCCATCTCCCCCGGAAAGCACTACCAATGGTCAGGGATGATGGGAGTTGCAGTCCAGCAACATCTGGAGGGCATCATAGCTCATCTGCTTTGCATGGAGAAGGTCCTAGGTTCAATCCCTGGCACATTCAAGGGGGCTGGAAACATGCCCTGTCTAAAACCCTGGAGAGCCTCTGCCAGGCAGTATGGACAGTTCTGAGCTCAATGAACCAGTGGACTAACTTGGTATAGCTTCTCATGTCCCTGTGAGAGTCTATTGCTATACCCCCAAGGAGAGTAAAAAATATGCATGAGCTGGTATATAGTGTTTAGGATGTTGGACTTTGGTCAGGGGTCCCACTCGAAATCAACCATCAGTTTCACTGGCTGAGCTTGGCCCGCTCACCGTCTAAGCCGATCGTTTTTCTCTGGGCCACGCTTTCAGAATAAAAATTGGCTCACACCTCACCAAACTTTTTATTGAATAGAAATACATTGCAGAATGAAAAGACACAACTCCTAGCAGTGCTTGATTCATAACATAGAACACAACTGCTTTATAATATGATCATGGGACATTTGGAAAGTATGAAACAATGCAGCTACATAAGAACATGACTCTTTCCTAAAATGTAATATTGATTGTTCTTGAATCTTCCTGCCACACTTGACATTCTCTGCTGCCACACCTTTTGAGAACCACTGGTGTAAGCCTGCTTAACCAAGGGACTGTGTGCCTTGCCTTTCCTTTCCTTTCCTTTCCTTTCCTTTCCTTTCCTTTCCTTTCCTTTCCTTTCCTTTCCTCTTTCCTCATTCCTCTTTCCTGTCCTTCCTTTCCCCTGCCCCAAGGTCACAGCACTGGCAATTACCAGTCTTGCAATGGTATCATCTGTGAAAATAATAATAATTCTGCACCTGCCCCTCCTGCTCCACTAAACCACTGATCACAAATCCTCCCAAACCAACTACAAAAGTCAGAAGTGTGCATACTGATTGACTGAACAACCAAAGCCAATGCTTCCACTCTTGTAATAACACTCATATCTGGTTTCAAATCATATCTAGCACATCCTGTTTAAATGTTTGGATTTTTAAAAAATGTGCTTTATTTGGTGCCAATTTCCCCTCCAGCATTGTTCCAGCCAAGGGAGGGGAAGTAGCTTTGTACCTGTCACAAGGCAAGCAACCAATCAGAAGTCTTCATAGATGGAGGAGCATAGGCAAATCTGTCTACAACTACCTTATACTGTCCATGGGAAGAATGTGTTCCTCCTAAATCTCAGAGGAAGGCTGAATCCCTGACCAAGGCTCATGCCTCAAGCAATGCTCACCTGCACGACCATTCTGTCAAAAACCACTTTTCAACTCCAAACTGCCACTTTATCCTTTCACATCCTGCTGAATTCTAGCTTCAATGCCACCATGCATGGGAGATGTTTCCTGGCGGATAGCAGTTTTCAACCTTAATGAGCTATTAAGAACAGTGGGCTGTTTTCCAGATATTGAGAAAACATCATTAAGCACCAGCAAGCAATTCGCTTAAATAAAATATGATCACCTAATAGCTGTTCATAACATCTCGCTTCGTGATCCAGGATGCTAGCTGTTCGAAACGTTTTAATGGTTAATGTTGGGCACCCAACGGCAGGGCATGTCAAAGGGACTTCTTCCGTTCCCGCCGCTCTCCTCTTCCTCTATACAAATGGACACAATAATTGGGAATGCTCAACAGCTTTTATCAGGCATTAGGTGTTAAAGCACACTTTAAATACCCCAGTCCATGCCAGGGAACCCACTCAAAAGCTCTCCTGCAAATAGTAAGTGCAGTCCTTTCTTCACTTGTTCAGGCACGGCCATCCCTTTTCTAGCATCTGTGACTCAGCCATTTTCTCAGGGAGGCATGAAGAAGGTGGAAAGCCTCTTGATGTTCCCTTCCTGGACCATCCCATGCTTGCAGGTAAGCAAACGTTTAGGTAAAGGGGTTGAGATCTGCTTCCCTGTTTGTCCTTACCCTCTTCATGGGCTCATGATGCCTCTTTCCTTCACACAAAGGCTAGAGGTCACTAGGCATCCAGGTTCCTCCTCCAGGAGTCCTCTCCATCCATCTCTGGCTTGATAGGAGCTCCAACTTGCCCCTCTGTTGCCATCTCTTTTCCCTTCATCAAGAGATTGTTTTATCAAAGGATGCAAGACATTTTAATGCCAATTTGTGCAGCTACATCTTACTCTACCAGAGTCTCTGCCAGCAATCCCGTGGAACCCAGCGCTGATTTTGAATCTGAGTAGGTAGGAAATGTAAGGTATAGAGGGGTGGTCCCTAGTGGTCCTTCACACTTGATTTAGGCTGAAACCCTATACCCGCTTTCCTGGTAATAAATCCCCTTGAACATGATGTTGGTTACGTCTGTGTTGACATATATAGGGTTGTACTGTTAGTGTGTAGTGTGTTACTTCATAGAATTGTAGAGTTGGAAGGGACCCCGAGAGTCATCCAACCCCCTGCAATGCAGGAATTTCAACACATGGTCCCTCATCCAACCTGCAGCCATACCAGACCCTGCTTAGCTTTGCAAAGGTGCTAGCAGTTTTAGGGATGAATTTGCACACATACTGTATTTCTGTTTCTGCTCCGTTCCAGGCAGTTATTAGGTAATACGTGTTGTTGTTGTTTTAATTTAAAAGGGTCCATTTTGTTCACACAGTTTCTTGCCCTGCGGCAATACCCTTTCCATGGACTTTGGGATGATCCACACCACAATTTTATATCTTTTATCTGCTTTGGCCTCTCATCCCAAACTCCTGTAAGTTGAAGTTTGCATAGTCTCAAGCTCATTGACAATTTGCTGCCTCGTCATGACACCTGAAATCAGCTGCCTGAGCAACCATCTCACTCTGCCTAACAGTATGGCAGGCTCTGCTTTGAAGCCGTTGCTAATGGGTTAGAAGACATTTTAAAGCATATCTTTAGCTTAACAAACAAATCATTGTCTTAGCATTGAAATGAGTGAAATATGTGGGTTCTCTACAGAATGAAGGGTGGGATCCTGCAGAGTTTCCCCACCCAAAAACGATTTTCTTCCCACTTCCCCACCCCCAAGAAAAGCATCTCCAGCCTCAACAAGCCTCTGGCTGGCAAGGAGACCCTCCTCTCCTCCTCTTTGGGCTCAGGGGTCTCCTTGTGAGACACTAGGACTCTCCAGGGTACTGCCCATTATAAGTGATTTTGTGTATGCACCCAGGGGCCCAGAACGGAACCCCCACATAAATGGGGAGTCACCTATACTAGTAGTGTAAAGGTCTATTTGAGGTGAGTTCTGGAACCTTTTCTTCTGGGAAAAAAAGCACTGCCAGCACATGATGCAAGGGGGAGAAACAGGTAGCACTGAAATCCACAACAGCTGCACAGGTTTTATTTGTTCTACATTATCAAAGGGGTGTTTTAGTCCACCCTTCAGGCCTGTTCCCAGGACAGTGTACATAAAAGCAATGCAAGAATTCAAATACAGATGCAACATCCTCTTAGACTAAAATGACAGCAGAGGTTCTGGGATTCTCTCCTTCTAACCCAAGGGGAGGTGACCTGTGGCTCTCCAGAAGGCAATACACCACAGTTCCTATCACCCCTGCCCATTGACCAAAATGACTGAGGCTGATGGGGACTGGAGTCCAACATAGATCTACAAAGCTAACCCTGTTCTAATCTAAGGTTTCTTGAAATAGGATGCTCCAGACCCTAGGCAGGTGAAGCGGGTGGGTTCGGAATGTATCTGTCGAGGCTGCTCTGAAATACTGTGGCTGTAACAGCTGGGTTACAAAATTCCAATGCACAAAGCCCAGTGGTCCATTGCCTCTATCTCCTGTAGGTGTAGAGAAGCAGGAATTTCAGCAGGTGCAACTTGTCATGGTTTTTTTTTTGGGGGGGGAGAGATGCTTCTGATCAGTTTCCTGCTTCTGCATACCTCCCTGTGATACAGGAGCCCTCACCTCCCTTGCAAGTTGCGCCTGGCCACAGAGACGAAAAGCACATGGCGTGCAACTTTTAGTATTCCTTATTGCGGCGGTTTTCTGCCAAAGAGCTCTCAAAGCATCTGACAACCAAGAAGTGCCTGCTTTAATGAAACAATATCATACCATATTAAAGCAGATCGGCAGCTTAATCGTTGCACAGGGAGATTAAACCTGGCTGCTGGCATTCCACCAGGGAGACACTGGCACCTCCAAGAGGTTGTCTTGGCTGAAATTCCAGGCATTTCCTAAGCACAAGCAAATACAGATCTCCCCTGCTCCCCCTGCAACACCTCTTTCAACAGCATTGCCCAAAGCCAGTGACACTTTCAAAGACAGGAGCTTCATGACTCCAAATGAAGGAACCTTGGGGTCCCTTACAGCTCCAAAATTCTATGAAAGTTGCACTGCGCTCTCCTCTTTCTTCCCCCCCTTCTCCAATCGCAAAGTTGCCCCAGTTGTGCACCACAGCTCCACGTGCTGCTACTTACCAGACATTGGTCCTAGGAATACAGAAGCGATACTCTCTCTCTCACTGATGTTCCAGCTGGGCAGCCCAGAGCTTCATCATTCCCATCTACCCAACGGAGGTTTCAACTCTCGGAGTCCTTTCTTCCTAGCAGCTGTTCTTTTCTCCCTCTTCTCTGGGGCAGTTGCATCTGGGCTGGGGCTGGCAGTAATAGCAAATAAAAAAATAAATAAAAGCCCAAGCAAACCCCCAACGTCTCTCCTTCCCTGACAACCTCAGGTGCCAGCTGATAACTTTTTCCCACATGGATCTGGATCACCTGAGGTTAGAGGGAAGGAGGAGCAAGGACTGGCTGCACTGCGCTGCACAGCTCCTTACCTCTCCTCCTAGTCTCCCTGTGGATGTTGAATAAATAAACAGCTCCTCCTCCTGGTCATCAAGTTGCTCCTTGAGATTTCAAAGGCTGCTGAGACCTGGCAAGTCTAAGGAATCTAAGAGAGGGACAATGCAAGTGGGCCCTGCCAGCAGCCACCCCTTCCTTCCTGGAAAGCGCAGGGTTGGCGTCCTCAGAGCATCCTGACAAAAAACATTGGCACGGAGGGGCCAACTGCCAGAAGCGTAACTTGCCTTGCCTTGTATTTTGAAACAAAGCCCCCGAGGCCTTTTTGGGATATGCTGTTCGGTTTTTCTCAAGTAAGTGGAAAAATAAGAGATTTCTTTGATGGTTTGACGTAACCTTGATCCAATTAAAGGCTAAGCGGAATGGAAGCAGGATTTCCTCCCATGCCCTTTCTCCATAGTAAAGGACCCCTGGACAGTTAAGTCCTGTCAAAGACGACTATGGGGTTGCGGTGCTCATCTCGCTTTCAGGCCAAGGGAGCCAGCGTTTATCCGCAGACAGCTTTCTGGGTCATGTGGCCAGCAACAGGACATCGTGACGGAAACCAGAGCGCATGGAAACACTGTTTACCTTCCCACTGCAGCGGTTCCTATTTATCTACTTGCACTTTTTGGCGTGCTTTCGAACTGCTAGGTTGGCAGGTGCTGGGACAGGGGAATGGGAGCTCACCCCATCGCGGGGATTCAAACCGCTGACCTTCTGATCTCTCCACTGCCTTCTACATGCAGAAGCCAATCGCATCCACTGATGAAAGGACAGCATCTTCCACTGCACCATAGCAGCTATGTTCTACCTCCACTGTTGGAGGCAGTGTGCCTTTGAATGCCAGTTCCTGGGAACTGAAATTGGAGAGAGAGCTCTGTTGCAATCAAGTCCTGTCTGCAGCCTTCTTGTTAGTTACTATAAGAACAGGATACTGGACTAGGCTTGATCCACCTGGGCTTTCCTAAGGGCAGCAGGTCATATACGCCACACCAGGGGCTATGTTGCTCCCCTCCAATATATTTTTTGGGGGGGCAGGCCCTCCAAATGTTTCAAACAATCAAGGGATAGTGGAGGCCAAGTGTGGAGCTGAGCGTGGCTTGGCTTCCATGGCTGGCTCCGGCTGCTGTTAACCCTATAAATCGGCAGCTGGTGGCGCTTGGGCCAAACTGTGCTCTCCACTGCCAACCTTTGAGGCAAAAGAGATGTGTGGCCAGTGAGAAGCACCTGCTCCAAAAGGAGTTGGGCGGAAGTTGTCTCCTTGGCCTGCCGCTGCCCCCACTCCCTTCTCAACGCGGCCCTCCAGTAAAATGGCTTGCTGACTAGGGCCACGGAAGAGCAATTCCTCTGAGTCTTTTACATCAGGCATCCACAGAGGAAAATCCGGCGTTGGGAGAGCCTCGTAAAGTTTTAAAGTTTGACAGTTTTCTCCTTACAGTGGCATTTGTACAGAAGACGTACCAACAGCACCACCTCGTGTCGTTCTGAAATATTGCAACCACCCAAAAATGAGGGTTAAAACAAGCAAACAAACAAATACGGAGCAGGCAGTTTTTCCTATGCCAGATCCTAACAAATAGCCAGCTAGGAATCTGCATCAGGATATTGCTACTGTCAATAAAACTATTATTTAAGAAAAGGCATTATTGAAACACTGGGCTGAACAATTGTTTTGTGAGCTTCTTCCAGGCTCAGTCTGTGCCTGCTTTTCTTCTGGGACCTTTTCCTGCCTCTACCCTTGATGGTTGCCTCAGTTGCCTCCTCTGCTTGCATATATGTTCCTGTTCTTCCAAAATTGCTGTGAGCTTGGAGAATCTGTGACGGGAGCAAGAACAGAGACTCCCTGGTTAAAAAGGAAGGAGGCAGCAAGGGAAACAGAGAGAGAGAGAGAGAGAGAGTTGGTGGTGGGGAGTTTATATTTTAAATGTTGCTAGACTACAATTTATTATTGCATTTATGGTCCACCTTTTTATTCCAGGAGCTCAAGGTGAGGTAGGTGTAGGGAGAGTGACTGAGAGAGAACAGAAGAGAAAGACTGGCCCAAAGCCATCCAGTAAGCTTTGTGACTGAACAGGGATTTGAACTCTGCTCTCCCTGGCCCTAGTGCAACCCTCTAACCACCACACCAAACTGGCTCTTCAGTGCCATGTCAACCCTGACCACTGGCCAGCTGGAGAGTGCTTGGTGCTGTACGAACGTGGAAAATGTCCTCATCAGGTTGCATGGTGAGAGGAGAGTGCAGTCACAGTAAACTACAAAGGGCCACTAACATAAATCATCTATCTTAAACAATAATAAGGTATTTATTAAGGAAATTGCCTTGTTTCCAGAAATACCTTTAAAAAGAAATACAAAGAAACCTAAAGTTGTCAAATAATAGACAAATTCTGAGTTCCTTTAGTAGGTGGAATCTAGGTCATGATGGTTTATAATGGCCCAATTGAATTTTCAGTTTCCTTTTCATCAGAGATAAGATGAGATGTCCTCTCCTTAACACAATAACTTTCATTTTTATTCTTCTTCCATCCATGCCAAAGAATTTCAGTTCTCAGCTGAGGGAAGTTGCTTACAAAAGGAGACCAGAGACATGTTTTAAAAAATAATAATCATGTATTAATCTCTGTTATGATTGTAAGGGGAGGTTATATAAAAGTGATAGATTAAAGCAAGATTTGCTTGCATAAATGCAGTTAACTGCGCTTCAATCTGCTATAGAGGCAACCCTGCAGATTATCACAGGCTGGGGTCAGCTTGCAGTCCCAGATCACATTGTAATGCTACCCTATCCATGAAACATTGTTGACCAGCAAATGTATGGTCAAGATGACAGTTGTGGCATAATACAATCCTGGAACTGGTATTATTGGGGATACAGGCAGGTTATGCTTCTAAATATTTAGCACCAACCTGTGCCCCGTTGAAGATGCTTTACCCTGAGAGGTCATTTCTGTTGTGCAGAGGAAAGCTTAAACACATTGCAGGATTCCCAAAAGATAGATCAGAGGCAATTGTATTTCATCTGGCAGAGCTTTACTGCCACTGAAGGCAAATGAACGTAACGGTCACAAATCCAATACATTCAGGATTGCTACTGTCCATAAGAAATCCAGTTGCATCAGACTTATCTTAAACTTAACAAGAACTTATAGTAAGACTAAACCTTAACACTATAGCATACAGAACAGAACAGTACACCACACCAGAACAAAGAGTTAGAAAGAGAAAGTGTGAAACCCAGGCTCCTCCTGGCCTGACTATTAGAGTCAGCATGACCTTGACACAAAGTATAACAGAACCAGTTTAAACCAGCTGTATTCAGCTTCCCAGAAGGAATAACCCAAACAAGAACCTTCTGCTTGCTTCTTTCACCTAGAAAGAAACCTTCCAGAACCCTCTTGAACTAAGCAGAACAGGAAAGACCTCTACACACCAGATCAATACTTTCTGTACTAAGAAATGCAAACTGACAATTTCGTTTCTGTCTGATCCTTGGAACTTTCTCCAGGCCATTACTCCTCTCCCCAGGCCACAGATAGGAAAGGCACAGAAAGGCATATTCAACTCCTGGGGCCTGAGGTTTCTCACCCCTGCTGCATAGAGAGGTGTGGTTAATTGAAGTGATGTATATTGAATAAATCCCCAATAAGCCACAAAGGAAATCTTAAGGAAATCAGCCCTGAGAGCTCACTGGAAGGACAGATCCTGAAGCTGACACTCCAATACTTTGGCCACCTCATGAGAAGAGAAGACTCCCTGGAAAAGACCCTGGTGCTGGGAAAGATTGAGGGCACAAGGAGAAGGGGATGACAGAGGACGAGATGGTTGGATAGTGTTCTCGAAGCTACAAACATGAGCTTGACCAAACTGCAGGAGGCAGTGGAAGACAGGAGTGCCTGGCGTGCTCTGGTCCATGGGGTCACGAAGAGTCGGACACGACTAAACAACAACAAAGCCACAAAACTCACTGGAAAATATTGTTGTCAGCCATTCTCTCTTGACTGACCTACCTCCCAGGGTTGTTGTGGGACTAAGATGGGTGACATGTTCATTCCTCTGCTCTTCAAAGACAGGCATTGTTCACTGTAAATAAATAAAGACACACATTAAGTGAATATATTTTTTAAAAGAACTAATCTTAATTGCTCATCAAGAAAATATAATGTTTGAACACATCCCATTGAAATCAATGGGACTTAAGGTTTCAGTTAAATAAATTGATTCCAAAATTAAAATTCCTGAAATGTAAGGATCTACAATAGCCCTCAAATGTTGCTTTGGGCACTTCGTTGCACAAATTTTGCACCTGCACTAGAGAAAAAAAGGCAATTTATTTCTGGTAAGATTCTGCAAAAATTGAAGGTGAGTATTATGGTACCTATTTATTTATTACGATTAAATATAAAGGTATAATAAGGCAAATAAATGCTGGACTTAAATTGGTTCCTATGAAAAACAGGCATGTACACAGATCTACATCAATATCGTATCAGGAGTAAAGCTGAAATTAACCTGTTCCTCTGTGCCATGGTCCCAGTGGAAATTCCTCTCCAGAAGCTACTGTTTGCTTTGCTATTTGCGCTGATTATTTTTCCTCCCTTCTGGAGGAAATAGCAGTTTCCAGGGGGCCATAACGTGTTAATTCCCTGCTCCTCCCTATGCACTGCACTCCCCAATATGCTAGGTTGTTGTTTTTTTAAAAAGATATGTAATTGCAATTGTACATTTAATGCATAGTTTGGTCCTGATTCACAATGAAACCCTATTGCTCCCCCCCCCCCGCGAGCCTTTTTTTGTGACTAAGTCTGGCTGGATTGTGCTCTGCATATCCACAGGGTGGCAGTGCTGTGCTAATCATTTACGACAATGTTTTTTGGGTTTTTTTACAACTGCTGTATTTGTTTTGTTATTATTATTTAGCACAATGTGCTTTTATTTTTTTAAAAATTACCAGCTTCATCCTCACAGTGTCTCTGGAGTTAGTGAATGAGTAGTCCCATTTTACACATGGCAGACTTGACCTTGGAAGAGAATGACTCAGTTACATGGAATAACATTCGAATCTGATCTGATTCAGCGTGTGTGACCCTTTGTGCATTAGGGTGTGTCCAGGTAGCAGCCTGGTTTTTGTGCAGGAGCACTAACACAAATGCAGCATACGGATTCACGGTTGCCAAGTTGCAACCTCCAATTCCCCCTGTACCTTTTGGCCTCTTACTGAATCAGGAGATGGGGCAGCTACAGTTTTTATGTGTTTCCCTCCCCACCCCCAATAATTTTGTCTCTCTTCCCTGGTGTGACCTGGCAACCTTAAGGCACCAACTAGCACAGGATTTCTGTTCAGCTGAACCTGCCTTGTACAGAATGAGACCAATATTTCATGTAGCTCAGTATTACCTCCACCATCTAGCTGTGGCTCTTGAGGGTTTGGGGGCAGGAGTATTTTACAGCCTAACAGTAAGAGCTGTTTGACAGTTGAACGGATTCCCTCAGAAGGTGATGGACACTCCCTCCTTGCAGGTTTTTAAGCAGAGGTTGTGATAGTCATGGATGCTTTAATTGAGATTCCTGCATTGCAGCGGGTTGGACTAGATGACCCTCGGGATCCCTTCCAACTCTACCTGTTAAGTTGTGGGCGAACATATCAGACGACACAGCGATTCTTCCAAAGCAGCTCTTTATTTGTAAGCTGGAACAGAACTGAACTGAGGAGCTCAGTCAGCCTGCTTATATAGAGCTCCACTAGAATGCAACAGTAACCATTTTCTGTAACTAGCCAATCACTGAACGTCACTTTCGATCCTTCATTTGCATAACTATCTACAGCATCCCCCTGCTGGCCCAGGGTGAGAACTTCACTACATAACACTACCATTCTACGATTCTAACCTGGAGATGCTGGGAATTGAATATGGGACCTCCTGAATGCAATGCAGACCCACTGGGCTATGGCTCATGAAGCTTTTCAGGTATTTTAAAAGAAATTCACCAAAATCTACACTCCTGACATGGGCTGTCATACGTCCAGATTTTCCCAGACATTTCAGCAATTTTCATCCGGACAGTTTCCAATGGTCAAATCACGGCTACGTCCAGGATGTATGGTAGCCCTAACCACTTGCAATTAGAACCCAGACTTATCAGTGCAAAATTTAGCATGAGAACCAGCAGGGTCCCCATTTGGCTTGTGGTATAGGGTGGTGGTGATTCGGTGTGGCTGATGTTCTCAAGGCAACATTAATGGACCTAGATGTTCCAAACTGTACAAAGTTAAAATTAGCAACATAGCCTTTTGACAATAACATTAAAACACTTTCAATATGCCTCCCTCCCGGACTTGATTAAAATTAATTGTGGCAGGTGGAATTCAAGCAAACAAGCAATGTTGCCCACAAAATGGCATCTCTTTACTTTCCCTGGAAGCCTACATTATTTTCACTTTATAAATCAGACTTTTTAAAAACACACCAAGCCTGCCTCAAGGCGAACGTTAAGTGGTGGAAGTGCAATTCTACCAGCTTAAATGGGTTTGGGCTCTAATGTGAATGGTAGAAGCTTTCCCGTGCTCTTCAGATCACAGAGCCTGGGGCCATCATGAGCCAGCACACAAGTAGAGCCATGACTGCTGTGACCTTCGCAAGAGACAACTGGGTGGTAAGTTTTCTGCTTACCCAGAGTGCATGCAAGGGGAAGACGCTGGAGTACGAAGGCCATTAAATTCAAAGATCAGGTGGCAATCAATGGGGTGAAAGTAGTCCCTTTTCAAAGTGAGGCCAAGAACTAAACCATCACAATAAAACAATCTGCACATGCAGATGAATCACATGGTGCAATTATTCCTGGAATGTACTATTCAGACTGGAGGGGAATTTTTTATCAGCAGGTGTCAGGGTGGGGGTGGGGGAGAAGCCTCGTGTCAAAATGCTTCTGTGTAATGTGCACACTCAAAACCAGCATATTCTGAAACAGGATGCAGGCTAGCCTTTTCCACATCGTGCTGGTTTTGCATGTATACTGCATAAACGAACTTTCAAACATTTCATCCCCCATTCACATTCTGAAGTGGTACTTACTGTCCAGCATCAAGATGCATCATGTGAATCTGCAGATCAGGTAGCTCAGCTCTAAAGGCATTTCCTACGTTACAGGAGCAGCGTGGCTGTGGTCCCCAGTGATACAGCAGCTCCCAAAGCTACCCCAATAATGAGGGATAAAGTGAAAAGCCACCTACCATACAAGGATGGCATGACTAGATTAGGGAAACTAACTGTGGGTATGCTCTCACATCTATTAAGGCTGCAGCTAATCCAAAATTTAATGATGTTTTTAAAATATTTCTCACTGGACTCCTTCGTCCCTATAACCATGTGAACTCTTTTCATTCATTTTACCTTTCCTGATTATTCTGGTTTTTCCAGTTAAAAATGCCTATTTATTCATTTATATATTCTGCTTCCTCCCCAGTTCCTTCTTTTTAGGGAATTTTCACCATATTCTTAACTAAATAACAGAGTCTTGCTTTTACGGTGTGTGTTTTAGACTAACAAATGCCTCACTCCAACAGCACCCGTGGCTGGGAATGAAGATAAGGATTCAAATTAAGAGAATATGACATTACAGATCCAGCTGTCCTTCACTTTATCTTAATTGAGGCTTTTGTGCAAGCCTTTGGGGCATGGCAGGAGTGTCCCCATGACATGCAGTTGTCATATTTTATGGTGAACTGTGGTTAGGAAATTTTGCTTTTAACGTGGTTTTAGAAACGTTGTTAGCTGCTCTGTGTGCAGAAGAGTACGATGCAATAAAATAAATTACCTCCACCTTCAAATTCAGTTCTGCTCTACTGTAATATTTTCTTTCCTCCCACCTATCCCCTGAGGCTGACAAGACAAGGAGGAGGACAAGAAGGTGTAACTTTCAGCATTGCATGGGAGAGGGAACTTCAGGAGAGGCCTGCTTTTTCTCTCAGCCCTTCAAACTGCCTCTTCTGCACAAATATGAAACGCCAACGTCCTTTGCAGCCAGCCACCCGAATATACTCTGAATTGACCCGATTATTATTATTATTATTTTGAATTGCCTTTTGCATGCACCTCAAGTCAATTTACAAATATATCTAAGGCTAAGAATAGTTTTTAAAAGGGTGCAAAAAAACCAGCTAAAGACAGCTGCTCATTTTGTGCTGTTTTTAAACCTAAAGCCAGTGCTTTTTTCCTTAAAAAATGTTTAGGGGTACTCTCATTTTCCTATTCATATTGAAATACTGCCCCTCAATGAGGTCAGATTCACAAAATGTTTAGGGGTATGTGTACCCCTGCGTCCCCCCAGAAAAAAGCACTGCATATGGCAGAGACCTTTCCACCCGGCTGGAAAAGCTAGTCAAAACAAAAAAATGTCTTTGACTGCTTCCAGAAAATACAGATTGTGGGTGCCCATCGTCTTTTGACAAAGATGCTGCCACTCTGTGAGCATGGGCGCCCGGACTGAAAGCCCTGCCACGGAGCGGGCTTCCGTATTTTAGGGACGTGAAGGAAGAGCTCTCCTGCAAAACACAGCGACCTCCTGAGAATATGAAGGACAAGGAACACTTCTCATTATCCATAGAGCCGGCATCGAACATTTTTCCAGCATGAGGCGAAGCTGAAAATGCACCCCTGCCTCCTGTGACTGTGCCCATCGCAGTTATTTTGGCACCCGAGGCCGAAAACCCCACAAGCCGCCTTCCCCTTCGGTGGCGGTAGAATGTGATAATAAATAAACAAACGAAGCAGCTCCTTGCCCTTGGATGAGGCCTCAAATCAGCTCCTTGAGGCGGCCCTCTCCCTCTGCTTAATGGTAGAGCCGGCCCTGTCTGTGCCGCTTCCTCCGTACGCACAAACACACCTCATTTCTTCTTTTATATATATGTCTATATACATACAAATATGTGCCCCTTTATCCTTTCCCTGACACTTTTCTTCCTCCCTGCCTTCCTCCCTCTCTCCTCCCCTCGGTTTGCACAGGCCCAGTAATCAGATGAGGCAACCGGATTATCTCTAGTCCCTCTGCTGCCAGTCTCCATTTTGTTTCCTCACAGCCTTTGGGGTGGCAGGCACTCCCAAAGTGGCTCACCTGGAGATGTGAAGAGGGGGGAAACACACACACAACCCCTCGGGCTATTTATTATTATTATTTTATCCGCCCCCCCTCCCGCGCGCCCTCTTCCCTTCTCGCTTCGAGGGCTGCTTTGCCGCCTTCCCTCAGCCTCATCCCCTGGTGGCCGTTCCCAAAGGGAGACTTCGAGCAAGAGATCGCGCGCCATTCCGGTCCTCTCTCTTCGCCTATCGAGCATCCTCATCCTTCGTGGGAATCCCCCAAGAGCTGGAGGCGTCTGCGGCCTGGATGTGAAACCTCCGTGACTTGGAGGGAAAGGTAAGGTCTGCGGAGGCCGGCGCTTGTTTCCCTCTGCCCTCTATCAAAGAGGGAGAAACCTCGTCGGAGAAACCTCTCTTCTTCTTTTTACGAATCACAAAGCGTGCGCGTGAAAAGGGGCTGTCGAGGTTTTCCTAGGGAAACCTAGCAGTGACTGCGTAGCCATGATGGGCTTCCTTTTCCCAGCGGTGGCGGGAAAAAAGAGCCCCTTGAGACGCCAGTAAGGAAGCTCGCCGGATTCAACGCGGATTCATAAGTGTATTTTCTCGACCCCCCTTTGCCAGATGTGTGCCAGCTTTTGCTTAACTATCCCTTTCGTCCCGTGGAGGATTTCCAAAGTTTGATTGGCGCGTTTCAGCTTGGCCCCCTCTTGTCCTCATCTTCGTCCCAGCTTAGGCCACTGTGGCGGGGGGGGGGTGTACTTTGCACATGCTCAGGGGCACCCACGCCTGCTTTTGAGGGTTCCAGAATTAAACACAGGTTGTGGGACTGAGTTAACACCCCTCTGGTGCTGGGCCATGTGGCCGGAGTCAAGTCTCTGCTGTGCTTGTGTTGTATAGTGATTTTGTTTCCATTCTTTGATGTTTTAGGGATGCTCAGGGTGGTTCACAGAATAAGATCAAGATATAAAACCACAAAATACATGATAAAAATAAAAATAACAACCCACTAGGCCCCCCACACACAAAAAACACGTTTTAAAAGGGCATAGGATGTTGAATTATTGGTGTTGAATGTGGTCTGTGAGAAATGGGAGGGAACAAGCACTCCCCTTTTTTGCTATGAGGTCGCAACCAATAACCTTTGAATTGCCCCAGAATTATAATCAAGAGATATGCTGTGCTAGGAGTGCCAACATGGCGCCACGATCATGGGTGCCCGGGGCTGTGGGTGCTGTGCAGCATGCATGGCCCTGGCACCGGAATTTGTGGGTGCCCGGCCCCTTGGGGAAATTTGTGGGTGCTCGGGCACCCAGGGCCTCAGGGACTTGGCACCTATGCACTGTGCAAATATTAGTGCTGTGCATTTTGTTACGCCCCCTTCTGGAATAAAAATTGACACTTCCACATTGTTTCTTCCTTAGATGGAATTCACTAAAGTTTTGGTGCTTTTTTAAAACAGCAATCTGGAGATGGATCTCTGAGATCTTTGTATTGTTGACTTTAAATGAGACAGAGTTCTTTTGCTGGTGGGTAAATGTAGACTATGACGGCAGATACTATAGCTGGGAAAATGTATTGATTGTGCACTGGCAGGAGGTGTGCATTCAGTTACTGCCCTGTGTGTTTCTTTAACTAGCTTTTGCTTAATTGCTGGAACCAGGAAAAAAACAATATTGGGAGGGCTCAGAAAGAGCAGCATGCATGATGCGTGAATATGTGTGAAATGCTTTTCCTTGTAAATACATGGGTCCAACAATGGGGGTTGGGGGTGTGAACTGGTTATCTGGGAGCAGGAGGAGAACCCTCTGGGTCCCAGCATTGGCTCCTCTGCTTTTAAGGACAGTGTGGTTTGCAGAGATTTAGCAAGCAGAGCTTTCCCAGCATAGAAAACATATGGTGGGAGAGAGCATATCTGCTTAATCTGGCTGCAAGCACAGAGCTGGTAAAAATGTTGGCAACACTACATGCAGCTTGCTCTTGAATACACTGCATGCCCCCACACTCGTTGCTCCAAAAGGTGCAATACCGCAAGATTTGGCAGTTTGTGTTGTGCTCACTGAACTAGAGAACTGCAGGAGAAAAGTCAAACACGTTTTCTTTAGGAAAATTGCACCTTTGAAATGTTAAATTATAGGAAAGAGTCATTGCTGAATGCAACAGGCTTGTGCGTTAGGAAAACATACAGGACAACTTTCCAAAAGATACCTGTATTAGTAACCAATGAATTTTTAAGTCAAATCTTACCGCTGTTTTGTGCCTAATAGGCACAAATAGGATCTGAATCTACACAGATATTTTTTTAAACGCTGTGAAAATGCCTTTTTAAAAAAAAGTAAAGTATATATGGAATCTGCCAGTAGCTTATCAGCTCCATCTAGTGTCACATTTGTATAATGCACTTAAAACACACTTAAAATGTTATATTTGCAGCTGTATAACTGAGTCCATAATAAAGACGCCCAAACTGTACTTTAACAGATAGTTAAGGAGGCATCTTGGAAGTGAAAGCCATACATAAAAGTGGAAAGAAGGCTACCATTACAACAAAATTATATGCATATTTACTCAGCTTGCACTGATGGAACATACTTATAAATTATTGCATCCAGAACTGCAACATTAGTTGCCAGTATTCAAAATCCTGTAATAAGTCAAGATTGAAGCAATATCATGCTCTCCCCACCACAATTATCATTTTTTCATATTTTTTTAAAAATGCTACTTTTAATACGTATATTCTACACATTTTTTTTATTTCCAGGAAATAGAAATTATTTTTAAGAAGATGGTAGCAATTAGTATTCCACTGGGGATTAGAGAGGCCAGATGCAAAGAAAGACAGGACTCTCCATGCCACCTTTAACAGCAGAATTCCAGCAGATGCAGCTTAATGCTCAGAGGTGAGAAGAGCTGTGCTACCAAAATTTCTCCTCTCTATACAACTATTAAAGGTAAAGGAGGCTTCCTTTTTTGCATCCTAGTGAGGATTGTGGTGGTTATGTGGTTTCTAGATTAATCTGACAGCAACTTGGAAGAAGTAACTTTTTTATTTTCCAATGCTTCCATTATAACTTTGCTGGAATATCATTCTGGCTAATATAAGATAGATAGATAGCTAGATAGATAGCTAGATAGCTAGATAGATAGCTAGATAGATAGCTAGATAGATAGATAGATAGATAGATAGATAGATAGATAGATAGATGTTGTTGTTGTTGTTTAGTAATGTCCAACTCTTCGTGACCCCATGGACCAGAGCACGCCAGGCACTCCTGTCTTCCGCTGCCTCCCGCGGTTTGGTCAAACTCATGTTGGTAGCTTCGAGAACACTGTCCAACCATCTCGTCCTCTGTCGTCCCCTTTTCCTTGTCCTCTCAATCTTTCCCAACATCAGGGTCATTTCCAGGGAGTCTTCTCTTCTCATGAGGTGGCCAAAGTATTGGAGCCTCAGCTTCAGGATCTGTCCTTCCAGTGAGCATTCAGGGCTGATTTCCTTCAGAATGGATAGGTTTGATCTGGTTGTAGTCCATGGGACTCTCAAGAGTCTCCTCCAGCACCATAATTCAAAAGCATCAATTCTTTGGCGACCAGCCTTCTTTATGGTCCACCTCTCACTTCCATACATCACTACTGGGAAAATCATAGCTTTAACTATATGGACCTTTGTCGGCAAGGTGATGTCTCTTCTTTTTAAGATGCTGTACCTAATGTCAATTTAAACAAGAGGCTTGCTTTTAATTTTAACAATGGTATATCTCTATCTTCTCCATAATGGTGGTTAAGAGACAGGACCAGCTCACGCATGAATCAAGGTGAGGCAACCCCCTCAGGCCAGAGATCCAGAGGGCCAGCAGATCCAGCCTCCAATAAATGAATTGCCTGCTGCCACCACCACTGCAATAGCTTTGGTGTGCTCCTTGGAGGTTGGATCTGTCACATCTTTGGCAGCCCTCTCCCCCCCATGCCACCTCTATAGCAGTTTCTTGGCAAATAGGAGGCTCTGCTGGTCTCCCACCCCTAGAGAAGAAATGGTGGAAGGCTGCCCTTAGGGGTCTTCTGGGCTCTGCATCCGCCTGGCATGATTCAGAGCAGGCCCCTTTCCCACCACAATGGCCTTTGATTCCCACTTCAACCATTGGGTAAGGCTGACGTGATTCCCCTTCCCCTTGTTTCTTCACTCACCCTCTTATTCCCGATGTAGATCTTTATTCTTCCCCTTGTTCGCTTACTCCTTCTTCCCTGGCAGGGGGAAAGCACCATTTTGTGGTTTGCCTCAGGTGCCAAAATGTATTGGACTCACCTTAGTAAGGGGTAGTACATACACGCTCAACTCTTCACAGCTACACTTGGATCTGTGAATAGGCCACTAACACAGCAGACTGAGCCTTCGTATTGTCTCAGGTAACACTTGGCAGTGTAGTCAGCGCACACATCCAACTTCCAGTCATATGGTACTCAAGTGCACACCTGCACCAAGTCTAAAAGTAAGGCTAAGCGATAATTTATCAATGCAGTGCTTTAGTGCACATCCTTCCTAGCAGTGCAGGAGAAGGAATTTAAAAGGTTTCCCAATGCTAACACTATGAAGCTAGGCTGTGGAGCCTACGAGGGTCCTGCAGTCACCTGTGTGGACATTGTTTCTAAACTATGTGGACTACAGGGATCAGGTGTGTGGCAAGACATATGCCACACAACATACTACAAAGCCCTAAATGCCCTACCTGCCAAGTTTAATAAGTACAGCATTTAACTTACTAATTTCATACTGTAGCCATGTCCACACGAGATTTTCTAACTTCACTGGTTCAGTGAATTAGTGCCAATCCATAAATACAGTGAAGTAATGTTTGCACATTGTGTGGGGTTTTCCACACTGACATTGGTCCCATCAACTACTGTGCTGGACTACTGCGAATTAATATGGGCACAGCTATTGTTTAAGTAGAATCGGTGCGTCTGGATACCAGCTAAAAGCTGATCTGTGCATGCAGCAGGATCAGGGATGAATCTACACACGGGGGGGGGGGGGACGCTATAAATAAATCAGAAATTAAATTGTTATAACAAAATAAAAAAACGCTATGTAAAAATCACATCAATTTTTTTTTGCTCTCCACCGCCATCTGGTGTTGCATGTTTATAACACGTTCAAAATGTTGTTTGTTGACTAATGTAGCTGAGTCCCAGGTCATATAGTTTCCACCCACCTAGACTATACTATTGTGGTGGGAATATCTCTGTATATGGAAAGCTAGGGCACCAGCGAGAAGGCCAGCCTAGAACTATGCTCCATGATATGCTAGTTTTCCATGTTCAGGATGTTGGACGTTGGTGGTTCGTTTTTTGTGGGGAAGCACTCAAATATGCAATTGCTACCTGCACTTTGAATAGCACAGTCCATTCACCACGTGATTCTGCTGCATGTGAAAATCAAGTATCAAACCCCTTTTGCTAAAAAGTCACACTTCATCTGACAGTACCGGTGCTTGAAAAGTTAGTTTTAAACAGGAGAATGTTATAGTTCTAGTTCACCTTGTCCAAAAAGGAACACCTGTGACTCTTCACCAGCCTGACTCGTGTCTGCATCTTGGCCTCCCTGATTCCACTCTCCTGCTTCAGCTTCTGCCCCTGATTCTGGACTTCTCTCTGCCACAGACTCTCCCAGCTCACTAAGCCATGTTACCCCTTCAACTTCTGACACCTCCTCCTCCCAGTCTTCTCTCTCTTCTCCCTCTGACCTCTCATTGGTGCCCCACCACCAATCCCCAAGCTCTGAGCCTTCTTCTCTTGGGGGTTCCCCACTGGGTTACTCTCACCATTCCTCCTTTTCATTCTAAGCACTGGACAATATCATCTGCATTCAAGTATAAGAGACGTGTACTTGAATACTTAATCAGGTTTCATAATTCAAGTTACACAAGCCCTGCTCCACACACCCCTCAAGTGCTTTTGCCCAAGTGGAGGATGGAGAGTTTAAGTGTGTAGAAACCACTGGTGCCTGCATAGCTGGTTAGTAGCCTGTTATGGAAGTAAAAGTAACAGTTGCCTCCACTGTTCCATCCACATTTGCCTCTGGCTGCCACACCCACCATTGGCATGTGGTGCCCAGAAAAGAAGCCCACAAGGAAACGTAGCCCACAGTCTGAAAAAGGTCGCCCACCTTTGCTCTAAACCATCTTCCTTAACCAATGCCAAAACTGGCATGTCACGTGGATATTGAAACCAGTGATCCACAGAGCTTAAACTCAGTTATCACATGCATTTCAGACAAGGGCATCTGTTAAACTTCATTTATTTGGTATAAATGATGGGGAAATGGGGAAGAGTTTAGGAAAAGTCAGGAAGCAGGGGTGGATATAGAACAGCATGAACGGTTCCCTCACACTGGGCACTGGGCACTGAGCTGAAGGGGGCACTGCGACCAGGATGTTGTGCGTGTGCCGAGCATAAGGCAATAGGCGAGGAGGGCATCAAATTTTATCCTCACACAGGGTGCCACTGAAATCTGAAAGAAGGCTGAGGTTGAACCAGTTCTCCAGTTGGAGGTCCTGTCTCACTTATTATTTTGAGAACAAAGGCTACACAATAAAATTGGATTGGTTTTATATAAGTTGAACATATGCTGCCCCCTCCCCTCAAAGAATCCCAAGAATTGTTGTTGGATTCTGACAAATATCCCTTAGAAGTACAATTTCCACAGGTTCGTTTGAAGAAGGGTTAATGATAAACCAGTTTTAAGTCTCCAGTGTAGATTTATTAGCCTTTCCATTAAGTCTCTGTCAGTTCCCTCCTCCTTAATAGATGGTACCTATTCTTGCCAATTCATGTTAGCACAGCAAAATGGCTGGGCAGCACATGCCAAAACCCCTTTGTGCAGGTTGGTGTGTGTGTGTGTGTGGATTGGGCAGAGGTGTCCTCAGAGTTTCCACCTGCAAAGCGACGCCGGTGTCACTCTGCTGGCCTGGAGTTCCCAGTGGGACCACTACTGGCAGCAGCCCATAGAAAACCCCCAAACAGGTGCAGGAGGGGGTTGCAGCAGCCCAGAGTGTGCTGGATCCTGAGCTGGCCCCACTGGCATTGTGAGATGTCATTGGGCCTGATCTGGGTCTGGTCATTGCACCAACTCCATGCTCCACCCCACCCACCGGCACCCTCCACCCCAACCAGCATGATTGGCAGGGCTATGGACACAGTGGTGCCCTCCCTGCTCTCTGGCCAGGGTTTAGGCTGCAGCTTTAGCCTTGTTGTACAAAAGTATAGATTTAACACAAGTAGTAAAAAATCAGATATATCATATAACTTAATTCTACTTCACCAGTACTGGCACAGTTGTTAATCCAATTTAAGAATGTGAGAAGAGCCCTTTTGTACAGTTGTAGTCACAGCCCCTTTTCATTGTAGCTATGGAGCACCACTTCATATGCCTTGGACAGCAGCTGGTGTCAATTTAATTTACACTCAGCCTGTTCCTGTTCCACTTTTCTAATTGCACAAGGGATTAACTAGACAACTTCACAAAAAGATTACAGTTTGATGAAGAGGTCTTTCATGTGGCTGCAGGTGTTCCTCTTCAACGGCACGCTAGCAGGTCTCTCTTTTTTGAAACAACAACAACCCAAGTGTGTGCACATTCAGACTTTATTGATCTCAATGCTAAGCAACACCGAAGCTCTTCTTTATCTACAGTTTCCCTTCCTACCTAAACTCTTTTTCAATCGGCAGTTTTAATGTTCACAAGCAGTAGTAGTGCCAGGTGAATAGATGTGGGGGAAATGACATTTCTCACTACCACAGCCACCACCTCTTTCCAACCAATGCTACTCAGTGCTCCCTGCATAGCTGGCACTTTGATTTAATTCTTAGTTGTCTACAGCAAGCCAGGACCCACAGCTTCGCTTCTACCTCCCTGCATGATTACAAACAATGGATAGCAGAGTTTTTTTCATTATTGCTGTTAGGTCATGACGCTTAACATTCTATATTGGTGCAACTGACTTTCTGGAGGTATAGGCTGCTTGAAATATCTCTTAAGATCCCATGCCTGTGGTCCACTGCTGTGTCCCGTTCTTACAGGGCTAGTGAAAGTTGGCAGTGTTTTGTTTTTTGTTTTGCTCTGATGCTAGAAGTTGGTTTTGCCAGCTGGCTTTTCCCTTTCCATTGAGGCAGCATCAGCAGTCAGTTATAGCCCTTAAACTTCATTTCTTTCTTGTGCAGTGGACTTCCTTAGGGTGGCAAGGAGCAGGGTGGCGCTGTGGGTTAAACCACAGAGCCTAGGACTTGCCGATCAGAAGGTCGGCAGTTCAAATCCCCATGACGAGGTGAGCTCCTGTTGCTCAGTCCCTGCTCATGCCAACCTAGCAGTTCGAAAGCATGTCAGAGTGCAAGTAGATAAATAGGTACCGCTCCGGCAGGAAGGTAAACGGCGTTTCCGTGCGCTGCTCTGGTTTGCCAGAAGCAGCTTAGTCATGCTGGCCACATGACCCGGAAGCTGTCTGCAGACAAATGCAGGCTCCCTCGGCCTATAGAGCGAGATGAGCGCACAACCCCAGAGTTGGTCACGACTGGACCTAATGATCAGGGGTCCCTTTACCTTTACCTTTATACCCCATTCAAAGGGCTTCTTGTTAGCAGACTTCCCCCTCACCTGCCACCACCAATTCTTTACTTCCTATAGCATCTACAATGTGTTTTACAGAGTAACATAAACAGAAGGGAGGGGCACTGAGGTATCTGCAGTCTAATATTTCACAATGGGGTGACAAGGGTGGGGTGGGGATTTGAAAACATCAGGGCTAAGGGGAGCAATATGCCCAAATTCATTTGACTTGGAGTGAAATATTAGACCACAGTTCGATGGAGCATCATCCAGAGAAGCAGTTTGTCTCCTAGCTTGTGTTGACTGTTACAATTGTCATTAAAGTTGAGTTAGGCTGTCCAAAGCACAGTATGCTCCACAGGCAATGATTATTGCATGAGTATCCTGGCTGGATGTTTATACTGCTTACCCAAGGGTCCCTAACTTTTGGGGGCCCAGGGGACACATACACAAATCTAAGAAACTGACGTGGACACCAGAATATACCCATTTCACAGAAGAAAAGCTGGTGCTGCTCAGTCATAAAAAAGAGAAACCAAGCAAAACACAAGTATCTCAGACCAAAGGAAACATTAAAAAAAACATCAGGCAACACCCAACAATGACACACACACCCTGCCAAAAAAAACCCCCCATGAAAAATAAAAAATATTGGGCAGGGGCCTTGGTGAGCACCAAGGTGTGTGTGTGAAGGCACTATGGTGCCCGTGGATGCCACGTTGGAGACACTAGGATCACTCAATTAGACCATACACACGGTCCTATGCAAGCCCCTCCCCCCTCCTTTAATCGCAACCATTTAGTACCAGTCATCTGCAGTTATGACCCTTCTTGAAAGAAATATGAATCGGTAGCGGCCAATCTGGTGAGATGGAGCCCATGCAGCCCTGATCTCACACTGCCTCCCTAGTGTGAATTGCCTGGTTAGTTTTCTGCTGCAGTTCTCAAGTTGGATCAAAGCTGGCTTGCAGTATCAAACGGCAGTATTTCACGAGAAACCACAGGCTATCTTCATTCTGGGTAATGTATGTACACAGATGCAAAAACCAGTGGTGGGAGCACATTGCAACCAGAGCAAATGGTAATTGGATGCAGACTTGTATAGGATTGCATTGTTTAAAAAAAGGAAAAGTATCCTTTAGATAGAGATCTAAAAATAAGCAAAACCCTGGCATCAACACCTTGAAGAGGGGATTAACTCAGTTAACTTTTGTTTCTTTCTCACTCTCAAGGCTTCCAAAAGAATAAATGACCACCTGTCAATATTTGTGTTCCAAAGCTTTCAGCATAATCTGTGAAGATTAATCCTATCAGAAGTTGCCTCAAGCTCAGCAAGTGCTGTATAAAAAGCTCCCTTTGCTCTCAGAATATTTAATCATATGGCAACTGAGAATATAAGGTCAGTCAACCTTTCCCCACATCTTAAACTTATCTGTTCTTCTGAAATTACAGTATATTAAACTTGATCTAAATTTCCAGATTATTCAGCAAGAAGCCCAGGTAAAGTTTTGAAAGAACCACCAAGAAAACTTATTGGCCTAGTAATTACTAGGGTAGCTTTAGTCTTATTTTCTTTATTTATAGTATTTGTACCTCACTCTTCATCCAAAAAGAATCCCAGAGTGGGTTACATAAAATCAAAACAAAACATTTTGCCTTTCGAAAAAAATAAACCAATAATTGACTCATAATACTCATCTTCAAAATATTGAGAATCTTACCACAAGTAAACAGCTTTTTTCCTTTTTCTTTTTTAGTACAGGTGCTAAATTTATGCAACAAAGTGTCCGAACATAAAAGAGGGCTATCACAGATTAAGGAGCCATTTACCGCATTAGATTCAATGGCACATTTACATCCGCCAGCAAATACTTCCTTTGGTTTCAAGGTTCTGAAAATTGAGGTGCACATTAAATTTGATGGCACATTAGACTTGAGTGAATACGGTATTTTTATTAGGTCATTCTGAATCCCCAAAGGTTCTGATAAATGAAAACTGAGGCTTGATATTTGTAAGCGTCTGCTCACTGTCTGTTCTTTAATTAACAACTTTCCCACAGCCTTCCCAGTCAACAAAGTGTAGATATCCTCTAACATGCACCAATAACTCCTCTAAAAGTAGAATTTGCCAAGCATGGTAGATTTGTGTTTATAAATGGGACTTTGCGCCCTCCACCCCTGGCTGTTCATCTTGTATTCCAACAAGAATGCTTGTTTAGGCTAGAAAAAATGGCTTGCATTCTCATTCTGAATGCTCCATTCCTCAGTTTGTGAGCAGAAAGAGCGGTATATAAATTTAATAAATAAAATAAAATATGGTTGATTTGGGGATTTTTTTGGGGGGGAGTGTTATTGGGTTGTTGTTGTTTATTTTGATCATATATATTGTGGTTTTATATTTTGATTTTGTTCTGTGAACTGCCCTGAGACCTCTGGGTATAAAAAGGTAAAGGGACCCTTGACCATTAGGTCCAGTCGCAGACGACTCTGGGTGTTGCGGTGCTCAACTCGCTTTACTGGCCAAGGAAGCCAGTGTTTGTCTGCAGACAGTTTCCGGGTCATGTAGCCAGCATGACTAAGCCGCTTCTGGCAAACCAGAGCGGTGCACGGAAATGCCGTTTACCTTCCCGCCGGAGCGGTACCTATTTATCTACTTGCACTTTGACATGCTTTTGAACTGCTAGGCTGGCAGGAGCTGGGACCGAGCAATGGGAGCTCACCCTGTTGCGGGGATTCGAACCGCTAGCCTTCTGATCGGCAAGCCCTAGGCTCGGTGGTTTAGACCACAGCGCCACCCGCATCCTCTGGTTATAGAGTGGTATATAAATTCAGTAAATAATAAATAAAATAATAAAATAAAGAGCTCTTCAGAGGATTTAAGTAATACGACATACATTTAAAAGGAGAGGAATCTCCATTAATCATGCCCATGATTTGGGAAACTGTTGGAATTCTAGTTCAAACCATAATGGCTGAAACCCTTTCGTGTTTTGTTATGTTTATTTACAATGACCCTCATTGCATAATTGACTTTTTCCAAAACTTCCTTCTCACTTTGCATAATATGGCAAGATTAGCTAATATTTTAACAGCTTCATGTGGTGTGATGTAATACAGTCACATTATGCTTACAGAACTATAGCGTTGGAAGAGAATGCAGGCAATCTTTTACCCAACGTGGGGCTCAAACCCACAACCCTGAGATTAAGTCTCATGCTCTAACGAAGGAAACTCTTATATGCATGTTATACCCAGTTTACAGTCTCTTACACAGTATGATATGCAGGGACAAGAAGGAAGCATGTGTTAAATCAAATTGGTTAAATCAAACAGAGATGCCCAGGTGTAACAAAAACTTTAGGCCAAAGTCTCTCTTCACTTTTTTCATGGAGTAGTTACTAGAGGTCTTGGTTAACAGTTTTGTTTAAGAAATCGAACACATAACCCATATTTTAACAATTATAGCAGAGCTTTTCAAACTTTTCATGTTGAGGACACACTTTTTAGACATGCATCATTTCGCGACACAGTAATTCAGTTTTACTAGCAAACCGGGAGGGCTGCCCGCTCCCTTTGCAGCCTTGGGGGGAGCACAGGGAGCGTTCGTGCGACACACCTACACATTGCAGCCAAAACACTAACGTGTCACGACACACCGTTTGGAAAGTTCTGAATTACAGCCTTTATACCTGTCTAGTGTGATGGATGTGGCTGGGTTTTCAGAGGTGAAAGTCAGGTCAGGTTCATCAGTCACCTTTAACTGGTTTTTTTTTGGGGGGGGGGCAGAATCAGTGTGCTGTGTTATGAAAATTACGGGGCCAAGTCTGGGCCCTTGATGACCTGTCCGATAACCCAGCCCTGCCCAAAACGGCCTCAATATCTGTCAATGGGGAAAAATTAACCAAGTGCAAATGTTCTCAGCTGCTCTCCAGCCTTTCAGCAGCCCACCTGAATGGAGCTTGTGGACCACAATTTGGGAACCTCCAGTTTAAAGCTTGTTTTTCTGTTTTAAAAAAACAAGTCTGCAAGCTCTGAAATAGAATACGGGCAAATATTCTTGCTGACCTACATTTAAACACACATTGCCTTTGGTTTATTTGCTCGAACAAGATTATTTCAAGTGCAGCTAGAAGCAAGAGGAAGGTCAGTCTGAGCATTAAATAAAACCTAGCGCAGTGATTTGATTAGTAGCAATTTACCATCTGGAAGGAAGGACATTTTAAAGGCAGCTGCATTTGGAGACAAAATTGCAGGTCATTTTTGTTTTTCATTTTTAAATTAGAGAAACTATATTACCTGTCAGGAAAACAAAACACTTGAGTAATCCTTTCGGTTACGTGTACGAAATCCTCAGGATTAGCCACCCCACCTGACACATCAGGAGCAGGGAAGGAGAAAAGATAGCTGATTCCCATATGCTGATATGCAGCTGGCAATGGCTGATGAAACAAAACAAAAACTCATAGTTTTTTGTGCGTGTCGTGTCGCCCAAATCTCATTATGAACACGGAAGGATGAAATTATTGTATTAGTTTGTGGCAGGAGCAGGAGGGGAATTTATCTTTGATTTTAGTCAGAGATCACCCCTCCCCACCCTCCAGCCTTGTCTTAATGCGCTGTATAAACATAACATTCCAAGAAAGATATTGGGAATGCTTTGCAAACACGAATTAAACCTTGGGGTGGATGGGTGGGAAATCTTATCCCCTTATTGTGATTAAGTAAACAGAATCACAATTAGATTAAGGAGCCTTCAAAGTCGTACACAGGTGGCTCTCAACTTATCCTGGGGTTACCTTCCGGAGATGGCACCTGGAGCCAAAATTGTGTACAGTCAAAGTGCATTGGGTTCAGTGGCAGCCCGGACACTGAGACCCAGCGCTGAGGGCCTTCTGGCAGTTCCCTCATTGCGAGAAGTGAGGTTACAGGGAACCAGACAGAGGGCCTTCTCAGTAGTGGAATGCCCTCCCATCAGATGTCAAGGAAATAAGCAGCTATCCTATTTTTAAAAGACATCTGAAAGCAGCCCTGTTTAGGGAAGTTTTTAATATTTAATGCTTTATTGTTTTTAACACTTGATTGGGAGCCACCCAGAGTGGCTGGGAAAACTCAGCCAGATGGGAGGGGTATAAATAATATTTTATTATTATTATTATTATTATTATTATTATTATTATTATTACGTATATAGGATTGCCAAAGTTTCTTCCTCCAGGTACCTTCCCCCCTTTCCAATTTCTTTTGCCAAGTGCAAATAGCTGAATGTGCGCAAGTTAAATGCCCACAAGGTGCAAGTTACCTGTAGTGAAGTACTGATCAGTTTTAAAATAGATTAAATTCCTGTTTTATTATTCAGATTTTTGTGGGGAAGGAGGCATGTTTCATAATTTTTAAATTGAGGGCTTGAAATGATATTGTTGATGGTTTATGCCTTCTCAGTAGTTTGTCCATACTGTAAATATGCTGCATAGAAGTCTGGACAAGCTATTAAATTACAAGGCCTAGCCTGGTAGGTAATTGGCTTTTGACAGCAGTGGGGTGTGACTTACCCCCTATTCCCTGCACGTACAATTTGTGACCTACAGAAACTGAACGGAATCACCACCCAATGGACTTCATGGCTCTTCTCTCCCTCCCCACCCCCTTTGTAGTTTCTAGAAAGTTTTTAAAACTCCATACATGTCGAGCAGACTTTTCTTATTTTCAGGTCCAGAGCACAAGAAATACTTGCCCCCCCCCCCGATACTTGTGTTGGAAGAGATGGTTTGCTACCGCCATGTATTATTTAGGTAGTGGTGAAACTGATCTTTTGCATAATCGAGAGATTTCGGTGTAGTTCACAAATTGTGGATTCTTTTGCACACTTATTTCTTCACAAGCAATGCTTCCCAGAAGTTGCTGGTTGTAATCAGGGTGTCTGTAATGAGCTTACGAACAGATAAGAACCTAGATACAGCAGCCTTCTACGAGAGTCAATCTTATAAGTAAATTAAAATCACACTGCCCTTCTTGGTGTAAAACGAGGCATGTGGTTGCCTTGGTGTTAAAAGTAGAGCTCCTTGCCCTCTATTATTTCTGCACAGGCTTCTGTCTCATGGACACTGCTGTTATAAAGTCAGTAACGGTTACCAGGAGGAGGCCTCAGTAGTCTCCTTAGATGTGGCAGGCAAATAGGTTCCTGTGAATCCTCTGTGGATGCTGAAAATGGTACTACAGTGGTACCTCGGGTTAAGTACTTAATTCGTTCCGGAGGTCCGTTCTTAACCTGAAACTGTTCTTAACCTGAAGCACCACTTTAGCTAATGGGGCCTCCTGCTGCTGCCACGCCGCCGGAGCACAATTTCTGTTCTCATCCTGAAGCAAAGTTCTTAACCTGAAGCACTGTTTCTGGGTTAGCGGAGTCTGTAACCTGAAGCATATGTAACCCGAGGTACCACTGTCCTGGTTTCTTGACTTCTACCAGGCTTTGCCCACCATTTTGTTTACCTGAGTTTCCCACACTTTTTCGGTTCATATGGAATGGGGAAATTTTATTTCCAATTGGTTGAAATTTGGAGGGCTTCCCAGCATTTAAAGCCACAATCTTCTACCAGTTGCTTGGGGCAGCTAAGTGATACTCACTCCCAAACCCCACAGGAGAACTTGAGCTAATGGGATCATTTTGTTGGATGGAGCCCAGAAGCTTTGGCATAGAGTTTGGTGGGAAACCACATTTCAGAGCTCAAGTGTTTCTGCTTGTGGGTGTCAGGGGTGCTTCTCAGCAAAAGCAATGCACATGGCAGATAGTTAATGATTTATTGTCAAAGATAAGACTTGCAGTCGCTTCTGCAGCTTTGGATATCTACACACACCAATCCCCATCTCAATCCCGATTTTCCTGGGACATCCCAGAATTACAGAAGCCATCCCAGCTTCTGATTTGATCCCATAATGTCCCATTTCCCCCCACCGGCGCTGCCGCCACTGAGCTTGAGGAGGAGGATGAGCCAGCGCTTGCAGTGGTGCTGTGCTCTCACACGAGTGTGGCGCCAAAAGACATTCTCATCCGAGGAATGTTGGAGGGTATGTAGCCTAATGGCTAGGCAGCTATTCCCAGGTCCATGCTCTATGGAGCAGTTGCAGCAACTGGGGACCACTCCCCCTCCTCTGGTTTATATACCTTCCCCCAATGGGCTGCACGCATGTAGCTGGAAACTAAGCCTACATGGAAGCTGCCTCTGCTCTTCCCCCTTCAGTTCTCTCCTGGCTCTGGGAGGCAGTGGTGCAGGAGAGGGTGAGGAAGCACCCAGCCCTTCACTTGTGTGCCTGTCTCTTCTTCCTCCAGCCCTGACATGTCCCATGCTTCTGATTCTTGCCTCTTGGCTGGTATAGAATCCCCACAAACCATTGCCCCCCTCTAGTGAGTCAGACTCCGGCCCCCTTTCCCCCCATGGCACACTTGTCAGTGTTCTCCTGCCAGTGGGGCTCCCAAGACCAAAAGAAACTCATGCTTAGAGAAAAATAGCTTTAGAGAAGCCATTTGTGGGGTGGGAATAGTAAACCCTCCTACCTTTCCAGAATAAAGCAACAGCACTTGCAGTAAGTTACTTGAACTTGGGACGAGGGGGAACTCTTGAGACCTGCCAAGCTCTGTCCTAAATATCTGTACCAGCCTCTGACCTCTTGCCTATTTTACTTCTGTGGTGCCATGCAATATACAGAGGGAAGTACTATCCTATAGGGATAGCCATGGAGATTCTGCACTAAGGCCAGTCTATCTGCTTGGGAGGTAAGACTAAGGAACGTAGAGAACAAAGTAACCCTCCCTTTGTGCAACCAGCTCTCCAATGTCTGTAGCCTGTTGGCCTGACTTTGCACGTATTCAAAAAGCAACGACTTTGCAGTTTGATCAATCTGCTGTTCTTACAGGCTGAACCTCAAAAGATTAGCAGTGTGTTCTTGTTTTTTATGTGCATCTCTCAAATGCTTTGTGGGTTGTTTGTACTTATTGTTGTACATACACTCTGTTTCAAAAATAAAACAGGCTGTTAATTTTTTAAAAATCACATATGAATTCAAATATGTACAGGTGTGGCGTATTCAGGTCTTGTTTGAATGCAGGAAAAGTGGATTAACAGCTGAAAAACGCTCAGATGTGGGCAAGCCCAAAGCCTTCTCTACCAAAGCCAGCTTCTAAGCTGGGTGTGAAATGCATCAGGATGGATGAACTGTCCTAGTGAATAGGATAGGGAACCAGGGAAAAGGGCCTTATTTGCATATGTGGACCTGAGTGGAAACTATCTACAGTTTCCCCCTGCTGGCCCAGGGTGAGAACTTCAGTACATAACAAGGGCCTTCTCGGCAGCGGCGCCCTCCCTGTGGAATGCTCTCCCACCAGATGTCAAGGGGATAAATAACTATACAACTTTTAGAAGGCATCTGAAGGCAGCCCTGTATGGGAAGTTTTGAATGTTTGATGTTTTATTGTGTTTTTGTATGTGTTGGAAGCCGCACAGAGTGGCTGGGGCAACCCAGCCAGACTGGCAGCATTATTATTATTATTATTATTATTATTATTATTATTATTATTATTACTTAGCATGGAGGGGCATGCTGAGTAGAGGAGAAGCTGAAGCAAGGAAGGCAGGTTGGGAGGAAGAGAAGGCAAGGAGAAGATGGGTGTCTATTACCTCTTCTGGCATCACCACCCAACACTTTGGCCTATCTATGAAATTTCCTAAGCCTTTACACAACGGGGGCGAAGAATGGATGGTGGCCTGTCAGGTGTTGCTGGTCTACAGTTCTCCCTATCCCACTCTATTGGCCATGCTGGAATGAAGTTGATACTGGAGTTGGAGTTGAACACCTGGAAGCCGGACTAGCAGGTTCCAATCCCTGCTATACACTTTATAAAGTATACAGCAAATTTATTTCTTAAAAATAAAAATGGGTTTTTTGTTGGTTTCTGCTGTCTGGATATTGTTTTTGTTCCAGTGTGTTTAATCTTTTATGTCAAGATGGAAAACTTGGCTCTTAATCTGAAGCGTCAGTCAAATACAACTTTTAGTTTAATTCTTTAAAGATGAACTTTGCCAGTGCTTACTCTTGAATAAAAGATTAGCACTGGTGCATTGCTAGGCTTTCCTAAGCTCTTTGTCGACAGCAACACGTGCTCTAAAAAATCTCCTCCCAATTCTCCATAATTTAATTAAATCCTTATGTATTTCATCTGCCTACTTTCCATTTTCCAAATTGCAATTCAGACCCTGCAGGTTATTCAGAGTTCCTTTAAAAAAAATAACTTTTTTTTTTACAAGATTGTCCAGGGATTTCAGTAATTTGCCACCAGATCAACATCAGCAATCAAAACAGAAAATCTAATAATAATTCAGATTCTATATTTACTAGTACATTAAATAGGTCACTGCTTTAATCATAACTCATAGAGGAGACACACACGCACACATGCATTTGTTGGTTTCAAGCAAAGCAGTTCAGTGCAATTAGCAAACGCATTTCAGATCCGCTTCTGAAGCTAAGCCAAAAATAGTGGATGTTAATTCCATTTCTATCCTAATCCTTCTTCTGCTTGTCTAATGTTTTGGTACTCATAAGTCATAACATGTCCACTTCAAATTGTATGTTTCCTGTTTGCTGTGCCCAAATACAGATTTGTTGCAGATTTCCAAACATAAGTACCATATTAAGAGTGAATTCAATGTTAATATTATTTTTTTTGCTTGGAAACTGGTTTCATAACACTGCGATTGGTTGTGAACCTGCAGCCGTGGAACTAAATGTAGTCTCCACTCAGGCGTGCACACACACACACACACACGTTTAATCTTACTCCTAAGTGAATATTCTCCTATCATGTTGCCTCCATGGCAGGAAAGTTCCACCTTAATAAATTTAAGGGATTATATCCTACCTTTTGACTTAGAAAGCTGTCAGGGTGGCGTTCAGACTAATTTGTAACCATCAAAAAAGCAGCTGAAAACAAACAACAAAATTAAAAACAGCTGAACACTAAAATATAATTAAAAACCTGAAAAAAACAGGTGGGTTTTTGCTGGCATCTAAAAAGAAAAGTCTCTTGGAAAATAGAAGCTTTTGACTTGTTAAAATGCCAGATAAGTAGCAGGGATTACGACATATGTGAGCTGTAGTATGGTTGCATATACACTATACATTACATTTTCCACCCCTCCCACAAAATCCTAGGAATAGTAGTTTGCCCCTCTCATAGCATCCTCAATAAACTACAGTTCCCAGGACTATTTGGACGGGGGATGTGAGTATATGCACGGCCTTGGGTGTGACTTTATTTTAGAACCTGCGCAAAGCTGTTTTAACACATGAACTGCTTTTAATTGTCTCTTTTTCCCCCTTTCTTGCCCTAGAACTCTCCTGTGCCATGGAAACAAACAGCCACCAACTCCACCCTCATCAGGAAACCTTGAACTCTGTTTGCCACAGCACTCTCAACCTGAACTATCACCCTCTCTCAAAGAGCTCCACAAATCTGGCCGGCGTTGGGCAAGTGGGTTCTGAGGAGGGACACAGCAGCAGGCAGGAGCTGCGAAAGAGCCTCAGCAGCTCTGCCTGCCAAGCCCAGGCGAGGGAGAACGACCTGGGAAGCACACCTAGCTCTGCATGGTCTTCAACCCGCTCGGAAATTGCATCCACTCTCCGAACTGTGAGCAGCCTGTCTCCAAGCGACAGCGTGCAGAGCACCACCAAAAGCACAAACCACTTCCTGGGTGTTGAGCAACCCCCAGCGACTGCGGGGGGGTTTGGCCCTAGGACACACACCAAGAGCAGTACCGCTGAGGATGTGTCCGCAACCTGTGATGCAAATCCGCAGCAGGTGAGCACGATGGAAGCACTGGGAGCTGCTGTCCAGAGAAGCCTTTCTGACCTAACGTGCAGCTGTAAGCAGCAGAGCTCCACTCCCCACATGGAGACAAGTGCCACATACTCTGCCATGCGCTCCAGCAGCAGTTACGGGGCTGCGGCCGGCAGCGTAGCGTTCCCAAGACCGAGATATGGATCAGACACATGTGAAAATGCCCCCAGTTTCCAAAGTCACATGAGTCGGGCCCCAAGTTTGCCTAGAGACCAAGATGTGCCCACTAGCGTCTTTGACAATGGTGCTGTATCGCAAAACGTTTTTGCGGACCCTGGAGCGTATCACTCAGCTGTTCTTGGGCCGCATATGCCTGGAGACCACTTCTCAAACAGGGCTATGTACGCCCAGGGTGGAATTGTGTATAGCAACTTTGCAGCTGGCATGTACCCACCTGGCATGGTGGCCATCCATAATAGTACTGCTCTTCCTTACGGCATGAGGCCGGAGTCTTCGATGAAGATGGAGGGCACCGTCCCGGCCTATTGCCATTCCTTGCCCATCCCTTCCCTTCAGTTCATCCCACGGTTGGTCTGCTCAGTTAGTGAATCGGGGAAAGGACAAGTGACCCCCGGGTATTGCCAGTCCTTGCCGGCTGCTGAAACGGCAACGCTTCCAAAGCTCGTGTCGTCCGTGAGTGAGTCGGGCCTAGATGCAAAGCGCATCCTGCGCTGCTGCAGTGTGCGTGGGGAGCACATGATGCACATGCAGCCTTGCGTGCAACCGAGCAGGGCCCAAGAGGAAATGAAGACGACGTACGTGGTGTTGAATAGCTGCCAGGACGGCGTCAACGCTGTCCTGAAGACCAAGGACACAGGGACGATGACCTCCATGAATGACCTCACCCGGGGACTGCAGCCCCTTCTCGAGTGCAGAGATGCAGAGGTGCAAACCATCCCAACGAAGGAATGTAAATCTGCAGCAACGAGCCCCTCGGTCGCAGCAGAAGGCCACCCTCACGTGTTCCCAGAGGTTAATCTGGAGCCCGAGGCAGAGGGTGAGAAGTCTCCGGTGCGGGAGGTGAGGTGGGACGATGAAGGCATGACATGGGAAGTGTATGGTGCGGCTGTAGACCCCGAGGTCCTTGGCTTGGCCATCCAGAAGCACCTTGAAATTCAGATAGAACAGTTTCAAACTGAACCGGAAGAGATCTCTAGGAAAAGTACTGAGGAGCTGCCGGCTAAACAGGAAAAGAAAACCTCTTTCAGAACAATGATGCATTGCCTAAGAAATCCAGGCTGCTGTGCCCGTTCCAGCACAGCAGTGGAATAAACTTTCCTAGCAGACTGCAAGACCGTTGTTGTTTTTTAATAGTTGCAAATAAACACAGGTACACAATATGGAGTCCCTTTGGAATCAAACTGGAAACTGTGAGCTGGTCTAAAATAGAACTCTGCAAAGCAGAGGCTCCAGGGACAGTTTTTAGTACATATATCCCTGATCTACATGTTACTCAGAATGAAGTACAGTAGTAGAATTTTGGACTGTTTCGCTTCAGATTACAGGTGGGGTTGGGCTCTTGTTTTTGAATGCTCTTCCACATGAATAAACCCTAACAACATGCATTGAACTAGCGCATGAGAGAGAGAACTGTGTTAAATCTTCCTCCCTGCTGTGCTAGTTTGCTACACTTGAAGAGTGTTTTTGAGGATGTGTGTATTGTTTTTAGGGGGAAAGCACTCAGTTTAATCAGTTGTCTTGAAGCTATGGACTCATGTCTTCCTGACCCCTTCCTTCCTGCATAGGTTAAATATGCTTTAAGTGAAATAAACAAATAAAATACTATTATTCCTCAACCTGTAGCCTAAAGTGCTACAGAATTATATAAATTGTTAAAATATATTATTCTCTTCCTCTACCCTCAGCTTGAAGTGGTCCAGAATTGTACCACCTTATTTTGAGTAATGTGTAGATCTATTAAAAGAAGAAGAAAGCCCAAATACCTGCATTTTATATATGGTATTGCTTTATCCAGGTGATCTAGCTCTGAATAATACTTCAAGCAAATACTGTGTTTTTCTGAACGACAGCTTGAAGCACATCATTGTATTTCCCTGTACATGTATGAATTGTAAGAACCTTTTAAAAACCATGCATAGAGAGAAAATACTGACTTAGTGTTAAACTTTGGTCCCTGCATTTGTCTTACTGCAACATTGTGCAGGTAGTTTTAAATACTAGAATTCCATTTTATACTTTTTACACAGATGGCATGTAGTAATTTATGAAAGCACATAATTGCGTACACTCCTTGTTACTAGATAGCTTATTGAATTACAATGCTGTGTACAATAAAACCTGTGACTTCAGTGCAATTAGTCTTTCCTCTAGACCGGATGCATTGCAGATCATTGCACAGCTCTTTGCAGAACATCACATCCAGTTTCTTCAGCCATGAGGAATTGCATCCTAAATACACAGGGGAGTCGGTGCTTACACTGTTACCAAGGCACAACTGTACCAGTGTTCCCAGAGAAGAGTCACAAATGCCTGGTTTACTATGAATTTTAATCTCAGGATAACCTGTCATTATGCGACATGGCTACTTTTGTTTTCCTGGCATTAAATGTAATTGTCCTCTTGAGCTGATGTCCACCAGACTGAAACAGGTGGCAGTTGATGAGGAAAGCCAGCAAGGCAATGAGCTCAGTGTCTGCTAATTGGGAAAAGTAAATAAAACAGATGTTTCCTTATTTTGCATATTGCACGTCATTTGGTTATTAATTGTGTTGCTCTTGCGTGTACAGCAGAGTTTCTCCAGGGGTGTTCCTGCTGCTTTTTGAAAAGCATTAAAGCATAAAGGATTTTCAAGGGGGGATTTAGGAAGTCAAAAAACCCACCCAGACACTCATCTATGTGCTGGCTGCATTTGTACATAACGCTAAACCATGGTTTATGAGAGTGAGCCTCAGACATGCATGCTTCCATTACACACACCCCGGCCTAAGGTTGGCAGTGGGGAAGAATGGGGGTGGGGAGACCTTTACCTCCATTTTTGACTAACCGCAAGATAAAGTTATGTCTGAACCTAGACAGACTGTGGTTTAGTCATAACTATGGTTTACTACAATGCACTAACGCCAAACTGTGGTTTATAAAGCTGGCCAAAGTTAAGATTAACCACAATTTAGGGTTCAGACATAACCCTAAGCTATGGTTAAATTGGAAGCTTTCCATCTCTTCATGACCCTCCCAGAAGGAGGGAATACACGAGCCTGAATTTTGCACAGGCTCACTGTCATACCACTGAGCCATGGCTACCTAAATGTTGAAAATAGCAGATACTTTTTAAAGCCCCGTCCCATAAAAACATGGCTCTGTTTATGCATTTCTGAAGCCTAAGGATGGCCTTTTAGAAAAATAAATGTTCTGAACTGGGATGCTTACTGGATTAATACTGTCTTTTTCAGTCTCCTCTGATGTGTGAAATTATTTGATGTAGATAAACAAGTGATGACCTTTCAGAAGGACGCGGGTGGCGCTGTGGGTTAAACTACAGAGCCTAGGACTTGCCAATAAGAAGGTTGGCGGTTCGAATCCCCGCAACGGGGTGAGCTCCCGTTGCTCGGTCCCAGCTCCTGTCCCCCTAGCAGTTCGAAAGCACATCAAAATGCAAGTAGATAAATAGGTACCGCTCCGGCGGGAAGGTAAACGGCGTTTCCGTGCACTGCTCTGGTTTGCCAGAAGCGGCTTAGTCATGCTGACCACATGACCTGGAAGCTATACGCCGGCTCCCTCGGCCAGTAAAGCGAGATGAGCGCCGCAACCCCAGAGTTGGCCACGACTGGACCTAATGGTCAGGGATCCCTTAACCTTTTTAAACAAGTAGTTCTCGATGAGTAGATTCACCTTTTCCCAGAACCCTCCAATTCTACTTGGATGGGGAGTTGCTTTGCCATCCTGCTGTTACTTTGGATGTAATTATTCTTTCTGCGTTCTGGTTTCTCGGTTTTTGATTCACATGCTAGCCTAGCTGTGCCATAGACCTTCATCGTGAGCTAGGGCAGACCAGCCAATTATTTAAAGGTGCAACTGAAAGGACAATAACATAAGCTCTGGGGATACCCCTCATGGAAGAGTGTTCCACAGGTCTTTTGGGGGGGCACCACTCTCTCTAGCAGCCACCCAAGTATCTTTCTGTGCAAGCAAGTCGATATGGAGACAGCTTGCCTTCCTTGGTGCTAAGCCATTAAGGGCTTTAGCCCAGGCATCATATGATCATAACACCCATAATCTTGTCACCTGCCCAGTAGGGCAGATCTCAGAAGCCATGTGGATCAGCTGATACTGATCCTCTGGCACCATAGCGGGTTTCCTTCTGCAACACCTGTCATGGTGGGCCTTTGCAGAGGCACAACAAGGTCCGTGCGGAGGAGCTGCCGCATTGGCGGGAAGACCTATCAGGGGATCTAAAGCATAATTCCCATCAGCTGCCACTGCCACTGCTAATGTGATGCAGTTGTTAAAGTATATTTGTGCTGTGGAGAAAACATTCAACTCCCTGCTCACGTTTTTGAAAGTCACTGGGTTGCTCTATTAGGCTTGACATTCTCTCCCTGCCTAACCTATCTCACAGGATTGTTTTAGGGTAAAATTGGGATAACTCCCTCATATAACCTGACCTCGGAGGAAAAGGCAGGATACAAGTTTGATCGCTTTCAAAATTGTGACCAATGTGTACAAAGGAGCTGGGCATATGATAGGGATTTGAAACCTGTACATGCTGACATCTTGCAGACATCCTCAGCGAGGCCCCTGGGAGTTGATTCTGAGCCTCATGGTTGTTGTGGAAGATTGTACTCTGACTGCAACGCTGTGCAGCGCTTTAGTTTTCCTTCTAGGCATGTGTGAGTGTGTGTGGCAGAGTCTTCCCATCCAGCCCATTTACTTTGAACTATAGAAACTTTTCGAGAATGTTCATCTGCGTGAATCCTGACCCAGGATTCTCTTTCTTAGTCGCCCAACAATATTAGGAACTGGCTTTTATATGCATAGATTTGTGAAGCCTTCACCACATCAGAGCACTGCTGAATAACTTGATCCCACTGCATACAGTGGTACCTCGGGTTACATATGCTTCAGGTTACCGCTAACCCAGAAATAGTACCTTGGGTTAAGAACTTTGCTTGAGGATGAGAACGGAAATCGCACGGCGGCGGCACAGCAGCAGCGGGAGGCTCCATTAGCTAAAGTGGTGCTTCAGGTTAAGAACAGTTTCAGGTTAAGAATGGACCTCCAAAACGAATTAAGTTCTTAACCCGAGGTACCACTGTATCTCCACCCATTTTTACTGATGGGGTGTTTTGTCACCCTTAAGATACCATGTCCCATCGTAGGCCCGGCTCAACCAGTTAGAAGAAGACTATCTGCTGCACTTTGTCGTTATTTCCCAACCTTTCAAAACTCACACGCAGAAAAAGGATGGATGGAGGTTGCAGAATCCTGAGCTGCAGCTTGCGAGTCTTAGATGCATTAATCCCATGTCTAATATGTGAGCTAAGCAGATGTCACCTGTCTGCTTATCGAACTCCTAATAAATCACAGAGCATGCTCCGCCTTCAACAATGTTTGAAATAACACTAGCATTTCAAGACAGAAATGAAGAAAAACTCCCTGTGCAAATCATAGGCAATAAGAAAATGAAGCTACCCTTTGTAGCTTGCCAGCATTTTCACGGCAGCCTCTTCAGCTGCATAATCAGGCTGGCCAGCAACCAGCCCTCCTCCTTCCCTCTACACCCGAACACTTGATGCAGTTAGAGGCAGTGTAATTTAACGAATCTGGGTCAAGAGCTGCCAAGTGCATTAAATTGGCTTTACCGCCTTCATAGAAATATGAAGAAGCTTCTTCACGCCACCTAGTGTTCACCTGGTGAACAGTCATGAATTTCTAGCAAGTGACCTACAATGGTACCTCAGGTTACATATGCTTCAGGTTACAGACTCCGCTAACCCAGAAATAGTGCTTCAGGTTAAGAACTTTGCTTCAGGATGAGAACAGAAATCGTGCTCTGGCGGCGCGGCAGCAGCAGGAAGCCCCATTAGCTAAAGTGGTGCTTCAGGTTAAGAACAGTTTCAGGTTAAGAACGGACCTCCGTTCTTACTTAACCTGAGGTACCACTGTATAATGTTCCATAGTTCCAAATACAGTGGTACCTTGGTTTACGAACTTAATCCGTTCCAGAAGTCTGTCCTTAAACCAAAGCGTTCTTAAACCAAGGTGTGCTTTCCCATAGCAACGGGGGACTCAGTTTACAAATGGAACACACTCAACAGGAAACGAAACATGTTCTGCTTCCAAGGCAAAGTTCACAAAGGAAAACACCTACTTCTGGGTTTGAGCGTTCTTAATCCAAGTTTGTTCATAAACTAAGCTGTTCTTAAACCAAGGTACCACTGTAGTTGTTTTGGTCCACTGGAGCAAGATTCAAACGGTGAGTAAAAAAGAAGACACCTTGAACCAAGCATTGTTGAAAATGCAATGTGCAAGCTTTTGAGTTACACAAAGAGCTTTCCCCAGTCTGAGTACAGCAGCTCTGCCCTGACTGACCCAGCCCCTCTTTGCTACTCCTGACCTTCCCACATTCAGCAGGAAGGTTTGAAGAAAGCCTTTAAGCACCGTCAACTGAACTGTTTGGGGATTGTGCTCCTTCCTCCCATATTCACTGAATGTGGCTATAGGAAATTAGACACAGTCCCTTTTTATTCCTTCAGGAACAGTGTGCAGGAGGCTCAATGTGTGCAAAGCATGGACATAGCCAAGGAGGGGCATGGGGTAGTTGCCTCCTAAATGAATAAGAAATAACAAATGGAAGTTCTGTGTCTTTTTGGTGTTTGTCTAAAAACAGCTCAGCAACTCAGGGTGTCCTGGTTTTTACTTTTTGAAATATACCTAACATGAAGCCTGCCCACCCACCAACATAAATTCTGGTTATGCCCACGGTGCAAAGGGGCTTGGAATTGTACCAGCTGTCCTCATCCCAATCCCATGAGAGTGGGAACAGATCCTGAATATGCACATAAGTTGTATGCACACAGGCTCTCAGCTACATTAGTAAAGAAACAACAAAATGAATGTGCTTTAAGCATTCAACACCAGATGGCGCCAGAGAGCAGGAATAGTTTAAAACGACATTTCCCATAGGCATTTTTTTCTTTCGTTAAAACCATCTAATTTCTGACTTATTTATAGCATGTTTTTCCCCCAGCGTTTAGATCCACCCCCTGCAATTAGGGTGCTGAATTTTGCAGGGTTCCTGACTGCAGCCATGGATGCTGATGCAGAGCCTATGCGCATGTAATTGCATATACAGAGGCTCGTTCTGACATTCAGATAAAGGTATGGAGATTAGAGGCAGAACTAGTGGGCGTGATCCCCCTCCTCCCATTTTAATCTATGAAAAAAGCTTGTCCCCTCTCTTAACAGGGAAAGTGTCAATGATATTTTCTTGATCATCCTCCCCCTCTAATTCCAAAATCCCTGCAATAAATCATTTTCTCCCTTGCATATGACTGACCTCGTACCCTTAGGGTTGCCAACTTTAAACTCAGCTTTGGCTCTTCTGCCTTTAACTGCAACCCAATGCCCAGGCAGTAGCAAGCTGGAGCTTTTCACTGCAGGAAGATGAGTGTTATCTGGAGTCAGTGAACAGCTTCCTTCTGCTAATGAGGGCAGATTAATCTGCTCTTAAAAGCGCAAGAGCCGAGCCAATAAAGAAAGTAGCAACATTATCTCTGCATTCACTTCCGCTTGTGGGAGTTACGGTCAACACTTGACTAATTTCTTTTCCTGGTCAGTTGGCAATCCTTCTGTGCATACCCCATATCTTGCAGCAGCTGCTACCTGACTTGTTTGGGCCTTTTGGTGTAAAATTGCTGATGAGAACGGCTCTCTTGCGGCCAGCCATAGAGAGGAGTGTCGTGTCCATGCAGAAGCTTCTAGACCTCATTGTTTTGATCCTCTGGGCTTTGTCTGAGTGCATTAACAGTGACAGCAACAACGAGCAGCAGTCCCCTCTTCTCTCACGCTGGACCCAGCCATCCTGTTCACATGCAAACTCAGTTTCCCTTTGCACAATTCCTGGATCAAGTCTTTTTTTCTTTTCTTTTGGCAATGATTTTGGACAGATTCTTTGCTTGGCTTTCTGTGCTTTCCTTGGCCAAGGTGTCTTTGACACAGGCGGTATTTCTTCCCAGACGCCTGGATTTAGGTAAGATGGGATTGTCATTTCTTGGTAGCAGTTATTACATAGGAGCACAGGAAACTTGCTTATACGGAGTCAGAACATTGCATCATATAGTTCAGTTTATTCTTACCATTGTGCAAATTATGAAGAAGATTGCCATGTTTTGTTCCTAGTCTTGCTCTTGTACCTTTAACAGAAAGCTTTGGTGACATTAAGGTAAAGGATGCTATCCTATAATACTTACCAGGGCATACTTTGAAGTAGACATGCATGGGATTCCACTGGAAAAGATGGGAGATTTCACACCTCCAACACATACCCAATTTCTTTCTGCAGATAGACACAGAAAAAGGTTGGGATATGCATCAGGAATGGTTTAACAATCAATCTGTATTCCCAGGGCACTTTGAAAACAGTTAACTCTGTGAGGGGAATAGGGGTCTGCTAACAATTCTCACCACCACCAAATGTTGCTTCAGCAACGGGTAACCCCAAACTGAGCATGACAAAAGATTTCATACCTTTCAGAAACAAATCATTCACAAATATTTTTTTTGCGATGATTTTTTGGTGTGGTTTTTATTGGATTTTTTATGCGTCATGTGTGTATTGGCATATTGCTTTGTTATTGTAAATGAGAAAGGGTATATCATAAGTAATAATAATAATAATAATAATAATTTCTTATTTATACCCCGCCCATCTGGCTGGGCTTCCCCAGGCACTCTGGGCGGCTTCCAAAAAAATATTACAATACTGTAATACATCAAACATTAAAAGCTTCCCTAAACAGGGCTGCCTTCAGGTGTCTTCTAAAAGTCTGGTAGTTGTTGTTCTCTTTGACATCTGGTGGGAGGGCGCCACTACCGTGAAGGCCCTTTATTTCATGGCCACTACCGAGAAGGCCCTTTATTTATTTCATTTCCTTTATTTCATGGGCAATGAAACATTATGGCCATTACTTTAGTGTAATATGTGAACAAACAACTCAGACCCACCCCAGGCGTGAATTTTTGGAGGTGGATCGAAAGAGGTTTGCAAATACCGTGGGTTGACGCACACCCTCCAACATTTCTCTGATGAAAATAGGGACGTCCTAAGGAAAAGCGGGACATTCTGGGATCAAATCAGAAACTGTGATGGCTTATGCAAATCTGTGACTGTCCCTGGAAAACAGGGACACTTGGAGGGTCTTTGCATCAATAAAGAAGGTGGAAGGGTGTAGGATTGTACCCTTTGGCTCTACCCAATCGCTGTGTGTATGCGAGGGGCTTCCACATGTGGCTTACGAAGAAGCCTCTTTCACGCTTCTGCTAAATGTATGGAGGGACAGACTGGGACACTACATTTATTAGATACATGGAGGGGCGATCTCAAAAGGACTTGCAGCACTTTTCGGACCATTTAACGCATGTGGAAAGGACCACAATCAGACTTGCTTTATCGTGTTTTTAATATTCTGTCGGGAGCCGCCCAGAGTGGTTGGGGAAATATGAGTGGCATACAAATATTATTATTATCCCTGCACACACACCCATTCATTGTACTGTACTGAAAAGACCCCTCTGTACACACAAAGGACTCTTCTCTGCACAGTTGGGAACCGTGAATATCTATCTATCATCTATCTATCTCTATCATATATCTATCACTGGCTTAAATATCCCCCTTGCTTTTCTGTATAACCCCATTATTTTTCTTTCGGATTTCAGACTGGCCTAAAAACTGCGGTGTTGCGTATTTCCAACCAAACATATTTGCTAAGATTATTGCCGGCAATGAAGCGAGGCCTCATTCTTGGCCGTGGCAAGTCTCCTTACAGGTACGAAATGTTTCAGTGATTCTCAAACCTTGGGCATGTACAAAATTTGGAGGAGGGCTTGGAGTCTACGAGAGAGGCCTCCAACTTGTCTGTTCAGAAGCTAGGTCCAACCAGAAGTAGTTCCAATCAGAAACTAAGTTCAAATCAGCAAAGGCTCTTTCTAAATTTGCTTGACACTTTCCTGTTTGTAGGTTCAGCTAATTTTATTACTTCCCTGTTCAGCATGGCTGGGAGATGAGTTGCTAGCTGCCCATTGTTTTGCTCCCAGGGTGGTGTGGTCATGAATTACTGGTTTCTTTGTACAGTCGTACCTTGGAAGTCAAACGGAATCCATTCCGGAAGTCCATTCAACTTCCAAAACATTCGAAAACAAAAGTGCAACTTCTGCTTGGCTGCAGGAACCTCCTGCAGCCAATTGGAAGCTGCGGAAGCCCCGTCGGACGTCTGGCTTCCAAAAACAGTTTGCAAACCATAACAGTCACTTCCGGGTTTGCAATGTTTGGGAGACAAAACGTTTGGGAACGAAGCTGTTTGATTTCCAAGGTACTACTGTACAGTGGTACCTCAGGTTAAGTACTTAATTCGTTCCGGAGGTCTGTTCTTAACCTGAAACTGTTCTTAACCTGAAGCACCACTTTAGCTAATGGGGCCTCCTGCTGCCGCCGTGCCACCAGAGCACGATTTCTGTTCTCATCCTGAAACAAAGTTCTTAACCAGAGGTACTATTTCTGGGTTAGCGGAGTCTGTAACCTGAGGTACCACTGTATCTGTTTCTTCCTTCTTTAATCTCCACCACAGCAAATTGTACTTCACACTGCAGTATTTTGTTGCAGGTCACACTTGCCCTATGTACTAAGAGTGCTCCGAGTTCTCCAAGTGCCAGTTGTCATGTAGGGAAAACTACGTCATCTTTGCACCACAGGGACCCATCAGCAGGGGAATGCCGAAGTTTGCAAAAAGAAAAGAAAAGAAAAGAAAAGTGTTTTTTTAAAAAACAAAAACTAAGGTGGGGTTAGGGGCGAGAACCCAAAACAGCCCAATGAAAATTGAGCATGCTCAGCTATCTCAACATTTTGGTTGAATGTTGAAGTTGGAAAGGAAAGGAAAGGAAAAGAGGGGCAATGGAATGGAGTATCCTGAAAAAAGGCCTGGCTCAATGGCTAGACTGTTGTGCAGGAAGACTTCACATACCTGACTTGCTTTATGTACGCAGTAGGAAAAAAGAATGCCTTGTTTTAAAAATCCATTTCACGTGTGATATGTTGTGCAACAGGCTTCTCAAACTCTGGCCTGTGACCATTTGCAATTGCTTCTAAAAATTAAGGGTTTCCCCAATATCCCCAGCAGTTTTCCAGTGGTCTATGGAGGGGAAAGTTTGGGAACCGCTGTTGCAGAGGTTACTTTTGCCCTACTTCCAATTCCTTCCTGTGATTCAGCTCTGCATTTTCTCCCTCCATTTTCCTTCCCAGGTCCGTTCTAAACCAAGCGATAAATTCGTCCATGTCTGTGGTGGCACCCTCATTCACAAAAACTGGGTTCTCACTGCTGCCCACTGCTTCCAGAAGTAAGTTATCTACTGTGTGTGAATTTGTGGAGGCAGATCAAAACAATGTGGGTGGCTCATGCAAAATGGTATGCCTTTTGGCATCGATAAAGCAGGTGGGGCGTACCTACTATCATGCAATGCTTAGAGGACTCACCAGTCAGGAAGAACGTTATTGACTTTCTTAAACAAGTACAGAACACCAACAGGAAACCCCTAACCCCACCCAAAGACAATTAAGTACAGTGCCACCTGCTGGCTAAACTATATAATGACATTATCCACACACTAACTTTTCTCTTCTCCGTCACTTTTTCTCCCCCTATTTTCTGTCTGGCTAAGCTTCTTTCTGGTCATTGAGCCTGTCTTGTGGGAAAGCCATTGGAGGAGAGGAGATGAAGGAGTGGGAAGCAGTGGGCAGGAAAAAGACTTGAACAGCTTTCCTCCTGCCTGTTGTTTATCCCTTAAGTATAACGTCCACCTCCACATGTGGCAAAAGGGTTGGGAACCTGCGTTGGCCACTGTAATCATTCATATATAATTTTTTCTACATGTAGAAAACAGAGTGGTTTTATTAACTTGTCCCCCAGTGAAAAACTATTCTTGGGAACTTCTTGTGGGAACATTTTTTTCTGAGTCCCCATGCGGTTTCGCTCATTTATGGTAGCGATACTAGTCTGGGTGGAGAATGAGACTTAAGTATGAAGGCAGGTGGGGTGCGGGTGGCACTGTGGGTTAAACCACAGAGCCTAGGACTTGCTGATCAGAAGGTCAGCAGTTTGAATCCCCGTGAAGGGGTGAGCTCCCGTTGCTCGGTCCCTGCTCCTGCCAACCTAGCAGTTCGAAAGCACGTCAAAGTGCAAGTAGATAAATAGGTACTGCTCTGGCGGGAAGGTAAATGGCGTTTCCGTGCACTGCTCTGGTTCGCCAGAAGCGGCTTAGTCATGTGCTGGCCACATGACCCGGAAGCTGTATGCCTGCTCCCTCGGCCAATAAAGCGAGATGAGCGCCGCAACCCCAGAGTTGGCCACGACTGGACCTAATGGTCAGGGGTCCCTTTACCTTTACTTTACTATGAAGGCAGGTAAAAGCAGATCGGGGCGGGGGGCATGTGAGACAACACACCCAACCCTACGGTGCATCATTTTCAGGGGACAGGAAGAAGATGTCACCAACTGGCGAATTCTTCTCGGCAAGCATCACCTTAACTACCCGGAATCCACAGAAAGAAGCTACCGGGTGAAGCGAATTTATCGGCACGAATGTTTTCAGTACCCTCAGCTAAATGAGCTAGAGTATGACATTGCTTTGGTCAAGCCAGTGGAAGAGATTACTGCCAACAGGTTTATCCATTATGCCTGCCTGCCAAAAAGAGGCAGTTTTCTCCGTCCGGGACACTCCTGCTGGGTGACTGGCTGGGGGGGCACGAGAGGTATTTCAGAGTGTCGTGTGCCACCAATAAGAATTACATTGTTTTCAATAAGTGTCTATAGCTCTGCAGCCTTAATTTGTGCAAAGTTAAAAGAATTTGGCCCTGGAATCCGTTTTTGGTAGCCAAGTTGAGTCTTGGAATATGTTAAAGAGTCTCTAAACATGTGCAGAGTGCATTTCCTTGACAACCAAGAAGTCCAAATCAGCCACACATGCTTAGGACTAAAAACCAGGCCTTCTAACACAAGTGTCGTTATTCTGAGACAGGTTTGAGCCCTGACATGATACCGTATTTTTCGCTCTATAGGATGCACTTTTTCCGCTCCAAAAATTAAGGGGAAATGTGTGTGCATCCTATGGAGCGAATGCAGGCTCCTTGGCTTCAGCGATAGCAATGTGAAGCCTCCGAAGTGCAGAGGGAGCGCTCCTTCCGCGCTCCGGAGGCTTCAGGTTCCTTTTGCTGAAGCCGGGAGAGCAAGACTCTCTTGGCTTCAGCAGAGAGGGAGATCTGCGCAGCGCCCCTTCAGCCAAGCGGGAGGAGAAATGGAAGGGGCTCCGTTTCTCCTGCTGCTTCGCTGAAGGGGCGCTGAGCAGAGAGGGGGAGATTTGTTTTTTCTTGTTCTCCCCTTCTAAAACAAGGTGCGTCCTATGGTCCGGTGCGTCCTATAGAGCGAAAAATACGGCAATTTTCTTTAGAATTTAAGGACTTGTAGAATATGGAAAATTCGAAGTATTTACCATTTCCAGTGTAATGCAAAGTCACAAAATGCTAATCTTCAAGGTTCCAAAAATGTTCTGGTTCTTACTCTTCTTCTGTTTTATGCACTGAAGGTGGACAAGATGAAAACTTCTCTCTCTCCGAGGTTTTGAATCAGGCCAAGTTGCCAGTCATAGATTTCAACACATGCCACCTCAAGAAGTTCTGGGGAAGCAAAATCCAAACATCAATGCTCTGTGCTGGACTGAAAGATACGGCAAGGTCTTCAGCTGCCTGCCAGGTACAGAAATGGGATATTCATGCAGAGCCTTTCCACACAAATCTGGTTTTAGGTGCTATCAGTAGACAAATCTCCCTGTCACTGTCGGTTTGAAAAATTTGCAACTTCAATAGCCAAAGATTTAAGAGCTTATCATGCTACTACAGTGGTACCTCGGGTTAAGATCTTAATTCATTCCAGAGGTCTGTTCTTAATAGGAAACTGTTCTTAACCTGAAGCACCACTTTAGCTAATGGGGCCACCTGCTGCTGCTGCGCCGCTGCGCCAAGATTTCTGTTCTCATCCTGAAGCAAAGTTCTTAACCTGAGGTAATATTTCTGGGTTAGCAGAGTCTGTAACCTGAAGCGCCTGTAACCTGAAGCGTATGTAACCTGAGCAACCACTGTACTGTTAATTGTGTCCAGATTTTCACTTTGGGAAGTATGGCAACTCTATTATGTCACTACTTAGAATACGACTGTTTCAAGATCAAGCCAGGTATGTATGACAAAGGAGATCTGTGAATAGGATCTCCAATAGTTTCTTAGAGGGTGAATACTAGGGGCTGGGGAGTGTTTCAGAACTATGGCACTGGGACACTGTGGCCTAACTCTCCTCCTGTACCTCCTATTGCTATTTGTTGCGTTGGTCAATACATACAGGTATCAAATTGATACCTTCATGTTTTGCCATGTGGGGCAAAGACATTTGGGGTGGATGCTTTTAACTGGGAGGGTAGCACAGAGGAAGAGTTAACCTCATGCAGCCAGTACTGTGATCTTGAGATGCTAATAACATTGCTAATAACCTCGAAAAACTGTGGAAGATTTTACTCCTGAATATTTAGCATCCCATCTAGATCGACACTCAAGTCTACCACTGAACCCTCACTGGCATATGAACATGTTTCAACTCTTGGACGATATTTTATTTTCAGGGAGACTCGGGTGGCCCACTGCTTTGCCAAACTGGGAGAGAGACATGGGAAGTCCATGGGGTCGTGAGCTTCGGGCCAGTTGGGTGCCAGGTGCAGAACAAGCCTACTGTCTTTACTAGGACATCTGCGTATATTCCTTGGATTGAAGCAATCAGAATGCGGGATTTTTTTTTGTAAAGGACAGGAAAGAGAAGGGAAGTCCAGGGATATCAATAAAATCCTTTGCAAATTTAGGAATGTGTGCTTATTTTAATACTGGAATTCTGGAAATGAGATTTGGGAAATGAGATTTGAGTTCATGGCTGAGCTGAAATTGGAATCTAGGGCCAACCCTGCAATCCTACTCACAAACGAGTCTACCAACTAGAACAGCTGACTTTCCAAAGACGCCTTTTTCCATTTTGGTTTGTGGTGGGATGCCTCCCAGCAAGTTCTTCCGCAGACCGTTGTGCAACTTACCGTTACATCTGAAATGTATGGAAAATAAAGTCAGAAAAATATTTGGGGTGCTTTATCCTGATTGGTTTGCAGGCTGGTAAGATGGAAGTTGGCTATTTAAAGAGCATTCATTTTTATTTGTGTGTGTGTGTGTGTGTGTGTGTGTGAGTGAAATTAGGTGATGTCGCGCCAAACAAGTGCTATCACATACTTTCCAGTCCATTTCTCCATCCAGTCTTTTGAGGAAGCGTGTTTCTTGTGTTAGACCTCCCCATCAGCTATAATCGTGCAACCTGAATTTGCCAGAGACGGTCTGGAGGTGTCTGTTGATTTCTGTGCTTAATAGAGGGAGGAAAGCCTCTTTCTCAGCAGCCACCATGGAAACACAGAACAGAGGCAGAACAGTATCCTCCTCAAACAGGAGGCTTTAAAAAAAATAGGTCAACGAAAGGCAGGAAGCTTGTGTTTGCATACGGGCTCCAGAAAATGGGGTTTCCCATCTTCCTTGACCGGCAGGAAAAATGCAAGCAACTAGGCCTTATCGCAAGCTAGTAAAAATTACCTTCAGGGTATATATAGAGAGAAAAAGAAAAAAAGAAAGTGAGGTTAGAGGGAGACAAAAAAACACTCAACACACAACCCTGCATCTGAAATAAGGACAGCAACCATTCACATAGCAGCATTGACATGTCACTCAAGGCATGATGAACAGCAACAACGGGGGAAAAGATAGACGTAACATTTTACAAGGACAGGAACACTATGGACAGAGTAATTGCCACACACAGGAAGAGCAAGGATATAGTTTGACTGCCTCACTTGTAGTTCTATAAATCATTTAATGTGTCAACACGAACAGACGTTATTAATATTGCAGTTGTTGTATAAGGGATTATTATTTTGACTGGAATGCAATTTAAATTAGTAAGATTTTGGAACGCAGAAATAAAATCATCAAACCATCAATTCTAGCATGTGGGAGGCCACCTAAGTTATATACAGAATTCGGTATTTGAACAATTGATATTAGTAACTGTATTCTAATTTGGTTCTGTTATAATGAGGGTATTATTGGATTGAAATTGAAAATTAATGAAAATTATTATAAAAAAGTAGCGTTGACACATATATCATGGCAATGGTGAGTGAATGCAAGCTTGTTTTTCCAACACTGTACAACTGTCATTTAATTCAGTCTACAAGCTATTAGGAAATGCTTGTTCGTTTGCTTTTATTTTGCCAAATTTGTATACCGCCCTTCTTCCAAAGGCCACAGGGGGGTTTACAACGCAAAACGCATAATATAATAACAAATAATAACAACCCCTACACGACACATTTTCATAGCTGTCAACGTTTCCCTTTTTTAAGGAAAATTCCCTTACTCCGAATAGGATTCCTCGCAAGAAAAGGGAAAAGTTGACAGCTATGCATTTTTTTAAAAAGCTTAGTAAGCCCAAGGCCAAGGGGAAAGCCTTGAACCAAACAACCTCCCAGGCTATTTCTTTGAGCTACGAGCTATTTCCCTCCTCCCAGCCTGCTTTACGTAAAGAGGAGGTGGAAGCGACGTCGCCCACAATTGAGTCCGGGCAGCGGCTTCTGGAGGCGCGAGTGCGCATGCCTCTTCTCCCGGGAGCTTCCGTTGGTGCCTCTAACCAACGGGAGGGGGCGGCCGAATACCGTCACCCGAAGGCGCCGGGCCTCCGCGGAAATCTCGCGATATCTTGCCCCCGCTCCACCCCGCGAACCCTCTTTTCCGGCCTGAGCTCCTTGAGGGGAAAGTCGCTTCGTCGCCTTTGCGCCGGCCGCTGTCTGCAGGTTGCCGGGTGAGTCAGAAGGTGGGAGCCGCGGGTTGGGAGAAAGGGCCTCGGCCGCTGACCGGCATGAGGGTGTTGAGTGAGGTGGGGCGGAGAGGCTCGCCTTGACCTATATTGCCCTCCGCTTTCCGTCCCAGGAGCCGGTTACGTAACTGCACGTGGGAAGAGTCCAACGCGTGTCAATCTTTCTTGGCGTTCACCGTGAAATGTAACGCCCTGCGTTGCTTCCTTATGCTGAAAGTGTCTGGTATTTCTGCGGTTGGGGATTGAACGTAAGCCCCTCCCCCTGCCAAATAAAATATAAAAAAATGTTTTTGGTGTCGTTGGGGGCCTAAGAAAACCCGTGGCGAGGGTGGCTCACATTCTCACCTGTTTATTAATGCCATTTATCGATCGCATTCATAGCCCAAGCAGCTCAGAATGCATGGAGCTTTCCCCCATTCTGCTCATTTAACCCCCACAACAATGAGTGGGTTTTTTTCTGGGGGTACTCAGGGGTACGCAGTACCAGCAGCTCCCCCAACAGATCATCTTAAAAGTGTGGCACTTACTGTAACAACTTCATGGTGAGTACCAGTACCATATTTTTCCTTTATAAAAGCAGTGACAACAACCTTGTGAGGTAGGCTAGGCAGAGAAGCAGCGAGTGGCCCAAGGCCACCCAGTGAGTTTCATGACCCAAGTGGGGGATTTGAACCTGTGTCTTCCGGGTGCTCGTTCCTGTGAGAGGGTCTGGATTCATTTATTGGCTACACAGTATTGATGCTCTTAAACAATGCTGGGCGGACTTATGTCTTACAGGATTTCCTTCGTTGTCATTGTTTTTGCTTGATCCAGCAACTGGAACATTGTGTGGGGACAGGATGGGAAATTATATATTTAGAATTAAGGAATGACAAGCCTGTTGCTTTTCAGTAGCAGAACTGGGTTCATAGCAATCTCCACCTGGTTTTCTTCATTTTAGCCATCTAATTGAGGATGAGGTGGGAGCTTTGCTGCCGCTATCATTAAATAATCTGAGAGTCAAACTCTTGCAAGTCTACCATAAATTGCCCAGATCTCAATCTACCTTCAGCCCACCTCAGTACATGATTTTGAATATGCAGCTATCCTTAACCCTCAGTCTAGCCTCCCCACATCAGCAAAATTGGAATTATGATGCCCTGTACCACATAGGAAGGGTGGAATCATGACCTCTGCCTTTTATATATAAATCCAAACATTGGACATGATCAAGCCAGAGTTAAGTGTTTCTCTGGTTGGTTACTTATATTAGGAATTAAGAGGCAGTGGTGGCAAGCTGTAGCTGATGTGGATAGGGGAAAGTTGTCTAGTACGGTTGTTATGGAGTGGGTGGGGTTGCCTCTCAAAAAGGCCAGAACTTCCCTGGCAGGTGCAGCCACACCTTGCAATTCCTTGCGTGGTATGATTGCAGCACCAGTCTCTCTGGTGCATTACTGAAAGCTTTGAGGTTACACTGGCTGGTGCAAGTCTTGTCTTCTGGTATTCTCAAAATAATTTGGTTGCAGATATGAGTGCCATGGTAGATACAGCAGGGCTGTATACCCTGCCAGATGGGTGGAGTATAAATAATAACAATAATATAATATGCTTATCACTACAGTTGGGGTTGTGGGGCACAGGGAGAACTTTCAGCCCCTGCTAAGAAGCAAGAATGTAGAACTGCATCACAGCAAGAGCTATTTAAATGTTTGAGATTAAGTGTCTGCATGCTGAAAGCTACAGGGAAATGGAGTTGTTGGATATAAGATTATCTTGGGCTTTGAAAAGGGAGAGAAATCTTTAAGTGAAACGGCATTTACATTCATCTCTGCTTAATACTCTCTCACCCTGGTATCAAGGTAAAGGAAATTTAGGAAAGGAAATCCCAGCTCTGCCTTAGTGATGACATAGTGTCCTGTGTGCATCTCAGGAAGCTTCACTTGCACAGCAGTTAGGAGTAATTATTTTCAGCAGCAGCAGCAGCCTTCTCTATTGCCTACTATTCACCTAAAAGCTAGAATTGGGACTAGTCTTTGTCATAATGCTGGAAGTGATGTGTGTAGGAAATTGGGAAGTGCATGCATTTAAGAGTCTCTGAATCTTGGTCTTAGTATAAAAGCCACTTACCACACCTTCCGGAGTTTGCATCTTAAAAATACTGGTATATGCTCCAGCAGATTTAGTTTCCTGTGAAACAACAAAACCATACATCTATAATTCAAGGACCAATTAATCTTCAACATGTCTCATTTCTTCCCACCAATGTTCTGTGTTGGGGGTAAAAGGAAGTATACTTGGTTTCAGTGATATATGTTTATTAAAAGTTGAGTCCTGTTGTTGAGACATGGGCAAGTGGCTTTTTGTTGAAGCTTCTGGGTTTTTAGGGGAAATTCCTGAGGCTTTATGCTGCAGCTTTTATTTGCATGTGTTTTATGTTTTTCTCTCTTGTATTGGATTAAGAGGAAAGGTTGTCAAAATAGAACAAAGTTGTTTTTTCCCTTTGGTCTCTTTTTAATAGAAACACATAGATAATGGAAAACTGGCAAGTCATAAAGTAGGTGACTTGATGATTCTGTAAGAATATAATCTTGTGTTTACGAGCATGCGAAGAATGTGACCACAAAACCTTTCAGGCACCACATGTTTTGAAGGTGGGATTGGATTTGCAGTCCCTTCAAAATGATTTGTTGGAAAACCACACAGAGCATTATGCTTCTATTAAAATAACCTAGAGGAGCACTGGGTAACATGAAGTGGTTGTGTTTATTTTACTTCACATTGTATTTCAAATGTCCCCCCCCCCCATTGCTGTACACACAGTAAGGATATAACCCCATGCATGTACTGGCTGTGATGGGGACACTCCAGTTCCTAGTTACAACCTTAGAAAATACTATCAGTGTTAGGACAGACAGTTGTCAAGAATGTCAGTGTTAACTTCCTTTTGCTTTGATAGGCTTTGTCTGGCGTGTGCAAGTTGTATGGAGCAGGGAATGTCTTTAGCTTGTAAACAGCCTCTTGACTATAAGGTTCACTGGGCAGTTCCCCCCTTTCCTTGTAGGCCCCAAGTGACTGACATAAATACTGTATGTGTGGGTAAGTTGGCTTGGTCTTTCCTTTCCCCTCCTTCCTCCAACCCCTCATGAACACCATGAGTCTTTGCATGAGGATCCTCCAGACTGCGTGAGGGGCAGTCCAAGCTCACAAAGTTGGATTCCACTCATAGTTTTTATTTGTCTTGTGCTCTTTGTTTTTAAGAAGCTGGGCAGGAAAAAGTTATATGGGAAGAAGTGTTTGGTTTTAGTTTCAAGCGGTCAGAGCATTAATTAGGTTTAGTAAAATGATGTTGCTGGTGGAATATCTGATACAGAGATACTTAATGGTGCGTGTAAAGCAGTTGTATCCATACAGTATTCCTTGTGGTTGCATGCAGGTACTTGGTTAACTATTTGTGCTCATGTAGATGGGAAGGGGAGGACTTAGCTATGCTGGAAATTTAGGTTCTCTAACATAACACAGTGCCAGAATATAGGAGGCGGGAGGCCTATGGTATTGCTAATAAGTGTTTCTTTCCACAACCTACTTTAGAAATGATATATTCTGTGAAACAGGAACACAATGTTGCAAGAGTTGCAGTTCCTCTTGTAATGAACCTAAAATATCTTCTAGTTCCGTTATAGAAGGTTATTTGAACTAACTTGTACCTATACGTCTGCTTTCAGTCTTTGGCACAGTGAGTTGTGTGTTTCAAGGAAAAGCCATGATGCTTTTAGGAAAATCCTGACCCATTTTGTCTGCATATGTAACACAGCTTCTTGTGTCTTGGTCCTACAGTCATTAACAGTCCTTGAGCTTTTATGGAAGTCTTGTGACTTATAGGATCTATAGTTTGTTGACTATAGTTGACTATGGAGTTAGGATACATTTCAGAAGGCAAGGTAGCTTAGAGCTCATATGTGGGAGGTGTTTTGGAATAGATAGGGTTGCCATATTTCAAAGGGTGAAAATTTGGACACAAAAGTTGTTGAGCTGTTTTTAAGGAGACTTCTGGCAGATATGACACTCAAGCTATTTCCACCCAGACACTGTTTCCAACTGCTGTATTCTGGCTATGTCCGGGAATTCCGGATGTATGGCAACCCTAGAATAGGAGAAACTTGGGAGAGGTGGCTGGGGTAGGATATCTGCTTCCTTGTCCTGATGAGTGGGTAATCTGGAACATTCCTATTATTAAAGTCTGCATGCTGCTTGTGATATGTGTGAACATGCTGCCATTATTATTATTATTATTATACCACCCTATACCCACAGGTCTCAGGGCAGTTCACAGGATGAAATCAGAATATAAAACCACAAAATACAGAATCAAAATAAAAACAACTGAAGTCAACCTTAACCCTATCTGAAGTCAAATATCACAAGAACTCTGATATCTCCTCACATACCAGTGAGATCATAGCATGGTAGAGTTGGGACCTTGAGGGTAATCCAACCCCTTGCAGCACACATTTTGTTTTCCAAGTACCAAACAAGCAATAATTCCATTATACACATGTCTGTGCTTGAATTATGTAAGCTTTGTCAGGTAGGGCATAACAGTGGGATATATTGCAACATTTTGTGGTTTAAGCTGGCAGATGGATATTAGTATGATTCTTCAGGCAAAACAAACTAAACCTAGAATGATCTAACTGAACACCTGTATTAAGCAGGCAAGAAGGACTGTCATCTTGTAAGCAATAAAAAAAAACATTCTTGAGTAATGCAGGTTTATTTAAATGCTGATTATGAGTAATAAGGACTACATTTGACAAAACTGCTCGTAGTTTGTCCCACAAATGCTTAGCAGACAAACTTACAAAAGAATTATGTTATCTGCAGCCTTAATTGGCTTAGCATTTTAATTTGTTTCGTTTGATCATTCAAGCATTGCTGCAGTAAAATAAAGAAAGAAATAGGAAGGGGTATAAACCACTTATATGCCCAGGGTTGGCTGCAAAAGTACAAATGGTGAAAGTTGAGCTAATAGTTTATATTTGATTTTTGGGTGTATGCTACACTTGTTGATTTGAGAGAAGGCTGGTGTGTTGTTGTGTCTGGAGTGCTCAGCAATAACGTTCACCTGATGGCCTCAGAAAATTTGTGCCCTCACAGCCTAACTTTGTAGGCTGGTTGAGATGATAGAATTGGGTGGCTGGGGTAGAACTACGTATATTGCCTTCAGCTCTTGGAGGAAAAGAGGTGTGAATAAGTGTAAAAAGAATTTATTATATACTAAAAATGTGCTAGAGACGCAGGTGGCGCTGTGGGTTAAACCACAGAGTCTAGGGCTTGCCGATCAGAAGGTCAGCGGTTCAAATCTCTGCGACAGGGTGAGCTCCCGTTGCTTGGTCCCACCTCCTGCCCACCTAGCAGTTCGAAAGCACATCAAAGTGCAAGTAGATAAATAGGTACCACTCCAGTGGGAAGGTAAACGGCATTTCCGTGTGCTGCTCTGGTTTGCCAGAAGCGGCTTATCATGCTGGCCACATGACTCGGAAGCTGTACGCCGGCTCCCTCGGCCAATAAAGCGAGATGAGCGCCGCAACCCCAGAGTCAGCCACGACTGGACCTAATGGTCAGCGGTCCCCTTTACCCCTTACTAAAAATGAACTTCTTCCAAACACGGAGTCTTCCATAGTCAAAACAGCACTGCTTACACAGGGAGCAAGTTTTGGGGGGAGCGCCATGCTTTGCAGAAGTAACAGAGAATCTTTTGAGAGTCTGCTTCCTTAGGGTTGACTCTTAATAGCTATGTGAGGGCAATGTATGCTCTGCGCACATGGATTGCTGGCTGGCTGTTGGTGGGGGATGGAGTGCCCTGGAAAATGGTCTGGCAAGCTGGCTGGAAGGCTGAACAGGAGCACGCCACCATGTGCGATTTTGTACCACTGGTCCTTGGATGGTAATTCTAATAGCCACACTTATTAGGCTGGTTTGGACACCTAATCCTATGCATGTTCTCTTGCAACATTTAAAGATGCCTCATACCGAGCTGGACCATAGATCCATCTAGCTCAGTAGAAGGAAACCTGTGCTTGGAAACCTAGACACTTGGACTTCAGCTTCCATCAGCCCCTGCCAAGCTGGCTAATGGTTGGGGGGGGGGGTGAAAGTTACAGTCCCAACAGCAACTGATGCAGCTCAACACCCCACCTCCACCCCCTTAGCCAATACCAGCTCTTCTGAAAGTGGATCCCTGCAGAAATATTTCTCAATCCTGCTTCCTGAAATCCTTTCAATCAGGGCTTGAACGTGGCACTTTCTACATGCGTGCAAAGCATGTGTTTTGCCCTTGAGGAAGGAAGGAAGCTCTGCATGCCTTTCAAATATGCATATAGGATCAGGCCAATGGTTGCATTTTGGAGGGGCCATAGTGGAAGCACTTGGCATAGCAAAGGCTTGAAGAAACAGGTCTCTTTTAATGCACACCTTTTGGTAGTCTCAAGATTGAAACCTAATTAAGAATGCCACATTTCTGTGTCTCTCTCTTTAGTGGATAACTTTCCAGTATGTTGAAGGCATGTGTGTGCAGTAAGTAGTCTTTAGCTATTGTTGTAAAAAAAAAAATCTGCTCTTTTTCCCTTATGGGGTATCCAAGAGCCTGTATAATTCTTATAACACTATGTTAAGACTTTTCTTTCCTGATATGCCGTTTCTAAAGTTCTAACACTGAAACCAGTATCCTTCTAAGCTTCCAAAAGATGGCATCTGCTATCTTTGAATTTTTTTACTTTGCATTAAACATCATCATAAGTAATCCTGTTTATAGCACATGTATGCAAGCACTACTTCACATTTTGGACATTCATAGCTGTAAGGCCATATCTTCCTTTGGCCAGCAATATAGTTTGGGTAAAACCTCAGCGCCTAGGGCTTACCGATCGCATGGTCGGCGGTTTGAATCCCCGCGGCGGGGTGAGCTCCCGTTGCTTGGTCCCTGCTCCTGCCCACCTAGCAGTTCGAAAGCACCCCTAAGTGCAAGTAGATAAATAGGTACGGCTTTATATCGGGAAGGTAAACAGCGTTTCCATGTGCTGCGCTGGTGCTGGCTCGCCAGAGCAGCTTCCTCACGCTGGCCACGTGACCCGGAAGTGTCTCCGGACAGTGCTGGCCCCTGGCCTCTTAAGTGAGATGGGCGCACAACCCTAGAGTCGGACACGACTGGCCCGTACGGGCAGGGGTACCTTTACCTTACCTTTATAGTTTGAAGACACACTTTTGTGCATGAATGTTTAATAATTTGAAAAGGGACACCTTTTCAAATCTCTGAATCTCTACTGGAGAAACAATGTGGCTATATTTGACATGCTTGCGGGAAATGCTTTCACATCATTTTCAAACAGTGGCCATTGTGGCCCAACTCTCGTGCCGGATCTCCTCCGGCTCAGGAGAGCTGGCTATCTCTGCACACTTTGCTGGATCCCATATTTCAAACACTATGCAGAAGCAATGTACAGTATAAATAAAAGGAAACATGCATAATAACCTCTAAACCAAGCCTTAGGTTCCACATGGAGGGTTGGAATATGGCAATAGCTCTGGCTGCACCCAAACAATCTTAGAGATGGTCCTGTGAACCACCCTGAGACCTGCGGGTATAGGGCGCTATACAGATTTTATTATTATTAATAATAGTCGTAAATCTATAAAGGCATGCATGCGCCTAGTGGCAGATCCTCTTTTAGGAGGCGGATTTCCCCTCTTTGGAACAAGCCTACGTGCCTCTCGGTTCCATTTGCATTTGGCCTTTCGCCCCCGATCTGCAGGACGGATCGGGCTCCCTCCCCGCGAGAGTTGCTGGGCAGTTTTCAAGCCTCCTCCCTCCCTCCCTCCCTCCGCGAAGACGTGCAAGGCTCCGTCCCAGCTGTGGCGGCTCTGGCCACGTGGGCGAGGAGGGCGGGAGCGGGGGAGGAGCCGGGGGGCGGGCCCGGAATGTGCTCTGGGAAGCAGGCGCTTTTAAAGCAGCCTTGCGCTGGGCGGATAGCGTTATCTCGTGCTGCAGGCGCCGGCCCCTGGCTCGGGAGGAAGCGGCCCTCGTCCTCCCTAGAAACGTGAGAGACCGGTGCATAAGGTATGCAGGATTGCAGGGCGGGAGGGAAGCGAAGGGGCAGCTCAAGGCAGCCAAAATGGTCCCAAGGATGCACAATTGGGATCAAGCCCCCTTCCGGGAGAAATGTGCACAGGGCCGGCCGCTTCCGATGCCAGGAAGCAGAGAAGCGCCCGGCTCTGAAAACTGCACACGCGAGCAAGCCCCCTGGATCTTAGCGGGGAAATAAACGTAGCACCGGGCTGCCGAGGTTGCCTGGTTTCATTTCGCGTGCTGGTTAATATTAACAGAAGCTGCTGCTCGTTTCCACATTCCTCAGGAGTGCAGGGGCTAGAAGTCTTGATTTCTTTACAGGCTACGTCTGCTTCTCTGATCTGCTACTTGGAGCAAGGTTCATGCTCGTTAAGCTCTGAGTCTACTCACTGAGTAAAACTTGGCCGAGTGGCACCTATTATTCTTAAAGCTGGTGTCTGAATTCTTTGCTGGATTTACATTCGAAAGAATGCCAGTAGCATAGACTGGCTGTGAGCATGACCAGGATTTTTGTTGGGGGAGGGGAGTCGTTGACCTTTTTAGGGGGGATCACGGTTAAAAAAATCCCTCCAAAAAGAAGATATTAGGGGGCAGGCCCCTGCCTCCCCTTGGCTATGCCCATGTCTGTGAGGCATCTTAAACTGAACTAAATTTTAGTTCTGTGTGCTGGGAATCACATCTGTGTCATCTTGGGTTCAATGATGGAAGAAAAGAGGGGTGAAAATGTAATAAAATAAAAAGTAATGGGGCTGAAAACTTTTTTAAAAAAAGGTGAGTGCAATATGCATGTTCCCTCAAAAGCATGGTCTATTGCAGACAATGGAATTTCTGCTAAGTAAGTGTAGGAGTGCTGGTTTAATCACCCAAATGGAACAACAACAAAAAAATGCTTCAAGGGGCATGGAATATGGCCTTGTGGAATTGAACAGGGGGCTAGTATTGAAAAACTGGTCCCTGCTGGGTTCTGGCAAGTGCAGGTGATTTGCTTTAATAGGGGAAAACATTTATTGAAACATTCTTTCCAATTACAATCTGAAGTCCTGTAAAACATATTTGAGTTTGTTGGTTGTGTAACTTGACTCTAGGAATGTGCTAGTATCGTGGGTGTCTAAAAGAATATTTTAGAGTTTTTGGGAAGCCTATGTACAACTTGAATTTATAATCTGTGGTCATGAGCATTAGTTAAACTTGTTGTGAGCAAGGCAGGAGTGTGCAAAGATGATAGAAGCCATCTCTGAAGCCAGCTGGATAATGCAGCTGCTGCTTCCACCTAACAAATACTGGAAGTGTTGATCTGTTGAAAATGCAGAGGTAGGACCATAGTCAGGGACTGGGAAAGAAAAGACTAACAGCACAATTAAGACAGACTTGGGTTGCAAGAATCCTTGGGCACAAATATGCTGGCTGGGTGGCAAAATTATCTAGAGTAGTGAAAACAATATTGTGTAGTCTGTTGCCCATTTCATCCTCCTTTGTTTGTTTGAGTGGGGCATATTGCCACATAATTTTTTTGTGTTTCTCTTTTTAGAAATGTCAAGGATGAGTCTACCCCAAGAGACAAGTGCAAGCTCCAGCAGCAAGGAACCCCTTGTCAAGTGTCTTCAGGCTAAGAAGGACTTGGAGACAGCAATTGCTGGAGTAGTCAAGGCTGAACAGCAAGTTAAAGACAACTGGAGAGAGGTATTTGGGGGACAGGAAGGGGAAGAAATAAATAAAAAACCCCATAGCTGATTCTGGAGATTATCATCTTGATGCTGCTCCATGTATACTAAAGCATCACATATGTAGCAGCACCTCCTGCTTTACTATACCTGAATACTTCATCATTCCTCATTGATGCCAGGGAGGAATACTATAAATGCATCTTGTGGCAGTGTTGGGAGCCTTGGAGGAGGGTCACTTGTGTGCTAGCTATCTCTTGAAACTTTCCACGTTGAAATGGGGGCCCACCGCTGCATGAAGTACAAACAACTTGGCATAACAATGATATTAAATGGGCTTTGGTTGATTCTACTTCAGACACTTGTGGCTTAGAACTAGTCTTAAGAACAGTGACTGAATCCAGCATTTTTTATCTTGCAGGTGAAAGCTCAAATTCACAGCTGCATCAGCCGCCACCTGGAATGCTTGCGCAGCCGTGAAGTTTGGTTGCTTGAGCAGGTGGATCTCATTCAGCAGCTGAAAGAGGAAGCCTTGCAACAGCAGGCCCAGCAACTCTGTTGGGTAAGGTCTAACCGTACACTTAGTTCAATTTATGCTTGAAACTCTTGGTTCAGAACTACAGTAATTTAGCCTTGAGTGTGTGCTAATTGTGATTGGCATAAGAACACATTGAGCCTTTCTGAAGTTGGCTCTTGATATTCATAGTGAAGTCACGTATAGTCCTTTTGTCTCTTACAGTTGTTAGGACAATTCAATTGCCTCATCCATCAGCTGGAGCAGCCTCACAGTAACGACCTTGCCAATCAAATTTCATTGTGTTTGGAGAGGTAAGCAAATCTATTGAATTCATCTTTGAAGGGAAGCTTTGCTTCTGCACATGACTGTGGCATGCTGGGAAGTCTTGCTTCTAAGCTTTTCTTCTGCACATGCTGCACAAACCGTTCTACATTCCCTCATCACCCTAGAATGTTCAGTTCATATTGAGTTCATGAAAACATTATACTCTGACCTGTTCTTAATTCATAGTTGACCACATCTATCGGAATGTAATTGTCTAAGTCTTGCTATATCAATCACTAGTTATAATTTAATTAGGAGGTTTCATGCCTGTCTAGTTCTGTGCTCCCTTTCCCAACCTTTAATCTATTGGTGATTAATGTAATATGTAACCTTTGCTTTGTACTTGTGTTAACCAATCAGCAATAAGCACATATGTGGCAAATGCCGTAATATTCAATAAAAGGGGCTCTCCGAGACTTGCTCGAGAGATGCCTCCCGTATGACACCTTGCCATTTGTCTGTCGTTCATTTCAACCCAACACATCTTACTGCCAGGCTTAGAATTACTAAAATTACAAGGTGTGTTTCACACCATTATCAGCGGTATGAGATTGCATACAATTTATCTTCCTGCAAAATAGAATCTCCAATTTCCTAATGTGTCTTGAAAATATTGAACTACAGATTTAAAAATTGTGACCTTGAAAAGTGACTCACCTATATGTGTCTTGGTTTTGATTTGTTGATCAAATTCATAAGCATCTGAGAGGCCTAATATCCTTGGCACAGTTCAAAATAGGTCACAAAGGCCATGTTTTCAGCAGGATCTGCTCAACTTTTTAATCTAATGAACAGTGGCTTCATTTTGGGGCTATGGAAAATGATCATGGTCATTTGCTTTTTCAACTTGAGTGCTTGATGCATATTTTCTCTTCACCCCCCACCCCACCCCTTTAACAGACTGGGCAATTTAACTCTCCAGCCAGAAGAAAATTCCATTCTGAGCTTTGAGGCGAATATGCCATTCCTTCGTGAGGCCATCACATCTTTTGGCTCAATCACAACAATGGTGAGTAGAGGATTTCCTCAAGGGTGTGGGATCTGTTCTATGTATCTGCTACTTGGAAGCCTATAATCAGTAGCTACAGTCCTGAAGGGCTGCATAAGTTCATGGTTTTCAACATGTTATTAGCTTGAAAAATTCCAGAGTTTTAAAATTACAAGCTCAGTAAGAAGTAAGTTACAACCAGTAAGTTTATCATAATTCTGACTTGCTCTGTGTATTTAAAAATAGCAAACCTCTGATGATGAAGAAGACTACACCCCATGGATTTCTGGGAAGAACTGCCCTGTGCCAGCCAAACTTGAGCAGGTAGAGTTAAAAGTTGTTTACTGCATGATAGCAGCAGAACAGAAGTATCTACCAGCATTTCATTGTGGGTTCTGGGACTTGAGAGACTTAACAGAAGGCTTGATTACAGGTATAGGACCAAGTGCGCTTGCTGTGACCTTACAATCCAGGAACAGGGAATGTCATCCAGCACATGCCCAACTGCCCCACATCCGACATCAAACTGCAAAGAAATAATTCAAATTGCCATTTAGCAAGTGGGACTTGCATTCAGTGCCTTTCCAACTTGGTGCCAAATGGAAGCCTTGCTGGGAATGGCTACAACTCCAGAGTTCCTGATTTCTGCCAAAAGCAGGGCTTGTGCAGGCACTGTTTGAATCCAAACTACCTGAAAAGTGGTTCGAACTCATGGTGATAGTGGGTAGCTGTGCCCACGTTAAAATTGCTAGCAGGAGGTGGGGAAGTTCAGGATCTGGACAGCAGGCCCACCCCTATTCTGACTTCTCAGGGCGATTTACCTTTTGCATGCACCATAAGCGAGCATGCCTTTCATCTACAGGGAGTTGCTACAATATTTAGAACTCTATGTATTTCCTGTGAATAGCTATCATGCCATGACCCACCAATTAGGGCACTTGATAATAGGTCTAAACTGAGCATGCTGTGCAAATTCACAACAAATCCGATTCCAAAAGTGTTTCCTGCTCAAATGTTGAAAGAATCCCTTCATAAATCTGTCAGGCTCCAATGATGGTTTGGTTGTTCCTTGGGGTGGTGGTAGTTTTTTCCTGGTGATCTCTAACCAGAACTGAATGTGTAACAATAAGTTTGCTGTTGTGATGTTAGCAGAAGCCTTCTTATGGAACTGTGGGATGCCCACTCTCTGACTGGCTTCTTGGAAGTAAACCTGACAGTGCCTGCTGTGGTCCGCATGTTCCTAGCAAGAAGTACGAAGACTGGCTCTTGAAAACACATTCACCAGGGACCAACCAGGTAACATATTTTAATTGATTACAGTACTTGGGAAAAAGTAAGTTTTAGAACTGGTGGGATGTCTCATTTTACATTTTCTGCATTACACCAAGGTGCAAATGGTATATTGTTAACTGAACTTTTTCCTGGAAGTTTTTAACGTTTGGTATCAATTTTGTTTGTCAGGATTTAAAGTCTCCCAAAATGTGTTACTTGGAGCAAGCCTGGGGAAATCTGAGAAACTTGGAGAACTGGCTTCTGCAGAACCAACAAGAAGGATCTCCTGAGAAAATGGATTCACGCCGGCGCAAAAGTTCCACCTCCACAGTTAGTTCCTCTTTTTCCATTGAAAAGATAGATGAGTTGGAGCTCCTGGAGCAAGAAGAGATGGATCTTTCCGACTGGCTGCTTACGCCTTCTGAATCGGAAAACACGAATGCCTTGGAGAAGTGGGAATGCGTGTTTAAGCCCTTTAGGGAGGAATACAATATCAGCGATTGGCTCCCCAAAGCCGATTCCTGCAACAATTGTTGTGGCATCCAGGCCAAGGGTATAGAAATAGAAAACCTTGGCAATCTCAGGTGTCTCGGTGAGCACCTGGAAGGGAAGAAATCGTCCACCAATGATGCCTGGCTTCTGCAGCCCTCTTTCAAAGTCGAAGATGTATGCAAAGCCAATGAGCCATGTTCTAGCTTTTCAGAGTGTGTGTGCGATGGAAACTGTGAGAAGGAAGCTCTGTGCAAGTGGCTTCTTCGGAAGGAAGGCAAGGATAAAAATGGGGTGCCAGTAGGACAGACACCTAGCTCCATCACTGAGCCTGGTGAAGCTAAGCCTCCCCTGAACATCTGGCTCTATCCTTCTCAACAGCTGGGGGAGGAACCGGTCCCTTCTGCAACCGAACAGGACAGTCCCGATATTCTAAAACCACTGAAAGAATTGCTTGAAACCCCATTATCAGCCTGGCTAGCCAAGTCAGAGGCCGTAGCATTGGGTGCAGAGGAGAAAGCAAGCAGGGAGAAAGCAGAAGTGAGTTGCAAGAGTTCTCTTCTGGAGCTTCTAGAACCATTCCACCTCCCTCTTAATGTAAACAGCTGGGTGTTGTCTTCAGCGAACACAGACTCTTCCAGTCAGCCTCCTGCAGAAGACAAATGGCTGCAACGCAAGAAGGCACACGTATGTATTAACACTCAACTGTCTCTGGCTCCTTTAGCATTACCGTATTTTTCGCTCTATAACACGCACCCAACCATAACACGCACGTAGTTTTTAGAGGAGGAAAATCCGTAGGCATGCCACCCGTAGGCATTCCCTCCATAACACGCACAGACATTTCCCCTTACTTTCTAGGAGGAAAAAAGTGAGTGTTATGGTGCAAAAAATACGGTACATTTTTTTAATAGCTCTACAAGTTCCTTGAAAGTCTGTGGTGAGGAGTCTTAGCTTCTTAAGATTACTTTTTAGCGCCACTTGCAGCTTGTTCAAAAATACAGGATTAGCATGGTGGTCCACACTAGGCGCAGCTTAATGAGAAATCTGCCTTTTATTCCAGGACTACGGCCTTCCTACAGTGTGTGACCTCTTTGCATGTATGAAGCTGAATGGAGAGAGAGAGAAATGGCTATATCAGAATCCTCTACAGGTAACCATTCAGCTGCCATTTCTCATTTTAGCAAGAATCTTTAACACCTTTCCTTTGATAATTGTTTATTCACCTCCAAGGTTTCAAGCAGCCCAAGTTCCTAAAAACTTGAGGGATCAAACATTACCATCCCTGGTTCCTTGAACTATGAATCATTATTGTAACCCAGTCATTTTGCCCTGTGTTCCTTGGATCTTTAAGCAAGACTTGGACTAGTTTTTAAAGTTCTATATTTGGCCAACCTACAGTTTAGATTTTTGTGATGAAATCTGAGGTGGTCGTATTCTCGAAACCGAATACTCTTGTGATGGAATGGGTAGTGATGACAGTGCTGGGTGTCACTACTCAGTTACTCTATAACAGTTCGCCCACATTGACATTCAGACGAGGGAATTTCCTTGCTCTGGAGTTTCGGTAGGTTTATCTTCTGTTAGCCACATGGCATGTTTGAAGGGGAGAGGGGAAAGTTTAATGTGCATATGATGGCATTGTGTAGGCATAGACTAACTGTTGCACTGGTCTATGAACCCTTATCCAGGTCAATTGCTTCAGGAATGTACACTGCAAAGTACGTAGCCTACAACCAGGATCTGCTGATACAGAGTGCGTTTAACCTTCCAAGGATATCATGGGTGTAGTTGCACAATTCCAGCAATATTACTGTTTCCAGTAATTGAATCTAATAAGACAGGTGCATTTGAAAAAAAGATTTGTTTTTTGTGTAGCTTCTGTTCTAATGAACAATTCTGGATTGCATTTCTAGATGTGAAAAACCTGGACTGTTTGAAGAGTTACCTTTTTGCTGATCATCGCACATTTGTACTGACTGCAATCTACTGCATTTATGTGGCTGATTCATCTGCCTCTTCCAAACTTCACTTTAAAGCTGTATGTAGCCGAGTTATGGTTGCCAACTTTGGGCTGTGGATTTGACTCACGTCGCAAAGAAGCAACTGTATGCATCCTAGGGGCCTATGAAATGAAGATATTTCCCTGGCTGGTCACATGGAAGTGCTTTGAAATATCTTCCTGATTATATTTGGAGTACACATGGCACAAAAGAGTCTTGCTTCCTGTTCCATGACTGCTGAATAGAGGATTTAGAAGTAAACTCTAACTTAGACCCCAGGGAGGGAAAACTCCTTTTATTTAGCTAACCTATCCTTTATTTTAAACAACTCCTGGTTGTAAATATATTAGACATTTTAGACCAATATATTTAAAGTAATCCTGCTCTTATGCAACAATGATTGTTTTAGAGCGTCATACCAAGTGTTTAAAATGTTTTATTTTCTTGGAATGGATCCTATGCCAAACAAGATCAGAAGCTTCCCAGTAACTTGGTGCCAACCTTAAGTTGTGGAAATTGACCAGGACTCAAGTGGTGTCTAGGTATTCTAAAGCACATTGCTATTTAATGCAAATTTAACTTCCATGTTTCTTAACTTTATACTATTATTGATATTTAGATTAAGTAGATTTAGGTGTTGGGGTAAAGAAAATGTTGCTTAAGTACAACCTTAATACCACTTGCCTTGTATCACAGGATATTAAGGCATTTCTGAGAAGCTCTGATCTTTGTCAAAAAATCATCTTAAAGTGCTCTTTGACTGGTGTGAGTAGACTGATCTAAACTACTGAAAACTATATAAACTTAGGTGACAATAACCCTTTTGCTACTGAAGGCCTGTCTTTAAGCAGTGCACTCCTTTAATTGCAGTAGTAGTTTGAGCCATTTAATGGAAATGTGTGGCTTTTGAATGTTTAACAAACCTCAGATAGTTGACCTGAAATGAATAATGAAAATGGAGGCCAAGCCTACTGTCTTTATCAAGTCCTAAGAATTGCTCTCTCTTCATGAGTTCAATATTTCCTGATGCTGATTAAGTCTTTCCATTAAACCATTGCTGTGAACAAAAAACAAAGTTTTTCTTTGCATACTTCTGTTTCTTCATGGGAGATTTTGTGAAAATGTTATAAACAGGGTACGTACACAGAAACAGCGGCAACTTCTTAGTTTGACATGTGCAGACTTTGTATAATTACCGTATTTTTTGCTCTATAAGACTCACTTTTTCCCTCCTAAAAAGTAAGGGGAAATGTGTGTGCGCCTTATGGAGCGAATGCAGGCTGCGCAGCTATCCCAGAAGCCAGAACACAAGAGGAATTGCTGCTTTCACTGCGCAGCGATCCCTTTTGCTGTTCTGGCTTCTGAGATTCAGAATATTTTTTTTCTTGTTTTCCTCCTCCAAAAACTAGGTGCGTCTTGTGGTCTGGTGCGTCTTATAGAGCGAAAAATACGGTATATGGCTTGCATGTGTATACTAGAAAATACTGACAACTCAATCAGAGTTAAATTTCTTGGAAAGCTGAATCATTTGGAATTGCAGACCACACCCAACTCTGCTAGTAAGGCATGGTTGGGCCTCATCCATCAGCTGGAGCTCAGCAGCAGGGTTGTGCATTATGTGGCAGCATAGAGCTCATGCGCCAGCACCATAATTGCCGTGGGTTAAGGGGTTGGTTCAGTTAGCTGACAATACCTTAAAATATAAGCATGAAACCCAACAAAGAATTTGTTAGTTCGGTTAAACCTGAAATAGAACAAGAACAACACAGACTCAACATGCTTTATATTTTTCATTCCTTATTATATTTTTACATGTACATGTTTCTATAGAGGAAAACTAGATTATGGTAGCATCGTCAAATGAACCTCACTCTGCAGATTAATTTAGGTAGAAGGTGGAATCGTGTTCTCCAATACTGGACACAACACAATTCAGAACAGAAGTTATAAAGCAAATGAATTGAATTGTGCAAGTTGTAAAATCACTCTAATGTACTGAGGCACAGTTACCTGCTACAAGAAACAAGTTGCCTATTGCCAACAGAGGATTAAAGAAGTGGCAAAAGCTGTAGGGACAAAAACTTTTTATTAGAACCAAATCAAGCAACAGTATAGGTACATAAACCTCATCACGGGACAATTAACATGGGTTATGTAAAGTAAAATAACTAGCCCAGGCAAAAGTGAACATACTGCCAAAGCAAGATCTTCAGCTGACAACTTCATCACACCCTCACAGATACTAGCACATTACCATCTGGCAGCTGGAAGGATAGACCAGTTCTGATAACCATGTCACAGTGAGGTTTTCTAGTCTTTGTTTCCATTCTGCTCCATGCTGTACTGAAAGGTTTCAAGTTTGATTGCACTACATGTGTAGATTCTCAGTTCTCAATGCTGCTTAGAGTGATTGCCTCTGCACTGAGCCCTTCATGTGCTCCCAGTTGTTGTAGAGAGCATAGAGACTAGTGAGCATGAGTCCTGCAACGCCACCTCTCGCTATCCCTCGTAGTCCACCTGTGGAAAACAGTGGTGGTAAAGAAAAGAGATCAGCTAATAAATCTCAAGGGCTTAGTCGCATGGGCTGTGCCGTACTAGAACATTTGTACAAGTAAAAACACAGTACCAGAGATCACAAAAACTGCCGTTGCTTTGGAAAATATTGACACACCTCAATGGGAACAACTTCTTAAAACAGTGGTTCACAAGCTCAGCCACTTATTAGTTGGTAGAAATTTTAAGTGTCTTAACTCACAGACCCAATGACTGCTACATTTAGGTTCATGACATAAGGTGTGAAGAAGAAAAAACAATTCCACTTACATACAGAAAAGGGTCAAATATATTAAATTTCAGCCCTAGCTGGAATATGAATATATGAAAACATAAATAGTTCCGTGGCACTTCAAAGACTTTTTTTAATGGACTGTGTAGTCCATGAAAGCTTATGCCGTGATACATTTGTTAAGCTTTGAGGTGCCACAAGAACCTTGGTTATTTTTGGTAAAATAAACTACCAACATTACCACTACGGAAATTATACTTAACTAGTGGCTAGTGTAAAGCTAGTTTTATGGTACCAGAATCCCCTTTCTATAGGTTTAGATTCGTTTTACCGAGGACTCATTTCCAGTGCCTTAGAAAAGAAGCAGTTTGCAGCAAAGCCATTACGTTTTGCACTGATAGATAAAAAATACGTTGAGCAGGGAGAAAATCCCATCTATATATGCAGCCTACAACGGGCTATGTGACAGGATTTTTGTGTCGTGACTTTGTATGTGATATAGCTAAAAGCAGTTCAGGAACTACAACAGAACACTTAATGCAGTCTTGACTGTTTTAAGAGTTGTATTTTCAAGCAGGACAAAGGGGGAAAAGCTAGTCTAGTTTGGGCTTAATTCCGGTGTAACACACCAGAAGAACTTGCTCATGGAGATGAAAACCAATTCTCATTTTTTCTGATAATGTGCAAAGCCCTGCAATGAAACCCTTTGCACTGCAATGTAGTTGTCCAATACCCAGCTATGGAACACCCCAAAGGAGAACAGCAGAACTAAGCACCAACGTACAACCAAGTCACTTGTGTGAAATTCAGTTTGCATTTGCACAGCTGGCAGTGTTTGCCTTTCCTGCCTGAAAATATTCACATCAAGGTGAATATGTGGTGTTTTGTTTTTTTAAAAAAAGCAAGTTTGGCAAAAAGAAGAGTGCCTTTTGAATAACAGGGCTTGGAACTCTCCTGACCCTTTTCAGTTCTGCTTGCTAAGTGATAGGCGAATGTACTCCTGTCCCTCCTCTGAAGTCAATTCTGCTAGCCTTGGATAGCAAGTCACTTTACTGAATTCCCCCAAAACAAGCAGCTGTCATTATCTTTCTCTTACATACACATGTTGAGATAGGAGAATGTCAAAACATGACTTAAAAGAGTTGCAGGCTGCAATATTTGAAAGCAGACACTTACAGAGCCTGCCAATTGGGAAGGCCTATCCAGTACCAACTTCTGCCATAATAGGGGACCTCCACAGAGACAGCTTCCTGATTGCCATTGGAAATCCCCCCCGCCAAATCATGGGATTGCTAAAAATAAAATAAATGCAAAGTCACAAACCTCTGCATTTCATACCAGGTGTGGGTGGCATGCCATCGGCTCTTATTTCATGCTAGTTTTTGTTACATAAATCAGCCTTCCAATGTAAAACATTTTGTGTAAAAATGCAAAAAGTGCTGTGTTTTCTGATGGTTCTAGTAAACAGGACATTCTAGCCTACAGGTGCAGCATGTATTAAATTTATAATATATTGGGACAGTACTCTTGACAATGGTGGGACCCACTCTATGTGAATAGAACCAAATGGTTTTCAATACAAATCATGCCATTTCCACTGATGAAGAGGTGAGAAAGCTAAAAACACCCAGTTTCAAGCCTGATGAAAGCTCCAAGCATGTCAGACACTTTCTAAAATAAAAGAACAATTGCTGTGCAGGGCTATCAAACTTCAAAAACCTAGACGTTTCCATATACCTCCGTTAAACCCAACCTAGCTGGTTCCTGTGCCATTGCTTGTTTCTATTTAGCCTGCATATATCCAGAATAATGCCACCAATACAAACTATTTCATTAGATCTCCAATTATACAGGCATGGCTATAAAGCACCACACATTCTGGTTCCACAAATATATTTTCCAAGTAGTGATGATTTAATTTCCGTTGGGTTTCCCTCATAATTAGCTTTCCTTCTCCAAGTTCTCCTTCAGAATTCTCAGAAAGAGCTTTGAGTTATAGTAAGAAAGCTCAGATACACCAACTTTCTCTGCTGGTATAGGCTTCTGCAAACCGCACGTCTCAGCTTTAAATCTTGATGCTCCTGAACTTTCCTAAGCATACTTGAAAGAATCTATTGCTGCATGGGAAGTAGCTTCCCAGGTTTCCCAGTTCAATCTTTTGGGGGGAGAATGGAGACAAAGAGGGCTGCTCAGCTTTAATGCCTCATTTTCCAAACCAGGGGAGTTAGTTTCTGAAATACACCCACACACCCTTCCAAATCCTGCTGCCACTCTAACTTCGAGTTTAATTTATACGGCAGACAGAAGGCAACAGGCAGCAACTATTAAGTGGAAAAAGCAAAGACTGTTCATAGAAATACAACCAAAGTGGCCAACTTTTTAATAAGCACAAACCAAGATTTGAATACGTTTTTTCCTTTCTATAGATGCATGTACTTTTGGCACTCAAAAATGATGACCGATCTTTTTCATGTTTTTCGCTAATGTATCACTAATTTCAATTGGTTTTCCGATACTAGTCATATTTAATCTAATGGCACTTTGCTAAGATAAGACTTGCTTTTAGAATTGCAGTAGCATGTGTCAATAACATAAATCTGCCATTTAAAATTGGGAGGAGCCCTGAAAGTTAACTAATGTTGAAACAAATAGAACAAATAGCTTTATTGCTTATGATAATGTTGGACCAGGCTGGACCTGGAGAGTGATCTATTACAGCTGTAGTAGGTAGAAGTTCAGGTAAATATTTCTAGCTAGAAAAGATGGACAGACTTTTTAAAAAGGAGCCTGCTCTACAATTGATAAACTGGTTTCCTATTTACTGCTTCCAGTGTGTTAAAATCTGTGTAAAAAACCATGGCCTAGTTTCTTCAGCTCTTTTGTTGTCTGTTGCACGCAGAGCAGATCTATTATGCCAGCACAAATGTCTCTTAACATATTTGTTTCCACTTGAGAATTCGGAATACATTTTTGCATTGGGTTCTGAGGTATGTAACCTAAGGCTGCCCAACCCTTCCTTTGTTCCTAGGGGAAGCATAGAGTTTTTTTGTGTTTCAAATATCATTTATCAGTGATGTTTTCCAGCTACAGTCTGAATCATCTTACATATAGTGTGGTCCTGTCGGGCTAAAATTGTAGGATGTCTTTTTTTACACTAATCCTTACTGTTTCTGGATGAACTATAGCTAACTGCCAGAGAACTGTTACGGAGTTTCATGACCAAATTCTGGTGTCATTTTCATTGTCAATGCATTTCTCAGACTATATGCACTGTGCAGCTCAATTACTTGGGTAATCTGCTGTTACCACAACACCGAAAAGCTAAAGTCTATATTTAGAACATTTGCCACATTTAAATTTATTCTGTCTTCTCTTATCACAGTAAGACAAATTGCCTTATTTTTTTAAAACCCTCAATATTACCACACAAAGCAAAGCATTCTCTCATATTTACCCCCAATTTCTATTTTAGGAACTGTTTGTTTCTTTTAGCTCTGGATTAACAGTTTCTATCACCATTAATCAGAAGGCAGAACTCATTAAAGGCAGAGCCCTTGTATTAGGATTTCAGACAAAGGTTTAATGCATATGGAAAAGGGAAACTGAGTTGTCACATGGCTCATGCCTTGTTCTTAAGAATATATAATCACAAGTCAGTAAACATGACATTAAGCACACACAGAACAGATAAGCTTACTTTTGACCCAACTCCTGTACGCAGAACCAAAACGAATAAAGGTAATTTTGCCAGCGTACCTGTGCTTTTATACAGCATGCCTGTCATGGTCCCAGCAGCAACTGTGTTCAGATCATCTTCTGCACCTCGAGTTTTTTCAATTATGACTCCAAATGCGCTATACAGCAGTGCTGGAATTGAATTAAAGTCGACAGTGAGAACACAAACACACAACAACAACAACAGCAGCAGCACATGTCCAACACAGTACAACCCAGTAAGATTCTGGTCTCAGTATCATTCTCTCTTGGGGAAAGTGCCCAAAACTGAGCTTGCATTTTAAGGAAGTTGACTTAAGCCCAATGAAGGAAAGATTCCCATTACCCTCTCATCCCCAGTAGTGCCATTCCATGTTGTTCAGCAGTGCCCATTGGCCATCCAGAGAGGCTTTTCAGGGTATGGACATGTGCAGAGCGATGTCAATGGGGAGAAGAGGGCATAAAACCTTTCTGTAAACTTAGTTAACTTTGGATGATGAAATGAGGAGGTAAGTTAATCAGAGACGCAAAATGCAGCCCTGTAATGTAAGGAAATGGCAGAATGTGTAGATCCAGGGGACATGAAAGCACAGAAGCTTCTGAAGGGAAAGGTAACTTGCTACTAAAGTGTTTCAACTGGATCAGCTGAATAGTTCTACATAAGTGCCAAATGCAAATATCAATCAACTGGGGCCTTTGAAAAGCACCATCAACATTATTCAGTTGTATTATACAAGGGGGGTCAGCAGCAAACCCAAATGAGCAGACCTGCAATGTTTTACAAATACTGAACATAAAAGAGCATCACAGTTGAAACAGGTTAGGGTCCACTATAACTTCTGAAAAACTTATTTCACACTATTTCAAAAGGGTGACTTTTAAACATCCTATAAAACCATTCCTAACCTCATACTGGAAACTAAGAAGGGCAGTTGAATTTGTCTTTTGGTTAGGAAGTAGAGCCACACTCACCCACCCATCCCAAAGCCCACAACTGAAGTTTCTCTTCCCAGAAAGGAATTGAATTCTAAAATATTTGCAGACTTGTCACTAGACAGGTCAGGGTAAAGGACTATGACAAACAAGGAAATGTTACTCAAGAAAACAAACACAGCTGCGAAGTGTCTGTTAATGTATCACTTGCAAGGGTGGAATCTTGAACTTTGGGACCTTTGAGCTCAAATGGCAATTTTCCATGATCTATGATTTCTCTGCTGATGGGGGCAGGTAGAAAGTGGGGAGGGAATCCTTGAAGATGCCAGAGTCTTCTGTGACGAAGGGAGATTTTTCAGGCCTCTAAATCTCATTTAAGGGAAGGCAAGCACCCCTAGTCAGCAGGCCCTAGATTCATTTTAGGCTTTGAAATGCAGTGCAATGACTTTCCAAACCCGAAGAAGCCAGAATCCTTGACAAAACTTCCATTCTAATTCTAGTAGACTTCCAGGATTACTGAAAAATTCAACTGAGTTACAAAGAATGATATTGACATTTCCCATGTAGATTTGATTTACACAACAAACTTACTTACCTAGAGATCCAAGAGTGTTGGCCCATAATGCCCCTTGCCTTGTCACCATATTTAAAATCCTACAAGGAAGTAATGAGAGAAAGAGATTGAGCTGTACTGCTTTATCATAGGCTATATTGTTTTCAAGGCCTAAACAGAACCAAAGACAACTGAAGTTTCTTCTGCTCACGCCTTCTGTCCATGCATTTCATAAGGCAAGAGTGAAAAAGGGAAAGCTTAAATGAAACTTGTTCTACCTGGAGAAATCAAATGCTGTACAAACGTTTTGTTAACCTCTAGCACACCAGCAATACAGGTTTTACTACAGAAACCTAACTTGAAAGGACAAGTTAAATTCATTTGCCTTTTTGAACAAATCTGCTCTGCTTTAAGGCAGGTGGCACTACGTGCCAAGGTGAGTTAAAACGTTTATGTAACTCAAATGCAAATTTGGAGCTCAGTGTTATGCAATATTTTTTCCAGGTTTTTCCCCCCCATAAGCATCCTAGCTAAAAGATTAATTGTTCACTTCTTTTTTAAAGAAGTAGATCCACAGATTTTTCTGTAGGCCAACATACTTAGCATGTTTCAGGTTTGGAGAAAGCAAGTGCACAAAACATGGACTGTGATCCAAATAATTAGTTAAGGTGTGCATAATGGCTTGATCATACCCACAGTGAATTTTCTTTTTATTGCCCCATCCCTTTAAATAACAGAGCCTTGTACCTAATTCAAAAACAGCCTCTGGAAGTCCTTCAGTTTCAGAAGCGCTTTGCCTTGTGGCATGAAGAGCACTGTATTGGGGCTATGAAGCATAATATAATCATTTCTGCCCCATTAATTAGTCTGAATAACTGAAGCTTATGAACAGATTCCATGGGACACAAACTAAATGAACTACCAAAAGCACATGTTTATATAGACATTTCTCTTAGTTCTACTATATCAATTAAATGGTCATTAGAACACGATTCCAGAAGCAACCATATTTGGGTGAATCTGAAATCACGACTGAAAATTCTGAATGGGGTGACTGCTGCCTAGGAATGAAGAAGTATTTCTATGCATAGGTAGCTACTAAAGATGCAGTACAGTGCCTTAATAATTCAATCCTTCCCCCCTCCTTCAGCTATGGCTTGAATTTAGAAAACAGCTTTGGGAGCCTGTTGAAGCTAGATAATTTTCCCCTCCAAGACAGACAATTGATTTGAATATATTCATCAAGCAATTCTTTAAATCGAAATGCAAGGCTGATTTTTTTACATTCTAAAGAAAAGTGCTTTCATCAAAGGCAACCATGTTAACTGAGCCAATTCTAGATTACCAATTTTTACCAGTACACTGCTCTACATATTTTAAGAATTAGATCACAGTGCAGTGTGGAGTGCTCTTGTTCATTTTTCCTACCTCTGCAAGCCTTGGGAGTTCCCCTGAATATGCTGATGCTCCTACATTAGCCTGGATTTGGCTACAGTTCTGTCAGCACTCAACAAGAGAGTTTGCTATTAGAAGACATTATACCAAGACTGCCTAAATAGTTTAGATTGCATTAAGGAGTTTGTCCTTTGGAAGATTGTTAAGCATGCAAAAATCCAAGTGCTAAATTATACACATTTTAATTTGGACATCCTTAAATATCACTTCTTATAAACTTTATAAAAACAAAGGGGGGAAAAGGTCAAACATCCTCTACCATAGAAATTAAAATCACATGCTGAACAAGTGTGTATGCTCCCAGACTAGTGCTGAGTAGAATGTTAACTGCTCAGCACACTCTCAGAGAAGCACAGTATTGCCCCACACTGGTGTCAGCTGCCTCCAGAACAGAGACAGTGACAGACAGATAAAACAGGCAGTACTTTTATCTCCCAGCAGTGTAACACCGTCACAGGCATGATACTGACCCAGACAGCTGACTACCGCTGGAACCTAGGGACAAATGATGAATGGGAGACAAAGGTACCTTTCAGAGCGTGCAAGGTGTCATCTGCTCACAGCATGCTGTGCACCTTACAGAGAGCAAGAAAAGTGAAACTAAATCGAAAGATGTTCTTCCCACTGTGCAAGCTCCTGCCCAAGCAGAACTGCCATATAATTTGCTTATTACAATCCTGCCTACCTGCTAGTACTTGCACACACATGTGCTGAATGAACACCCATGCCAATTTCCCTCCTGTTTCTTTATTATGGTTCTACTAATCCAGGAGATTCAGGACTACTTGCTATAAAATTGATGGTTCATTAACTCATAGTAGCAAACGCTGTACAGGTGACTTACATCTTACATTTATTTTACTTATGCAATTGCAGCTTTGAGTGGAAGGGGAGGGGGAATAATAAATGGAGCACAAAGGAAACACACTTTATTTATTTATTCTCCCCACATTCTTGCGCAAAGCTTCAATTGTGGGCTTACTGGGCTTTGGGAAGGTGGAGCAGTCCTCCGCCTCCTTCCCAAAGTCAGGTAAGCAAGGCGTCAGGCTTTGGGAAGGCGGTGCTATGGCTCTGGAAGGGTCCTAGAGCTCTCCCTCCTCCTTCCCAAAGCTGGGCAGGCGCTTACTGGGCCCTGGGACCTTGTCAGAGCCCTTGTGCCACTTCCCCATAGCCAGGCAAGCAGACCTCCACCTTGCAGAGGCCCTGGTTCCATGGGATCCTGGCTTTATGAGATTTTGCTTATACACACAATGGCCAGGAACGTAACCCCCACCTAAGATGCGAGCTACATACCTGTATAGTCATTGTAGCTTGAATACTCTCACAGAGCCTTATTTTTTGGACTAGTGAGAGCCTATGGAAGAATATACTTCAACTGATCATTCAGGTAATGTGGGCTGCCAATTGCGTTAATGCAGGCCAAGGCGTCCTTTTTTAATCCACCATACTTTAACAGAATCTGGAGTTAAGATGTCTGAGCAATGAATATTGCTATAACTGAGGTAAACGGAAGAAACATGGGAGGCAACTGTTATATCCAGTATGAATGCTATAGGAGGCAGACCAATAGCAGCAGCAGTTCCACAGAGCTGAGAATCACAAAGAATCAGAAGGGAATTGCTGATGATTCGAGGAAAAGGGTATGTCATGGATCCTGAGAGGCAGTTGGGTTATCAAAGTTTAGAGAACATATAACTTCCCTATTGTGTAGGATACACTTGCCATTTTTCCGAAACCTATCTTCACTAGTTCTGTGACAATGTTGCAGTAAATAAATAAATAAATAAATAAATAATAATAATAATTTCTGAAGGTATGTGTTTCATCTGGGATCATGCACCAAAATGTTAACAGTTTCTGTACCCCCATTGTTCTAGAAAATGTTAATAAGACGTACTAACAGATGAATAATTAAAGGATTATACATAAATCTTATAGATATTGTTATAGTTTTCCTTTAAAACAGTTTTACAAATGAGGGCCACATATGAGCCACATTTTGTGGAGAATATTTATCCTTGCAACTGCTAAGAATGGAGTGACTGGGATAACTGACCTTCAGCATATCTTCCTGAAGGTCCAGTAGAGCATTAATATTAGTTTGCTGCCACCTGCTGGTCTAAAGGATTTAATGATTGCTATCTTTCGACATAACAATCTGTTCAATATACATTTTTTTAAAATGCCATAGGATCATGCATTTGAATCTTCTATGTCCAGCATAATTTGTTTTTGGCCAAGATTTCTCTGAAAGAAATCTCATTTGAAAGAAAAGCTTACAGAAACTAAGTGAATATGTGCATGTATTGACATCCTATGCCCTTTTAAAATGTGGCTCTTTTTTGGTGGGGGGAGTGTGTGTTATTGGGTTTTTATTTTGATTACTCTGTGTGTGTGTGTGTGTGTGTGTGTGTGTGTGTGTAGTGTTCTTTAAGTTGATCTTTTCTCTGAACCACCTTGAGACCTCCGGGTATAGGGCGGTATATAAATTCAATAATTAATTAATTAATAATGTAAGCATGCACAAATTGATAGGAGGGGATAGAAAGAAAACAAAAAGGTGTTTCCTCAGAAATAACTCAATTACTTTCTTTTTAAGATTAATGAAGTGATCACCACCACACGTTGAGCTCATCCTAATTCAAGACTTCTCACACAACTCAGGGCAGTGACAATCCGCTGTCAGGAATACTAAAACACCCCAGATTTGGTATTTAGTCCTTTAGCTTTATGGGCACAAAAGGCTTTATAAGTTAAGACTTACACAGAAGTGTAATTTTATCCTGACTGCACTAAAGGCCAATTTAATGATATCTCACTTACACTTATAGGAAGTCAAAATTCAAGGCAAGCAAACAAATAAGTATCTGGAAGGCTGTAAGACCATGAATACTTATGAATTCTTCTGAAAACAAAATGAAAAATGAGCAACCCTTGAAAGCTGAAAAGTATCTGGAATTATGTACTTACTGTACATTTCTAGGTTTAGACCAAGCCATGCTCTGTGTCTCCTTCAAGCCCAGTCGCAGGCCATTTAGAGCACCAAATGCAGCTCCTAAAAGGCAGGACATCAGGATTAACCACAGGAAATGAAAACTGAACACACATTCCAGTAAGGATTAAAACAGCTCACCAATTAAACATGCAGTCTACGGAAAAATAAACTATAATAATGGTACGCTTTTACTGAAGCAGATATAACAGGCATATGTTGTATTATTGAAGGCAAGTTACATTTTACAGGCAAAATAGTGAATGTGGCCTGCGTGAGTCACTTGCCCAATCCTTCTTTGCTCTTTATTTTTTGTTCTTATGTTCTCTCTTCCTGTACCATCACACCCCATAGCAATTACCTACTGTATTCTCTACCTTGGGGTGGGGGAAAATAAACAGCCCCTAGAAGATGTAGGAAAGTGAGATGGAAAAATACCAAATCATGCCACATCAGCAAAAAATATCTATTAGTCTATGCATAGAATCTTCGATAACCTGTTATAAAACTGCGAAGCTTGTATGTTCAGAAAAACCACAAATGCCATTTTTAAACAGCATATGCTATACTGCAGACATGAATGCCATTATAGACAGCTGATGTGTATGCTCCCATTCTAGTGCTGAGCAGGATATTAACTGCTTAGCACACTCTCAGAGAAGCACAGCACTGCCCCACCCTGCTGCCAAAATGCCTCCAGAACGGTGACAATGACAGCCAGACTGGACAATAATTTCATCTCCCAGCAGTGTAACACTGTCAGGCACGGTAATGACACGGACAGCTGACTACCGCTGAAATTTAGGAAATCAACAACAGTCTAAAACATCCCAAACCTTCACTCAAATGTTCCATCGTTCATTTTTGGCAATGAAGGCCTTGCAACTGTTGTTACAATTTGATGATTATGTCCAGAAAAATAATAAATTGCCCAAAGCTTACAAAGTATCAAGAGTGTAAATGGGGGAGAGATACAACCTAGATCACAAGGCCTGGAAATCAATGCACCGTGAAAACAGTGTAAACCATTGATACTCTCAGTGGTGCTAGAAGACTCTGTTCTGTTGTGCCGCAGGACTATTGCATTTGCTACAAAAGAGTAACACACTAAATTTGCTACTACAGTGGTGCCCCGCAAGACGAATGCCTCGCAAGACGAAAAACCCGCTAGACGAAAGGGTTTTCCGTTTTTCGATGCGCTTCGCAAGACGAATTTCCCTATGGGCTTGCTTCGCAAGACGAAAACGTCTTGCGAGTTTTGTGATTTTTTTCGCTTCCCCCCCCTTTTTCTAAGCCGCTAATAGCCTTTTAGCCACTAAGCCGCTAAGCCTTTAATAGCCGCTAAACCGCTAATAGGGTTGCTTCGCAAGACGAGAAAACCGCTAGACGAAGAGACTCGCGGAACGGATTATTTTCGTCTTGCGAGGCACCACTGTATAATGCACTCAAGTTTGTTTTAGACAAGAAGTATGTCACTGGAGACTTGGCTAAATTTGATACATTACGAATATATTTTTATACACTACACTCGCCCCCACACATACAAATTCTATCCATTTTAAAACAGAACAGTATCACAATATAAATTAAATCTTACCCATACCTGTCATGCAGCATCCTCCAATCGTAAAGAATGCCAGCTCAAACCTGCCCCTAGTTTTGCTAGCTCCAGTGGGTAAAATGAATTCATCTGTGTCCTGAAATGGAAATATCCTTTTAAATTACATTTGTGGCTAAAAACTCATTTGCTTTATAAAAACAGGTGCAATACATTCAGAGAAAAATAAGGAGCCTTGCTATCTCTGAGCTAATCAAGTGCTCAAATGAAAGATCAGATATCAAGGTCCATAAGAGAATAATACATGGTAAATAAATCTACCACAGAAATTCAAGCCATTGCATGTTGATCATGTGTGTAAGCTTCTAGTCTAGCACTGAGCAGGATATTGACTGCTTAGCACACTCTCAAAGAAGCACAATACTGCCCCCCACTGGTATCAGCTGCCTCCAGAACAGAGGAGCTGACAGACAGCTAACATGGACAGTACTTTTATCTTCCAGCAGTGTAACACTGTCACAGACATGGAGATGACAAAGACAGCTGACCACCACTGGAGTTTAGAAACAAAACTCTGTATCACTGCTTCCCAGATTAGAGAGAATTCACACTTAGTTTCTGCCCATACTAGCCTACAGACCTAGAAGCTGCAAGAAGCTGGGACTGTGTGGCTGTAGATTGTTAAGAGCAAGCATGGCAAAGAGGCAATTGAACACTAAATGGACACTGCGTGTTTGAACCCTGTGAAAGGGAGCTCCCAACTTATCTTCTAGCTTGTAAGAGTGGGTGGTGCATGCTTAAGAAGGGCTAAACATCTATATATATTTATCTTTCTGAACTGTTTGGTGCTGTTTGAAAATGGGCCACTTCACACTGCCCACTGACTTGATCTTCTATGAATAAAATTAACAGAGAACCTTAACTCTTCTGTTAAGGTTTATCCATTTATCCATATTCATTTACTGAAATATGAGAGGACCTGTCCTCAATTTGGAGCGCTTGATGAGGAAACTGGTCAAAATCTTTTTGGAACTGGACTTCCGGGGTGGCGCCATTGGCAATGGCGGATTCCCTCTGAACTGGAGGGACCAGCTCCACGGGAAACGGGTCTTTACCGCTACGGCGAAGCGGGGACCCACTTAAAAATCACAGGCGGATGAAGCCTGTGACCATGGGACTCGGCGGGCACCCTTAGCGCCCCCCCAACTCGCTAAGGAACCCACTAACGGGCTCCGAAGTGAAGAGGGGGAAGTGGCGCGGTGATGTGAGTCAACTGCTATTTCCGTGGAGCGAAGCCGCATAGCCGTTGCCGGAGAGCGCTGCCTTTTTCCTGGGACAATTTGGACTTTAAAATAAGCACCCGTGAGTACTTAGACTTTGAACAACTGGACATTAAATAAGGACTTGCGAGAGAAAAGAATTAGATCTTAAAAATCTATTTTAATTCGGTACGGAACGGGAAGGTCTAAACAGGAAGTCAGCCTTCCGTTCTTTTGTAAACAGAATAAAGCAAAGACAACGTAAACTAGAGCTCAGAAAATCGCTTTTAAAGGATTGGATTTCATCATTTAAAATTGTGGAACCCCCCTTCGACAGCAGGAGAAGGGGGGGGGATCTTTTTCGGACTGTTTAAAGTGAGTTTAAAGTAAAGTAACTTTCCTCCGTCCTGATCCTGGAGAGGGGTGTCAGGACTGACGTTTGAAGTTCATTGACCAGAGACAAGCGTTTTTGACAGATAGCTAAAAGAAGAGAAACATAGTGATTCCACTGTTTCCCTTCGCATTTTAAAGGAACAAATATTGACAAAGTATCTCAAAAAGGGAAACTTTGTTGTAAGAACAAATAGAAGTTTCCCCCCTAGAGGGAGACTGTGAAACTGTAACCAACTCCAGGGAGCCGGCAGCTGTTACAGATTACAATCGTGGGAACAGGCATTTGACCTTGCAGGACAATGTACTCAGAAGCTTTGTTGTGTGCTTTCTATAAAACAAATGCCCTACTGGAACAGTTACATGAGAAGGTGAATTGGATGGCGACTTCGACTAGAAATTTTGAACAGGCAGTGGGAAATTTTGAACAGACAGTGGGGAAATATGTGGAGCCCGCTCAGGAATTAAATCAGGAGTGTGTCCTGACAGAACAGGCCCAACAGGAATATGAGTTTTCGGATTTGACAAATGAACTTGGAAAAAGCCAGATTTGGAAAGAAAAAGTTTGGTTTGGCTTGGAAATGGGGGGCTGGATTGACCCCCCTATGCTGGGATGTTTGGACTTTTCAAATCTGGCAATGGGCCGTGAGATGTTTGGGATTGTGGGGGCTCTTAATTTTGGAGGGCCTTTGAAACATGCTTTTAAATATCATGTGGAATTCAGTGTTGAATATGGAAAAGGAGCTGATCTGTCGAGAAGGGCTAAAAACATTGCCAAGCTGGAGTTGGCAAGACGAGCAGGAGACAAGGGAAAATACAGTTACAAATATGAAGAAGAGCTGCGGAAGGGACATGGAAGAGACTTGAGGGCCTCGGATATAAGGTTGCCAGGTTAATGGGCTAGATCGACAGGATAATAAGGACTGACAAAACCCGGAACCAGGAGGAAGGGACGTTGGATGAAGATTGGACCTGTTTGTATCTCTTTTCTTTACCATTAGAACTGTTTTATAAAATTGATGAATGTTAGAAAAATGTTGGAATGAAATTACTTGGCTTTAGTAAAGATGTTTAAAGAATTATGAAAGAATATTATGGTTATGAGAAGTTGGTAAGGATAAGATTTAAGTTTTAAGCTTTAAGGTTTATTTTATTATAGAAAGATAAGATTAAAACAGTTTAGGGCAATGTAATGACAGAATATTATGAAATATGGAAAGAATTTGCTGGGATAATTAATAACTAGGATACAAAGAAAGGGAGGAGGAGGAGGTCAAAGAAAGAAGGCAATGACAGTTGAGGATTTGAAAATAATGAATTTGTTTTTAAATGTTTTTAATTGTTTGTGATGTATTTTTCTTTTTTTTTTGTCACTTTTTTATTTTTGAATTTGTATTCATATGACTGGAAGGGGTTTGTTTTTTTCTTTTTCTACTTTGTTAACTATTTTTGTGGTTTAACCTTCCATGGCTAACCATGGCAAACTGGGCCAACATCTACTTACACACGTACAGTGATACCTCTGGTTGTGGACGGGATCCATTCCAGAGCTCCGGTTGGATTCCGAGGTGTTCACTACTGGAGGTGACTGTTCTGCGCATGTGTGCGGCACGACAGAGCGCTTCTGCGCTTGCGGCGAAACCCGGACAAATATTTCCGGGTTTGCTGCGTTCACATCCTGAAGTTTATGTAACCAGAGGGTTACGTAACGCAAGTGTATAGGTAAAAAGGTAAAGACCCATAGATGGTTAAATCCAGTCAAAGGTGACTATGGGGTTGCGGCGATCATCTAGCTTTCAGGCTGAGGGAGGTGGTGTTTTTCCGCAGCTTTCCGGGTCATGTGACTAAACCACTACTGGCACACAGAGGACTGTGACAAGTGCCAGAGCGCCCGGAAATGCCATTTACATTCCTGCTGCAGCAGTACCTATTTATCTACTTGCCCTGGTGTGCTTTTAAACTGCTAAGTTGGCAGAAGCTGGGACACAGCAACAGGAGCTCACCCCGTTGAGCAGATTTGAACTGCCAGCCTTTTGATTGGCAAGCCCAAGAGGCTCAGTGGCTTAGACCACAGCGCCACCCACGTCCCTTTACCTTTATGTTACATACATATACTTGTAACCTTTACATAAATTTCTTAAATGAACATTTAGCAATCAATTGTAACTATATAATAATATAATTTGAACAAGCATTTACATCTCACCTGTATAAGGTATCTGGGATCTACATTTAAATATGGAGACAAAGGATTCATTCCAGTCACTGCAAAAAAATAAAACAGAAAACAGAAGATAAATTTCAGTATAACTAGATGTAAAAGTTCATATGACGGTAAAGGGCTAAGAAAGAAAAAGATGAAAAATTAAAACAGTGTTAACTTTCAAATGTACATTGTGGCCTGGGTTGCACAAAATGCTAAGCCAGACTGGCTTAGAACTATCGTGAGCTCTTCCAGAAAAAACATGAGCTGATTCAGACAACACACCAATCCTTGGCAATGCAGCAGCAAATAAAGGACCAGAGAGAAGTAGAGCAGCTGCGTTCTTGCTAAGTCAGGGTGAGACATGCTTAGCTTGTGTCTACCAAGCAATCCCTACTCAATGCAATAATATTCATAGTGTGAGCCATGTCTGTCCTATGAAGCTGATTACAGTGGTGCCCCGCAAGACGAATGCCTCGCAAGACGGAAAAACCGCTAGACGAAAGGGTTTTCCGTTCTGAAGTTGCTTCGCAGGACGAATTCCCCTATGGGCTTGCTTCGCAAGACGAAAATACCTTGCGAGTCTTGAGATTTTTTTCTCGCTTTCCCCCCCCTTTATCTAATCTGCTAAGCCTTTAATAGCCTTTAATAGCCTTTTAGCAGCTAATCCCCTAAGCCTTTAAGCCTTTAATAGCCGCTAAACCGCTAATAGCGCTAATAGCGCTAATCCGTCAATGGGCTTGCTTCGCAAGACAAAAAAACCGCTAGACGAAGACTCTCGCGGAACGGATTAATTTCGTCTTGCGAGGCACCACTGTAGTACAGAAGAGAGCAGTGTGGAGAATGAAAGGAGAGAAAAGCCAGTACAGTGGTGCCTTGCAAGACGAAATTAATTCGTTCCGCGAGTTTTTTCGTCTTGCGGTTTTTTTCGTCTTGCAAAGCATGGTGTCGGAAAAGTTTTGGAAAAGCTTCAAAAATACCAAAGTCTTCAAAAACCTCAAAAAAGGCTACCACACTGCGTGCTATGAGTTGCTCCTCGAAGTCAAGTCGCAACTGTATTAACGGTTTTAAGAAAAAGGAAACAAACTTGCAAGACGTTTCCGTCTTGCGAAGCAAGCCCATAGGGAAAATCGTCTTGCGAAACAACTCAAAAAACCAAAAACCCTTTCGTTTTGCAAGTTTTCTGTCTTGCGAGGCATTCGTCTTGCGAGGTACCACTGTACATGAGTTTCAGGCTAAGTAGCCACACTTAAGAAATCTGTCTGTTAATGTAGAACTATCACCTTGAAACTCTACTTACAACAGAGTAGAAAAGCCACATGCAGAAATACATCAGGAAAATCAGGAATACATACTTTTTCTGAAATGCTCAAAAGTTATTCAGACCATTCACTGTGTCAAGGCCTTAAAACTGGTATGCCTCATGTTAAGAAAGGAGGCATTTGATCATGCTGGCAAACCCAAGTTAAAACAGGGACCACTTTCAGCCTCATGCCTGGTAGAAACACCACAGATGCTTAAAGGACAGGGATAGCTCAGTCAGTAGAGAATGAGATTCAATCTCAGGGCCATGGGTTTAAGCCCCACATTGGGCATAAGATCACTGCATTGCAGTGGGTTGGACTAGATGACCCTTGTGACCCCTTCCAACTCTACCATTCCATGACCTTGAAAATACACCTGGAAGAGATAAGCTGTTTTCCCTCCTTCACAACTTTTATGAGCTGCAGCCCCACAAACCTGCCTGCCAGCACCTTCATCCCTCCCACACAGACTTCCTTTGCTTTAAAATGTACAAAACTGCACAGTAGGGAAAATAAGAGAGGCTCTAATACAAGTTCCAAGAAAGAGCACCAGCTTTCTGTTCAATCCTATGTGATATTCCTCCCACGCTTTCAAGGTAGAATTCCACGCCGCCACATCGGTCAGTTTTAAGTCTTTTATTTGATTGTATTCTATGGTCAAAGCTGGTTGTTATTATTTTAAAATTTCATTTGTACTTTTCAGGTTTATACATTTCACTAATTTTAACATTTCAAAGCCTGACTTCCTTCCCCTTCTTTCTGCGGTTCCTTAAATTTATTTTTATTATCTTCTGCATAAGCAAATTAACTTAATTTGCTCATTTACTCATCTACTTTAAATATGTACTATTATAAAACTGCAGGTTATTACAATAATCCTGCCAATGTATCGCCATCATCATTTTATTCCCCCCCCCGCATCACTTGTTATAAAAGAGGGATGAATAAAACAGGTCACCCCAAACCCGACGCCCGAAACGAATGAAGAAGCTCCCCGCGCCAAATACTCACGAGGGACTCCGGCCAGGTCCGCGTGGGAATAGCCGGGCCCACCCATCGCCGCGCCGCCGAAGAGGCCGCCGAGCCCGGAGCCCTTCGAGTTCCCGGCTCCCCCTTCCATGGAGGACGAACTTTTGCCGGGGGGGCTTCAGCAGCCCTCTCCCCTCCCCCTCCTCGTGCTCAGCAGCGGCGGCTAATGGACGCTTTTCCCTCGGCGCCCGCTCGCTCGCTCTTTCCTTCCTCCCTCAAGGCCGGCGCGGGAAAGGAGAGCACGACGACCTCCTCAGCGCCAAGGCCGCGGCTGCCGTAAAGCGACTCCGCGACGCCGGCGCGCGAGGCTGCTTCGCGCGCGTCTCCACTTCCGCTTTGCGACGGCGGCGCTCTCTTGCTTTCCGGCTCGGCCGGGAAACGGGAAGCGGCGGGCGGAGAGGGAGGCCGTCGACGAAGGCTGGTCCCTCAGCTTGGGGAGCGTGTCCGAGAGAGGCGGGGGGTCGTTGGGGGTTGAGGGAGAGAAGCGGTGCGGAGCCTCGAGCGGCATAAGAAGCCCTCACAACGGCTAGGAGGGCCGGCGTGCGTGCGTGTGGCCGCCTCGCTCCCCTCAGCCGGGAGAATGTGGAAGGGAACTTTCCCCGTCGCCTTTCCCCCTCAAGGAGCCCCTTCGCCGCCCCCGGGCCCGCTTTCCCCCCGGTGGTGACCCTGTCGTCGTCCCCCACTTCCACCGGGGCGTGTGAGGCGAGCGGAGGAGGGTCGGAGGGCGGGTGCTGCTCCCCCCAAGCATGAGTGCGGGGTCTGACGCCCCCAGGAAAAGGATCAGGTCGGACCCCCCGCTCGCCCCCTCTGCCGTCGGCGTCAGCAGCAGCAGTGGCTCGGAAGAAGAAGCGCAGCCCCCTTCCTGGAAGAGGAAAGTGACCCAGTGGCAGCCGCCTCTTCCCTTCAGCAGGGAGCAAAGGTCCAGCAGCAGCAAAGCCAGCCCCGCAGTCACAGTGGGGAACAAAGGTTCGCGTCGCCGTGGGGATCCTTTCTCTACAAAAAGAAGGGGAAAAGGCCATTCTTAGTCACTTGCTTTTCTCATCTGGTTTGCTGGGATGGGGGTGGGGAAAGGGGTGTGTGCATTTCCATTTCCCCCCCCCCCCCCCACGCGTCAGTTGTGTGGGTTTCCATTGCCACAGCTGCCATCATGCTCTCCTTTTGGGTTTACGGTGCCAGCCTTGATCCCTGTGCTCTGCTTGGGAGAAAGGTTGCGGCCCTTCCAGGCTGTTTATGTCAGGATCACGCTTGGGTTTAAGGCTGTGGTCCACGAGACGCGCTGCAACTTAGAAGAGAACCTAAGGGTCATCTAGCCCACCCCCCAGCGATGCAATCTTTTGCCCGGCATGGGACTCGAACCCATGGACCTGGGATTTAAGAGTCTTGTGCTCTACCAATTGATGGAAACAGGCCCATTGAATAAAGTGGTACTCGTTTCTTACTCAACGTGCATAGGATTGGGCTGAAAAATTGGGCTGGGTAGACAGATTCGGCATAGTCGCTTGCAGTAATTTAAAACAAGTTCTGATGCTTTTGTCACATTACCTTTAAAAACTGAAAATCATTGTCCTGCTTGTATAATGTCATAGTTTGACAAGACAGTGGCTCCATCTAAGAAGAGTGGTCACTTCCGCTTTACAGAATATGCTGCAATTAAAAGGGAAGCCATATAAGAGCATTCTTGGCTTTGGTGTTCATTTGAGAAGAATTAACTGACAACAGTATTTGACTAGTCAATTTATTGGCATCACAGTTTTGTATAATGTTGTTCTGCAACTCTTATGAGTACTTGGAACAAAGGGTATGCTTCTGAATTTGATTGTTTTAGCATCTTAGATTAGTTGTTGAGGCCCTGGTAATGTGTATTTATAAAGGCCAGAATGTATTAAGATAATTATTATTTGATCAATCAAGATTGATGAAAGATAGGAACTATCTAGTACAGTGGTACCTTGGGTTACATACGCTTCAGGTTACAGACTTCACTAACCCAGAAATAGTACCTCGGTTAAGAACTTTGCTTCAGGATGAGAACAGAAATCGTGTGGCGGTAGTAGGAGGCCCCATTAGCTAAAGTGGTGCTTCAGGTGAAGAACAGACCTACGGAACGAATTAAGTACTTAACTCGAGGTACCACTGTACAAAGAAAGTTGCTTGGTAAAACTCAAAGTTGTGAATAAAAATTCTCAGCCTGAGAAGGGATACATTGTTGGTATACAGTGGCATAAGTGTCTTGTGGCACTTGAAAAACTGACCCAGTTATTATGGCATGAGCTTTCATAGACAAGAGCATACATATTTCATGGAATCCATACAGTGTAGTGAAGGTGTCAGAATTGGGTGTGTAAGGCGCGAGTCCGAGAGAATTGGAGTGGAGCTTCCTTTTGAAGCAGAAGTGGAGCTTCTGTTACTGAAGAAATCTCTTGGTTTGATGTGCTCTTTTTAGCTTTTCTTAGCACAACAGTTTCTCAAGACATTGTTTCAAATGCACTGGTCTTCTCTCTTTCATTGTATCAATTCTGGACAGTTTTATTTTTGAATAGTTCAAATAGTACAAACTATTTGATTGTACATATAAATTCATCCAACTTTCTGTTTAGTAATAACCTGAAAATAGCATCTGATTTAATAGTTCTGAATTTGTTTTACCTTCATGGAGTAAAGCATGAACAGAATTGGAGAAGAGATGACCCAAGAAATGCCATTTCTAGTACACATTTTAATTAAATAACTGGTGGTATTAGTAATTTGATTACTCGGATAACCTATTGTTATCATATCATACAGATATGCTTGTCAGGAAGCTATGATTGGCTGCAGCTGCCTTTTGAGCATGCCTCGCTGTCTTACCAGAGTTAGCTAAAGCACCATGAAACAAGTTTGGAGTTTGCAGATAATTCAGATGCCAAGACAATTATAAAATATAATATTGTATCTCTTTTGGTTTTAAAATAGGAAGCTGGTTGTTGCAATATATTGTACTGTGGTTCTTCTTTCCCCCCCTCTAGTTTACAAACAAAGGAGGATTACCTCTTGGATGGAGAATAAAGGACCCAAAACAGTGGAGTCAAAAAGGTAAAAACAGAACACAGGAGTAATTTATTTATCCAGAATGTAACAAAAGGAGAGAAGGACTCATAATCAAAATATGCCTGGTGCTTCTGTTCATTCTACACTTACTGCGTCTCCACCCCCATCGTTCATCTGAGGTCCAGCTCCGTGGGCCTTCTGGCGGTTCCCTCCCGGAAAAAAGTGAGGCTACAGGGAACCATGTAGAGGGCTTTCTCGGTAGAGGCTCCCGCCCTGTGGAACACCCTCCCATCAGATGTCAAGGAAATAAACAACTATCTATCTTTTAGAAGACATCTGAAGACAGCCCTGTTTAGGGAAGCTTTTAATGTCTGATGTTTAATTGCTTTTTTATTATTATTATCATTAATTCTGTTGGGAGCCACCCAGAGTGGGCAGGGTATAAATAATAAATAATTATTATTAGCCGCTGCATTTTGCTCCAGCTGCAGCTTCTGGACCAGGCGCAAGGGTAGCCCCACATTGAATGCCCTGCATTATCAAGTCTTGAAGTTACCAGTGCATGAACTTGCTCTTTTGAGCCCTGCCTGAAATTTAACTGGGTGTGTTGAGCCGGTGGGCCCTGGGCACGGGGAATGCCTGATACCTTAAAGAAGGTGGTGCGGCCACTACTGAAGAAAATGGCCTTGGACTCAAGGAATTGCAACAACTTTATTAAAATAGTGAAGCGTTACTATAGCCTTAATTTGTGGGAAGATAAACATCAGTTTTACCTTTGGTTATGGGACAACATTTTATTTGTATTTGTGTTGTTTGTCTTTTTACAGCTCACAAAACAAAACTTGCAGCACAGAAGCAGAGCCCAAAATGACATTTGTAAAGCAAGACAATGTTTTTGAACATGAAGTGAAAAATGCTGAGGATGTTCTTCAGCAGGGCTGTTCCAGATTACCTGTGGAAATGAATACCAGGCATGTGGCCTTGCCTCAGACTGCCGCCCTGCGTAATTGGGAAGCTGAGCAGCTAGGTAGGGATCAACTTTCAGAAGCAGAGTCTTTGAAAGGAATCCAAACTGGAGACCAGTTGAAAAATGCTAATGCTAATCAAACACATAAAACTGGCAGTCAGGCCCATCGGGGTTGCAATGAAAATCAGGAAAACTGTACTCATAGGAAACTTTCATCAGGCAGCCCTGTGAAGGTAGCAAATATAAAACAGCCATCAAAAGACTATGATCCGGAAAGGCAAGCAACTTTGCAAAATTTGCAGCCGTTTAAGAACTACAACTCTGAGCATGTAACTTGCATAGCTGTTGAGTCAGAGGAGGTGGATGTAGTGCCTGAGAGCCCACTTTCAGATGCAGGCTGTGATGCTTGCTCACCTGATTTGTATGCCACTCAGAAAAGAGATCAAGGATGCTGGGGGGAATCTCCTTCTTTTGAGAAAGAGAGTGAACCTGACTCACCAATGGATGTAGATAATTCCAAAAACAGCTGTCAGGGCTCAGAGGCTGATGAAGAAACCAGTCCACTTCTTGAGGACCGAGAAGACATTGATGTGCCAAAAGCACCAAACAAATCCTCACGGTTTCGAAAGGCTGACCTGGATTCAAGAAAGTCACAATCCCGGAGAGGTGAAGGTGCTCGATTTAATCTCCACTTGGAAGGGATGGATAATCAAGTCAAACAGGGTGAAACGCCCACTGAATCACCTGGGATATCACTAGCTGTGTCATCAGAATGCAAAGGTGCCAAACATTGTGGGAGGAAGGACTCTAAAATTACTTCCCATTTCATGAGGGTTCCCAGGACAGAGGAGAAAAGGTAATCTGTCTCCCCTTCTTCTTTCCATACTATTGCACTCAAGTAGCACTGCAGTTAGAATTTCATTTTTGTCTATATAGTAAAACTTTACATCTGTTAAAACAGACATAAAAACATGTCTAATTCAGTGTTACTTTAACATGAGCTATTGCGTAAGCTAAGGCTTGTGCAGCAACCACAACTCCTACTGGACGGATATAACTGCTCTGGTAACTTCTAGGTTAGACTACCTTAAGGCCTTCTTTGTGGGATGCCTTTGAAAATTGATCAGAAACTTCGGTTTGTTTAAAGTACAGTTGTGAGCCTAAATAGAACCAGCTGTAGCAGAGGTGGTAAATTGGATCATCCAGACTTCTACCTACCTTGGGTCATTTTGACAAGTGCAAGGGGCCACCCACGTGACAATCACCAGAAGCAATGTTATCAGCTGGAATGTTTTCCTTTGCTTGTACAGTTTGAAATCAAACCATATAGGTAAAGGTACAGGGTTTTGCATGCATCACCAATCTGCTGATTGGTGGTGCCTGCAAATCCCACTTATGGCAGGGAGTCATATCCTTTCCTGCCTTGCATCTGTCTTATAGGATGTCAGGTGTAGGACAGGTTGGAGTGACTTGAAGAAAATGTCTCCGCAGGCCAAACTAGGGCTCCTGCCATGCCTAATTAGACCTGTGATCAGGAGATTTCCCACCACTAGATTACAGGGATCATAGTATCTCAACAGGTCATAAACAGTTTGATTTTGATGCATGTGAAAGTGTTGGTGCTTATGTTTAAAGCCCTAAATTGCTTGTGACTAGGGTATCTAAAGGATTGTCTATTTCCAAATGAATGGAATGTTTCGCTCTTTTGCTGGTTTTTATTGCTCGACTGTTGGTATTCTATTATTGTTAATAATCATAGAGTTGGAAGGGACCTTGAGGATTATCTAGTCAAACTCGCTGCAATGCAAGAATATGGGTATTGAACACACAAACGTGGTGTTATCAGCACCATGCTTTAACCAACTGAGCTAATTTGTTTCATTATGGGTTGTGTGTGTGTGAAATTGTTAGCTGCTTTGGGAGCTACCTGCTGAAGAGCTGTATATAAATTATTTTCATAAATGAATAAATTTTGTGTATCCTGCAAACATCTCCCAAGATTAACTGAATATGCTCACTTGAGTTTATCATGTGTCCATTGTTTTAGGACAGCAGGTGAGCATTTTGAGTGTGTAGCAAACCCCCTTACCTGCCACTCAACACTAATTTTCTTTAAAAAAACTTCAAATGATGACTTGGATATGTGAAATAGTCATCATAGATTAAACATCATAGCTGTTTCCTATTACTTGATATCACCTCAAACACAGTACTTTTCAAGAAAGGTGGTTCACTCATGCAATTGTGAGCTGCATGTCATGTGACAAGAAGAAATGTATTACCAAATGATGCATTACTGGATGATATGCATGTTCATATGCTCAGCCTGTGAGTGGGGGCAGTGCAAAATTTGCTTCCCCTCCCTCCAAAATACAAGGATTTTTATGGAGGGGGTGAGCATAAATGCCTCTGAGAATATTATATTTTGCCCCCACTGTGTAATAATAGTTCCTCTGTTTATATTTTGGAGAGAATGAAATTATTTCTGTTAGATACAAAGCATCAGGCAAGTTTACATGATGCAAACATACTGCATTACTGGTTTTGAATGTTAGTAAGACATCTAGAGGAAAAAAACCATATGTTTGACACCGAGAGTCTCTGTTCAGCGAAAAAGGCATGTTTAAGATGATAATTTAACTTTCATTTTAATAGCAGGAATGAACAATGTGAATTAAAGCCGCCTCGACCAGGAAGGAAGATTGCTAAATATACTCCTCCTCCACTTCCAACTAATAAAAAATGGTTTGGGACACCAATTGAAGAGATGAGAAGAATGCCAATGTGTGGGACTCGTCTGCCGCATTTGAGGCCATCTGCCAATCATACAGTGACAATCAGAGTATGAAAATCCAAGTTGCTTTACCAACAAAGCTTCCTTTGTAAATTAAAGCTAGACAGTTATTGTTCTCTTCATAAAGTCTGGATTAAGTATTGATTCAGCAGGTTGGGGAGGTCTTTAGATCGCCATGCCTTGAGAATAGTAGACCCTAGAATTCAGAAGAGCAGCATTTAGGGACTAACTACCTGTTGCACACAGGTGTAAATGTTCATGCCCTGTTGCCATCTTTTGTTTTAAAAGGACGACCACTTCAGGAAGGGATGAGTGAGATCACAGAAGTGTGGAGGGCAGGCACTTAAACACATTTCCACCTGTAACTTAGCTTAAAATTGCCTCTTTGCTATTCTAGAGGGAGAGCAGTTTGTTAAGTAGCTCTGCATAGCATTGCAGCCTAAGTTAGAACTACCTACAGTGGTACCTTGGTTCTCTAATGGCTTAGTTGTTGAACAAATCGGCTCCCGAATGCCACAAACCCGGAAATAAGTGTTATGATTTGCGAACGTTTTTCAGAAGCTGAACATCCGATGCAGCTTCCGCTTGAGTGCAGGAAGCTCCTGCAGCCAATCGGAAGTTGTGCCTTGGTTTTCAAACGGTTTCGGGAGTAGAATGGACTCCCGGAGCGGATTAAGTTCAAGAACCAAGGTACCACTACTTTTGCATAGTATTGAATATGTTTATTTTAGTATAATGCAAATTCTTGCATATTGCATAGACTGGACATTATTGCCTGTGTATTTTTGGATATGTATTTATATTTTAAGTTTTAATGTGCATTGTACTTGCAGATAAGATCACAGGTAATTTCTTCCTTTTTGTAAGATTTAATACAGTGCTCCTTACATATTTTCTCTGTTGCAGGTAGATCTTTTGAAGGAAGGAGAAGTGCCTAAACCTTTCCCAACACATTATAAGGATTTGTGGGACAATAAGCATGTTAAGATGCCTTGTTCAGAACAAAATTTATATCCTGTAGAAGATGAGGTGAGGCATGCTAAAAATTTGGGCGATAAAACTTTTGTCAGGCTAAAAACTCCACCAAGTTTCTTAGATATGCTCTAAATTCATGATCATAAATTATTGTGGCTTTAGATGATTTGTTCAAGTTTGATAACTATTCTAATGCATGTGATGTATTGCACTACATTAAGTGTATGAATCCAGATAATTGTGTGGCAGAATGACAGCTCATTTTCCTGTCTGCTACTTTTAAATATGATTGCTTAGCACTGATAAAGTGTTTGTATTATGAGTGAAGATAAAGTTGCCATAAACGACCTTTACTTCTCGCTTCTGTGGCTTGCATTGACAAAGTTAACACAGTAGGTGCATGCCAATATATTTCCATGGGCTACAAAAATCCATGGTTCCAAGCTATTTTATTTCAGCAGAGCAACAAATGAACAAACTTTGAGCCAAATAATTATATCTAAATATTAGAAGCTGTTTATTAGCTACTTGGGCTTATGGTAGAATTTGAGGTGATATTATTGGTTTTTGTAATTCCACGCTTAGTTTTCATTTTTTAAAGTATAGCTCCCCATCCCAAAGGTTCATGGCAATTGATTTTACAGTGTAGAAAGGATTTGCAGAGGTTCATAGAACATTACAGACAGAGCAGTGGAAGATTTCAAAAGCGTGAGAGTTGCTTTTCTGAGTCATGTAGTCAATCTAGTGTTCTCATTGCGTCAGTGGCCAGTTTGATTCCTCCAAAAAGCAGGACATGAGATTGATTCTCCCCCTTTGTTGCTAGTGTATGATATTCAGCAAACTTGCCTCTGTATATAGTGGATGGTTCCCGATTAATTTGATTAAGCTACTGGAAATCTCCATGTTTTGTTGATAGTGAAGTCCTTGATTAGTTATGTGGCATGTGAAGAAGTACTTCCTTTTTGTCCTTCCTGAATCCGCTGCTAAATGACTTCACTAAGCATAAAGACAAAGACACCATATAATCATACTATTTTGCTGTATGGAAGACCTTTGTTGTCATTCTGATGTATATACAGTTTATTTTTCTAGAGTCCACAAAGGCAAAAAAATGCCGAGTACTGAGTTGTTTGATATACCTGATCTTTGGAAGAGTCACTTTACCTTACTTTAGAGCCAACTTGGGTGTACTTGTACAGCTTTCAGAAAAAATGTGTGAAAGCCAAGCATTTCAAGGGTCCGCAAACATTGATGCCATGGTGACCAATAATTTAATGCTATAATTAGTGTGTAGTCTCCTTTCCTGATATCCCCCCCATTGTTTTTGTTTGTTTAAACATGCTGGCATTTTCCCTATTAGTAGCTAAACTATGATGTTGGATCAACCTCTGCTGCTGAATCACTAATTCTGCCACATCTCCCCATAGTCATCTGATTCACTGACTGAATGGGAACTAGCTGCAGCATTTTATTTTCCTCAGTCCTTGTTCTTGCTTCTGTGCTTACCTATGTCTGCAGCTCTCCTCTTTGCCCCCACCTTACCAGAGTCGAACGCCAGTCCCTCAGCTCTTTTTCAGGTATCAGAGTCCACTTGTAACTGGCCTCAATTTTTCCTCTGGAGGAGGGATGAAATTAGACATTTTCCATCAATCCCTTCAGCATTGTTCTTACAAGGTTGATTGAAGAAAAAGCTATCTGTAGCTGCTATAGGAAAGGGTCTTCAGCAGAAAAACCTGGAGTGGACTTTATTTTTTGTTTTGTGGGAAAAAGGATGGTATTGACTACTTGTCTTTTTAGCCATGAAAACATATTGTATTGTTTCTCAAAATAAATAAAGCTTTGTGTTAGGGGATGTGTGTAAAGCAGGGGAACACACTGATTCCCAGACCATCCGCGTGCCAGATTGAGGTGGTGATTGGGCCGCATCCGGCCCCCGGGTCTTAGGGTGCCTACCCCTGGTGTAAAGAATGAAGAACAGTAAGAGCTGTTCAGCCATGGAACAGTCTCCCTTTGGAGGTTGTGGACTCTTCCTTGGAGGATTTTAAGCAGAGGTTAGATGGCCATCTGTCATGGATGCTTTAGCAGATATTCCTGCATTGCAGGGGGTTGGACTAGATGACCCTTGGTATCCCTTCCAACTCTATGATTCTATGAATCTTCCTATGGCAGGAAAGTTGGAAAGGTCTGTGTGAGACAATATTAATTGTGAATTGCTGCTGAGTTGGAGTTGAGGGGAAAACAAGGGCTACATTTTGCAAAGTGGGAGTCTTAATTATGTACATCTCCTAGAGAGATGAGTGCAGTCTTAATTTTTGGAAAGAGCCTTTGAGAGAGCCAGGCTTTTAGGTGAGGTATTCCATTTGCCCTGTAAGTCTTCATCCTGAATTCTGTGTGAGCAGCAGGCTGTATTTGCTCAGGCCAAAGGGAAGACACATTGCATGTGCTAAGAAGTGCATCTATAGTATACCCACTAGTTAACGAAAATAATTGTTGGCTACCATATCAAATTTCAGTTTATGGACTCCTGTGAATTCTAAAACTGAACCAATAGATCTCTCCTCTTTTCCTCCATAATTGTGACACAATTACCAAGTAGGCAGTCATTCTATTCCAATTCACTATTATTTTCATGTTCGTTGTGAGCCTGAATATAATTTTCTAAGCTGAATCTTAAATATTATTTTCTTTCTTAAGAATGGTGAAAGAACTGCTGGGAGTCGATGGGAATTAATCCAGACTTCACTGCTTAAGAAGTTCACCAGCTCCCGTGATCTGAAGGTAAGGCGGAAAAACACTATGCTTTCTAAAAAAATCATTGGCTGCATTTGGTTGTCATGCTAAACCATAATTTAGCATGATGTGAACCAACATATGCAGGTAGGTCCCCTTTCCTCCTCCGGCACTGTAGCTAAGAGGAATTTGGAAACTTTCTCTTCAGTTTTGCCTAACCATAACTTACCTTATCATCTGAGCTGACAAACTGGTTTGAAAGCCAGTTTGAAATAATGGTTTCATCAAAGAGATTTCTATCTATTGGCATAGTAAGAAAATTGGAAATGTTGGAAGTTTCCACTTAACAATATTAGAGAGTGGATGACCTGATTTAGTATGGTTACATTTTTGCACTCCCCAAAGCGTGAGGATATCCAGTTGACTTCATGATTTGGAGAGGTGACATGTTTGAACTGCTGATTACCCAAACCATCAGATTTGCTACCATTTCCTCCTATCTTGGCAACTGGCAAGGTACACACAGCCTATGATTTGGGTGGCTTAACAAAATCAAAACTTTGAAACTCTTTGGGGAAATTCTAAAACTGAGCAAATATTCCTCTGCTAGTTTCCTCCAAACAGGTTGTTTAAGAACAGGTGAAAGTACAATGATATTTCTCATGTTTCAACTCAATCACCTTTTAGCCCCTGACCATTAGGTCCAGTCGTGGTCGACTCTGGGGTTGCGGCGCTCATCTCACTTTATTGGCCGAGGGAGCCGGCGTACAGCTTCCGGGTCATGTGGCCAGCATGACTAAGCCGCTTCTGGTGAACCAGAGCAGCGCACGGAAACACCGTTTACCTTCCCACCGGAGCGGTACCTATTTATCTACTTGCACTTTGATGTGCTTTCGAACTGCTAGGTTGGCAGGAGCACGGACCGAGCAACAGGAGCTCACCCCGTCACCGGGATTCAAACTGCCGACCTTCTGATCGGCAAGTCCTAGGCTCTGTGGTTTAACCCACAGTGCCACCCGTGTCCCATACCAATCACCTTTTAGGGCTTCTATTTACAGTTGCATCAGATGCATAACAAGTAGAATTGTGTGGTCTGATTATATAGTATTTTTAAAAATAATATCTCTTTACATTAGAATGAATAAAATGCTTGGCACCAGTATCCATGAAAAATACTTTTAAATACTAATGTGTGGTTCTTGTTAAGTCCTTGCTAAGTCCTTGCTATAGCCCATTCACCATGCTGGAATGTTTAATCCATTATGGTGGAATTTAAAGCTGATAATCCTCATGGAAAAATTTGTTTTTTTCTTTAAGTATTCTTAATTTGAGCTTCCAAGATTCTCAGAACAGGGTGGTCTGCCATGCAGGCACAGCCAAGACCCATATATGTTTAGCTTCAGCAAGGTGGGAGCATCATTTTCCGTTGCATTCTGCCCTGCAGCCAGAGTTGGTGTAGACAAATTTAAGTTGGTTTGTGTGATATAATAGTAAATATTTATTCATTGAATTTATATACTGCCCTATACCTGAAGGTCTCAGGGCGGCTCACAGAACAAAACCAGAACACAAAACCACAAAATATATAATCAGAATAAAAACAACAACCCAATACCTCCCCAACTCAATAACCCTCCAATAATTGATTTCAAAATGCCTAAATGGTTGTTTCAGCACAATCTTCTGGGAAGGCAAAGAAATGTAATACCTGATCAGTTCTTTTATGAATGAGTAGTTCTGTTAGTGTTGTGACACTAATGCTTTAGTAATGTGTAAAGAATAAAAAGTAACTCGATAATTTTGCCTATATGACAGAAGCTCATTCTACTCAAAGTTGCCTGGCATCCTTATTCATGTACTACCAATATAGAGAAAATACCTTTTCTAAATGGGACACAATTATTATTGTAGCTCAAGGTCCTTTGTAATGCAAGTGGTGTTGAATTATGGGGTTTTCAGTGTTTCTTAGGTGCCTACTAATGACAATAAAGCAAAATACCTGCTTAAATAATGAATTTATAAATTTATACCTGCTTAAATAATAAATAACAAGAAAGCAAAAAACCTGCTATCAAGGTTGATGGTGGCCTGAGTTTGCAGGACAGAAGATAAAAAGAGGCTTGAAAATTGAAATTGATCACACCTGTGCTAACATCTCTGTAAGGCAGTCTGGCATCCTTCCATTTATGATTGTATTCCTATCCTGTCATCTATAGAAATAACTGTTTGACCCCATCTTGATACAGTTGCTAGAAAAGAGGTAGGTGGTTCAAGATGTTGATGAAGTGGCACTCAAATGAATGACTACATGCTTCACAGTTAAATGAACATCCATCAATTTTGCAAGATCCTACTGCATGAAAGATAGCACAGTGAAATATTGCTGTGCTGCACTTTGAGAATGATTAGTACAAATAGACTGTTTTACTGGACAGTCTGTATGCTATTGCATTGCATAGTATACTTTGTCAGCATTTTTTCCCCATCTTGCCTGAGGAAACTCTTATGTTGTTGTAAACAAAAATCTGCCCTTTTTCTCTTATGGGGTATCCAAGAGCCCATATAGAGTCCTTACGTAGGTTTCCTATTGGTAGGAGAAAATAACACAGAGGCCAACCAGAGAATATTGAGAAGCAAAGCAGCTAGTAAGCCTGATCTTTATTGATCTGTTGCAACAGGGTCCTCCCTCACCACACGGGAGGGAGGAGGAACCCAGAACAATGGCGCGCAAGGCCTTATATAGACATTTTAAATTCCCTGCCCTGGAGCTCAAGACCACCCCTCCATACATCATACATACATCACAGAAGGGGTGTAACCTAAGACCACCCCCCAGATACATCATACCGACATCACAGAAAAGGCGGTCTAAAACAGAAATTTGAATGTTGCTTTTCTCCTGTCTTATCTCCTGTCTGGCAGGTTACTTGATTGTATACCCTGGGGAGCCTGGCCAGTCTTTTGTAATGATAAATACTTAGTTCCTGGGCCAGGTCACAGGCTCACACCCTATTCATATCTTAAGTCTTAAATCTTAAAAGGATTTGTGAGGAAAGAGACAATGGGGAGGTTTCCCACTTTGACCTTGCAGAGAAAACATTTGCTCAGTTTGGGAATCAAAATGGTTTTGCTTGGTTGGTACACTTATGAACATTTAACATATATCTAAGACCTCAACATTCCAATCACAATGTAACAGACGGTCACTTCATGTTCTCATTCAAAAGGGTCAAAAGAGTGACCCTTAGGGACATGTTGCAGAGATAGTGGGAGTTAAGAAAATTGGGGAGCGGTGTAATAGACAGTGACATAGGTCTGAGTCTCTGATATGACATTATTTTTATGTCCGAGCAGAATCTGGGTTGTGATGACCATTGAGGTTTTAATACATACAGTTCCCACCTTGGCTGAAACCCAAGGAGAATTGGTTCTCAAGTCACAGGGCACCTGGTTGGAGCTCTTTGCATGAAATAGCAGAGTTATAAACAAAAGAAAACAAATAACATAAAAAGCTGGTTGGAGATTTGGCACAAAAGCTTATCAGAGGCTAAATATGTATTGGGGCGGAGGGGGGGGAGGGGAGACTAGCTTATGCAGGCTGGCAGCATTCCCTGTTTAAAAAGCTCTCATGCTAAATCCCCAGACTGCATTTTGAACGTAATGGAATTTAAAAAGTTATTGGGGGTCAGATGGAGAGAATTTCTGGAAAGGAAATACCGCCACGTATTGATTACACTATTCTGCGTGCACTGTGGTAACGAACCTGTTTAAGAGCCTTTCTGTATGATTACGTGTATAATTAGAAAATCTGAATTAAAAAGAGAGATGAAATCAGCACAAATTGTGAAAATCAGACTGACCAAAGATTTTGAAAATAAGTGCCATTACTAAAATCAATAGCAGTAAAAGCTATGTAACTGAAGAAAATAAATTCTGAACTCACTACAGTATTGGTAAGATTTTACCAGAATAAGGGTTGGATTGGCCTTTGCTGGGAATGGATTAAATTTGGGAAATTCTGTCCCAGGGTGGGAGGTGTTGGACTGAATGGATCAATGGGTCCATTCTTGCAACTCTGTGTCTGCTGAAATTTTGCTTCTCCTTTATCTTCTTGTGACAGGGTATGTTTTCTAAGGATTGCTGAAAAATTGTCCAGAACTACTTGGACCAGCAGAGGGTGCTGATTTCTCAAAATTCAAGTTGTCCTACTGATCACCTTTTTATCACTTTTTGTTTCATAGGAAGCTATTCTCAGATATAATGTTGCATATGCCAAGAAATGGGACTTCACAGCCCTTACTGAGTTCTGTGATAAGGTAACGTGTTTTTCATATTGGAAAATGAAATAAATATATATTTTGTGATTATTTGTTTCTTTGTCATTATTGTAATATAATTTATTTGTAATGTTAACCGGTAAATAAGTGAATGCACTTAGTGAAGCATGTGCAGAAGCGATAATTATAGATAGAACAATGGGAACAGACTTTGTGACTCAATTAAGACTTTGTAGCCGATAATGGCTAAACAAGTTTTAAGTATGGTTTGGCATGAGCTCTTAATTGACAGACCATAGTTTGTGATTGGCCCTCAAACCAGAATTGGAAACCATGATTTGAAGTGGGTTTGCAAATCATAGTTTTAACTAAATTCAGATTAACGTGATGCCTGAATTGACAAGTCATAGTTAATACAATTGCTTCCCTCCAGGTGTTCTTTTACCATGGAGAAGAGAATTAAGTTTTGGGATGGTGAAACACAGAAGCAGACATGTCCTAAACTATGGTTTGCCTGCTTTATATTTGGATGCTAAAACATTAGTTTTTCTTTTTAAACGATGGTTAGCATAAACCATACTTGGTGTGATGTCTCAGTTAAACATACAGCACATTTCTCCAGTAACATCCACCACCTGAGTGAGTACTTAGTGAAATTGGACAAAACTAAGAAACGACGGAGGCTGTACTATTCGAAAATATTTCATTTTGTTTTTGATTCCACTCATTAATACCGAAAAGTAGAAGGATGTGACCACCATCTTTCCCCTTTCTATTATTAAAAATGCAGTTGTGTATTTTAAACTAATGTTAAACACAGGAGACACTTATAAATGGCAATAAAGCATGCAAGAGACACTTAAAAGTTCAAGAATATGATGGATTGGATTGAGAATGTCATCCAAAGAGAGTAGTATATGGTTTCAGTGGCCTTTGCAGAAGAGGCAGTAGGGTTCAGTAAAAAGAGAATGGTGATGTTTTCTGGTTTATTAGAATAGTAAATCATTTTGAATTATTTTGAAATTTCTTACAAATTTAAGGAGTGAAGCTAGAGTGGCACATTCAAATGATTACTGGGTCACATGGCATTACTTGAATGATTAAAACTAGAAGAAAAGGTGGTGACCTATTTAACCATCTTTTGTTTGCATACTTGCACATGCACAAAACCCTTGCACAGTTAACTGACAGCTTTGAATTACTTCTGTCTATCCTTCAAAAACTGAAGAACTATATTGACTGTTCAGGCATGTATTTTAAAGAGAATTGACCTTATGCATAAGAGTTAAGTACTGCAAAAGCTTTGAGGTATTCTGTTAATTACCAAGGCAGCTGCCGAAAGCTTTGCAGTTCCAGATCATGCTAGCTATTGAATGGAAATAGAGTTTCCTTGGGGACTAAATGGAGATGATTGCCGATTAACTTGAACATGCCAGCTGGAGTGAAATGCAGAGTTTGATCCCAGTGATACTGCAAGCTGACAGAGCTTCAGCAATAGCTGATGCTTTGACTTGTTCGTCTTCTACTCTTATTAAGGCAATATGTTTCATGTAGACTTAGCTTCCTTTTGCTTGGGAGACTAAGAGTTCAAATCAGAGAACTGGCTGGACAGGGGACAAGGGAGAATAGTAAAGTACCGCTGTACAATTCTTAAAATCCGTGTAACTGTGATCACTCTGTAGATAATAAACTGTGACCCCAAAATGCCAGATTCCATGGCATCTTCTATCTTCTATCTACTACCTTTTTTTGGTTTTTAATACAAATGAAGAAGTTTCTAGCCCTTGTGATTAGTGTTTATATGATTGTAGAAAAGAGAAACCACAGTGGTCAGGTGGCTGTTGAAGCTCTCCTATGAGTAGAAGTTAGTGTTTGGGGCTTTTTAATTCAGAAAAAAGTGAGTAAGTGGGGGGACATATTAGAGGTGTATACAATTATGTGGGGAAAGTAGTTTAGGAGAAGTCCTTTCCCTCTTCAAATATTAGAATATTATGAAGCTGAGTGGTAGAAGATTCAGGAAAGGAAGAGAAACCACTTTGCACAGCAGTTAGTTAAATTGTGAATTTGCTACCACAAGAGATGGTGATGCCCACCAACTTCGATGGCCTTAAAAGAAAATTATACAAATTAATGGAAGGTAAGGATATTGATGGCTCCTAGTCTCAGTATCATGGTTTGTTACATGCTGTTTCTGACCCTGGAAGTATCTAAATTATCAGTTGCTGGAGAAGATGAAAGGAAGAGGACCAGTGTGCTTTGGTCCTGCTTGTGGCCACCGTTGGAAATAGGGTGATGGACTAGATGTTGGACATTAGGGTGGCAGAATCTCTGTATGTGTGTACATGCACAATTAAAGTGTCCACAGTTTATTAGGTTATTAGACTATGAAGGGCTAGAGGGGGGTTGGGTATTTTTTTGGTAGGGGGTTAGCCCTCAAACAAGGAAAGTATATATGAAGGCACAGATGCTCTTATGTAATAGGAGGTATCTTCTGGTCATGCCCAGGAGGTCTTTGTATGAGTAGTAGGGGTGGAATGGAATTTTGTCTATGTTGCAGTTGAGGCCTGTTGGATTGTTTAAGCCTGTTTTGTGAAGGAATATTAAGTGGACTATGGAGGTGCCTATGATAAGAAACGGGAGTCTGATGTGAAGAGTAAAGAACTGAGTTAGAGTTGTGTTGTCTACTACAAATCCACCTCAGACTCATTCAGCTAAGGTACTTCCTATGTACAGTACTGCAGAAAGGAGGTTGGTGATGGCAGTGGCTCCTCAAAATGATATTTGTCCTCAGGGTAGTACGTATACCTAAATTAGAATGTTGAGTGATAAAGTGATACTAAATCCAAATATGTACTTCTGCTTGAGGAAACAGGAGAACTGCTGTGGAACTTACTAATAATAGCATTGTGCAAACCTTTCCATTAGCATTTGAGCAAGATATTTTGTAGCTATGTACTAGCAGCTATTTTCTTTCAGTAGAGTCCTCTAAAGATGAGAATATAATCTATTTTAGTTAAAATGACATCTTATCAATCAATCAATCAATCAATCAATCAATCTAATCTGCTAATGTTGGTTTTCCTTTTACCTGCTGCTGGAAGTAATGAGCTGTATTTTATGGCTCACTTGTGTCACGTTCCACTAAATTAAATCTCAAACATTTACTCCAATAATTTATATTCCTAATGTATCAGTTCACTTAATTTGGCAGTTTCCCCTCCCAAAGGAATTGTAATAGATTTCCAATAAGTTACAGAATAAAGATCATCAGTACTAATGAATGCTTTTAGAAGCCTGTATCTTTAATCAAAGATTTATTTTTCATTCTTCTCTGATGTTTAGCAGTTATATAAATGAAAGGTAAATTAATGAAATAGTGCATTTTTTTTGCTATTCACAAGGAGCAGCATTAAGTGAATAGTGCCTGGCTGGGTTTTTTTTAAGGGTGTATCTTATTTTATAGTAGTATTGCTTTTCAAAAGTAATGATCATTGTTGGCCTATGTTGCCCGTTAATTCTTTCTGATGAATGTACACAGTCCAGCCTTGATTATTCCCTAGTCATAAATAAGAGATGGAAGGACCTTTGGCCTCCATGCTATTAGGATCCCTTTCCATTTTAATTTAGCTCCCAGAGCTGGTCCTATTAATGAGACACATAAGGATTTATTGTTGACTTGAAATAAGTCAACAATGATAAGGAGCCAACAGTAGCCTTACACAAGCACTGGGTGAGCTTAAAGTTCCTTGGGAGTCACTAGGAGAAGATTAAGGTCATATGCAATTCAAGTTTGTGACACGCCCCCTTAACCAAATGCCAAGTTTATAATGCTGCAGTTTGCTTTCCAAATGAATGTTTGCTAGGAGCATCAATGGGTGAGACATTCAAGATCCTTGATTTTTTTAAAAAATAAAAAATTCTACCCCTTTCTTGTTTTTCTCAGAAAGCAAAGCAATGGAAATGGGCCATTGATGCTATGAGATTGATCTTGTGCAGCAGCTGTTCTGATAAGAACATATGGGCTTGAAGTAGAGAGAGGTTAAATCTCTCTATATGCTCTCTACTATTTAATTGACTTTTGGATGGGAAAGAGAGACTACGGCACTTTTCCTACTTCCTATTTCTGTTTCCTAGTCTGCATGTGAGTTGCTTTTGTGTCCATGTGGAATGGTTGACTTCATTTAACCATGATAATATTAGACGAGGAAGGCTTTTAGAAAAGCGCAGTACTAAATGACTGATCTTACATGACAACACGGGACAAAATTAACCTATTTCTCAGACTTGCACATCTTGTAAGAAACTTAAAAAGGATCTCAGCTGAATGTACTTAAACATACACCTAAAACTGTAAGCTATTCAGACTAATATCTTTAATTAGAACTGAAATGTAAAACATCTGGCATGCTACAGCTGGGATAATATGACCATCTGGAAAAAAATTGTAGATAGGGATTTTTCCAATATGTCAATACTGTATATCTCAAGAAGAGAGACCAGGATGTTAAATGCTGGTTGTAGCTGAGCCTTTTCTATGATATTGCTGTTGATATTCATTCTGTTATAATTTGTATATATAGCCAAAGTGAGAAGCTCTATTTTCAGAGCAAAAATGCATAAGGTTTGCCTATACGGTTGTCTGTATCTCCTAACTAAAGAGGACTGTACCCTGTTCGGTTTGCTGATGCACACTTGAAAGGGATAATATGAACGATCCCTCTTGTATGTCACTGTGGGAGCCAGCCTTTATATTTCTACAAGCTCACATCAGTGCATCTGTTGCCCCTTACCATCTGTGTGTGTGTGTGTGTGTGTGTGTGTGTGCTGTGTAGATATTTAGATCAGACAAATGACTCTGTTGATTTAACAGTTGCTTGGATACTCAGAAAGCACTTACTTAGTATTTTTGTGGGTTTTTTAAAACACAACCAGTTCTACTAAGATACTGAATTTGAGTGTGATAATCTAATGAAGACTTGTTAGCTTTGAGCTTTAGTTGAGGTAAGCAAGCACGATGCGTACAAAATCATTTAAAAAAGTTGTAGTTTAATAAAACCTCAAACAAATCCGGACACCAATTCTGGAGCCCTCTGTCCTTCTTCCAGTATGTATGAAATATTATATTTGTTACAAGCAGTATCTTGCCCTAAATAAGCATAAATGTACCTCTGTGCACTTATGAGCACAAATTACTGCATTTGTCACTGAAGTAATAAGCAGTTTATCTTGCCCCCACTTCATGATTATAATTCAGATATTTTTGTAAATGTCTGAAGAGAGCTTAAGATACCATGATTCAAGCTGGCTTGTTCCTGTTGGTTAAGTTGGCTGAGAGCAATAAGAATTCTCATCTGGAGACCCAAGATGGAAGAACTTGGGCTTACTGTGATGTCCAGACATGGATATCTTGTTCTATAATATGCAGAAATAGCCTTGTGTCTGACATGTAGGCCTCTCTTTTACTCCTCTTGATTCCACAGAGTGTTGAGATCTGCTTGATCTAACATTGAAGTAAAGCTTAGGGTTAATTTCTACTAGTAGTTACAAGGTCAAGTGCCTGTTATGGACTGCTCAATATAAGAGATTTGGTTGGAGTGAGAATGACAAGAGTATATTACATGGTTCAACATTGCGTTGGTTAAATGCTATATCTGCTCCAGCCTACTCTCTCCCCACACATAGTGAAATCAGATGCAAGTTTTCAACTTGCACACTACTTCACTACTTGTAGATTACGATAACCACACTGTTCCCAAATTTATTTGAATATAAAGTCTCCCAACCTTGTGGCATAGAACTGGGAAGGGAGCATGCAACTCCCCCAGCTACATCTCACATTAACGATTAAGGTTCTGGTTGTATTTAAACAAGTCACTATTTCCTCGGTCCGTGTCTGCATTACTGGGGTTATAAGAATGGTTTCTAGTCAAAATAACACAATTTTGGTATCTCTTATGGAATCGACATAACATTCAGGAGGTGTTTTAGGGTTGTGGTTTGAGTTCTGAGCTCTTGGCCTATACCTATGTAAATTAATTTGCCTTGAAACAAGTTGATTATATTTTGAGGCAAATGTGTTGAAACAGGTTGGGTTAGCTAACTTGCACTCCAGATGCATAGTTCTGTACAATATGCTTGCATGTATTAACTATGTTTTTAAAAGACCAACAGAAGAGGGAGCCCTTCCACTACAGAAAAAAATATATTCCTCTAGACCTGAATATTGCTAATCTTCTTTAATTTCAGATGCATGTTTAAATTAGGAAAAGTCAAAGCATTGCTTTCACTGTAGATGGACATAGTCCAAAATGTGCATAAGTCATGTTTATTTTAAGATTTCTTACCTTCTCTTCACCACAAGCTTCCAAGGGGGACTACAGCAGGATAGTACACAATTCTAAAAACAAAACCATTATAATTACAAAAGGAAGTGAAAGCATTCCATCCAGAGCAGGTATGCTATTTATTTTATTTATTTACTTGCTTCTCTCTTTCCTTCCTCCCAACGGAGCCTAGGATGGCAAACAACAAGTGATAAAACAATAAATGCAGATTGGAATTCAGTTACAGGCCTATGCAAGTAGTTCATATAATAACGACTGGTCTTGGCCTTTGTTTTGAAAGTTAAGGGGAAACTGAAAGGTTTATGAAAACTGTCTGGGTGGAGTTAGTCTCCTGAAGCAAACCAGATGGAGAATTTGTATTGTTTCATAACATCTACTTGTTAAGTTTGGCAGATTTTCAAAAACTTCTAAATGTTTAGCTTTTAGCTGATTAATAAAAATGTTAATCTAGATACAGTGGTACCTCGGGTTAAGTATTTAATTCGTTCCGGAGGTCCATTCTTAACCTGAAACTGTTCTTAACCTGAAGCACCACTTTAGCTAATGGGGCCTCCCACTGCTGCTGCGCCGCCGGAGCACGATTTCTGTTCTTAACCTGAAGCAAAGTTCTTAACCCGAAGTAATATTTCTGGGTTAGCAGAGTCTGTAACCTGAAGTGTATGTAACCCGAGGTACCACTGTATTCCAAAGATCCTGAAGGAAAGAGGCTGTAATTATATGGTCAGCAGACGATTAAAAGAGGAGTGACAAATTCATGGAGGTCAAGGCTTTCAATGGCTACTAGCCATGTTGGCTATGTTCTGTCTCTATAGCTGGTATCAGTAATACTTCTGAATACCAGCTATGGAAGACCACAGAAGGGGAGAGGGCTCTTGTGCTTGAATCCTGCATGAGGGTTTCCCACGGGCATCTGGTTGGCTGCTGTGAGAACAGGATGCTGGACTAGATGGGCCCTTAGCATGATCCAGAAGGCTCTTCTTATGTTAAGGCGCATCTGGTTTTTAAAAAGATACTCATAATACAAAGTGCTGTGGGGAATTTTCATTGGGACTGTAGTGCACAGGGAAGGGAGGGCGAGGTCTTCCCTTTCTGCGTTCCTGGTTAAAATCCTGCCCCCGCCCCCCAGGTGTTGGGCCCCAATGACAGCTTTTCTCCCTAAGGCAGCCTTCCTCAAACTCGACCCTCTAGATCTTTGGGCCTACAACTCCCATGATCCCTAGCTGGCAGGACCAGTGGTCAAGGATGATGGGAATTGTAGTCACAAAAAACATCTGGAGGGCCGAGTTTGAGGAAGCCTGCCCTAAGGCTTATTGCAACTCAAAGGAGGTGCAAATTCATCGGGATAGAGACTGTACAGGAAAGGGTTAAATCTCACCTCCAACTACATGGGGGTCTTATAAACCTCCCATTTTTATTTCAGCAACCATGCAATTATAGTAATTCAGAGTTTGGTCCTAAGAGCATTTATAATACTTTTGTTTTCATGGACCAGGCAGAGGGCCTTCTCGGTAGTGGCGCCCGCCCTGTGGAACGCCCTCCCATCAGATGCCAAAGAAATAAACAGCTATATGACATTTAGAAGACATCTGAAGGCAGCCCTTTTTAGGGGAGTTTTGAATGATTGATGTTTTAATGTATTTTTAATATTTTGTTGGAAGCCGCCTAGTGTGGCTGGGGAAACCCAACCAGATGGGCGGGGTAGAAATAATAAATTAATAATTAATAACAACAACAACAACAACAACAACAACTGTATTTATGAACACATACAGATGATGAGCCATAGCCTTTTTGCAGAAAACTCTATATAGGTAAAAAACATATTTGGATGCCTGCCTCATGTCTGTTCACTCGTTTGGCGTAGGAGATGGTGCCTGATATATGTTGTTAGCTAAAATCCAGATATTTATTGCAGTGTTTTTGCTTTCTTTGCAATTATTTCTAGAGTGCCTTCAAAGACTATGGGTTGTGCATAAAATAAGGCAGATCCTGTTCTCTGACTTACAAACTATGTATAGATGGCGTGTCAGGTAGAATGTAAAACCCATATAAATTTTAATCAAATGGTTGCTTCAATTAATAAAACCAGAATAAATGGCAAAGCTAGTATATATAAGCACTTTGTACCGATGACTGGTTTTTTGATAAATCATTTTTATAATTGTCTGGACAGTACTAAAAGAAACAAGCTGTACTGAGAGAGGTCAGTGCTATAAACATAGGCTTTTAAGCTTGGAATGAATGACCTAAGGCACAAGAATATATTATCCTGTTACTCCATGCTCCGTTTCATTTTAGTTTGTACGCTTTAAAAATACTAGGTCATATTATAGTTGCAGAATCCAGTATTAATAAAACTGAACTTTCAGATGGAGAGTGGAGGTTTTTTCCCCCCTGTGCAGAAGGGCAGAAACATTCCTTTTTTATTGAACAAATTGCAAACTTCTTTAAACTCTAGAATTGAAAGATGGTTGCTTTGTGGACTATATGCATTTTGAATATATGAGTTAAGCATTTTAAAGATGAAGCAACAATAAGATTTAAGTATTTGTTCAAAGTCGAGATTTCAAGTGTCTCAGGATGGACTTTATTTTAAACTGATATCAAAGGGCTCAGATTAACATTTATATGCAGCAGTTGTTGAATTATCTGTTCTAAGACCTTTCCTGGTACTGATGTCAAGCTCACCGGTCCGTAGTTACCTCGGTTCCCCCCCGCCTTTTGAAGATGGGGTCAACATTTATCCAGTTTGCAGGGACCTCAACTGTTCTCTAAGAATCCTCAAAGATTATAGATAGAGGATCTGATATTACACCTGCAAGCTCCTATAGTACCCTTAGGTGCAGCTCATCAGGCCCTAGAGATTTTAATTCATTTAAAGCAGCTATGTGTTCCCTTACCACCTCTTTCCCTATCTTGGGCTGCATCTCTCTCCTTGTACCCTTTATTCTCTTATCACCAGGTTGGGCACTACCGTATTTTTCGCCCTGTAGGACGCACCGTCCCATAAGGCGCACCTAGCTTTTTTGGGGGGGGAAATAAAGGGGAAAAAATTTATTTTCCCCCCAGGCGCGGGGCTGGGGTGGGGGAAGCCCGAGCTTCCCCCGACCACAGCCCCCAGAACAGGCAACTCTCCGCAAGCCGTGGGAGCCCGGTGCCGGGCTCCCGCGCCTTGCGGAGAGCTGCGCGAAGCCTGGGCATGCAGGCAACTCTCCGCAAGCCACAGGAGCCCAGCGCCGGGCTCCCGCGCCTTGCCGAGAGCTGCGCGAAGCCTGGAGAGCGAGAGGCATCGGTGCGCACCGACCCCTCTCGCTCTCCAGGCTTCAGGAAAGCCTGCATTCGCCCCATAGGACGCACACACATTTCCCCTTCATTTTTGGAGGGGAAAAAGTGCGTCCTATGGGGCGAAAAATATGGTACTTTCCTTTTGGGTGAAGATAGAGGCAGAGTAGGTGTTGAGCAATTCTGCTTTTTCTCTGTCACCCAATAGCATTTCTCTGCCTTCTGTATACAAGCCTACTTGCTTGATCTTTCTCTTTCTCCAAACATAGCTGAAGAGGCCTTTTTAAATTATTATTTTTCACCTCTCTTGCAAGCCTGAGTTCATTATGAGCCTTGGAGAAATATATAAACTGTGAAAGGAGCTGGTGGGAACACTATCTCATGCTTTATTTAAAAATTAGAAGTTTACATTTTAAAATGAAGAAAATACATTCTTATTATACACTCTCATAAAACATTTGAACTTTATTTAAAATTATGGAAATCATTTAAATGAAGCATTGCTTGTCAAGTAAGATACACCTGAGAGATCATTGCAGTCTGGGATTGGCAGGAGACATATTTTAGCTTTCAGAAACAATTAAAGAGAGTCAAATTAACCTCTGTCGGTGTAAGCTGTCTCCTCCTTTCTTTTCCAAGTGTCAGTCTGTGGTTTTGATAAATGTCAAATGTTCCTCCCCTCCCCTCAAATAAGGCTCTTTCCTGCATAATCCAATGAGATTTCCTCCCCCTACTTCCTCTGAAGATTACCTTGTCTTATTCTTTGCTTTTTCTAATCAGAAAACCATTCTAAGATAGTGGCTGCATTTTGACAGCTGTACATGTTTTCCTAGTGGATTCATTTCATACAATAACTGAAGTAGAGAATGGGTACAGCTTGCCATTCTCCTCTTGTGGTGCTGGTAATTCATTTTAACAACTTGTAAGAATAGAAAACTTATGTGTAAAAAAACAACAACACTAAATAACTTGAGCTTACTGACACACTTTCAGTGTTTAGAGCAGGAAATTGGAGCCCTTCAGATATTTGTTGGACTATAACTCCCACCAGCCTCAGCAAGTATTGCCAATGGCGGTGGATTATGGGAGTTGTAGTTCAGCATCATCAGGAGAACATCACACTGGCTGCCCCTGGTTTAGAGGATGCATTTGTATTGTGCTGGTAGTCCTGAGTATTTCCTTAACCTGAAATGTTAGAAACTGGAATTAGCATTATTTGTGGGCCAATGCATCTAATGCACAATAAGCACATATAAGCAATCTCAACTGATTTTCTCCATTTACCCTTCCTACTGCAGCCCCATATCCCAAAACTTTCCTGAGAGTTCGCTCAGGAGAAGCTTTTCAGGGGACTCAGGAGAGTGTGGTCTGGAGAAGGGAGGAGGAAACTCCTCTTGGGCAAGCCATCTCTATGCTCATGCTGTCTTGGATACAACCAAGTGATATTTGATTCAGGTTTCTGGAGTCACCTTCATGGTTCTTGGTTTGCTCAGATGGCTCTGCCTCCAATCTCAAGAAATGACCCCAGGCTGAAGCATTTTTTACTCAGTGGCCTCTGCTAATACATGGTCATGTAGACTAGGCTTTGTAAGCGGACACTTCATTGACTGTGGATAGTAAGAATTTTCTCCGTGAAACCAGGTAGTGAAGCTTCTGTAAAAATATTTTTAGAATGAGCTGATCCTTTCTTCCTTTTTTGCTGTCCAGTCAAGTGACTGCTTGAAAGCCAGGTTGAGGAATAGCAGGGCATCAAGGGCTGCTGGGGAGTTTCCAGACCAGCTGGCTGTTGAACATTCATATAAAACTTGCACGGAGGTTATACAACGTCATCTGCTTATTGAGTAGTCTTCCTGACACATTTGTGTTGTGGTTATGAGGCGTTGCCAGCTGGTGACGGTTGCCCCATACTTTCCAGTGCAATTTCCCATCACATTTCTTATTGGACTTCCTTCAGTTAGAAAATTGATGGGATAATTGCGCTAGAAGATGCAGGATAATAACCAGATTTTGTGTGAATAGATAATCCGTCTTAATAAAGACAGTCTGGGGCTATCTGTTGAGATAGGAGAGACAGTGCTAGCTGAGAACACACTTTTACGTCACATTCTTTTCTAGAATCACATTTATGATGCCTATTAATTTTGTTTGATTCTGTTCTGAAATGTGTTAAAAATAAGGAATGTCTTTCTGATGCAGAAATAATCATATGGCTTAAAATAATTTGAAAGCTATGCTATACTGAGAAGCAGGTGACTGTCGTTTTGGGGAAAACTGTAGTCAGTTTTCAAACAGAAAACAGCAACTCATTTTGAATTCAGCAGACAGGCTTTTTCCTGGAATTGTGTTTTGTATTCATTTAACATAGCAGGAGAAACTTCCTTTTGTTAAAGAATGCTGTGGCAGTAAATGGCCACATGTAAAGACAATTCCTAATCAGTCATGGCACTTAGTTTATAAAAAATCCAGCAAGCAAAACCCCTTTTATTTTTAAAAGTAGGGAATGTGTGTGTTTGAGCTTATGCAATCGCAACTGGTCTGAGGGAGGCATTCATCTTCTTAAGGGGAATATCAATCAGTTAGCAAGCATCCTTTGATTTAAAATGGGGCAGACAGAAGAGAAAGTGAAGCCATTTTTGTGTGGTGCATCACGTGCTTAGTTTCGTCTGTCAAGATTACAGTGGTACCTCGGGTTAAGTACTTAATTCGTTCTGGAGATCCGTACTTAACCTGAAACTGTTCTTAACCTGAAGCACCACTTTAGCTAATGGGGCCTCCTGCTGCTGCCGTGCCGCCGGAACACGATTTCTGTTCTCATCCTGAAGCAAAGTTCTTAACCTGAAGCACTATTTCTGGGTTAGCGGAGTCTGTAACATGAAGCATATGTAATCTGAAGCGTACGTAATCCGAGGTACCACTGTACAGTTTAAAAACTCAAACCAGCATTTCTGTCCCATGCTATCTTTCCTTGCTTCTCCTTTGTGATGCCAAGTGTGCTCAGGGTTTGCATTTTGGAGGATCAGTTTATAAAATTATGAGATCATTACTTACGGTGCTGCCTACCAAGCCCACTTTTACTGCACGATGAACATTTGTTTTGTGAAGCTGCAGGTCACAGTTGTTCGGCCTAGAGCTGTTAACCTCTTGTTTATAATATGCTGAGCTCCTTGAATCCTCAGCACAGTCCTCAAGTGTAATCTGCCTCAGCAAATTCCCATTAAAATGAGCAGGACTCTTGCTGATACAGGTCTTTGGTGATCAGAGCTAAAACTAGGTTTCATGTAAGCAATCACTCATGTACTAACCTTGATAAGACTCACCCAAGTAATGTCTCTGGTGAGTGGCACACAGTATTGTGTAAACAAGGTACTTTTCCTGAGAAATGAAATTTGCTTTAAAATGAGAGTTTTAAAAAATGGTATCTGTCTGTGTTCTGACATCTCTTAGGTGGTAAGATAGATATAGTCTAGGTTTTATACCATCATACAACTTTGTTTTAAAGTGTAGGTTGCTCAGAAGATGAGACAACCGATACAGTGTTATAATAGGATATAGATAAAAAGTGGTTGGAAGTGTGTGTGTTGGGGCGGGTTATGAACAGTATTGTAGTGTTATTATATGTGAAAGAAAAGTATCCCCTTTTCCTGCAGGTTTCAAAAAATACCAGTGCCATTAAAGAAAAATGCATGTTCTTGTTTTCATTATTCAATACAGTGGTACCTCGGGTTAAAAACTTAATTCGTTCTGGAGGTCCGTTCTTAACCTGAAACTGTTCTTAACCTGAAGCACCACTTTAGCTAATGGGGCCTCCTGCTGCTGCTGCGCCGCCGCTGCACGATTTCTGTTCTCATCCTGAAGCAAAGTTCTTAACCCAAGATAATATTTCTGGGTTAGTGGAGGCTGTAACCTGAAGCGTATGTAACCCAGGGTACCACTGTAGTTGAATCCTGAAGGTAGAACTTGAGCAGTAATTGGTGACAAAGGGCTGCTTCATACATTATGCTGTGGTACCTCGGGTTACAGACGCTTCAGGTTACAGATGCTTCAGGTTACAGATTTCGCTAACCCAGAAATAGTACCTCGGGTTAAGAACTTTGCTTCAGGATGAGAACAGAAATTGTGCTCCAACAGCACAGCGGCAGTGGGAGGCCCCATTAGCTAAAGTGGTACCTCAGGTTAAGAACAGTTTCAGGTTAGGAACGGACCTCCAGAACGAATTAAGTTCTTAACCCGGGGTACCACTGTACAGCAACAAACCAGATTTGCCACTGACTTCGTTGGTCATTGCAGGAATGAGCATTGGGTTCACGTACTCTCTCTCCAGTTGCTTATTGAGTGAGGAACTGGGAAGCTTTTGCTTTAATTTGAGAGTTGGAATAAGTATTGTCTGAACCTGGACACACTAGTTAGTCTTAAGTATGATGGGTTGAAGCCATAGTGTTTGATGCTGACTAGCTTCAACCAACCATAGTTAAGATTAACCACATTTTAAGTTTCAGACAGAATACTCAACTGTGGTCAATTTACAGTTAAAACTTCTGTACCACAAGAGGGGAGGGGAGAGACACAATTCTGACTATCATGCATGTAATGATAAACAACATTAAGTCTGAATAGATCCACTCAGTAGCTGAGTAGTATCAGCTTGCTCTGATAAAGGTACCCATATCATATATGTGCTATCAGATACCTGCTTGTTGCACCATGTGGCAAGTCTAAACCAAATAAGCCCTTGGTTTTAGAGGTTCAAGATCCAACATAACTTCCTATTTTGGATCTGGCTGAGCTCCATGGCAGTATATAAATTCATTAAATAATAAAAATAAAATAACAATAAACCCTTTTCATTCTTAAGTGACTGGTGGCCATATTTGTCTAGGTAGATGCTGCAAGAGCAGCCTCTGGAGGCTGGTCCTTAACAAAGCTATACATGTCCTTATTCTTAATACCTGATGCATTTATTCTAATGTGAAGTGCTAGTTTGCTAATTGATTAACTTATTTGCTGCAAGTAAATGAAAGACCCTTTTACATTCAGGCAGACCAAAGCAGGATGAAGCAGGTGTCAAGAGACCTTCTTATTTGCCCAGGCATTGTAGATTGTAGTTGATTTTTTTGGAATTGTGTTCTGTTTTTAGTGTTTGTCTTGTTGTATTTTGTATGTTTATTTGTTGGTTTTAATTTTTTTATACGTGGTGTGAATTAATTTGATTTGCAATTCCGTATACTGCCCTGGAATCCTTTGATGGAGGTGGGTTAAAAAGAAATAAAATACCCATTTTAAACAGAACAAGTGCAGTTCTTATTTGTTTTCCAAACCTGCTCTCTGAAATTGTTGGTTGTGGTTCTGTTTCAAGGGGGAAGTCTCCTGTGCTCTTACTGCATTTACTTCCAGAGCTGCATAAGGGAAAGGTTGAAGTCTTGACAGCTGTGACAAAGTCCAGTGCCATAATCTGTCACCAGATGAGTGAGACTATAGAGTTTGTGGCAGCCAACAAAGCATGGCAGCTACTATTCATGTGTCAGTTTTAAAAGACAGGAAGTGCTACCCAAAGGAGAAGAACTATCAAAAGCTGACAGTTTATAGATGCTTAAGGTTAAATGTCTTTCTTTGAATTAAATTTATATGTATTTGTTTTATATTGCCTCCTGAAATCCAAATTCAACCTTTAACATTCCAATATGTTACTACTTGGGAATATGTTTACTTTGGCAGAACACATTCACAGTTTTGAATTTATCTCTTACAATTAAAGCCTAGGGGGTGTTAAAGTGCTATTTTACAGCCTAAACACCCTTATTTGATGCAATTTGTGTAACAAAGAAATCTGTTTCCAAAAATAGGGATCACTGTGGAAGTATGTAGGTCATACATAAATAAACAGAAGACTTATTAGAATATTGCAAGAACTGTGCCATAAAATTTACAAGTCTTCATCCATGAAGAAAATGCATGTGGATGCCAAGGAATGCATGGATCTTCTTGTAGCCCCCCCCTTCAAGTCAACGTTCATTGGCATGGGTTGGTCACACAGAGAGTAATAGCTTTTTGGCATCTGAAATCTATTGCATTTATTTATTTGGCACGTTTGTATTTCACCTTTCCTCCAAGGAGTTTAAGGTGGCATAAATATTTTTCCTTCTTTCCCCAGCTCCACTTTATCCTCACAAACAGGACTTGAAGGTAGAGATAAATGGCTTTCTCAGGGTCAGCTAGTGAGCTTCATAGCTGAGTGGGGATTTGAACTCCAGTCTCCCTGCTCCTAATCTGACATTTCTAACCACTTCCCCACACTTGTTCATCTCAACTGACAATTGAAATTACTCTTGTGTCCCATGCCTGTAGTTGAGAGCAATGAGGAATTTTAGTGCGCTTTTACATTTTGTGAAAGCTTTTGGACCAGTTTGATAGCTTCTTCATTTTCCTAACTGTTATGATTTCTCTATGCAGATGCACCCCCCCTTAAAATTACTTTGAATTAATAGACTTTCTTCACTATGTGCCTTCTGCAGGATATGTTATTGTTATTATCATCTAAGCATCTTACAAATATTATAAAGCAACACAGCTCCTGGCTTGCAGTCTAGATGATGATTTGTGAAATGGAGAAGAGAAAAACCCTCAAATGAAACCTTAAATCTAATAGTACTGTTCCTTCTCAATATTATGTGGTTACCAGCTGTTGCAAGCCTAAAATTCAAAGCGTAGTTTTCTAGGCTATGCAGCTGCAAAATATGAAGTTGTAATTGTGTGGTGCATGAAATGTTCATAAGATAAAAATCTGATTGTTTTGCAATTTATTTTACTGGTATTTTTAGATGGTCTCATCTTCCATTTCTTCCCTTTTTATTTTTGTTCATGTTGTCTGATTAGATTGTGAATAGAGCCTTGTTTTTTTTTTATTGTTTGTCATGCTTGAATGTTGTTGTTTTTAAGGTCCTTGATAGATAGACATTATTCAAAGTAAGCATAAGCCTGTCAAGTTGGGTTGTAGAGAAGAGGGGTTTGGAGGGACATTGTCAAGGCTGACACTGAAAATCTAAAGACTGGGGAGGGGGCATCTTAATACCATCACCAATCCTTCCCCATTTCTCTCCTGTCCACCGCCCCCGTCCCAGCTGCAAGGAAGAGCCAAGTACAGCAAACTGTCTGCTTGAGTGAAGAGAACCCCAGTCCTTAGGGACAAAAACATTTGGTGTCATTTGGTCTTGGCTGCTAGGTACCACACTTTCTTGGTGGATAGTACACCTATTTGGAAAAAGTAGCAGGACTACTTTGCAAAGCCTTCCACAGCCTTCCCCTGCCCAAAGCAAACTGCCTCCATGGGTCTGAACATATAGTTGGGAATACTCTGTAACCTAGGAACTGTGCTTCCCTTCCCCCTAATCTTTTGGATGGGGGGGGGCATAACTGTGGTGGGGCACTAGTGTGCCCCTCCCCTTCAATATGAGTCAGAGTTCTTGTCTTTGATGTTCATTGGGAGTCTAGAAGTATCCTTTCCAGACATGAAATTAGTTAACGACTATAGTATTTTCTTATCTCTCTGCCCTCAACATTCCATATTCGTGGAAGCTCTCAGGGCCACTTCTGGGTTTTTTGTAATCTTTTCCTTTTAATTTATGAACTTCTGCATATTCAGGGAGTCAGTTTCCTTATTTTGAATAGCCCTGTTTGCTTCCAAACTGATGCACACTCCAAACATCTGTGTGGGTTGTTAGAATAATAGCCTTACTTCTAAACTTCAGGATTGTTAAATATTCAGGATTGAAAATGTCTGGTCTTGATTTCCAGGTCGTATATGAAAATCCAGGTTATGTTCTCCAGGAAGATGGAAGAGTTGAGTGCCAAGAATGGTTCTTAAAGAGATTGTTGTGATGTGTGCACCCTTCTAAATTCCGAGAATCTTAATCTTTCATTTTAGTACATTCCCATGCACTTTTGTTGCAGAAATAAAATTTTAAAATATAGAGTCAAACATTTCAGGTTTGACTTGGTGCCAAACACTGATTCTACTCTAGCATTAGAGGCTGAACTGTAAGGGCTTCCGAGTTTTATGTTTGTACATTTGACTTTTAAAAATGCTTGCACTGAGAAATGACTTTGTCTTGAAAAGCCAGTTGCTGTACAGAGAGACTAATTTGGCAGACCATATTCCTAATACTGGGCCTAAATGTACCCTCTTATTTGCATTCTAGGTGCTTGAAGATGCAGAGGCTCAGCATTTGTTTCAGTCCATTTTGCCCGATATGGTGAAGCTTGCACTCTGTTTGCCTAGCATCTGCACCCAGGTTAGTAGACGCATCTTAAGTATACTCTCTGTAGCAGATTAATTTGCTGTGCACCACCACGAATGGTTGAGGTCAAAATGCCAAGGTCCTTATACGTGGTACTTGCCTTGTTGAGCTGAGGCCTAGGGAATAGTGAAGACAACACACATCCATAACAATATAAAAGGACATTAAAAATTCCCTATCCCATTTCTGAACCTTGATATGAGCTATATATCAAAATTTTGCATACACTGGAGAGATGTGCTAGAATAGTCAGAAAGCTGGCATTTTCAGGTGGCTTCTTTTTGTTCAGGTCTTTCTAATGTACAGAAGGATAACTGGTTGTGAAATCATTGTTGTTGCTTAAAGCAACTCCTTGCTTTCTGAAAATTCTTGATTTGTCACTTTTTGTACAAACTCAAGTGTAAAACAATGATGGTATTTTGCGCACAGTATGTCATTTCATGCACAAGTAAGGCTGCAGTCCTAACCATATCTACTCATGGGTAAACCCCATTGAATTTAATGGGGCTTTGAGGTAAGGGGTTAGGATTGCAGTCGGAAATATTTTACAGTGATATTTGATCAGGTGAACATATTAATTTCAATTTAAATAATAATATTTTGTATCCAAGTAATAATTGTGTAATTGTGGGGCGCATTTCCCCCCTTCCCCCAGTAATACACTTTAAAAATAAATAAATATTGGAGTACAATATTTATGCTTAGTTAAATGCTGACAAAGATATTTTCAGGAAAAAAGTAAGTAGAATATTTTTTAGTCCTTTTTTAACACGGCTTTTTGACAGCTGTATTATTTTAAAAAAGTAAAAACAGCAGAGCTCTGAGATCCACAAATAATTATATATATAAAGCTGTTTTGTTGTGAAGATAATACTCCTGCAAGGAGGGCAAATTCAAAACCCCAGGTTTCCTTTGGATCTATATACAGGCACAGACCCTTGTGGCAAAAAAAAACAATATTTATTCTAGATTCAGTGAGAAGCAGTTTGACTGGAGTGACTCATTTCTAAGCTCTAAACCCATGTCACCTCAAAGGACCTCTCAGCAGTAGTTTTAATGGCAGGAAAGAGTTTGCCCAACATTGGTACCTTCTTGGACCCCATCCTGTATAAAAATTGCACAGGGGCTGAGACCTTCATATTTCTCAGGGACCTCATGCTTTTTCTCCAGAGCTCCAAGTCCATTAGACTAGGCTGTCCTGCACATTATATCCTTCAGTTGGGGGTAGCATGTTATGGCAACAATGCGAACCCCTTCAGATAGGAAAAACTGCAAAAACCTCGTCCTCCCTAGCTCTGCAGGCCTTCAGCTCTGTCTTTCCTTGTTCTTCTCACTATTCTTGCCAGGGACAACTCTGGCCCAGCCCTTTTTGAATATTGCCACCCATGGACTCTACCCCCACCCTACTTCCCTCTGTTGGCTTGCTCCCCCTACCACACCTCTGCCTCCAACAGGATCTCCCTAACAGCCCCTTCTCCTCCATGTCCAGTCCTTAAAGTGCTTCCTTGTTTTAAGGAAAAGGGAGGTAGCTGCTCAAACAGCATTTCTCCTTTAAGAGTTGTGAATCAAGCAAAATTTCCAAAGGCAGCTGTTTATCCTGATAGTTCCTTCAAAGCCCTGCCCTACAGTTGCCCTCTCACCTCCACCCCTGATGCCACGGAGGACCAAGATTGTGCCACAGACTGGAGGTTCCCCACCTCTGCCTTTAGAAATATACATATTTGAAGATTGTTCAAAGATGATACATTAAGCTGAATCCATCCAGGAATCTTGGTTGTAGCTCAGACTACTAACTTGGAACAGCTTATGAATTCTGCTGAAAGTTGTTCACATGTATGGATCTCTAGAAGTCGTTCCAAAAGCCATCCTAGATACAAACAGTTAAGTTTTAATAGCTACACTTCAGTTAATGGAATAAAGGCAAAACTATTGATTTCTCATGAATCAGAAAAGCTCATATTTAACTAAGGAAGAATAAGGGGATTTGGAAAATCTGTAGAAAAGGTATGAAATCCCTTTACTGATTAATTCTAACTGTGCATTTTGAAGTAGCTGCACAAAATAATTTTAAATTGCCCAGTTCTCACTTAACATTGAACCATGGTCTCCATGAGCCAGAATCAGAGCATCTGGCTCATATATTTCCCTTTCTTCTCTATTTTGAGTATTGGGAGCTAATGTATAGAATAAACATATAACAATGGTAGTGTTTGAATGAAGCATTATGTGGTTTTTCTTGAAGCTTGATTTTTTTTTTGCTCTCAGTTATAGCAAGAAAATCAAAGAATACCTTAGTTATGTTGTTTTGTGTATCATCCTGTCGTCTTCTTTTGCTGTGATTGCTGTAATTGCCCATTTTCTTTAATCTGTGACAGGGAGACTGTAAAATACAGCTGTTGCAATCTCCTGATGTTTTATTTTTCCTTCACGATTAATCATATTGCATCCGTTGTTCCTATGGATGCTTCCTTTTTGTTCAGACTAGTGGTGCTTTGTTTGACATTTTTTGTTATTATTGATTAGAAATCTCCAGTTCGTCAAACAAGGCTTCCCAATCATCTTGGATAAACAGCTCTTGATTTTAATGGTGCTGCTGATTTAAGAACCCACTAAGGCCCCTAAATTACTTTTGCTCTGAATTAGTAAATGTAATTTTGTTCTCCTGGGTTCTGGGTGATGGTTCTGTTTTTGTTTTTTGAATTGCTAAACTAATTATGTCCATCTTTCTGCCCTTTTGTTAGCCAGTACCTCTACTGAAACAAAAAATGAACCACTCCATCACCATGTCACAGGAGCAGACTGCTAGTTTGCTAGCAAATGCCTTCTTCTGCACTTTCCCCCGGCGAAATGCCAAGATGAAATCAGAATATTCTAGCTATCCAGATATTAACTTCAACAGGTATGGTGCCAGTTTAAGTAGCTGATACTCAGGAGTGTCTTGCTGTAGGGGAGAAGTTGTCCATATTGTATTGCTAATTCCTGAAAGAATCTCATTAAAATAGGAAATGATTCCTGACAAACCTGTTTTGTGAGATTTGGAAAATATGGAAAAGTAGATATGAGACTAAAGTTATTGATGGAAATGTTATGGAGCTTAAAATGAGCAGAACTGTTCATAATTGGTGAAGATAATCTTTATTGTTAGAGTGCTAATTTCCTTCCATTTAATCATGCTCACCGCTTCAATTCTAATAGTGGTCCTTCCCCTCACTTGTCACTTCCTTCAACCCTTCCCCATTTATAAGAACAGCCCTGCTGTATCAGACTGAAGGTCCATCTTGCACAGCATCCTATTTCCATTAGTGGCCAGGATAATGCTTCTGGGAAGCCCAGAGTCAAGACATGAAGGCAACAAATTCTCTTGTTGAAAATGTGTGATAGGGCACAGAGGGTTGCTTGGGGGAGGGCAGAATTTGCCCCAAATCAGGTGGACCCAATTTAGGGGTCTAGCAACCCCCATGCCCTTTCCCACATTACTCAGAAACCCCTCCGCCCCACCTGAACCTACTCAAGATACTTGAGAAGGGGTGCAGATGGCTACAGGACAAAGAAGAGACTGGAAACGTTCCTTCAAGTTAACTTTTCTTAGGATCCAAATCATTGATAGAAGCTTAGGAATCTAGTTATCAGAGTTTTTAAAGGTATATTTTAACATGCTTGTGTTAATTTCAGATTTCATTTGAACCCAGTTAAAACCCTTCAATGCATAATGAAACAGTAATTCCAAAACTAAAGCCCAAGGCATAGATTTTATCTGTCTTGACATGAGCAATGGCAGTGGAAAGTGTGTTTGTTGGCAGACCAGCTTAGATGATTGGGGGGTTCTTTAACTTCTGTTCCCTTGTCCTCTTCTCTGTTGTTCAGGGTTATACATGCTTGTTTTTTTGTTTTGTATTTTATCACATTGGACACAGCCCTTTCTGGGAGCATAGTGCATTCACAGCTACTTGTAGTTAAAAGTAGGTGACAACCACCAAAAGTTCTACAAAATGCTTAGTGAGGGTCTCTTATGAAAGCATACATCTGGGTAGAAAAGACATTAGGAGTTCTATCCTCAGATCCCAGGGTTACATCAAATTGTTGCTTGTAAACACTTAAGTAAAATTACATCAACCATTCCATTTATAACTGCACCCGTTTTCAATAAATAAATAGAAATAAATCAATTGGATGCTAAGACGTGCTTGGCAGATTAGGTTTAGCACCTTCCTTAGATGGATATATTCCTTCTCTTAGGAAATATCATTTTTACATTGTGTAGGGCCTGGCCATTTTAGGTAATAAAATGAAATGACACATTTAATATGTACATATTAAACAGAAAACTTTCAGTTGCGTGTCTTGAGATCTGACAGGACCATCAATCTGTTTTATCAAAACAAGAGACACTTGGTACAAAAGGTTGAGAACACTATGTATTTTATTTCCCTTAAATCTTCTCAAGTATACCATTGCTTGGTACTCTTACATGCTGATGACAGCAAGTGATCCAAAGTGCTTTGAAACATCCAGCTGACAGAATTTTTAGGAATCTTTATGTATTGGAATTGGAACATAAGGACTTTCTTCTTGTATTTGACTGCTTTCAGATAATACCAGTGAGGGGGTAACAACACAGGAAGTGCAACAGGGAGCAGAAATCAGGCATACGTACTGTCTCAGAATGAATGACACTTGCAAGCTACTTTGCCTGGAAGGCCCCTTTAGGTTACAGTCCTGTGGACACTTACTTGGGAGTAAGCCCCATTGAACTTGATTGGATTTACTTTTGAGTAAACATGTGAAGGACCAGGCTTTTATTGCAAGGGGACATTCCAAATTTCATTGTCCCTCTGGCCTTCGCTGCCAATCTCACTTAGATTTCTGCCAATAGTAAGTATCTAAAAATGTTTCCATATTGCTTTTCTTCTGTGATTTTTGCAGAAGAATGAAAGGCAAATCAAATATTTGCTGGTGTAAAAATAGCAACTTGAGAAGGGTGTATTCTGGGTTTTTTTTAAAAAAAAATAATCATGTGATATATATCACATGTGTAATATTTTGCCTAAATAACTATTTTAGGAATGTAGGTGATTGTTTGGTTTGTGTACATGTGGAGCTTTATATATTTTTTTAAGTCTTATAAATTAAAGGGGATCATGCTAATTCACAGAGCAATCTTATGCATGTCTATTCAAAAACAAGTCTCTTGAGTTTAGTGGGGCTTACACCTGAGTAAGTGGGTGTAGTGTTGCCCCTCCCATGTAGTTTCTTTAAAAACTTCAGTTCAAAAGACTGGCCTGCTATTTAGAATCTGTGAGAGAACCTCTGGCTGAAAAATCATTTCAAACCATTTATACCCCACCTTTCCCAATTGCTCAAGGCAGCATTGAACATCAGTTAGCACAGCTACTCTTATTGTATCAAACTTATTGTATAAAAGCATTAAAACGTACATAGCAGCAAAACCAGAAATGGGGGAGGGGTTACTTTCCTTTGTTAATCTAGCTCAGTGTTTCCCAAACTTGGGTCTCTAGCTGTTTTTGGACGACAACTCCCATCATCCTTAGCTAGTCATGGATGATGGGAATTGTAGTTCAAATACAGCTGGAGATCAGAGAGTATATAATTACTGTAACTGCCTCTTTCCCCCTCCATGCTTATTTTGATCCAAAAGACTTGCAGAAGAGCCTTTGTGCCCTTCCTCCCTAGATTCAGTCATTTTTAAGTTTCATTAACAAAATTGCATTCACATCAAGTAGAAAATTACTGATCGATCCTTCTTTTCCTGAAACACAATTCTGAATATGAACTTTCATGCAAATATTAAGCTTAAAACTAGAATATGCTTCTTTTGTTTAAAGGCATCAGAAGCAATACTCCCTGACAACATTTTAGTGTCAACAAGGAAAGTTTGTTAACTTCTTTTTTAAAAAATGGGAGAGTGGGGAAATGTACACTAGTTAAGATATATGCACCTTTATGGAATAGCTTTAAGAAAGGAAACTATTATGTTGCATATTGTGTTTACACAGGGAGATTGGACAATCTAATTTAGCTGTAATGTAATTCTCTCTTACCATAAACATCCATTTGATAACATTAATGAGTATTCTCTGTGGGATTTTTTTTTTCATTTGTTCAGAGTAATCTGATTAGGGGATAAAGCTCCATATTATATTTATGAAAATTGATTCTGTTTACCGTCTACATATAAACCGGTTTCAAACACCTGAATGTTTTCAGGAGCCAGAGTGGTCCAGTATGTAGGCCTAAAACTGGTTCTAAAGACCTTCCCCAAGTGTGAATTGTATGAACTAGTCGCAGAAAGAAAGAAAAATACAATAGCCTGTTGTTCTTTATTGGCTAGTACAGAGGTTGCCAACGTGGTATTCTTCAGCTGTTGTGAGCTCCAATTCCCATCAGCCCAGCCATCATGCTCAGTGGTTAGGGGTGATGAATGCGTTGGCATGCAGCAGTGAGCAGCAGTGTGTGGTATGGGTTATCACACATTGTGGAGCGCAGTGGCGGGGGAATGGCTTCAATGTGGCAAGTGCATGAAATAATTCACTTTTAGATGAAACAAGACAATATTTTTAATTGTGTGGAGATGATATTACACCTGACATTTGCTTGACTGCAATAAACCTAAGAAGATATTGCCTGTGAGGTTAAATGGTTGAGGTGTGTTCCTTAAGCTTGAAGCCAGGGGAATCTAAAGCCTCTAAGCTGCTTTCTATGTAAATAGAGAAATTGAAGCTCATTTACTTAATTAACTTGAAAAGACTTGCAGCCATAACTAAAGGTTTGTTTTCTACATCACTTTGTGTGTGACATCATTTCAAGCTGCTTTGAGGCTATCTCATCTGAAAGCATAAAATCTAATTGGGTAGTGAATAATTCTCATGTCTCTCAATTTTGTAAAAAAGAAAAAAAAGTAATCTGCAAACACCCATTTTATGCTCAATTGACTGCCTAATTCACTGCTGGATGTGAAAAGCAGTACTTAGATGTTAGAGGAGGAAAAGACAAAGTGCTGCTATGATGTAGCTGGAAAATGATTTCTAAAATAAGTCCTCTGCATTGCATCCAACTAAGTCCTTCTCAGAGCAGACTCATCAAAAGTAATGGACTTACGTCGACCGGGTTCATTGATTTTGGTGAGTCCCCTCTGAGTATGACTTCCTTGAATGCGATCCTCCTTTCATAATACGGACCACACAAATAGGAGTTTTTTCTTGCCAGCCCTATGCATCAACTGCAAAATAAGGAATGATAAGCCTACTTAATACTTGGGCGGGGCAGGGGCTAAAAAAATGGTGGAAAATATTTTCAGAATTTATGCATCAGAATATTACAAATTTACCTGGAAATTGATGCCAGTTTTCTCTTGTCTTTTCTTTTTCAAAGGAAAGTCAAAGTGACTAACAGGACATAAAATAAAAAACAGTTTTTGAAACGGGAAGCTTGCCATAAACCAGTAACAATAGAAACACAAACAGCATAAAACCTAGCCTTCCAGTAGCAGATGAATAAGGGGAATAACAGCAGGATCACCATATTCAGAACATGATCAAAACCGAATCAGAACCATAGTAGTAGCTGGACAACCTTGGTTGCATTTCTCATAATATACCCTGCATTTTGAAGACCTCTGGCATTCTCTCATATGTCTCCATATTATTTCAGAATGCTTAAATCTCTCTTTAAAATGTCTTCAATTTGATTAATATTGCTGCTGTATTTATTCAGAGGCTGGAAGGTCAAAGACAAATTGTGGATTGCAGCAATGATCAGCCCTGTTCAAGTTTTACATCTCTCTTCTAAATTGAAGTAGCCATGTGGCAGTTTGACAGAGCATCTTGTTCTGGACAAAAGTGGCGTACTGGAGGGAAATATGCAACTGCAAGTAATTTATCAATTACTGCAATGTAAAGCTGAGCTTGCTGAGCTTTGTCTTTTACTTAGACTGCTCCGTAATGAGATTTATTTCTTAAATGACTTGTTTTTCTGCTGGATTCTTGCATTAGTAAATTGATTATCTGAATTCCAATCAGGGAATTGCTTTGGGATTGGGCTGCAGTGTGGCTTGAGAAACTGTAATAAAACATACTCATATATTCTTGTCATTCAGAGTTGTGGGTGGGGTGGGGATCAATGTGTTAATTGCTTAGAGCATCCCTAGCAACTATGACTGTCCTGACTCATTTATTTTGACATTCATTACAAACACGCAGGCATGATTAAGTTCTTACTAGTGAACCAGTTTCTTGTGTTTGTAAACTTCTATTGAAACTATAATATCATAAGATGATTTGCCTGTTCAGGCTGGTTTCTGTTTTCCATCTTTAAAACAATGTAAAATGTGCAAAATAGGATTGGTGGTGTTGTACCCCACAAAACCGAGCTATGCAGAGTGCACAAGTATGATCTATATTTCTTGTGCACAGACTTGGTTTTATTTATTGATATTTTTTTATATACAGCCTTTCAAGGAAAAAAAGTTCTCAAAGAAATGTCCCTGGTAAAAAAATATGGTATAACAATTAAAACAACGCAAAACATCTCAATTCCAAGGATTTCACTAGAGTTTGTCTTCACTCCTCATTGGCAGGAAATGCATTGTAGCATGTAGATTTCATCAAATGGATGATATTAACAACTCGTGTCATGTGGAATGCTCAATGAGGTGGTTGTTGGAGCTGCTGATGGAAGAGCAGTATAAAGGACCTCTTCCCCAGTCTTCTATGTAGGGCGAACAGTGGCCAAAGAAGGAAGAAGTAGCCCTTCCCCCTGAAAGGGCAGGGAGATAGAGAAATTGGCTAAAGCAGAGAGGAAGTACAATGGAAATTGAATTGATATCTTATTTATTTGTGAAACAATTCAGTGTAAAAACTGTGAGTCTGAACGTTAACTCACACTAAAAACTGGGCAAAATAAAAGCATGAAATATAGTTATTTTCAAGGTCATCTAAACCACGAGAAATCCCTTTTTCTTTTTTAAAATTGTTGTCTTGATTTGCATAATTATTTTAAAGTGGATCTTACTTTAAAATTATAGAGTAGAATTCAATATTGCAGTGTGACAAACATTCTGTCTGTACAAGCATTTCGGCTTGCCAGGCAGAGCAAACCCTCTTCTCTTCCCCCCTCACAGGGTGGCTCACAGGGTTCTCCAAAACCCAAAAGCTACTGGGGGGGGGGGGGAGAGAGAGCATGTAGTGGGTGGGACAAGTGGGGAGGAAGTGCAGAACATCTGCTGACAGAGTTTGTTAGCTGAAACCCACCCTTATTTTTTCCTTATTGTACCTTTCATGTAAGTTAACTTCTGCAAACTAAAAAACCTAAATACATTTCAGTACTGAAAACCTGAAGGGTAATGGGTTCTTTTTGTTTTGTATACTGTAAAAGCTTGTCTGCCTTTCTAACAAATGGAATTAGTTGGATGCTATTACGTCACTTTCCATTCCCAGTTAACATTTCAGTATTTCAAGAATAGTTTTTAAAAACGAGATTGCATCCCCCAAAGGGCTTTTACTATATCTGATATCTTTTAGTGAACATGCAACTAGAGGCATTCTGCTTCTGAAGTCCCCACAATTTCTCTCTCCAGGCAAATTGCATTATGCTACCCATAAAGACGTTTTTCGTCTTTCTAAAATCAGATTAAGCAGTGTAAGGGCAGGTTGCTGGAAGGTAGATGACACATTTTTATTTTTATTTTAAGTGATGATTTGAGGTAAAAGTATGTTCTTCCTTAATGACTAAAAATAGAGGATGTCTCTTAGGTTGGTTTTCATAAAAGGGTTTATTTAAACACTAGGTGTTTTTTTAGAGTGCAGTTTTCTAAAGCTTTAAAATGCAGTGAAGAAGAAGAATTGGGAATGTTTCTTGAGTAGTGAAATTTTTCCTTCCTAACATCGCCATTGAGGTATAAGTCAGTAAAAGTAATCTTTTCACTTGAGGGGATGTAGATAGCTCTTCAGATATTCTAGAATTAGATTCTGAGTTCTTTACCACTAAAGCCAATGCAGATGTCACTGCAGTTGGTTAACTATGTATGAAACTGCTCACACAAATGGTCTACGCACAGGAACAGCATAGCACCTGAAAAACTAATTCATGTAGCTCCTTTTCCAGGAATAGGAAAATTACAACATTTTCCTGTTCATTGAAAGGAAAGGAATCGAACATATTAGTTCTAATTCAATTCAGGAAAATATCAGGTGAAGAAAAATAATTAATACTCAGTAGTTGTGTGACTGGAACCTCAAGACACATTTTCTATGATACGGCATTCCTTGTTGACATATACTGCCGAACAATAATTTTCATGACAATCCTCGTCACAAGCTTGGCAAATCTGGAACTAAACTTGATGATCTGATAATTTTGATAGTCTTGGACTTTGTTATTTTAACTCATGTGTAGCTTACTTCTACATGCCTGTTTTAGAGTTCTGTTTTTCATCTTTTAAATTTTGTCTTATAATTGTTCTCTCTGCTTTATATACATTATAAAATGAAATAATTTAAAAAACAACAACCCAACAGTTGTCTGAGTGGTCCATGAGAAATATACTCACAAATCTAGTATATTTCCATCAGATATATTGCAATGAGTTCATGAAGAATGTGTGCTCAGAAAGTCAGTATGCGTCCTAGGCCATTTTAAATTTATGGAACTGGTAAGTAGTTTTGTTGTTGTTGGCATCCATTGATCTTGGTAGACAATGGAGTAGTACTCCTTCAGGCATAAAGTCAAACAGTTGTGGGGTTACAGCACCTGCTGTGGCTGTAGAGACCAATACAGGAAAGACATGTTTTGTTGCAGCTGGGGCAGATGAAGGCATCTGGACGTGCTGCTACAGGTGCACTATGGGGTTTCTTCTCTCTGCGCTCCTCCCAGCGGTCATACTTCCTTTGGTCACTGCTATGGATACACTACCTGACAGTCTCCAGGCTCTGCGATTGTCTGCAAGGGATTCCCATATGGCAAGGTTAACGATGCCAGCCTTCATGTCACAATTTCAGGCTTCTTTGTACAACAGAGTGCTTAAGAAATTTGAGGTTTCTTTGATATGTCAGGAACTGATGTGTACAGTGCTAATACTGGACTGTCTTTAACTCAGGTTAAATCAAATTTTATACTAGAGCCTCCCTATTTGAAGAATTGCTATAATTAATTGTTCATTCAAGTCACCCCTTGCTTCCGTTGGTTAGTAAATTGCTGAATTATAATAATCCCCCCCCCTTTTTGCTTTTTGTAGGTTATTTGAAGGGCGTTCGCCAAGGAAGCCTGAGAAACTGAAAACCCTTTTCTGCTACTTCAGGAGAGTCACAGAGAAAAGTAAAACATTTTAAAACAGTCACATTCTCCCATAATAATTTCAAGATTTCCAGGAACAGTATCTTTCAGCCATCAAATTATTTAGAGAACACACATGTTTTTAAAGTCCTCCGGAATTTTGTTAATGAGGGGGGCAGATGCACCTCTTCAGGGAGGGTATTCCACAAATGGGGAACCACCACCATGAAGGCCTTCTCATGGGGTCATGACCACCAACAGGGCCTCCATTGATTGTAGGGCCCAGGATGGCTAATGCAGTCATATTCAAAATACTTCTGTATAGCTGTAGTTGAGCAGTAGTTTAAAAATGGATATACTAATTATATATGCACACTTTTACATATGTATACACAAATATATATATATATATGTACGTATCTTAATCTAAATTACCTGAGAATACGAAAAGCAGGCTAGCAATCAAACTGAAATTAGTCATGATGGCATACATGTGGTTGTCTGGCAAAAACAGTGAGTTCTCTCCAGTGCTATCCTACTCAGAATAGGCCCATTGAAATTAATGGGCACAACTAATTTAGCTCCATTAATATCAAAAGGTCTACTCTAACTAGTGGATGTAACCCAATAGTTTCACATCTCCTTCTCATGCTGTATTTTTCCAGTGGAAATATCTAATCTTGTTATACTGCCCAAGTTTTTATTTTGCCCTTTTTTCATTTTCGTTTTTTTGACGGTAATGATGTGACTATTAGCCTTTTATTAGTAACATGTAGCCTCTTTTTTGATGGAGACAAAATGGCATATTTGTTTTTTCCATGTAATTAATAAGAAGACAACAGTAATTCATCTTTCAAATGAAAAGAAATTAAATATTCCATTCCCAAAACTTATTTTATTACAAACAGTAATTAAATCACCTGTAACGTTATCCTGAGTTGCTGAAAACCAAGAGCTTTGTTTTCAGAAGACAAACATTTAATTTGTGAAACATGATCTCATAATATGACAGTCCTCTTGTGAGTAAACACAAGGTTTGTGCAGAAATCGCTGCCTGTGGAAAACAAACAAAGCTTCTGTTTAACCTTTTGAATATCTTAGAATTTCTAGCTTGGTAACAAGACTCTTCAAACATTTTCCATAAAGTCATTTGCCAGGATATTTCACGTCTTCTTCCCTTATGAATTAGGTTAGCAAACTAGTAAGCCAAATCATAGCAAACCACAAGAGATGAAACATTTCCAGGGGGCAATTCTGTGCATAGCTACTCAGAAGGAAATACCACTGTGTTCAGTGGTGCTTGCTCCTAGGAAAGTGTGCACAGGATTGCAACCTTAATTGGGTTTACACTATTAATGTTTTTAATTATGTTCACCAAAACTTTTAACAGAGACCAACAATCAGTGCCTCTTTAGATTTCTAAGATGCAGCCATTTCCTTGCACATAACAATCTACATGTTTAGTTTGAGTTCTACCTGTCACGCAGATTTATTTTCGGGAATAAGCCAGAGTCATGAGGTTTATCTCCCTTTCTGAGTTCCCCTTTGGAGAACACTGGAGTAACTACATTTTTCTGAAGAAGGCAGACCCTCATACAGATCAATCCTATTTTCATTCTGCACCTTCAAATGCATACCTTAGATGGGTTCACTATTGGAGCCCATCACCGTCCCACTTCTAATCCATTAGAAGAAATCAAACTTAAATTGTTGCTTAGGCTTACATACGTTGCAGTACATTCTCCTTCATTGAGAAAAGGTAGCTAGGATCAGGTTAACGCTCCTAAATCAGAAGGATGTAGCTTTCCCTTCCTAGGAAGGTTACTTAAATAAAATGTGTCTTTCTATTTTACCAGAGACCACTTCATAGGTTTCTGTCCCTCAAAATCACTCTCAAGATAAAGGTACCCAGAGTTTAAAATTGAGCAAAAAAAAGTGTGGAGAACACACCTCCTCTAGTAGTTTTAAATTCAAAAGAATATGAATTGAGAGGTAAGATGGGTAATATAAATAGATTACAACCACCATTCATTTTCTATTTTCTGTTCATTATTTGTTTTTGATCTATTATTTGATTACAATACTCTGTTCACTTGCAGTTTAAAAATCAAACATCAGTACCCCCTTTCAAAGAATGAACATCTTAATATAGGCAATCAACTAGTTATATGTTGTTCTTGTATTTACATGAAAGCCAATAAAAATTATTTGGGGAAAAAACAAATATTCAACATATTGTTTCTCTGGCAACATTTCTGCGCTAGAGGTACATCCTTTGTAGATTTATCTTCCAAATGAAATGAAGTGCTACATTTTTATATGCTTACTTGGGTTTGTTTTCTTGTAGAACCCACTGGACTGGTGACATTTACAAGACAGTGTCTACAGGAATTTCCAGATTGGGAAAGGTAGGGTAAAATATCTCTCCTAAAATAGTTGCATTTTGATTAGAGCTGGTTTACCTAAATCCCAGTAATGTTTCAGCTTTTTTCTTTTGCCTGACATCCTGGGATTGGGGGGGGCGGGTTGTCAGGAAACCCAGGTTGGTTGCATAAGCATCTTGTGCTAATGACTGATCCATGTCAGTTTCACAGAGTAGAAAATGGCTTTGGGATATGAAATAAAGTTGTTGTTTGTTGTTGTTATTGTTATTATTATATCTCAAGTACTCAACTTCTCTGTAACTTCTGTTTCAACCATGTTTGCACCTCGCAGTAGGTCATAAACGATTGTTTACAAAACACAAGCAACTTGTACCTACTTTGCTCCTCTTGGCTCAGGTTGGAAGGAAACAAATCCTAATACAGTCGTACCTTGGTTGTCGAATGGAGTGAGTGTTCTGGTTTTTTAACATTCTTTTGGGAGGACAACATCTGACGCAGCTTCCACTATTGTTTCCGGTGTGCCTGCGCAATTGGGAGCCAGTTGGAAGCTGTGCCTTGCTTCCCAAATGTTTCACAAGTCAAATGGACTTCCAGAACGCATTCTGCTTGAAAACCAAGGTACGACTGTAACAGGATGCTACGTGGCAAAGGGGGCTGCAGCAGGAAGAAGGAACTGCCCACCCTTCCATCAGCGGAAGTGCCTTCCACGCGCACAAGAACATTTTAGGGGTCTAAGGCCATATTTGTACATTCTATAGATTAAATTGATCTGTCTCAGTGCTATTTTCTAAATGACTTTAACTGTATGCTAATAAATGATCACATGCTTCCCATTAAGCTGAGTGAGGCTAAGCAGTCAAATGCTTTCACAGTGAGAAAGCTGCTTTTTAAATTTTTGTTTCTTCTGGAAATGACTAATGTAACTTTGCATTAATGCCAAGGCACTCAAGTTTTGTACAGAAATGGCTTTATGAAGCCTATTAATTTCTTCTGTTAGCATTTGGATCTTGTTCAAGTAGGGGCCAAAATAAAGGTTTTTAGGAGCAGTAAATCAATAGCTAGATATGACTAATGCAGCTTAATTTAAACTTGTCTGTTTAATTGCACTACAGGATGATTAAATATGCCAGGAATACCATTTTATGCAGAATAAAAATTTCTGTCTAGATAAAGAATGGGTATTAAATCAAAAAGTTTGAGTATTATAAAAAAAGGAAACAGAAGGGAATTTTTTGCAGTATAGTACAATGCTTCTTTTTGTTTTTGAATAAGCAAAATGGGGCCATTTTGAATGAAAACCTGAAAGCTTTAAATTTTCCATTTCAGCAGAAATAAAATAGATTTTCCATTCTCCTCAATATGTGTCAGATTTTCACCTTTCACCTCAGCATTCAGTCTGAGGTTAACAGTGGATATGCTTTCCATAGGTGTTTTTGTGTGCCAGCAAATAGGCATTTATAGAGCTTCAATTGGGTATATAAATGGTAAAAGAACAAGAGCTGCTGTTGATTCTTTGCATGCTAGCAATGCAGAATCCAAAATGGAGTTTGATTGCCCTTCTCTCATGGGACTTGTTGCTTGCTTGTATTTAATGAGAATAAACTTATTAAGGCCATAGGGCCTAATCACAAAACTGCTATGATGTGTGTTGTGCTAACACTCCCGCCAAACCTTTTTAGTTTTATTTAATTTCTCTCAGTATAGGGATAGTGCTCCAATTAAAGGGAACTGTCATCTCCACGGTCTGTACCAAGTGCAAACATTTACAACACTGTGGCAAACAACATGGTTTTAGGGTACTACTAATGTTGGATTTCTATTCCTCTCACTGTGCAGATATTGTGTAGGATTGGTTCATCAAAATTAACCATAAGTGCGACCCATCCTATGTTATTATAGAATTCAGTACAGATTGATTGACAGGAGACATTTTTCTTATCAATTTGCAACATGATAACATTGATTTTTTAAAAAAAATGTATTTTCTCTCTATAAGGTATTGTTCCATTCCTCATATCTGTATTTAATTACAGAACCCAGAAAAAGCTGTCCAGGTTGCATGTCACATATGAAGGCACTATTGAGAGCAACGGGCATGGGATGCTACAGGTAAAAGCAGCATAATATATTGGCTTGTGCTATGCTCTAACAAAACTTTTGTTCTATTGAGCATTTTAGCAGAATGATTCAGCTGTGCCCTACGTTGTATGTGAAAGTACCAAACTAGTGTGCAGTATAACAGACACAGCAGAATTGATTATTCTGACAGCCTTAACGTTATCTATTGTCTCCAGCTCACCTTGTTTCCCACATGTGTACTCTGTGAATAACCTTTTGATTGACAACCGGAATACCCGGATAGCTCCAGGTTCTTCAGGTCACACAGAGATTGAAGAGCGACAAGAGAGGGGTGGTTCCAGGGTATGAAAGTGACAGGCTGACAGTTTTATTTTTTGTTTCCTTTATTTTGGAAGTGCCCCAGCAGATGACCAGTTCAGTAGTTCAGGAGGCATTGTCTGTTGCTAGTGGAATTGCTTTGGTCTGAGAGCCAGTCAGCTAAAACAGATTGATAACGATTCCGCCTTGTCCATATCTACAAGCATTTTGATGTTGTTTTAGCCGAGAGGGAACTGAATTCTGAAGTCTGGTATGGGTGGCTGGTACCTGTTTCGTTAATAATGGTTGATTTATCCCTTTTATACTTAAAAACCTATTCAGCAGCCTTAGGATGCCAGAGTAATAGGATTTACACCAAACTAATTGTGGGTTGTTCTTCTGCACAAGCCTCATTGCAATCACAGGGAGATGCACAAGACCATTAATGTGCTCTCATGCTGTTTCTCTTCACTGTAATGAGGCTTGCCTGGGAGAACTTCCTAGAAGATTATTCCCATAGTAAAGGTAAAGGGACCCCTGACCATTAGGTCCAGTCGTGGCCAACTCTGGGGTTGCGGTGCTCATCTCGCTTTATTGGCCAGGGGAGCCAGCGTACAGCTTCCGGGCCATTCTGGCGAACCAGAGCAGCACACAGAAATGCCGTTTACTTTCCCACTGGAGCGGTACCTATTTATCTACTTGCACTTTGACGTGCTTTTGAACTGCTAGGTTGGCAGGAGCTAGGACCGAGCAACGGGAGCTCACCCCGTTGCGGGGATTTGAACCGCCGACTTTCTGATCGGCAAGTCCTAGGCTCTGTGGTTTAACCCACAGTGCCACCCGCGTCCCCATTATTCCCATAGTAGATCATTAATGGAACAAAATCTACTTAAATCCAGTTTGCATCCTTGTTTTTCACTTCTTTTTTTTTAAAACCCTCTTTATTTTACAAATGATATTCCAAAATAACATATACATCATAAACCTATCTGAACACTATAGTTAGATGCGTTATAGCATTAAATCCCAGAAGAAGAAAATCTATATCATATTTTGGCATTTCTCTGACATTTAGGCCATCCTTAAAAGTAACATCTCCTAACTCTGGACTGCTGTTACAAATTTGAATGAACCTCTTATGTGTCCCATATCTCTGTATGTTTTCTGGGACTTGTGTCTCACTGTCTTCCTGCTTAAAACTTGCTTCTCACTTCTGAATAAAAAAGGAAAATGTTACAGACCATCATCCTTTTTTAAGACCTGTTAGAGTAAAATGGGGCAGGAAATTTGGATCAGTAATTATTAGGCAATGCAGAAAGGGTGGGAACTCCATTTTCCAAATGCAGTTGTGGATTGCAGGAATCTGGGGTGCATCATGGGGGAATGCCCATATAATATAGGGGGGGTGTCTTGTGGCCTTCCAGATGTTGTACTACAGCTACCATCATCCATGACAATTCATTGTGTTGGCTAGGGCTGATGAGAGTTCATTGAAATCTGGAGGGCCACCGATTTCCCATCCTCATCACAAAGCATTCTCTAGAAAGCCTCCAGGGGAAAAACATAGTTAGCAGCCACTACTTAGCAAGAGCAGACAAGACAAAATAACTATTTCCTGCCCTTTGGCAAGGCGTTTGAGCATATAAAAACAATGTGCCTGAGACGCACATAATCAGGAGCAGGGCAAATGAAGGTCACATGGGGGGGGGGGGGGAGAGGAAAGTCTCAACTGTAAGAGCTAATGAAAAATTGTGTCCGTAATACATTTTGCAGTGTTAAGAAAACGCATGGAGTAGCATAAGTTACAATTTGGAATTTAAAAAAACTCCAAAAAAAGTAGAATGTGCATAGTGTTGTTTGTATATTGTTAGTAGCTGGCAAAATTACATGATCTCATTATTGTGTTCATTATATTGTCTCTTCTACCATTTACTGATCTAGTTGACTGGCTTATTATCATGAATTAGATTAGTGTGGTTCTGAGAAGAGAGACTGTTAGCCCTCATACCGCCCCTTATTTTATGGGGTTTGACCCTGATTATAATTTTTGAGCACTGTTACAGTATGCAGAATGAATATAATAAGACAACAGTTCATATAATTATAGTTGATGACATAAATACTAATTTGGCTCAGGTAATAGCTGCTGTACAGTGGAGGAAGCTATAGTATTTTAATTTGGGAATTGTTCGAAGGCTTTGAGTTCTTAACTTCTCATTTGTGTGTGTGTGTGACCTTGGGCAATCCATTTTTCATTCCCATGTCTCTGGAGTGGGTAGTTCTAGCAAAACACAGGTAAGGAGCCTATGATGGTCACTCCACTCTAGCAGATTTTCTTTCATACTTCTCCTTGAAACATGAGGCCATTTTCTAATGTCGTGATTATTTTCTTCTGAAGCATAACTTTATAGCTTTTGTTACACTTGAAGAGCCAGAAAATACATTAAAACCAAGGGTGTGTTTTAACATTGCAAAGCAATATTAAATTTTCTCCCAAGCCACTTAAAACTGTAGCCTTGGAGGCAGGAAAATATTTAATAATGCATTTGTTGTTCTGTACAAATTTGCATTGAATGCACCCTATTTCACCTCAGCAATGTTATTGTCAGTCCCGTTTCAGCTATGTAGCTTTCTGATTCTGCATAAACAGAACAAATCCCTCTACTTGGCCAGACTCAGACTAAATATTAGAATGAGGTCTCTTGGGAGGTTTATGCATTATACTTTGAGCAATAGTTCAACCACAAATGCCTTTCAGCGTTTTTATTGTAACTCTCATTATTTTTTAAACAATTCAGATGTTAGTTAATAAATTTATATCCTGCCTTTCAGTATGTTTTGATCAGGACAATTTATAAAACTCCAGATTAAAATAGTAGCATGAAATGTAAAACAACAGACACAATCTAAAACCAGATCAAATTCCAAGCAAACGTTTCTAAAACCCCCCACAAATCTTAGAAACCCTGGGAAAATACAAAAAGATTTCTGCCTGGTCCTGAAAAGATGGCTACATAAATGCCGAGTCAGTGTCTTGTACAAGACCATTCCATAGGTGGGACACCACCATCAAGAAAGCTGTCTCCTCAGCCATGTCTACTGTGTGTTATTTGGCAGGGGCACTCAGAGAAGAGCCTCTGGCAATGACCAGTTGTATGAACAGGCTGATCTACTTTTCTCTTTAATCAGACTAGTGACAGAGACCCCAGGGACTCATAAAGTAGAGGAACATTACTTGAAAGAGATAACAAGACACTGATTATATGTGTATCCCACATGCTTTTTTGTACAAAAAAGCCAAGAGTGTACAGCTTGTTATCATCTGGCAATTTGTTCCTTTCATTGTGAATGTGAGCTCTCATTCCTTTCAGGTGTCTTCTGTCATACATTTACTTAGATCTCCCTAGACTGAAAAGTGCTGATAGAATTTAATTACAGGACTTAAATGTGCCCCAGGGTAGGCTGCAGATGGCCAAGGATGTAGTGTATCAAATAATATTTCATCAGACCTTTAAAACACAAATAATCGCAGTCATCTGAAATGCAAATAAAACACACAAATCTCCTTAGGCTACTTCATGTGTTACATGTTTGCTATTGTGTGCCCAAGTGGCAGGAGGTTGCAGCCAGTTCCACTTCCCTACTTTGTGTGTATCATCATGTGGAAGAAACATGCATTTATTATTATGTGCACGTTAAAATTTACAGGCATAGAAAAATGTTTTTGTGTACCTGTAAATAATATACAGTCGTTCTTTGGTTCTTGAACAGAATGCGTTCCCGGAGTCCGTCTGACTCCTGGAACCATTCACAAACTGAGGTGTGGCTTCCGATTGGCTGCAGGAACGTCCTGCAGCCAGTTGGAAGCCACAGAAGCCGTGGCGGACATTCGGCTTCTGAAAATCTTTCAATAACCGGAACATTCACCTCTGGGTTTCAATTGTTTGGGAGCCGATTTGTTTGGGAGCCAAGGCATTTGGAATCCAAGGTACGGCTATAATGTGTGAAGATGCCTTTGGATCCCAAGTTCATTGGGTTCTATTCAATGTAGCACCACAGCTAAGGTTCCATCAGTTCAAGGATTTTTCATCACACAACAGAATATTATTTCCCTCTTCTGTCCTGTGTGTCTCCTAAATCTGCTGGAGTCCCCCAGCCCTCCAGAGCAATTTCGAGGATGACATGGGGGAGGAGAGAGGGGCAGTTACCTTGTACTAGTGCTAATAATCCTTGTGCTAGTGAAAAAAGTTCATTGAAATCTGCCAGGTGTGACCTTTTCTGTGTATACTTGTCATCTAAAAAAAAATCAGGGCTTAAATGTTTGTAGCCATGTAATTCTGAGTTCTGAATTACGAAACAACAAGCAAGCACTAACTAACAAAAAAGGAGCACAGTAAAATGGCTCAGGCTAGATGGTAGCATTGCTTAAATATTTTGTGGTTAAGATCAAGAGAACCCCACCTGAACATGAAAAATGAGCATGTATAACAGATGTTTACATTATTGGGGGTGTTGGAAATGTGTTTGAATGTGCTGTAACCACAAAAATTATACCTCTGTCAGGTTGATTTTGCTAATCGCTTTGTTGGAGGTGGCGTCACTGGGGCAGGACTGGTGCAAGAAGAAATTCGCTTCTTAATCAATCCAGAACTGATTGTATCTCGTCTCATTACTGAAGTCCTGGATCACAATGAATGTCTAATTATCACAGGTTAGTTTTTGTAAGCCTCACACTTGAGAAATATTCACATACCTCATGTGAACCTGGTGCCAAATAACTCCAGAAACTTACTCCCAGTTCATATCACTGGGCAAAAGACAGCAATCTAGGATATGTATTCACTGGAACTGAGCCAATGTGTTTAGACTCATTTTAGAATCAGGGAGATTCAGATTCAAATCCCTACTTAGCCTCAGTGTGTGAAATTAGGCTAGTCACTAGATCTTAGCTTAACCTTCCTTACAGGCTGAGGATAAAATGGGGGTGCAGGGAGAACAATTTATGCCACTTTGAGCTGCTTGGGGGGGGGGGGGGACAAAAGTTAAAAATGAGCCATAAGTCAAATGATGCAGATGGTTAGATGCATGGGAACTCTTGAGCGTTACCCAGCCTAGAGGAAAGTACAATACAAAGACAACTGGCAACTTGGATATATGTGATCCTTTACCGTTAACAGCAAAAAACATATGATCCAGGTACCAGATACGATGTTAGGGAGTAAAGGCATTGATCAATAACATCAGCTGATGGGCAGGTGTCTGTGGTTTGGGGGAAATGGCTTGGTGGGCCAAGATTGGCCCACAAGTTGGAGGTTCCCAATTGGATCCGAAAATTGTGATTGTATATGTATTTACTATGGCCGTTTGTTTTATTTTCCCAAACCGAAACTAAGATTGACCTGAGCTATATGGATTGTTTGCTAAAAGTTGAAGCTTAGCTGATTGCTATGTACTGAATTAAATCTTGAAAAATACATAAAAAAGAGGAGTATCATAATCTGTTCGGAGGGCAAATGCAAATAGTTTTTAGGGCTTCTGAATCCAAAATGGATGCTTTTATTTCTGAGGGACGGCCAAACAAACAAAGGAAGCATTATTTCTCAGGGTTTTTTTGTGCACTTTACTTTATTACAGTACTTTCTAATTAATATCTGTGATGCAATGTTCTGCTCCCTTAATGGAAACAGCCATTTCATCATCCTCATTTGATCCTTGGCTTACTTCCATATCTGTGCTTAGGCGAGTCTCTGCTGTGTGCAGCTATCTGTCCAATAAATTACAGTCTTTCGATGATGCATCTTGACTCAGTGGCCTAATGGATGTAACTGTGCCTCTGAAATTTGCAGAAGAGACGGAGAGATTGGAAAGAAATTAGATTTGTTGCAATTGTCCAGCATCTGTTTGAGATCATCACAGTAGCAAATATGAAACACAGAGCAGAGGCTTTTCCCAACTGCTGAGTGGTCAGAGGGAATAGTTGAAGTTGAAGTCTGATGTTTTGCTTTGATACCTGCATTTATTTTTATTTTATTTATATTCTGCCCTTCATGGGCAGAATCTCAGGGTGGTTCATAGAATAAAATACAGGATATGTTGCACAGGCAATTTGAAAATGTATTACGAATCTGATAGCTGTAGGTAATTACACATTGCTAAAATGAAAATGAACATACTTTGTGTTCGTATGAACATGGTCGATATCACCAAACTGCAATTTGATAGGCATGTTGCATTTATTACAGTTTTCTTAAAAGAGATTTTCTCACAAATGGTGAGGGAGACACCAAAGTTGTCATTTTTTCATGCCTCCCTCTTATACCGTTCCCCAGTTCTCACTTATGTAGCTGTGGTGAACATAAAAAGTAGTCCCAAGTAGAAGGCACAGAAACAGTAACGGAGGAAAAGAACAATTAAAATTATTTTAAAGCCTTTTTAAATAAAGATGAATTGATTCATCTTAACAAAGGAGAAGGTTTTCCTTTCCATATGCTTTAGTGAAGGCATTGCTATTCATCATCTGTCTGGTTTCATATTCCAGTATTAAATCCAAGTGTATTGTGAATAATAATATGTATGATACCACAGCTATTTGGTTTTGATGAACTTTCTAATCCATGGCTTAGAAATTGTGAGAAGGTTCTTAAAATCGGACTGAAACTCACTTCCCTGACTATGTTATATGAAAGGATAGATGATTATTCTAAGCTCATCAGACAGTTTCAGGCCCCAAGACAGTGCAACCTTTCCTGGCCTTCTATACCGATCAAGCATGACAACCTCCTTCAGTTTCAACAAGGCAGTCAGCGAATTACAATACTGCAAACCAAACAATTTTCTCCTTCTCTCTCTCTCCCCCCCCCCCGCCGCTACACTAGAATTTTGCAAACTTGTTTTATTCACTTTGGATTTTGACAAGCTGATTTCCCATGTGCAAGGTATTCAGACTTCCTTTTCAGCATATAGCCATAATACCAGTAAAATGATTTGTTTAGCAGAGACAGAGAAAGATGGTTGGTAACAAAGTTTGGCAACTTGTTCAACTGTTGGGATACATATTCTGGAACAGCTCTCTTGCATAGATTTATCTGTGCATTTGGCTTTTCTGGATCCAAACTACATTGCTTTTGCTTATTCAAATGACATTTCCTAACATCCTTAATGAACAGGTATTCAGAATGGGAATGACTACAGAGGAGAGGAAAATCTCAGCTGATGGTGGCTTTTAAAATGTGACCTTTCCCCCCACCAGGTACAGAGCAATATAGTGAATATACTGGCTATGCAGAAACGTACCAGTGGGCCAGGAGCCATGAAGATCAAACACCCAGGTAATGTTCTTGCAAAAGAGTGGCTTTGACATTGTGAAAGTTGAAAATAGATCCTCAGGGCGGTACATTGCTGCGAGCTCATTTCCCGTGACTGCAATTGACGGTTGCACAATACAGAGGACCTGCAACAAAAAGTTACAGTGCATTTTCTCTTATAAAAGGAGTGCTTCTGTTTAGGATGGCAGCTAGCTATTCCTTCCCCTCGTGTTCCTTTTTTCTTTTCCAGTAGTCATCCCATAGATACTTAGCATGTTTCGTCCTCATTGTGCTGTTTTTTTCAGGAGGGTAGCCCTCTTTGAGTTTTTGGGGTTTTTTGCGGGGCCGGGGGGGGGGGGGCGACTCAAAGACACAAGCATCTCCCTCTTCTTTCTCAGTTGCCCCATTTTGACTACGATCCTATCAAGACAAGCCCAGTTTGTTCTTAGGAAGAATTATGCTCGGGATTCTACTAAACTCACACCTTGAGTTGGCTCAGGCCACTTAGAACCATGTTTCCTCTTTACTTTGGAAAGACTTGGGGCACTTCTGAGATATATCAGATGGAAGTGCAAAGTACCATGGAAACATACATGCAGTTGGAGACAGTGCACATGTAAAGAGAAAATTTGGAGCATTTCAGAGTTAATCAACCTTTTCCTCACAAGTAGAGGGATGTATACCAGTGTCATGTTTTCCAGAATGTGTCCTCCCATCTCTCTTCAGAGCATGATAAGAAGTAACCTTTACTTGGTGTATTTAGTTTTTCTATACGACAGTAATACTGTTTCTGGCTTCAGTCTTAACAAAGAATATTTGATCTTGCTACTTGCAAAGAAGTCTTAACTCCCACTGAAACTGGTTCTGTGATGTCTCATAGTTAGTTCTCCAAAAATTCTGCCTTTTGGGGGAAGGGCACTTTCTGGCACTGCTCCTAAGATTAGATTAACCCAAGAGGGTTCTTAGGAGGGAGCATGTGTTTGATACAGAGGCCCAAGTGTCTTTGCTAATTTCTGTCACCTAGTTGAGACTTAAAGTGCCTGTTTATGCTGAGGAAAGGCAAGAAGAAAAGGATTGTGTTTGAAACATGTACCAGTACAGCAAACAAAATGAATGTTGGCTATTTTTCTTGGCCATCCAGGGAATCTTAGTGGCTAAATCACATAATGTCCATTATTTAACATTTGGGATCTGACATTCACATTGTAGAATTAATGTATTTCTAAATCTGTGGGGAAACTTCAGGTGTCCTCCCACATCCACTCCCTCTCTCTTTGATTGGAGTTCACCTATGATCTATTACAGCATTGCTTTTCCTTGACATTATTTCTGTGCTTTTTCACCACTGGTAAAGCCCTGGAGAGATGAACTCATTTTCAGTCTTGTTTATATGAGCAGTATTATCGCACAGTTAATTTTACTGCCCTTTTTTCTCTCTCCCTTCTCCTCCACCCCCCCCTTCGTTCCAATGCAGGGATGAATGGCAGAGGCGCTGCACAGAAATTGTAGCCATAGATGCATTTCATTTCAGACGTTTCCTTGATCAGTTTGCTCCTGAGAAAATTAGAAGAGAGCTCAACAAGGCCAGTAACTCCTTAATCCATCCTGCAGCCTTAAGCCCATCATTTATTTGCAGCCATTTCATTAGTGTTTGAGTTGTGCTGTCCAATAATTTTTGCAGTGTCAACAACTCCTTGAAGGGAGACTTCCTGCTTAATTGCAGTGTCAGTTCACACAAGGCGTTATTCATATTTTCAACAGTAAGATTAAAATCGAACCTTGCCAGGTTAAATCAAGTTGGTAAGTGGTTCTCTCTTGAAATACCTCCTTTCATTTTGAAAAAATGAACTCAATAGTTGCGTTCTTGGAGCTTTATCCAAATATCCACAGAAATGGTTGCAAAGCAGTCATCCTTACCGATTCCTTATGCTATGTGTTGTTGTGATGGGTCAACTCCTAGATCGCTTCCTAATTTAAAAAATAAATTCTACTTAAAAAGTAGCAGTATGGTGCTCACTAATTTTAGCCATATGTGCCTCTCCTCTTCATTTTTTCACCTATTGTGCTCACTTTTCTTTTGTGAAATACTTTTTTAAAACCAACATAAAGGCTTGGGGTGTTTGGAAATTATGGGAAGCGCTACTTGTGTGACCTACAGTTAGGATGTGCTTCTCTTGTGGGACTTGACCCATCAGTTGAAGGCATTTTAACCCAACTACAGAAGTGTAACTTGCCAAATTTGAGGTGGCAGTGAAATTTAGACAAAGTGATCCCACCAGAATCCAACACTAAATGATTGCAGAAGTGCTTTCTTATCTGGTTAAAACAGTTTGCCTGAATCCACTGTGGTAGCATCACATTAAAATGTCTTTTAAATAAATAATAAATCTTTAAAGCCATTTCTAGATATATATTTTTTCTTAAATCACCTTACACAGTTTTTAATAGCATGCAACAAAATATTAAATCCCTGCAAAATATTAAACTATGGCATTGGTTCCACTTGTTAGCCACAGTAGTTTGTCTAAAGCAGCAAAAATACAAATACATAAGCTATTTTTACCCTTTGTAATATATCTTCATTGCTAGCATATGAATTTGTCTAATAATCTTGAGGGGTTTCGATACGACACAGCCATATATGCTTAAGCATGTTCAATTTAACATGACAGGCATTTCTTAATAATTAATATTTTCCATCTAAGAAAGATCCATACCCTTTAAGATTATGGTTTCAAAAATGCCTAGCATAATTAAGACTTATTTTACTTTTTAAATAAGAGAGTAAAACTAGTATTTCATATTAAAAGTAGCATTAGGCACTATCACGGATAGGAATAAAATAGGCTACTGCAATAGATAGTAGCCTATAAAATTAGTAAACTTCTACTGACATCTTAATTGGAAAACTAAATCACCTGCTCTAAGCATCTGACATCAGACTTGATGCATTCCATCATGTTGATAGGAAAGATACAAGTTATATATTAGGATAGATTTTATACATTTTCATGCTGTACACAATTCTTCCTCTTTGAATAGGGGTGATTTTAAAGTGGTGGATCATACTTGAAGCAACTGCTGAGCGACATATTTTGCATTTCATTAACTAAATCAAACACAGATTTATGAGGAATATGTAAACTATGTTACACTGTAGACTAAGAATCTCAAGGCATGTTTCTTTTAGGATGCTGGTTGCTTACAGGTGCTTGCAATTCCACCTGTCATGTATTAATTTCCGGTTGTTTGTGAGGTGATTTCAGGTTGTTTGAACAAATTTTTGCTTAACCATTGTCAGGAATCTTGGGCAGTGCCAGTGGCTGCCTTGTCCCTGACTCCCTCCATTGTATCTCCCCCCCCCCCCAAACCTGGCGTGACCAATTCACTTGATTTTCCCTGTTAAGCCACAGTCTCAGTATAGCAGTTTGGTCTACAGCTTCTTCGCTTCAGAGAACAGGAGAGGGGGGGCGGGCGGGGGGGGGGGCGCCACTCTCAGTGCCTTTCCTGGTTATTTTTTCTTCTTTTCTGCCATTTTTTTTTTTTAAGCATCATATGCATTTATCTCCACCTGCCAGCTTGTGAGACCAAGAAAACCCACCCACCTAGGAGAGGCTGGCAAGCTGTGATACTAGTTCTTTGCAACAACTTTGCATCAGCATAAACATGCCTTAACCTGTGAGTGATCTGGGTGGCTGGGCAACTAGGAAAGTGACAGGCTGAGCTTCTCCCTTCCAAGACTAAGAGGGTGTCAGCTCTCTTCCCACTTTAATTTTTAATTATTGTCTGTTTGTTGCGTTGATATCCCACCTTTTTCTCAAAGTGGCATACAGTGGTACCTCGGGTTAAGAACTTAATTCGTTCCCGAGGTCCGTTCTTAATCTGAAACTGTTCAGAGGTACAACTTTAGCTAATGGGGCCTCCAGCTGCCGCTGCACCACCGCCGTGCGATTTCCGTTCTCATCCTGAAGCAAAGTTCTTAACCCGAGGTACTATTTCTGGGTTAGCGGAGTCTGTAACCTGAAGCGTCTGTAACCTGAAGTGTCTGTAACTCGAGGTACCACTGTACGTGGTTCTCTCTGGCCTCATTTAATCACCACAGCAACCCTGTGAGGTAGGTTAGGCTGAGAGGCTGGCCCAAGGTCACCCTTCATGGCCGTGTGAGGATTTGAACCCTGGCCTCCTGGGTCCTAGCCCTGTACTCTAACCACTACACTTACCCTTCTAGGGGAAGGGGCAGAGAAGATGCATTCAAAGAAGACAAGAAAAGCAGACACCTTCCATGAAAAATAAAGTGCTTTCCTTGGGATTATCAGACCCAGACCATACAAGGTTGTGCATATTCATCACCAAAGGAACTGAAATTGCCAAGGAAATTTAATTGCTTCAGTCAAAACAATATATTCTGAATAGGTTGAATTTACCGAAGGCTGGTTTTCAGTATTTCCCCCCCTAAGATTCAGGAAAGTTTGGGAATGGATGGAAGAAGAGCCATAGGGGCTAGGTAGGTTTAGATAGCATGAAAGAAACGTAAAAGAAATACACACGAAGAATTTTGATTTCATGCACAATCTTTATTGCAGTGATTCACTAAATACAGTTCTTTGTGGTGTTAATAGAATAACAGCTGAGAAATCCCAATGGCAAAGTGCTATGAGCTATTTTTCTTTCTTCAGGCTTACTGTGGTTTCTCTCGACCTGGTATTCCACCACATCACCTTTCTGCAGTGGCTACTGGAAACTGGGGCTGTGGTGCTTTTGGAGGAGATTCAAGATTGAAAGGTAAAGGTTAGAAATATTGTGACGAATTACATGTAACTAGAATCACATGTAACAGAGTACCTGAGAGCAGGGTGGGCAAGAAGGGAAAATTTCTGAAATCAGCTTCCTTGTGCCAGAAAATGTGAGGTGTTTTTATTTACCCAATTTGTAACTGCTTAATCTAAAATTTACAAAACCCAAACCTCTGAGAAATTTGCAAAGTAACAAACAATCGCAAAGCTAAAATGCAAATGTAACATTTATTCCCTGGATGACTGGCAGTGGTGCACTTTGGGGGCAAAGGGAAGTTTGGAAGGGGGATGTTAAAGCCATAAGTGCATGCAGTGGCTGTTAGAACCCTTAGCTTTTACAGGCACTTGAAGGCTTAGGGACAAACAGAAAATCATTCTATTCTGTGACTGAGATGACGTGTTATACAGAAAAAATATTCACAAATCCTGGAGCTCTAGCTAACCTAAACTTGTCGAACTGGCTTTGTTTACCGTATTTGTCTGTGTATAAGACGCCCCCTTGTATAAGACGACCCCTATTTTTTTAAACCCAAAATTAAGAAATTAAGTTGTTTAGCTTGGGGGGGGGGTCACTTCCACCAATCGCTCACTCGCCTGCCCGCCACTGTTGATCGCTTGCCACAGCCACTGCTGATCGCTCACCTCGCCGCCCACTTGCCATAGCCGCCAGTCGCCTGCCCGCCTCGCCACAGCCACCAATTGCCTGCCCAATTGCTGCAGCCACAGCCAATCGCCAGCAGGCCTTGCCACAGCCACCAATCACCTGCCCAATCACTGCTGCCAATCTCCTGCTGCCATTAATCGCACGTCCCCCCTCTGCATTCACTATCCGTGTATAAGACGACACCCAATTTTTGCCTTTTTTAAAAAAGCAGAAAGCATTGTCTTATACATGGGAAAATACAGTACACAGAATTGATGGAAGACTGAAATGTTAGCATCTGCTAACATGATTGCTTGGATTAACTGTAATAATGGCAATATAAAAATCACTCCCCAAATAAAGTCTGCCACTTTTTCTTTTTCTTAGTAATTAGAAAGCAGATAAAATTCACCTATAAATACAGCCATTGTACCACAGGAAAATGTGCAGAAATTGAACACACTATAGCAATTCCTTGCCCACCAGTTATTTCATATGTCTTCCAGTTGAAGCATTGCCAACATTAGCTGAAATTCTGAGTAATTAAAGCATGCAAAGTGACCTTTTCTTTCATAAATTATTCCATGAAGCTAGGGAAATAAAGGCCAATGTAATGTATTTTTTTGTTCAAGGTCAGGGATAGTATGATGGTGCAGTAGTAAGTAAAGCTAGAAATATAGAAAACCTGCAACTATTGCACTGTTTATCCCATGGCATTAGGGGCAAAACGAGTCCTCTTATCTTTATGCCACTTTACTTTAATATGGTCAAAGCCTAAATTAATGAGCTTTGTTAAGGAGTTACATTGCTGCAGGAAGATGGGAGGTTTAATTTTGTTGTTGCTTTAATTTTGAGTTTGCTCATTCTTCCCTACTCAGAGGAGGCAGTATATTGTACTAGGAAAAAGCATGGTGACAACTTAGCTCCTGTTCTTCATTCCCATACTGTGGGGATCACAAGTGTGGTACCCAAGTAGGGAAGCCCAGCCAGATGGGCGGGGTATAAATAATAATAATTATATACCCACATGTGCCTTCTGCAGCGCTTGCAAAAGATCTCAGTCAATATTCCCTCAGAAATCCACAATTCACAAGAGACTGTTTGTTCTTCCTGCTGCGTTCCAGTTTGCACTTGCTCAGCTTTTCCTACACTGAACACACACGCCCTTAAACTTTTCCCCATTTCACTGGATACCAAGATTGGACACTCATCCCCTTGTCCATTCTGAACAGAGGAGCTGAGCAAAGAGCTTCTCGAGTGTGGTAGTGGCTGGCAAGGTAGCTGATTGGGGGGATATGCCCACACCATTTTGTGGTTCTGCCTCTACTTCCGCTCCTTTGGACATGGCAGCCATTTTGTCTTGCCTCTGAGGCAGCCATTTTAGGATGGGCAACCATTCCAAACATGTCCGCTGGCTCAAAAATGTTGGCAACCCCTGGCCTCTTCAAACAAGCTGCTTGGTTTTATAATGCCTGGACAGTCTTTAAAATTGTGTCCTGCTGCACTAGCAGTAAACTTCCCAGTAGGAAAACCTGCCTTTTGCATGATGTGTGACGAGTGTGGGATGAGTCTGTTTTGCAGTGCAAGTACACAAATTTGACAGCCTTTGCATTCATTGGCTGATTGGTAGATGTCTTCGCGGTGCAAAAATGCTAATGCCATGTTGACTCTGTTATAAGCAAACACTTAGCTTATTAAGTGTGATTAGTAAACTCTACTCAAAGCACCTCCTTAACAAGTTTAACAAGTGTTTGTATCATTTAGGAAAATTGCACTGTTAAAATAGGATTGTTTGGTGTTCCATAGTTGTCCAAGCTCTCCTTTTCTGATGACAAACTGGAACTCATAATTCCAGTCCTTAATTTTTAGATTAGAGCAGTACATAAATGAGATCACAGAATTCTAGGAACAGTGGTTGCATGAGAGAGCAAAGGCATGACTAACCTTGAGTTAAGTTGTTGAACCAATAAGTGCAGTGCCCTCCAACTTACTTTTGAAGGATGGAGTGGGCACAGTATTTAACACAGCAAGTGGCTGTGGGTCTCAGGACTGTGCAAGCAAATGGGCAGTCCTAGTGGGCTGGCTAGATGAGGTCTGCGTGCCCTGGCATCTCTATGCCCTAAGTGACAGAGGCAGGTGGGTGCAAGCTCAGCATCAGATGTACTCTCCATCATCTATCCTGAAGTCGGGAGGCTCCTGTGCAGCTGGGGACGATGCCAGAGCCAGCTCCTTGGCTGCAGAAGCTGGAGTGGGCTTTTCTGGCAGGAAAGTAACTGGCGACAGTTCTGTCAAGTTGTGTGACCCATCTACAGAGCGTGGATCTCCGTCCCCTCTCCCACTCCTTAGGACCCTCCTTAGGATCAGGCACAAAATGGGGCTCAGAATCCACCACCCCGCCACCACCACTTGTAACTCCCCAGGGTCATCCTGATCCAGCCCCCCAAGTTCCTCCCATTCCTTCTGAGGGTCCAACCACCCCCTCCAAGACTTTTCCACTATTGACACCAGTGAACTCCTTCATTCTGTATTCACCTGTTTCTCTTGTATCAATTTATTTCAGCCTTAATACAAATCTTGGCAGCTGCAGAGGCTGGGCGAGACATTGTTTATTTTACCTTTGGAGATGCTGAGTTGATGAGAGACATTTACAGCATGCACACTTTCCTAATCGAGAGAGGACAAACTGTTGGTAAGCATCAACTGACTCTTTGGAAGAACGTGTGATGATAAACAAGGCAGGGTCATGGTCGCTATTATACTACTCACCTAAATCAAGGAAAAGATTTTTGGGAAATGAAGAAATTGAGCTGTGGTGTTTACAATTCAATCGTTTGTGAGCAGGCAGTTAAAAACTGGCTGTTTCAAAATGAATAACTTTTGATTTTGTTTTGCTTTGTTTTTCATTTTCCAGGGGATGTCTACAGGCTGTTGCTCAGATATTACAATGAGGAATGCAGGTGCTGCTCTACTCCAAGACCAGAGATCAAACTCTACCCTTTCATATACAGTGCAGTAGAGTCCTATGCAGATTCCACTGATGACGAAAGAGGGTTATGTTTTGATGACTAAAAATCAAATTTTCAAGATGAATATCCCTTCTTGTCTTCTCCATGTAGGATATTAATTGAATTGCTGGATGTAACATACAGAGTAGCTTAATATATCCATGTATATAATTCTTGTTTTATGCATTATATCTGAAGACCAATCTTGGAAAGAAACCAATTTTATTTCCAGTGTAGAATGTAAATCCTAATCATTGCATAATAGAACGAAATGTTTGGTAAACATATTTATCTCCCCCCTCCCCCTCGGTTCAAGGTTGAGTTTTTGACCTCTTTTCTTTATGGGCTTATTTGAAAGCAGCAGATTTGTACTTGCCTACCCTTTCTTTCCATTTTTTATAGAGATGCTCATATATAATAGAAAGAGATTTCCTATATAAACCAGTTTCTTAGCACGCCCTTCGGTAGTATAATTTATGAGAGGCGGTGGGGGAAGCCTTGTAATGATCTGTTCTATTGGACATATAGTTTCATAAATAAACCACCCTTAACACCCCACTAATAATTTTAAAGACATTGGGTTGGATCCAGTGCTAGGCCTACTTTCAGAGTAGATCCATTTAAGTGAATGGACATGATTAACTTGGGTCAATTAATTTCAGTGGGTCTACTCTGAGTAGGACTTGCTGTAAGCAAAGCTGCCCTAGAAACAAGAATGGCAAGTGTATCCCGAGATTGCGTCCCTTTTGATGGAGGCAGGATGAGGCAAAGCATGAGCAGCAGACGGAAAGCAGCATGATGGATCCAGGTTACAAAAAAGACAGGATCAAAAGTAAGAGATGGTAAAGGGATTTATATTATTTAGAAGAAGAAGGGGGGAAAATAAAACTATAGAAAGGGCCATATATTTATGAAAGGATGAAACAGCTTTTTAAAATGGTTTTAAATTGCACCAGTTTCTTTGTTGCAGTTTTCTGATATTCCTGCAATTCTGATGGATAAATATATCTATATGTTATTTAATGTACAGTGAAACCTAGATTATTATACTAGGATTTCAGTTATATAATATACAACCCTGTAAGGCATGCCTTCCTAAGTATGGACAATATCGTTGAAACTTTGCTTTGGTAAATGCACAAGCCGAAGGAAGCATCTCCAAGACAGCCCCAAATGGGAGTTGTGTGTGGCCACAGTTCACAACTCATCATTTCAGTGGGACACTGGGAAAAAAAACTATTGCTTGATTTTGCCCTTCAGGGGAACGTGTTCTAAAAAAAGGAAATAAAAATTCACAGGAGGGACATTGGCAGAAACGTTGCTATAACCAGTTCTCTGTTGGCTAATGGAAAAGCAGCATTAAGGAAACCTTGCTGCTTAATGCTGATTGCAGCATAATGCTGCGTTGACTTTTCTCTCCAGCTTTGAAACAAACTAGCACGGGGTGAATAGGTTAATAAGAGCCGTATGGTCCCAACAGCTTCCTAATTAAAGAGAAAACTAAACTGTCCAGGATGCTGCATCAAAGCCAAAAGGCATAATTCCAGGTCGATTCAATATTTTCCCTTTGTCTTAATTTCTTTCACAGCTATTCAGTATCTTCCTTCTCAACTATGTGGTATACTCTCTATTTTTAGCAAGAGAGAACTTCCTGGTGCTGCAATCTTGAATACTGAGAGAGCTGATGGGCCAATGATCCATTAGATGGGAATGTGCCATCACAAACAGCTGTGTAATAGAGTGCTTTTCTCTCTTGACCAATCTCTCTCTAAATTCTGCAGTGACAAAACATGCAATTATAGTCACCCATGGCTGTATATAATAATTTATAAAAAGCTGAAGTATAACGTTCTTTAAACTTGCAGGTTGTGCGTTTGTTATTTTTGGATTGGGGCGGTGAAAAATCAGTATGCTACATTTACATGATTTCTTTTGTAAAGGAAAATAATAAACCCAATGAACATTTTTCTCCACATTTGGCTTTTGGTGTGTTCATTTTTTAAAAAAATTGACATACGTTTTTTATGAGCAATGCCACAGACCTATCTCCTGCCTACTATTCCAAGCAAAAATAATTAAAGTTCTACGGCCAAACTATTCAAACTATGCAGCTGAAGAAACTGAACAGTACAACTGAAATATGTGCAAATTAAACAAAAGTACATATATATATATTTCCTATAACTTACTGTGGAATTTTTGCTTTTTAAATTTATTCTGGTGTTGCTAGTTGGGGTTGGGGAGAGGGATTTCAGAATAAGAAACCTTTATTGTGTCTGGGTCCCTTCGGACTGCAGTTGATAGCTTTCAAAAGTGTTCTCTACAGCAAGAGCAGCTGGCCTGTCAGCACACCTCCAGGGTTGAAGTCAAACCACTGGAGAATCACGATGCCCTCTGTGGCTGCAGAGACTGTTAACTCCTAATTGCTGCATCCCACATTGTTTTTGCTACGTTAGCAGCACCAAGGTGACCTCTCCGGGGCTGGGCTTCCCAGGTGACAAGACCCTGCCCTCTCAGGCTCGTGGTCCAAAAGAAAGCAGAGCTAATACGTTTGGCACCAGCTTGGCTGCAAGAGTTGCCAGACGCAGGCATACAAAGTGCCATCCAACCATCTTAGGAGACCACCATTATCATTATATATTTATTTATTTTATAACCCTGCCTTTTCCCCCTGACAGGTGGTTTACAAATAAAATAGGAACAGCTGAAAAACATGGGTTGAGGCAATAATTTAAAAACATTCAACAGTAATAGAATATATTCTATCTAAACCACTGAGCCACTTGAGCTTGCCGACCAGGTGGTCGGCGGTTCGAATCCCTGCAACGGGGTGAACTCCCATTGCTCTGTGCCGGCTCCTGCCAACCTAGCAGTTTAAAAGCACGTCAGTGCAATTAGATAAATAGGTACTGCTGCGGTGGAAAGATAAACAGCATTTCCGTGTGCTCTAGCTACTGTCACGGTGTCCTGTTGCACCAGAAGTGGTTTAGTCCTGCTAGCCACATGACCCAGAAAGCTGTCTGTGGACAAACACCGGCTCCCTCAGCCTGAAAGTGAGATGAGCACCACAACCCCATAGTTGCCTTTGACTGGACTTAACCGTTCAGGGGTCCTTTACCTTTTTCTTTTTTTTACCTTTTATATTCTATCTATTAGAAACATAGATAATTACCATAAAACAGCACGACACCAGCCCTTTCATTAAAAGCAGCCAGTTCCCAACAGCCTGTTGGAATAAGATGGTGGAAGGACAACAAGGAACGACTACAACTCCTTATCCCTGAGCGTTGACCATACTGGTTGGGACTGATGGGGGAGGTAGTTCCATAACATCCGGAGAGACATAGTTAAGCCACCCTTCTCTATAGTTAACTTTTAAAAATGCCAAGCCGGGGTGGGTGGGATGACCCTTAATTTGAGGCAAACAGAGAAAGCATTTTCCTGTCTTTAAAATGACGCGAGCAGATTACACATTATCAATTATAATGGAAAGCAACCTTTTTGTGTGTGTCCTGTCTTCAGCTTGTTGCTCATGAATTTACCTTTTGTTTTGTGTACATAAATATTCATGCACAATGGTTCTTTTCAAACCCTGGATAACATCAGAGGCAGGTTGAAGTGGGTGCCCCCTGGTGTAGCTCCACTAACAGCAGGATGTTGTCAGTGGTTGCTCCTCAGTCGAGCTGCCCCCCACAATCTTCCTTGTTTGTGACCTTTTTAAATATTTCTCCCACCCAACATGGGTGAATGTCATTACCTGAAACCAAATGCGTCAAGTAGAACTTGGGAAATGAAATTCTTTGGGGTTTTTTAAATTATTAAAAGAAGCATCTGCTCTTTAGAAATGTAAACTCTTTGTGGCAGCAACGTTTGCTGACGGGAAAGCTCGTGGCAGTCAAAGGCTTTGTTTTCTCTTCGTGTACTGCTGTTTTCAAAAGGCAAGACCTATGTGTACAGTTTGGACAGTCCACCCACCCTCACAATGCGCACATTAGCTGGGTTATATGAATTACATTGTACAACCTTGGAAATACGGGATAATCAACAGAGAAGTGGAACGCATGCATGCATTCACGTCATATTGAGTTATTAATTTTTTGCAGTTAAGAGCAACATTTAATACTTTCTCATTTCTGCCAAAAGTTGCCGAGTGGAGAAATGGCAGAACATTGGTGCCAAATTTATCATAACCACTGAAGATATTGTGGGACTTATAGGAAAAGATACTATAAAAGATACTATGAACTATATCAGACTGAGAAAGAAGGGTTCACCAGCATGGTTTTCTTGATGCCCATATAGATGATTATAAGGTTTATAAAAAGTTTGTGGAAGTTTAAAGATTGCTGTAGATCTCCCAAGTGACTGGCAATAGATCAGCAAGCATTTCAAACTCCCAATTATTTAACAACAGAAGGAACAAAACTGCTTTTGCTGCCTGTATTAAGTTGCTGAAATGAAGAAAGCTACCTAGGAATGGAATTGTGTGGGAAGACAGAGTTCAATGTAGATTGGTTACCGAATGTGCTCAGAGGTACCCTGTTCATTCATTATAACTCCTACCTGTCTCTGGTTTATATATGTTACGTTTATAGTAAGAAATGAGGTTGATCCAACAAGTCTGAAGTCTGTCCAATCATGCAATATACAGTCAAATGGCTTAGCATTCACTACACTGTTAGTTCCCAGCTTCCTAGTCTGGGTAAATGCCAATACTGAAAGGACCTTCTGTCTTGAAAGAGGTAAAATATATACCTGTAAAAGAATATCCCTTCAAATGCTATTTAGCATTTTTCACATGATTTAAAAGATAGATAAAATTTTGTGAAGTATCAGTTGCTTGTAGCTTTCCAATATTCCATAAACCTTTTTTTAAAAAATGAAATGCCTGTATATTTACGGCCTTGTTATGTACACAGCCTATTCCTTATTAATTTATCTTTGCTTAAGTGAATTCAACCTATATGTGAGGCATCTCTTACTCTTAGCTCCATTACAGCAGTGCCATCAATTTCTGGCTAACCAAGCTGTCCCCTTGTGTTGCAATGTTATTTGCAATTCTGAGTGGAGTGACTCTTGGAATATGGTTAAGAGAGATCCAGTACATTTCAATTACCCTTTATGTGTATTAATTATATCACAAATAGCTGACTGATCTTGTGCATTTTTTCATCAAAGGACCCAACAAATGCTGTTATTAAACCTTGTGCTAACTCTGTCTTCAGATTGCTCACACTGTAAGGTAATTACGCTGCTGGAATTTAAAGTCATTATTTCTGCTGAGGAATTTGCAGAAGAAATAGTATTCATAAGTTGCCAGGAGCATGGGTTTCTTAACTTAATCTTTGTCACACAGCATCATTCAAATAAACAAAATGACATTTTAATTTGTGATTACTTGACCCTCTACAAATTCAGGTTATGAAGGAGTGTTTTTGTTTTTTATATTCCATAAAAATTTGAGAAGAAGTGGGGAAACTGATAGGCTATTCTTAAATTTATTTAAATGAAACCTTCAACAACATGGAGATACCCATGAATCTTTGAGGATTACACTATAAGATAGTCACATGCACAGAACAAAAGAAGCAGAAGAAAGAATTCAAAAAGTGTGACCTTCCAGTGCTGAGTTGAAAGCTGATACTGAACATGACTTGATGGACATCCCCGCATCTCTGTGGTGAAATGCCAATAGATCTGATGTTGGCCAGAGAGTGGCAACAACTCTAATACCAGAAGTACCAGTAACAATGATCTTGGGAATTGGACCCATAGTTCACATGGAAATAACTTAAAATGTTTTCTCTCTGCTTTTTGACACCCAAGTCACCAATATCAGATTTTAAAACACAGACAAATAAAATAGTAATAAAGGATCAAAATAAAATTTATAAATAAGTTAAAACTACATCATCTTAACACGTGAAGCAACAGCAGAATTAGATAATAAATTGAGATAATGGGGAAAACTGTCCCAAGCTTACCTTCAGTTGAAAGCTAATATAAACTAAACTATTCCACAACCTGAGGACCAGGCAGCTGTAATCCCTGAAGGCAGGGGCCCTGAGATCAAGGCTTCTGGTGACAACTTTAGCAAATGAGTAGGTTCACAGAGAAGGTGATCCTTCAGATGCCATGATTCTAGGCTGTATAAGGCTTTCTTTGTAGGTCAACACCAGTACTTTATCAGTAGAGTACTTCAATAAAAATGCAGTCCATACAGACAGAAAACTTAACAAGATTGTAACTACTGTGTGTTAGGCTCTTTAATGAGCTCAAGCTGCACAACTCTTCCTCAAGCTAGATTTTTTTTAAAAAAAGGTAACTTAGATTCCAACTCTAACCCCATTTTATTCTATTTAGTGTTAAACATTAGATTTACTCTCTTCCAATCCTCTGGGGAGCTCTGTGTGCACATTACATTGAGAGCATGAGCTGTCCTAGTTGCACTTTGCTAATGCTATAAAATGTTTATTAATAGTAGAAAGCTAAGAGTTTTACTCAAGCCTTTTTTCTTGGTGTTTAACAAGATTTATAAGTGCCCTCTTAGAAAAGGTGTTTCTAGTTACTTTTGACCTATAGATAATGTGCCATCGCACATTTTTGAAGGAAGGTGCCCAAAGGACAGTGTCAAAACTTTCGATTCAAAATACTTGCTCTAGCATTTTTCTTTGCAATATGGGACCTATGAAGCAAATGTAGTGTGAAAGAGTGTGCTGGTAATCTAGCCATTTCACTATTTGTTTGAGCAGCACCCTGCTATGACTTCGAAAATGACGACTTTGTTCTGAAAGCATCAATCAGGATTTGAGATATCCCCCCCTCCCACCTTCATTGTCACTGCAGAAATGGCTTGCTGCTTGGAGTCTCGCAAGGAGCCAATACCTTCTCCACAGTGCCTTTTAGGAGATTGTCTTTCAATATGATAAATGTGTGAATATATTAAAAAAATCTTTTTTTGTTTTCTATGCACTG